ACTCCAAAAACGATAAAGGAAAAATAACGAACCTTCTTCGTCCATCCAGGCCTTCTTGTGTACAGAAACCTGCATTCTCCTGGGATATTCCGTATTCGCGAGCAATTTCACGGTTGTTGTTCACGGCTTCTGCTTCTGCTACGATCTTCAACTTGAAGTTTAGATCATAGGAATGACGACGAGTGCTTGGCATAATTACTGAAAATTTTCCCGTAATTCTGGTTGCGCCTTATAACAGGGTATTTAGGTGAAATTTTGATTTTGCTTACTTGTCACAATCGTCTTCGAAAGTTTAGGGTGCGTCTTATAACCGAGTGCGCCTTATAAGTGAATAAATACGGTACTTATCTTGGCTATTAGACCTGTTTTATTCACCCCAAACGTCTAAATTTATCTTGAAACTTCGTCACTGCAACGAGTACCAAAACTACCAGGCGTTCTTAGATTAATGTTGTGAAAAACTGGGCACTAATCGTAATGTTAATAGCTTTAGCATTCGCTCATTTGTCGAGCGAACTGTTGTTGAAAGAGCAAATGATTATCCCTGTTAAAAAAACGTTTAACAACGCTGGTCATATCGATGCAAAATTGATTGATTTTAGCGAAATTTGCCAAAAAAAATCCAGCGAAATCGGTTGTTTTTTACTGATTGTTTCTTGGCAAATTCCCTCCCCCCCCCCGAAATTTCCTGTGAAATCGGCCAATTTTGCTAATAATTTGCCCCTGAAAAAATCTTTCGAAATTTGAATTTTTTCCACTAAAATCCACGAAATCGGCCGATTTTTTGCGAATTTTGACTTTTCTCCCGCGAAAATCCTGCCAAATTGGCTGATTTTTCCACGAATTTTGACTTTTTTCCCGCCGAAATCCTACAAAATTGGCCGAATTTTCCGCGAATTTGCCCCTGAAAATCCCGCGAAATTTTGCTTTTTTTCCCCGAAATATCAGAAGCCCTGCCTGTTAGTATGCTTGTACACAGTGATCTATTGATTTCTCAATTGCCTAATTCATAGTAAGTTCATATTGTGTGGTTCCAGAAAATTTTCCATACCCCCCCCCGACGGAAGGGATTTGCCGTATATGACCCCCCCTACCCTCTGGATTTTCCAAAATCGGCCCCAAAATTTACCCCCCTCCCCTCTGGAATTTCCAAAATTTTCGCACACCCCCTGGAAATTTTGCTATTTCTAATTATTGAAGTGAACAAAGAAGTAGTTTTGTTCAGTAGGATGCCAAAGTTTGTGAGTTTTATGGTATTTTCTGTTGAATTGTATTACAGATAAGCGAATTCCTTATGCGAACTCCTTGTGCTCAAGTCACAGACAAATTAAAGTTTGTGCGTTTCATGGAATTTCTGTTGAATTCTACAATTCTGCAAATGAAATGCAAGGTCGCATACCAAACGTAACTGTACTTTTCTCGCACTGCGTCGAGAAGAAAGCAACACTTGAAGAGGAAGAATTTTAAAAGAGATCAGAACCTCGTCACGCGATAAGACAGTGTGAGTATCAAATTTCGTTCTACCAAATTTGCATATTTGAGTTTGCGGTAAAATTGCGCGTCGCTGATTTCTTTGATAAGTAAATTGTCATGCAAAGTTTAACGTGCTGGAAAAGACTTTATGATAGAGAAACAGTCAAGAGAAGAAGAAATGCAACCAATTAAAAAAAAATTATTTTTCGTGTTTTGTGTTCTCGATCAACATGCAAGGAAAATGAAGTTTCGTTCCGCTGGCTCATAAACTACAAAAGCATAAAAGATAAAAAATATTGTTTTCAGGAAACTTGTTGAAAAAAAAACTTAAGTATTGACTAAAACGTATGTCGATACTGTCGATAATCGATTGATAATATGAAAACGAAGATGGCTACAAAGGAGAGATGCGTAACTATTCATATATGATACGTTTGTAAACAAAATTCGTAATGTACGTGACCTGGGGAATAACAGATTGTTCGATGCGAGTGGCTAGTGACGAAATGGTTTTGGGATGGAAACTCGGCTAAAATTTATCTTTGAACAGAAAGCTTCAGTCGCTCGAACGGTCGGCAAATTCTTTTTCGAACGGATAGCCCGAGCCGTTCAAACAGATGACAACTTTTTTCAAACGGACAGCCCGAGCAATTCGAACGGATGACAACTTTTTTCAAATGAATAGCCCAAGTCGTTCGAACAGATGACAATTTTTTCTTGAACGGATAGCCCGAGCCGTTCAAACAGATACCAAATCCGTTTGAAAACGGCAAACCGTAAGGAATGTTTTCGCGTGAGAGGTCACGCTTAGGGACTGACAAAATATGTTCGTTACGTCCATTAATCCATAGGTTTAGTAGCTCTTTAACTTTCGTCGTGTTTTATATCTTCGCAAATAAATTGTCGTGGTAAATTTTTGCGTTTTTTCTTTGTTACTCTCTTACGCATCACGAGAACCCTCTGGAAATATTTCCCTATGGTGACCCCCCCTCCCCCCTGGAAAATCTGATCCCTTCCGTGGGGGGGTATGGATATTTTCTGGAACCACAAATTGTATTATGGCATACATGTATTTTAAGAAGACTAAGGAATTCTATGATAAGTGATTTAACCCTCCAAATTGACTTGCTCTCTAATATGCTGTTTTTCAGTTTGAAGTTCAGTACATTAATTTAAAATAACCCACCATCTCCTTTATGTCACTGAAAAACTTCAAACAAAATTGAATGAAATTAAAATACCCAGTATATCTATGTAAGGTAAAATTACAGCATTTGATTGGGGAAGGGAGGTCAGTTTTTGTACATATATTATTATCAGAAGTTTTAGAAAGCTTGTGATTCTGCTATAATAATATTATTTATACAATAAGATACAATCCATTAACACTGATTGGCTAAGAGGTGTGTTTGCATTAGACTATGTAAGGTGAGGGTAAATGGCAGAATAATATTTTATTTTGCGGAATGGAATGTGGTATGACTTGCAGAAATAGCATAATTACTCAAAAATTATGTAACATTTACAGAATGACTCAAAGTAATTGGTATGTAGATAGACAGTCAATCATGACTATAATAAAATTCCCATATGGCTATCAGCTGTCAGTTTAAGTGGTAATAGAACAGTGTAACAGGACCATACGCATCATGCGTAAGTTGGACAGTGTGCGCCATAACACGCGAGCACTTAAATGCTTTTTTTCACTTGGAGCAAAAAACTTGCAAACCAAACTCAATTTTTTTTAATCAAAAAGGCATTATAATATTTTCATTTTTTACAAATAGATTAGTAACAATACCAAGCATTGCTTAACAGGAGATCACTTGTGTTTGTTTGAGGATTTATGCTTAGAATATAACCTTACCATGAGAGTATTAAAATTTAACTGTTTACATGAGATTTTAAGTGCATGATATCTTTCATCAGTTTTGTAGACCAGCTTCAAACTACCAAGATACTGAAGATGCTACCCTGTGATATCACAAGATTTTAAATACACTGAGTAAATCATACTTGCTCCTGAAAGTAAGTTACTCAGCTCTTTGTGACCTCTGTCATACACATGTAGGCACTCTTTAGCTAATGTAATGAAGTTTCACTATATATTGAGATCATTACCTAGATCACTATTTCCTTTGATTCTCCAATACACTGCTGTAGTCAAGCCTTTGTTAATAATGGATCTCACCCCTAAGTACACACTTGGGTGCTTAGCCAATAATACTAACATTGCAATTTCAATAGTGAACTTTTTTACTGGAAATCTCCCCTCCTAAATGAAGCTTTTTTGTGGTCCCTGCGCCACTAATAAACACTTCATTTTTAATTGACCTTTGTGAAAACATGGTTTTCTCTCCTAAGCCAACACTAACTTTTCGTGGACCCCGTGTGGGAGGGGTGGCAGGGGTACTCCAGATTTCAAGACAAGACAAGAGAAGACAATGCTTTATTTGGAGTCTTGTACAGTCCTGTGCACATCGACTTTATCCAAATAATTTAAAATCATTAAAGACACATATGCATTGCATACTAGTGGAACTATGATCAATGTTAAGCTAAAGAACTAATTAATGCTGTGTTCATACTGGCCCATGAAAGTAAGTTCATCTTCCTGTTGACCTCTGCTATTAATGTGTGGGTATAGATACATCTCTGAGCTAGAACAATCTGATCCAGCTTTCCACAGTCCAGTCCAGTACTGGTTTGTTCAACATCTCTGTGAATTCTCATCATGTACCAGCTATGAGTCAGTTTGTCGATTTCTTCTTGACAAGTTCTGTCATAAAGCTTCCACCAACTGACTGACATGTTGACAAACACCAGTACAGCATACAACCAGTGTTAATGTCCCTTTTCCTTCTAATGCCTTATGCCAAGTGTGCCTTATTCAAATTTCATGATTTAAATTGTACCTCCTTCAGTTCCATTGAATGAAAGTTAAAACAGTTTTTTGCAAGGATAGCTTGGTATATTGTACATGTAGGTTGACATGCTCTTTTTTTACTTTATTATTTCAGACGTTTATGTCAGTCAATCAAAACATCATTATGATCATGTACCTGTAAAGTCTGCAGAAAACTTTAAAAGTCCAGGTAATTCAGATAAATTTTACAATGGTTATCTACGCACTAGAAGTTTTGATGAATCTGTTGTAGTTAGTTTTTTTATCTCAGGTATTTTTTGTTTTTCTTTCGTTTTGGGTATGTTAATGTATACTTAAATGAAGTTGAAACTACAGTGTCGATCCACATACAAATATGTTATATTTCCTAAAAGAAAAAATTGAGAGAATTTCCCCTTTGGTGATCTATTTAGTAATTTTTACAACCTTTTCTTTTGATGATGTATGGATATTCTTAGGAGAAGACTGATGTTGTTACTCTTGGGACTTAAAAGGTTAAATAATAATTCTACTTAGTTCCTTCCTCCTATATTTGAACAGCTTAAAGAAAATGTTCTTGATTGATTGATGTGTACATGTTCTCCTTTTTAATTTACCCACTTTCTAGGGACACTGAGACTCAATGGCACAGCATCAAGAACGTAAAAGAAAAGAAACTCCTTCTTGTTGGGCAGGAAGACGTCATGTCCCTCCTCCTCTTAGTATCAAAGTACCTAAAATGAAAAATCTTTCTAAAAAGTCAAAACCTTGGAGTGATGTTCAGCTCCCAGTTGACATTCTTTTGTTGACAGTGGAGGATTGTGAGTTCTTGGCATGCTGTGCGTACTTAAATAATCCCATTAAAAGCTACCACAATAACCTTGGATATGTGTACTTTGGTACCATTGGTGAAAGTGGAGAGGAGGCGCTGAAAGTTGCTCTGATGAGATGTTATAAAGGTTCTTCTGGTCCAGGTGGCTCTCTAGTCACTGTCAAGAATGCAGTTGCTCAGTTGAGACCCAAGGCTGTTTTTATAGTTGGCTGCTGCAGGGGTTTGAACCCCCAAGACACAAAGCTGGGGGATGTAGTGGTATCCTCTAAGCTTATAACTGAAGAATTCTCAACCCCAGTAAAAAAGAATATTGGCAACCTTATCTTGTTTTCATCTGGAGGATGGGATCCACCAACAACAGCTGAAGAAGAAGTAAAAGTGCATTCTGACAGCGAAATATTCGGTGGCATAAATGACCCAGTCAGTGCTAAAAAATGCCGTATGAATGCAGCTGAAAAGGAAGGGGAAGGTAACATTTTTTGTTACTTATTCATTTTATCTCATTAAATAATTATTAATCTATTCAGGCACAACTGTATTTTCCAGCCACATACTGCAGGTCTTCATTAGATGATAGTGTCAAAGACCTGCATGCAGTGAAAACATCATGATCAAGATCTAAGTGACATTATGGTGAAACAAATAAAATCCTTTATAATTTTGCACACATTAACCATGATGTACAATATCTTTCATGACATGAACAATAATATTTTTGTAGCATTATTATGTGTTCTGTTTTTTTTTTTGTTTCTCGTATTTAAACATGTAGGACTGTTTGCTGCAGCCCATGAAGTGAATATTGAATGGGTGATTGTTAAAGGGATATCACATTTTTCTGATGATAGCAACACTCCTAATGAGTCCTGGAAGTCATTTGCTTCCATCATGGCAGCTTCTCTTGTGTCCAACATGTTAAGTGATCCAGTTGTTTTTAAAGAATGGCCTCACTATGAAGGTATGTAACCTCCTTTTCCTGTTTGTTTATTAATATTGAATTTTCTGCTGAGATATATTTATGTATCTATTATAAAAAAAAGTTAAGTTTTAGTTAAAGAGGTTATAAGATACATGGACTACCACAAATTCTACAATAATATAGAAGATGCTGTTTTAAAATTCTTTAACACTGCTAGCCTCTACTTCTCCTTCACTCTCTGAAAAACTGTTAGAAGATAAAAAAGATGCACCATGTTATTGACTGACAAGAAGATAAAAGATAAAAGTCTGTTTTGCTTACAAAAATTAAAGAACAGGACAGTTAAACTATTTTGTTTTCTTTGTAGATGTGTCAGCAAACAAGGATTCCACAACCTTACCAGGTATGACTCTGTCCAAGTAAAGTTATGAGGAATTCTAGTAAACTGAAGTATTTATTTGTCAATACATTTATAGTACAATTAAACCACCTCTTTTCATCTTTGCACAGTCTGTACAATAGTAACAATTCTCTTACTTTTGTTGAGAAGTAATGACCAGTATATTTGAAGCCTTTCACCTCTCGTCTACCAAATCTTATAATAGTATCTGAATGTCACTCCTTTTAATTACCTTAAAAACAACTTGACTCCTTCGTTGTATCTCAAATCTAAAACCCCTCCACCCCCCACCGCCCCCACCCCTTCCCTTAAGCAGTAGATAAATCCATTGTGTAGTTCCAGAAAATATCCACATCTTCCCTTGCGGGGGGATTCTTTCTAAGAGCCCTTTGCCCTACTAAAAGTTCTTTGACCCCAGGAATTTCCAATTCCTTCTGTGGAGGCTGTGGAGAGAGTATGGAGATATTCTGCAGCTACACATTTTGCTAATTATACTGCCAAATCAAATTGAGTGTTCAAAACTCAAAACATGTTTTTAAGGATATTAAAAAATGTTGTCTTTTTTCTTAAATAACCACCAAATCATTAGGACCATTCCAACAATGACGTCTTTGTTTTGTGATTTTTCCCCAAGTATTTTTGCAGCCTTTACCAATATATATATACTCTGAGTTGATTGATATCTATTCACTTGACTCAAGACCACTTTGAGGCCAATTTCTCACTATAACTATCTAGCACCCAGTGAATACGAACTTGATCTGCCGGAGCCCTGAAATCACAGGTTCTTATACACTGTATGCAGGTTTTTGCTGTATCAGATTCTAGGCCAGTAAGTTCTACTTCATGCTTGCTACTGCACAGCATTTAAACCTATTCATTGCTGAAAGGAATCTCCTCATGAGAATATGAAATCCTTCCTTGACATCTCTGTAACTTACACATCATCTTTACAACTGTGGCATACATGATAGTTCTTAACTTAGCCTGTGAAAACATCCGTTTCTCCTCACTCTTCGCCGCTGAAGACGTTTCGCGCGCGAAACGTCCCCAGCAGTGAAGAGCGAGGAAAAACAGATGTTTTCGCAGGCTATCCTTAACTATGCATCTTTTACTTTGTATTAAGATGGAATCCTTTGGTAAATTGAGTAATTTTTTATTTTCAGTGGACAAAAACCTTGTACAAGAATAATTTCAATCGTTGCATTCTTTTTGTAATGTAATGTATTAAGTTATATGAAATAACTCCAAAGAAACAGTTCTTATGGGAGCCGGGAAAAACAAACTTTAAAAGCTTCAAATTTCATAAAACAGGGCTCAAAATTAAAAAAATCCTCAGGTTGACTTCTGGTGACCAACTGGAGAAATATAAGTGCCACATGCAAATTTTTAGTCGCCAGTTTGTATAATGTAAATGACGCACGCAACTCATAGTATGGTGCAATCTATCAGATTTGATTGTTTGAAAATATCACGGACAGAAGTCAGTATAAATTTGGAGGTAAACTGACTTTGTGTATGTGATTTGGCACATTTTTTATGACGAAAGCAAAGCAAGGTAAGATGAAATGTTTGTTTTAACTTTAATCTTTTACTTTAAATCTAAATCAAAGAGAAATCTGTTTGCTAAAGTGCCGACTAAACCAGAATTTTTAGTTGCCAAGAAGAAAATGTTAGTCACATTGGCGACCATTTTAGTCGCAATTTTGAGCTCAGCTAAGGCTGCATTCATTATGTATACTGTGGGGGGCAGGGGGGCAGAGGATATTTTTTAAATGGGGAAAATTTTTAAAGATCTCCTCCATATCATACACAATTTTTTACAACCCCCCCTCTTGACCAAAAGAAAAAATTGGCACCCCCCCCTCCCCGCCCCACCCAGTCTTGACAAGGACAGAAGAGGATATAAAGGTACAAGCACTCTACTTTTTTGAGGCCCAAATTCCATCTCAAAGCACTTCGGCAACAGAGGGAACTGACTATCAGTGGGTATACTCTTCAACATCTATTGTGCTATTCATTATTTAGAGAAGCAAAGTGTTTTGATGTGGATGTTGATGATGTTAAATAACATTCGTCACCACTGACACATTTTTCAAGTTGTGTATGCTATTTGAGCCACCAAGCACTTTAAGACATTCAAATGTTATTTGTTTGCAAAGGAATACTAATATGATAAAATACTTTGTATGGTTGTTATGTTAGTTTGTAGAGCTCGGTTTCAGTCCATTTATTAGTCTTGATTTCAGTGGCAATTGCTAACTGACACAGAAATATTGGCAATTTTCCAGTTAAAGAAAGATTGAACTTATTTCATTGAAATTTTGTACTTGTAAATGTGTTGACTTAAAGGCAATATTAGCTTTAAAATAAAAACACTTGACTTTGATATTAATAATGAAAGTCCTGTAAAGTGTGTATTTATAAAGCAAATAAGCTAGCAAACTGTCTTCAAGCATAGAGTTATTAAGATGGCCTTCTTTTAGCAAAAACATCCACAAAATAATGCTTGCTTTTTTAATAAGTGGAGACAAAAAATTTAGCACCCTCCCCCCACCTTCATCTGTCAAAAAATCCTGTTCTCCCCTTGCAGTAAACATAATGAATGCAGCCTAAAGAATCTTATGCATGACGATTTTGCCTGTGTTTTTTCAATTTCCTGTGAAATTTGAAATTAGTTTTCTCGGGCTCCCTAAGGATCTTTTCTTTGGAGTTATTTCATATAACTTATTACATTTATAGCCCTTGAAAAGTGTACAAAAGAATGCGATATGACTTAATTTATTCTGGCTCATGTACAAGGTTTCTCTCCACTACAAGTTAAAATTACCCAATTTCCTAATGGGTTCCATCTTAATTTTCTGGGGTTATTTTTTTTTTTGCAAAAGTTCTCTTATGCATCAGTGGTTAAGAAATAACGTGTGGTTTTGTGTGGCCCATATCATCAGCCTTCTTACATCTTAATGTAAAAGGTTCTTATATTCTCCCTTCCCCCACTTTCATTATTAATGAAATGTTTTGTTGCATAATGCTCAGTCGATAGTTAAATGGTTTCTTAAGGCTGCCCAAACTTCAAAGTGAAGAAACCCTGGAATGTGCATTTTTTTAAAAAGTATTTATTTTTATCTGATCATATTTGCAAGGTGGCTGCTTTTTAATATCCCTGTCTTAGATTTGGTGTCATAACAAAGAAATTGTTTAAGACTTGTTGAAAAATTCTTGCTGACAGATTCTGTATGCCTCGAAGAGTGCCAGAAAAAGCTGCGATCCCTTTATGAAACCAAAAACAGAGTCAAAATTGTTCCATGGGAACAAACCTCTGCTGTTGATATTAACAAGATATACACAGACGTGTCCTGGGTTATGGATCACAGGACACCCAGGGGAGTGACAAAAGAAGCGCTTAACCACTACACTGAGATTTTTGTCCGCAGAGAACCTTATCCTGCACCAAAGCGGATTTTGGTTTATGGTCAGCCAGGTAAGTGAGGAAGTAAAGTAAGCTGGCATGCAGGGTCTTTATTTAAGTGAAGAGTGACCACATGATAGCTGCCAAAGCTAACAAATGAGTGGCCCTCATTACACAAAAACAAGAAAAATGGTAACCAGCAAAATAAATCCATACATGATTTTGGAGAACACAGTCTGTATTAAGCTTGTGTCATGTACAGGCTTTTTGAGTGTTTTGCCAAAATCCCAATTTAAGTGGGTTAATTTATTATAATTGTTGCCGAAAACAATGGAAAGTTTTTTCCTTTTGCTTTAGTGGATAAATTAAACTGAAAGAGGAAACAAAGTTTTTCTGTTTTCTATGAGTCTACCAGTTAAATTTAAAACAATTTATCTGGTTATAGAGCAATCAGAATGTGTGTAGGCTTCAGTATTTATGTATTATTATTATATAAACACCAATGAAATACCAAGTGAGCTTTCGCGCGAAAACTTGACATCTTCAGGTGTGAAAATAACATGTTATCTTCACACGTGGGAAGATGAGAGACCCTGGGAGCGAGGTTGACGTGAAAATATCACTGTTGCTATGGCTTCATAATAAACCGCACCTTTCAGACCGAAAAACGCTTTGGTACTTCATTGGTGTTTATATAATAAATAGAACATTACATGGTCACTTGGAGATACCAAATTTCTCTTCTTGTGTTAAAAAAAAAATATTTCACTCGTTTGCTGCGCTCACTCGTGACATATTTTTCAACACTCGAAGGGAAATTTCGTGTCTCCGTGTGGCCATGTAATATCCTCTATTTATGTTGTGGCTCAATTTTATCTGTAAGTTTCATTTTCTAAAATGTACAATCAAAAACTAACAAATAAAAATAAAAATTCATCCAAGGAAAAATTAAACTACACCCTTTACTATATTGTTCAGAGTCAGTTTGATGTCAGTAATTATTACACTGCTCACAAGCCGCAGGTGAGAGTTTGCTGTCACTAACTGCAGATTTTACTGATACAACACTGCCATGGAAATTACATATTGTGCATCCAAATATTCTTTTTTTGCGAGTTACTTAAGCCTGAGTTGAATCAAAGATAGAGTCGCATATTCAGTGACTCATTAAAAATTCGTTTCTTGTGTCCTTTTCTTTCATGTTTATCTTCATATTTACGAGTAATTTTAAACTACTCATTAAAGACCTTTCTTTTTGAAATAAAATACGCTGTAGTTCCATTGTATTGTTACTATAAATTAAATTTTCCTTTGTTACAAACCCACTTATCACATTACTATGCACTCAAAAGCAATGGAGGAGAAAATCTGAGATACTGTGAATATAAAAGTGACACCAACAGCGATGAATATAACTATAATCTTGTAATGATAATAAGATTGCAGTTCTTTATACAAAGCTAAGAATTCCAAAATCTATGCTCCCTTTTGAAGGCAAAAAACAATCTTTTTGGATTAACTTAGGTGAAACCAAATTAAAGACCCTCCATGAAAAACAGACAATATAAGGCCATCCCCATAAAATGTTTCGTTTCCCATCACCCTCCCTCTCGTGAAGGTGGGTCGGTCGGTCGGCCAAAAAAAAAAAAGAATGAACACATGATTGCATATTAAATCTCACGTTTAGTCTGCAAGATATAATCAGATGGTAAAAGATGTATATTAACAGGACTATCAAATGTCTAAAAAGGCTACAAAAACGAAGTATCGATGATAATTTAAGACAAATGGTGTTAATAAGACAAGATCGTGTGCTTATAAATTAAAGTACTTGCTTCTTTACTAGTGATTCTGGAATTTTTATTTTTTATTTTTTACTTAAATCCAAAAAAATGGGTCGGTCAGGCGATGGGAAACGAAACATTTTATGGGGATGGCCTAAGCGCATTTTAACCCATTCGCTCCTGGAGATTTTGCCGAAAAACGCGTTTTGAAGCTAGTCGAGTGGTTTTTTGGTCACTGTCGTGCTATAAAGAGCTAAAACTTACCACAAACCGGTTTACAGGTCGTACACTTGGCGGCCTTCTGATCCAGATGCAAAATATCAGCTTGCGAAGTTCGGGCATGCGCAGAAAGCAAAATTTCGAGACAGTTTTTGGGTTTAAAAGTGACACAGCAGTCTTGACTTTTACTTTTCGCTTTCTCTCCTCCCTTCTTTTTTCGCTTTTCTTGCCTCATTTTTTTTTCTCTTGCTGGGCATTTAGTAGGCTTCATTTTGGTGGAAAGAGTTTTTAGGAAAGTTTTTAGGATCTTAGGATTAGGTGAAAGGAAAGGAAGGTGGGTAATGGAACAAGATTTTCATGGAGATTTTCAGGTCCTTGTCACGTGTTTTTTTGCTTCTTTCTCCGGTGTCCTTGACTGAATTGTGCTCATTCTGGTATGGTTTGAAAGATCTCTTCACTCTGCACAAGTAGCGAAGAAAGTTGTCCTTGACCGTTAGAACTGATGACGTCACAAAGGGTAGAAAGGACCTGGATCGGCACGGGCGGTTACGGGCGGTTCAGGGGCGAATGGGTTAAAGAAAAAGTTAAAAAATTCAGAAAATTTCGTTGAATAATTTGACACTTCTGTCAAAAGTCTTCTTAAAACTGTGGAAAGTTTAAATAGTTTAGATTCAAGAAGTCCTCACAATTTAGTTCATGTTGCCTCCTAGGTATCGGCAAGACTGTTTTTACGCAGAAAGTCACTTTCGACTGGTGCCAGCAGAAATTTCCACAAACATTAGGAGCGTTTGATCTTGTCCTTCTGGTAAGATTACGAGACGTTTGTGATCTCCGAGATGTTCCGTCTATTTTGGCGGCTTCCAGAGCGCTGGCTAGTGATGGCACAGTTTCTGTCGACAACCTGTATAACTACGTTCGTCGCCATCAAGAAAAAGTCTTGCTTATCTTGGATGGTTACGATGAGTATGTTTACACTGCTGGAAACCAATCGCCTGTCCTTGAAATCTGGAATGAAAACCAGTTAAGCAATTGCTGTGTTGTAATAACTTCAAGGGAAATGAAAGCTGAGACGTTGAGAAGTTCTGGTGATGCTGTTTTCAAGATAGACGGCTTCAATGATTGGCGCCAAGAAGAGTTCGCTGGTAGATTTTTAAAAGATGATGAAGATGTTGAAAAGTTTTTCAACTACCTGGAGCAGCAAGACCTAAGAAAACTAGCACAAATTCCTCTTCTTCTTCTGATTATGTGTCTACTCTGGAAGGGGAAAGATCGCAACGCGCTGCCAAAGAAACGCGCAGATATCTTCCCTCAGTTGGTGAAGACTTTGTTTCACCACATGGGTGAAAAACAGTTTGCTGAATCGGTGTTTAACATTGAGGATTACTCGGAAGAATTATATGCATTAGGGCGCTCGGCCTTTGAAGCTCTCATCAACGATTGCCTGTATATCCCGAGAAGTGAATTACCTAACTACGATCTGATCAAGAGGTTGATTGAAGTGGGCCTTTTTCAAGTTTTAAATATGTCAAGTTTGAATCCTGAAAAAGGTGTCTATTTCATTCATAAATGCGTACAAGAATACTTCGCGGGATGTTTTCTGAAAGAGGAGCTGATATTATCTAAAAAGGATGAAATTACAAATTCCCTGTCAAAGCTGGACTCGGTTGAAAAGATCCTCAAAATGAATGAAGTGATAAAATTTGCTGGTGAGCTGTCAGAACAAGCCGCGCGCGAGATTGTGATTCACTTGATGAAAATGGCGGCGAACGAAGAAGAACTGACGAAGTACACCTTCGACAGCAAAGCACCGTCAGGGGAGGATTTTTCAGAAGACCAAAGAAATTTTCTATTACTCTCCACAGAGTTGTTTTTCTACTGTTCAGCTAAGACAAAAAGAAACCTCTTTCCTACATTTCTCTCCTCTTTCAGAGGAGTTCTTTTAATTGAAGCAGACCAGCTAAATGATCTTGTGAAAGAAAAGTTAGTTAAAACTACTGTAAACGTAAATTACGTTTTTTTCACTCGGGGCAAGTATACAGAGCAAGACTATAAAAACTTAACAATTTTATCTGAACAATTAAACGCTGTCATTGTAAGTTGTTTAGGAGAAAAGAAAGCATCAGAATTTTTAAGCAACTTAACATGGTGTCCAGTTGATGAATTTTTCCTAAAGAAAGAAGAAAACAACACTCACCTGTATTTTACACAAATTAGTAGAGATAGATCCGGTTTTCGTGCTCATGATATAATAAAGGCGCTAATAAGTAAACAAGAGACAACAACAAAGAAGACAAACATGAATGGTGATGAGTCAAGTGAAGAAAGCAGCAGCAGCTGTTGTTCAAAGCGTCATGGTCTCTCCAGGGTTCGGAGGATTGTAGCTGTTGGTGTGAACAGGTCAGATGTGGAACAGCTAATTGAGATGATGCCGTTTATCACCGCTCCACACGTGATACGGGTTTGGGCTAAACCCGGTGAAGTGTTTGATGCTGAGGTAACAGAGTCTCTACTGAGGAGCATCCCAACAACACACAAACTGAAGCACTTAACACTCCATCGTATCAATGTTACATCATCACCTGCTGTGGAGTTCATTGACAGAGTATTTAAACAAGATCTTCCAAACTTGGTGTATCTCAACATGTCATACAATTCTTTTCTGGGTGCAGGAGTAGACAGCTTGATTCAACATCTCAGCTGCGCTCCTCACCTGGAGACACTGGCGCTTGACCGTGTGAAGATGACTCCACAGCAGGTGATGAATCTCTCATCAGCCATCAAGCAGAACGGAAACATCACTGATCTGGAGTCAGACTACCACGTAAGTTTTCCAGTTTTATCGCATTTTGTTTCTTTATTCTTTGTTTACAGTTTATCTCTACTTAACTCAGCTCTTGCCTTTCGCCATTTTCCTTTCTTTGTCATTTTTATTCTCGACAAAACACGAAATTTACTTTTGAAATCAAATCACAAACTTTAGCAGATTCAAAGTATCGTTTCAAATTCATTCCTTTCAATTGATTAAACTAAATTCAAAACAATGTTTTAACCGAAAACAAGTAAACTAATCTGAAGGTGTCTGCACTGTGCAAAATAATGGATCAGAGAGCAGATATGAAATTTCTCTTCGAGTCTGGTTCAACTCGATGTGAGCTCACTTATAACAAACACTGTGCAACATAACAGAACACAAAAATTCCACAATATTATAAATTTCTGAATCAATTTTAATTCACTACTTTTTATAAAATGATGAACAACAAGTATAAAGTCAAAATATGTTCAGTTCATGTTCAATTCAAACAAATAATTTGCGAAGTAAGAGAAAGAAAGGTTAACTTACAGTTTCACTTTTATCGCTAAGATTTCCTAAAATCAGTCAAACTCAAGAAAAGTTTGTTTGAGAGTCCAGAAAACGAAGAAGTCTTTTTAGAGCCTGGTGTCCTTTTCTTTGAGTGTTCTTGCGTGTCCTTTCATAAATGACCTCGATCGCTCAGTAGCGTAGCTTTTTTTAGATAACTTTCCACAAAACAGACAATTCCTCAGAGACACTTTTGTACAAATTTAACGCCATACATTTTTTTGTAGGTAAAAGCACTCCACTATGGTATTAACTGTCAAATTTTGTCGGCGACATGTTTTTTCAGCTTGACGACAAACACTATGGCGTTAGCAAATCCTGCGTCGCTTTGTGTCTTCAATTGATAAGTTCTTTTCCTGCTAGCCTCCACAAATCCTTTGAAAAATGCTGCAAATTCCGGAGTAAATAAGCCGAATCTTTCTCTCCCTCACGTTTTTACGTTGTTTTCTAATTCTTTTTTCAATTCCCGTCCATCTTGAGCATTTTTGCGTTGAATTTTTTCTTTGAAGAACAAACTCAACTAAAGTGAACAACAAACTACGAAATCAACAAACTGTCATTCAAAGTAGCGTGAGAGAAGGCTAGTGACGTGGACACAGCTGATTGGTTAAATTTAAGCACATGAAATATTTCTGTCAATCATGATATACCACGTGGTAGCATTTTCCCGCCTTTTGTTTGCGTGTAGCACCAGCATTCCCGCCTTCCCACATTTTTGCATTTTTCGTTCCGCACCTATGACCCTGCATTAGAAAAAGAAAACTACTTTCTGTTCAAAGTGAGTATTTCTAAAATACCTTTCGCCACCAAAAATTACTTTGTCTAACTGATTGCTCTTGTTTTTCTTGTTTCTAATTAAGGTGACTCGACCCAGTTTTTTTGGGGGGGTACCATCCTACTTTGAAGCTCTCTGGTATCCCCACCTTTACTTTTATCGTAAGTCTAACACATAGAATGGATAACATATAGATCAATCTACAATATAACATAAAATTTTTGGCGATCGGAGTGAATGTCACGTGGTTATAATGCCACGCCCCTTTGAGGTCTGAGTCGAAATTCGGCTGTTGCCAGCATTTTTTTGTGAAAATCTCTCGGCTACACATAGTGCGCATTAGTGCCTTGCGCTGAACAGAGTTTCACCAAAATCGCAAAGACCCAATTCGAGAAATTCAGCGGTTTCCAAATTTAGGTCATAATTTATGCGAAAATGATAAGCAAACTTTACACGGATTATATCTAATAAACCAAGAGATTCATCCCTTTATTTTGGGCATCGTTATAACAGATGGGTCCTTGCAAGTCAGCAAAACGCTTTAGGGCCTTGTAAATGCGCGCGATTTCGAGCAAAGCAAACATATAGAAATTATAGTTTTCGCTATTTGTTGACGTTTGTCAGCGTTTGAGAGTCCTTCTCACGAAAAAAGCATTTTCTTAAAAATTCGTAGTTTTTTTTCCTTCAAATTTTTTCAGGGCCACAATTGATTAACTAACTACCCGGACTCTGAATTTCATGGTCATTGAAAAACTGTGACATTATCTTCTATAAGCTCAAACTTGAGTAAACATTGAAGATTTTTAGCGTTTTGGCTGAGTTTGTGCTTTGGGAGTTGTCTATTGTTTCTAGTCTGTCATTATACAGCATTCTTGTTCAGCACGCGTGCAACGACCACGCTTGGCTGACTTCCGAATGCTCACCGAGATATTCTCGTCACGAGTTGGTTTAATTATTGGCTTGCATTAAACCTATGAAAAAATGATATTTTTGTAATAGTAAGTAGACTTAGTGTGTAGCACTTCTTGATTTTTTTGCAAAGACACAAGAAACACGAGAATTGATTAAAAATTGTTAGTTAAACCTCTATGTATCGCGCGATGGCCTGTCTCACTGTACCAAAATTATAATATCTCGGTGAGCATTCGGAAGTCAGCCAAGCGCGGTCATTGCACGCGTGCTGAACAAGAATGCTGTATCATGACAGACTAGAAACAATAGACAACTCCCAAGGCACAAACTCAGCCAAAACGCTAAAAATCTTCAATGTTTACTCAAGTTTGAGCTTATAGAAGATAAGGTCACATTTTTTCAATGACCATGAAATTCAGAGTCCGGGTAGTTAGTTAATCAATTGTGGCCCTGAAAAAATTTGAAGGAAAAAAAACTACGAATTTTTAAGAAAATGCTTTTTTCGTGAGATTGACTCTTAAACACCGACAAACGTCAACAAATAGCGAAAACTATAATTTCTATATGTTTGCTTTGCTCGAAATCGCGCGCATTTACAAGGCCCTAAAGCGTTTTGCTGACTTGCAAGGACCCATCTGTTATAAGGATGCCCAAAATACAGAGATGAATCTCATAGTCTATTAGATATAATCCGTGTAAAGTTTGCTTATCATTTTCGCATAAATTATGACCTAAATTTGGAAACCGCTGAATTTCTCGAATTGGGTCTTTGCGATTTTGGTGAAACTCTGTTCAGCGCAAGGCACTTATGCGCACTATGTGTAGCCGAGAGATTTTCACGAAAAAATGCTGGCAACAGCAGATTTTGGACTCAGACCTCAAAGGGGCGTGGCATTATAACCACGTGACATTCACTCCGATCGCCAAAAATTTTATGTTATATTGTAGATTGATCTATATGTTATCCATTCTATGTGTTATACTTACGATAAAAGTAAAGGTGGGGATACCAGAGAGCTTCAAAATAGGATGGTACCCCCTAAAAAAAACTGGGTTGAGTCACCTTAAATCATCATCGTTGCAAAAAAAAAAAAAAAAAAAAAAAAAATACCGTAAAATTCCGAAAATAAGCCCCGGGGCTTATATTTTTCAAAGGCCCTTTTTGAGGGGCTTATATACGGAGGGAAATTTGCGTTTCAAAATCGATTGGGCTAGTCTTATAGTTGGAAGTAAATTTTTTTAGTTTTTGCTCATTGTTTTACTTTGTATTTGAGGGCAATTTTCCAAGTACAAGCCCCCGGGGGCTTATATTTGGAGGGGCGATTTAACGGAGGGTTTTTTGCGTTACCGGTTTGGGGGGCTTATATTTGGAGGGGCTTATACATGGAGGGGCTTATTTTCGGAATTTTACGGTATTAGGTTTGGCAGAGAAAATTGAAGGTCAATCATTGATTATTAAAAACTGTCTGTCCCCTTTTTAAACTTTTGGGAGTCCACATGATCGTGTGTTTCAGACCTTTTTCCCTTCCATAATTGAAAAGAAACAACAACAGTTGGAGTTTGCACTGAGTGTAAAGCTAGCCAGGGCATTTATTCCACTTATGTACCGTTACCACCCTCCCCTCCCCCACCCATTTTGAACCCCCTCTCCAGTGATCTGAAGGAGTTTTTCATTCTATTATATTAGAGAAGTGACTCTTTTTTTTTTGTAATTTGCTTAAGTTTCCGCAGAGACCGCTTGACAATGAGATTTGACTGTATTAAGGCTTTGTTGCTGTACGTTCATTGCACCCGCGTAGTCTGAACTTGCTGATAATGGAGTTTTAATCTTTATATTGTTTCTCGTTTCCTCTGGTCGCCTGAAAACCTTGCATTTAATGTTTGTTTCATGTTTCAGGAGCTCAATGGCGATCCTAAGCCTGAACACAAGTGGCAATCAGAGGACTATTGGAAACGTTGCTTCGCTCGCCTCTTTCCTGATTCTTCATCTGAATTAGAGGACGATCTGGAGCAGGTGGGTCATAGAAATAAGGTCAAAAGAAGGCATAGTTTTGACATGAGTTTTGTTTTTGAAATTCATTTCAGTTCACTCCTTGTAGTGTAGTTTTAACCAATGCTTTGTATAAGATTTACTTAACAAAGGTTATTCTTCAACTTTCACTGATTGCAAGTGAAGGTCTGTTTCTCTGTTCCTTGATCATTGGACATGTGAATTGCAGTCAAAGTAATTATAACCGGCACTCTCGTTTTGCTCATCAGCGTAGCCGGTCGTCAGTCCCAACGTCTCTTCCGGCTTATTTTATTAGATTAAAAACTCCTTGTTTGGTTCAAATTTTCTTCATGAGGTGTACTACTGAGTTTTCAAGTCTTACTTTATGAATTTGAACGTTGTTTTTCTTGATATTGAAGATTTTATTCACATTCTATCAACGAGACACGAACTTAGATGTTGGGTTTACGTCACGTAGCGTGAGGCTTGCCTGAAAAATTAAATTGACTTAAAAGCGTGGCATTAATTCTTGTTACAATTGATCTGACTAGTCAGTATAAGATCACGAATTTGACCTGGTTTGGGACTGAGATTCTCTCTCTTTGTGGTCCGTTTTCACAACCGACAGAGCAGATTCTTTTTACTCGACCATCTTATCAGTTCATCACCTCTTGTTCTCTTCTGCTCTTCTATGACCTGTACAGATTCTGGCAGAGACTCACCCCAGTGTTCACGGCTCATCATTCTTGGCTCACGATCCCAACACCGTAGGAACATTCCCAGTGCCTCCCAATCCTGCTGGTAAGGTTTCAACTTCCCTATTTTTGATTAGCTTTTTGAACAGTTCGCAGCACCAATGCGGCGTTTTACACAAGTCCATTGCGTTCAAACGTCATTTAACTCTCATCTCATCTCATTCATTATTGAATGAACTCATCAGGAGCGGGAGTGTTACTTGTGGGATTCTAATTTCTACCTTTTACTTTCTACAGCCGGTGTAGTTTTAGCGGAAGCTCCGACTCCTGCCGAGCATGGATCCAGCCACGGTCAGACATCCTTCAGTGGATACCTTCCTCCTCATGTTGATCCCCAGCATCACTCCTCCCCTGATATCCACACCCGTCATCACAACATCCCGTCCGTCATCTTTACACCTGAAAGGTCCTGGGGATATCCCTACCTCAGTGGATCTGGTCTGTCTACAGTTACACAGGGCGGGTCCCATTTGGAATGTTTGTTCGTTAATAAGGTAATGGATCTGGATTCGGAGAGCCTTTCTTAAATGTTATAATATTAAACAGTGGTTAGGATTTGTCTTGACTGAGACGCCTGCTAGGTAAGAAAGTTGTTGATAAGTTGAACTTTAAGTCCTTCGCTGTTCTGCAAGATTTATTCTGGTGACGAAGGTTTTAAGGAGATTTGTCAGACAGTATTCATCTTCACTATCATTCCCCTTGTGATAACCTGGTACCAGGCTCCATGGTTGGGGAAAGGGGCGAATAGAACGGAGCAGAAAAAATCGACGAGGAAAGCAAGCTGAGCGGGGGACTGGGGAGAAAAAAACGTGGCTGAACGGGGCTGAAAATTTTTAAGGGAAGACATTAAAGCAAAACGCTACGGCGGACTCTACCACGGCAATCGGAAGTAATTTTGTGAAAATCATGGGTAAATCCTTCTACATCTGATGCAGTAGTCTAGCCTAGTATAATAGACACCCTGCACCCCTATTTTCTTAACACGGGAAACTAAGTTATGGGACGAAACTGCGAATGCTACGACACTAGGCATGTCGAGTAATTAGGGTTTGCGACGTCAACCGCCACCATGGAAGGTGGGAGGGAGGGGGTGGGGAGCTTCAAGGTCACTTCCACTGAAATCAGTTGAACTGGCCAGGAGACGGGAAAATGCAAAGAGAAGGCAGCTTTGCATCATGCCACTAGCGCGCAAACTCGACATGATGGTATTTAAAAGAGCTTCTTATTTCCCGCATTACAGGATAATTACTCACGTAACCCGTGTAGAACAGTTGAACAGTCTTCTTTGATCTTCAAAGTAAGTTTTTGTTATGAGAGGTGTTTTGACGTTGTCTTTTGTTTCGTGGCAGGATGATTTATCAGCTGAATCTGACGATGATGATGTGGAGGTCAGTTAGCGACTTCAGGCACAATTTGTTACTTTCATTGATTGTGTCCAGTTTGTCTTTTCTGTCTTTTAAGGTGGCTCGATATAGTTTTTCAAGGTCAATACCTCCCAAGTTTGAGCGTAAACTACGTCGCCATAAACAAAGATTTGGAAAAATTGACACCACAGTTGTATTAGATAAAGATGAAAATTTGTTATGATCAGGGTTGCAATGACATCGGAGTTGTCATAGCAACGAAATGACGCCATTACCTATTTTGCTTGCAGCATGATTTCTCAGCACTGGGAACTGTTCTTCCAAAATCGTTTACTGGAACTTTTTCCTACAACAGCCGCCTCGATGTTCGTGAAGTTTAAGCGAAATCTGTAAGAGCGTTATCGAGATATTTTGGGGACAAGTTTTTATGGTTAGAAATACGGTTAAAAATGGACAATCTTGATGTTCGACTGTTATCTGTACTAAACGAAGTGCTTTTGGCATGCAATTTCACCTCATAGTAGTTTCAATCTTTTTAAAAACGTGTGTGAAAGATCATTGAGATACCTTCAGCCGATTGCTAGAAAGAAGGATTTGATTAGTATGTATCAAGGCGCTCTTGTTAGCGGTAATGTAGACATTTCGGTCTACTTTAACAAATTAGCGAATAATTTTTAAATCGCTCGATAAATTTTTTAGAAAATTTAAGAATCTTGAGATTAACCGTCCTTTATATGACCTCTTAGTTTCAAGATTATTGATATATTGTAAGGCAGTAAAATAAGGGCTTGAATTCGCTAATATTTTGTCAGAAATTTTGTGTTTACAAGTGAGAGCCTCTCATTATTCAGGGTTATTGTCTCCAAGTTTCATATTTTCGTGCACAACAATACCTAGTATTTTTGCATATGTCAAATGCATTGTTAGTTACTGCTGTTCACGTGAAAATGAAACTTTGAGACAATACCGCCGAATAATAAGAGGCTCTCACTTGTAAACACAAAATTTCTGACAAAATGTTGGCGAATTCAAGCCCTTATTTCACTACCTTACAATATATCAATAACCTTGAAACTAAGAGGTCATATAAAAGGACGGTTTATCTCAAGACTCTTAAATTTAAAAAAAAAAATGATCGAGCGGTTTAAAAATTATTCGCTAATTTGTTAAAATAGATCGAAATGTTTACATTACCGCTAAAAAGAGCACCTTGATACATACTAATCAAATCCTTCTTTCTAGCAATCGGCTGAAGGTATCTCAATGATCTTTCACACACGTTTTTAAAAAGACTGAAAGTACCATGAGGTGAAATTGCATGTCCAAAGCGCTTCGTTTAGTACAGATAACAGTCGAACATCAAGATTGTCCATTTTTTACCGTATTTCTAACCATAAAAACTTGTTCCCAAAATATCTCGATAACGCTCTTACAGATTTCGCTTAAACTTCACGAACATCGAGGCGGCTGTTGTAGGAAAAAGTTCCAGTAAACGATTTTGGAAGAACAGTTCCCAGTGCCGAGAAATCATGCTGCAAGCAAAATAGGTAATGGCGTCATTTCGTTGCTATGACAACTCCGATGTCATTGCAACCCTGATCATAACAAATTTTCATCTTTATCTAATACAACTGTGGTGTCAATTTTTCCAAATCTTTGTTTATGGCGACGTAGTTTACGCTCAAACTTGGGAGGTATTGACCCTGAAATACTGTATCGAGCCACCTTTAAGTTATATTTTATAAACGGTCGGGAGTTTTGTTTATTAAGTTTATAACACAATGCGCAGCTGAGATATTTTGAGACTCGACCATCTTGTCAGTTGTGCTTCATCACCTCTTGTTCTCTTCTATCACCTGCACAGATTCTGGAAGAGACTCACCCCAGTGTTCACGGCTCATCATTCTTGGCTCACGATCCCGACACCGTAGGAACATTCTCAGTGCCTCCCGATTCTGCTGGTAAGGTTTCGACTTCCTTGTTTTTGATTGGGTTTTTTGAAGAGTTCGCAGCACCAATACCACGTTTTACACGAGTCCATTGCGGTCAACGTCATTTTACCGAAAGTGATTTCACTCATGATTGAATGAACTCATCAGGAGCGGGAGTGTTACTTGTAGGATTCTAATTTCTACCCTTTTCTCTCTACAGCCGGTTTGGTTTTAGCGGGAGCTCTTACTCCTGCAGTGCATGGATCCAGCCAGGGTCTGGCATCCTTCAGTGGGTACCTCCCTCCTCATGTTGGTCCACAGCATCATTCCTCCCCTGATATCCACACCCATCATCACAACACCCCGTCCACCATCTTTACACCTGGAGGGTCCTGGAGATATCCCTACCTCAGTGGATCTGTTCTGTCTACAGTTACACAGGGCGAGTCCCATTTGGAATGTTTGTCCGTTAACGAGATAATGGATCTGGACTCAGAGAGCTTTTCTTAAATATTATAATTAAACAGTGGTTAGGATTTGTTTTTACTCAGACGCCTGCTAGGTAAGGAAGTTGTTGATAAGAGTTATATTCTCATGACCAACGTTTTCAGGAAACTTGTCAGACAGTATTCATCTTCATTAAGGACGCCTTTGAATCCTCATTGCCCTAGTGATAACCTGGTACCAGGCTCCATGGTTGGGTAAAGGGGCGAATAGAACGGAGCACAAAAAATCGACGAGGAAAGGAAGCCGAGCGGGGAGCGGGGAAGACGAAAAAAGGGCAGCTGAACGGGGCTGAAAATTTTTAAGGGACGACATTAAAGCAAAACGCTAGGACGGACTCTACCATAACGACCAGAAGTAATTTTGTGAAGATCATGGGCAAATCTTTGTAGATCTGAAGCAGTACATGTAGTCTGGCATAGTATAATAGACGAACTGCATACCTATTTTCCTATCACGAGAAACTAAGTTATGGGAACAAACTGCGAATGCTAGGACAATAGGCATGCCGAGTAATGAGGGTATGCGATGTCAACACGACACTAGGGGAGGTGGGAGAGGCGAAACTTCAAAGGCACTTCACTGAAATCAGTTGAACTGGCCAGGAGGCGGGCAAATTCAAATCGATGGTCACGATGCATCATGCCACTATCGCGCAAACTCGACATGACGGAATTTAAAGGAGTTTCTTATTTCCTGCGTTACGGGATAATTATCTATGCAGTGACAATAGTTAAATTTTGACCACTCACTTAACTCGTGTAGAACAGTCGTTGTAATATAGGGACAAAAAAAACGCTGAAAAAGCCGATCACAAAAGAGGAGTCACGGGCGAACGGAAAGTGCTCCATACTCAGTCTCGGCCTTGGCGCTCGACCCTTTGTCTTCTTCCTTAGCGCTCGGCTAAATAGGGAGCTATTAGGGAGCTTGAGCAATTAGGGACCTTAAGATCCGATGACGACGACGGCAACGGGAACGCCACAAAAGCAATAGGTTTAATTAGCAAAACAACAATTTTGCACGTGCATCACGCTTTTTTATACATCATTTCTTTGCCGTCACTGCACGACTACGACGTGAAAATGCCAAATTTCATGTTGTACAGAGGACGTACACAAGCGACGACGAAATTTCCTCTCTCTTTCTGCACTTGGTTATGGTTCTTAGGAATTCAACTTTAGGATGGTTCGCCTACATTTGAAAAAGTTAGTGACTTGGAGTAATCGCGATGAATATTGAAAGAACACGAATTCACTTTTTCAGCGACGTTTTCTCTGCCGTCGCCGTCCTCGGATCTTAAGGTCCCTACTACGACGACGAAACGCGCGCGACGACCACGACAACGTCAAAAAACAATTGGTTTTATGAGCAAAACCAAGGTCCACTGCCTGACTGCGACGTGAAACCTCCCAATGCGACGTTTTGCGGAGGACGTGGACGTACGACGAAAAAAGTCGCCTACATTTGACGAATTGAGCGGTTCCAAATAGACGCGATAAAGTTTGAAACGACGCAAATTCATTTTTTTAGTGATGTTTTGACTGCCGTCATCGTCGTTGTCGTTTAAGCTCCCTATTAAAAAGCAATGACGACAGCGACGTCAAGAGAACGGCAATAAAAACAACCACTTTGCGCATGCATCACGCTTTTTTGTTCATTTTACATTTGAAGAAACAGTTATTGCTTGACAATCGTATGAGTTTATCAGCTTGTTTTCTTTCTTTTCTTCTCTTACGCCCACAGACTGCGACGGCGTTGCAAAGGAACGCTCGCCCCAGTGCTTACGATGAACCGCTTCCTGTTTACGGTCAAGAAACCGTAAGACCAGTTCCATTGCCTCACTATCGTGCTGGTAAGGTTTCCTTTTTTTGTCCACCCCTGTGAAAACTACGTCAAAATTCTACAATTCGATAAACGCCCTGACAGCTTTGGGCACTAATGTGACAATGTTTAAGGACTTCCGACGCTTGAAGTTCTTATTATCCCTGTCCAAAACTAGACAAATCCCAGTTGCCGTTTTTTGCCTTCAAGGTTTTTTTTACTGCCGAATTTTTGCGTTTTTATGGACCCAGACGAGAGAGGAAGGATTTATTTCATGATCGAAAGAGAATTTTTCTTGCGGGACAACCGATGGAAATCACGAGCGGAAAAGATGTGGCCATCTTGCCCGCTCGCGAATTCAGCCATGTTACAGAAAGCCTTATAAAAATAGAAAGCGGGGTAAATTAGCACCTTTTATCTCGTCTGTAATCATTACTTTTCCAATTGCTCATTTCTCCATGTCTTGTTTTGTATGTAATATTGCTTCTCGAAAAGAGGGTTTGTAACATTGAGAAAGGAGGAAATCTACTTTATGACTGTAAATATCTTTAATCAGTGGCTTTCACTGTACCATCATGTTAATGTGGAATTCTAATTCCCACTATTGTCCCCTTTAGCGGAGGTTCCCATTTCTGTGGCGCATGGATTCAGTCACGACACGGCGCTGTTCGATGTAACCTGCCCTCAACCTGTTTATCCACAGCATTACTCCTCCCCTTATAGCAGCACCCACCATCACAGCGGCCCATCCGCCATCTTTACCCCTGAAAGGTCCTTGGGTAGCGATCCGCATCCTCGTAGTTCTGGTATGTCTACTGTCACACATCCGTCCGAAATGCAGGAATTTTGTTCCCCTCATGGAACGCTGGGAAGGCCAATGCATGGATTACAACCACAAACTACAATTCCATCGGCGTCTAATTTTAGATGTTTGAGTGTGTCTACAATCACTCACCCACCAAGAATCCAAGAAACGCCAAGTCCAGCACTCCATGGATTGCGACACCAAAGTACAATTCCAGACATTCCGAATCTTGGTGGTTATGGTTTATCAACCTACACCCTCCAGCCACAAACCCCAGAATTACGCGCCTCATATGGAACGCCTAGTCTGTCACTGCGTGAATTGCAACCGCACCATACATTTCCAGACGCTTCTTATCTTAGTGGTTGTGGCCTGTCTACAGTCACCCACCTACCAGGTATCTCCGGACGTTCTTCCCCGTTTGGAACAATAAGACCGCCACAGTATGAACTGCAACCGCAAAGTGCAATTCCAGGCGATCCGCATCGTAGTGATCCTGCTACGTCTTCAGTCACACACCCGTCAGTAATCCCATTTCCCTCGGATGGAACCCTAAGACCCCCACAGCATGGAACGCATTCACAAAACGTAATTCCAGGCGTTCCTTATCGTAGTGGTCCCGTTACATCTTCAGTCACACACTGGCCAGTAAATCCCGGACGTGTTTCCCCGTATGGAACGCTGAGATCACATCCGCCTAGTTCCCAAAGTAGAATGTCATTTATGAGGGGGCACAAGCAAAATGCGGACGATGAAACTGATAGGCCTTAAGCAACATTCCTAAACTGTACCCTTTTGGACAGTGTAATATTGTATAAATTTTCAACGCTACGCCGCAGTACAATAGATTTGTAGTGTGGTTATCATTGTAAATAAATTTAAACTGTAAGACCCGAAGAAATGTGTAATTCTGCTGTGCAACGTGGCAGCAAAGAAGCTCAATCATTTGGCGTGGATGAATCAACAATAGAATATCTAGCTAAAATGATGACGGCGATCTCCCCGAGTTTTTCTGAGGGGAGGGGCGTCTGTACACGGGCTACGTCCCTTGTGGCGCGGGGGGAGGAGAATCAACCATACGACATTGTACATAAATTCATTACAACCTGTATATAAATTCTCTTTTCCACTGTATTTTAAATATCTGGTGTACATTATTTGTGAAAATAATTAAGTACAGTCAACTCTCTCTAAGACGGACACCTTTGGGACCGGCACTAAGTGTCCATCTTAGAGAGGTGTCCGTCTTATAGAGAGTCGAATAAAAGGAGTAAAGAAAGGCAGGGACCAACTCTAAGTGTCCGTTTTACGGAGGTGTCCGTCTTATAGGGGTGTCTGTTAAAAGAGAGTCGACTGTAAACGTTTTGGACACACAAAAAGAAACTCTAATTTTCCTGTGTTATTTGTACCGTTTTTTTTTTCTAACTGTTTTCAACGCTAATAGGATCATTTCCTTGAGGTGGGCGGAATTGAAGGAGAATTGGCCGCATTTTAGGCTATCGAAAAACTCCGCTTTTTGAAAATAATGCTCTCTTAATTACAAATACGCTTTACCTTTCCAGACAAAATAGGAGATTTTGGAAAACAATGACATTATGTTCCCACACAGGATAAGAATGCCTTGCTTCCGCCTTGAGCTACTTAGCCTTTTGTTAACATTTACAAAACTTGTCGTAAGTTAAACTGGTCATTTTTTTCTTTTGGGATAATTATATCATCTTACTTAATGCGATGAGCAAGGCTATTACTTCCGGTCTTGAACATCGCCAGAGTTAAATGAATGAACCAAGGGCTGAACAGTGGTTAACACAGCATCTCATTGAGGAGGGGTATTTTTTATGTGCATTGTTTTGCACTATAAGGGAGGTGCAATATTAAAGATTTAGATCAAGGTTTTACAGAGTTAACAGTCATACAAAAATAACAGAAACTGTCTGTTAAAGCAGCACAACAGTGAAGAAACTTATTACTTAAACACTTGCAGTATATATTACAGAAGTTTCACCATCCCTATGTGAAAAATCTACGACTATGTGGCTGACTTTTTGTTGAAATTATTTTGTGTGGTATTATTTTCCTTTGTATCTTTGTCTATCACTATAATCTCACATATGTTCACAAGACCCAGATTTGAGGGGATATAAAATTTGAACCAAAACATTCGTATCCAAGTGTCTGTCCATTATGATTCAAAACCAGTGGTGTTATTAGTTTTACGTGTTAACCAACTTGAAACTAAGACAAATCTAAACTTCTTCCATGGTCAGTTCTTCTGTTATTTCAGGAGCGTCGGAGGTGCTTAAGAGTGACGCGTGGAGGCCAATAATAAAGAATGATACACCTGATAAAAAAATAAATGACCTGTCAACCTTTACCATTAGAGGGCATATAATTTATAAAACACAGTTATAACCGTAAACTAAATTCAATGTGTGGCCATTCAAATAAAAGCTACTGAGTAGTACTTTCCTGCGGTACTGTTTATTACACTGTACAGGGCGATTCTAACTTTTGAGTCTGAGAATGGCAAGAACGAATGAAAACTCTTCTGCAGTCCTTGAGCCATGCCCTTGGGGTAGGTCAAGTGATGGCTCAAACTTTAAAGAAGTTAAGAATTCGCCACTTCCAAGTTCCAAAAATCCTCACTTTCAAAATGAAGCCAAGTGCACAATCTTTCTTGCAAAGAGATTTATCTACGTGAGGTTGAAAAATCATTTCCATATCAAATGCTAAGTACTTAACCTTGTTTTAATACAGCGGCCTGGCCTGGGGGAACTTGGAGCCTAGTACCACATACTATAACTGCCTTTAGTTTAGACATAAAATTTTACTAAAGAGAGAAATATGAAAACTTACAACATTCTAACTCACCTATAATCCAAAACACTGTTGATCCTGCAGAGGCCAAAATAAAGAGAGGAAGGCTGATCAAAATTACAAGACCATACTGCTCCACTCGGCTCAATTCACGACCTGTTGGCCCAGAAATGAAATTACACCAACTACAAAACTTTCATTAAATTATTATATTTCACATTTCAAAACATGTGTTACTACCTCCCATCACCCTGACCTCAAGGTATCCCCACTCCAGGTCTGGAACACAACCGATCCAGCCAAACCGCCCTCCAAATTTTACACCTGAACTTTAACCAAATTTTAGGAATTTTAGAGAAGGAGTTACAGTTAATTTTTTAGCCTAAGGTTTACAGAAAAGATCAAACAGAGATACTTTTTACTCAGCGAGGGTTGCTGATCGACCCATACAGAAGAGCAGGAATTTTCTTGTATTATCCAGAAGATTGCAAGGTAATTTAGGCGAGTTGCTAAGATTATAGAAACTATACAATACTTAAATACTAAGAAAAACTAAGTTAAATTGCGAAAGGGACGATAAACTTGCAAGGTCGAGCTCCTTGAGTCCACGTTTAAAACTGCGGTAACTATCAATATTTCTTAAATTATTTGGAATAGTGTTCCATTGTCGGCCAGCTTGGTATCTCCATGACTTGATCCCATACTTTGCTAAATTTACTGTAGGTAACTTCAAAATAGCAGCACCACGTAAATTATAATTGGACTCGTGCTGTCAATAACTCGGAAATATTTGTAGGTATGTTTCCATTCCCAATTGCAAGTCTTTGATTTGCTAATGCGCTATATCCATTTTTAACAACTAGTGTCTCATAAGTAGAGATTTTGTCCTGATAAACGAAGCGGAGTGCCCGCTCGTTCAGTATTAGGATAGCCCTTATCATATCTGGTAGAGATTTACTAGTAGGAGGTAAAATTACTAGGTGGCACGTAAATTTACTTCCAAAGTTGGGAAATTACGGATACAATAGCAATCCTTGTTTATGGTGCAGTTGGGGCTAGTTTCCAATGTATCGCCCTTCTTGTATGGCTAGTAAAAATAATTTTCCTTAAGCATATCTCGTGGAGCAAAAGGAGGGAGGGGTACGAGAGAGAGTTGTTTCTCTCCTTTCGCTCTCTCCCCTTCCCGTTTAACTTCTCTCTTTTTCTTTCCCCAGAAACGCCTGATACTCAGGCTAGAGCGTCAATCACAAAAAAGATCAGGAGAGGAGAAGGGGACACAATATCTGCTACTATTCCCCCAGCCCGCCCCCACTAAAGAGGCTCAAAATAGATGGGCTAATACGGCCTACGTGCTTTATCCAAAGTATGAATGGGACGTAATGGTTAGGGAAAAACCGCATTTTGGACCAAATACTCCTTTATGAACCGTTCTTTACCCAGTTAGCATGGGAATGGCTAAAAAAGAGATCTAAAACACGAAGGACATAATTTTCTACTTATTGGACCTAATTAAGAATTTTAAGCAGCTTTTTTGTTTTTCGCAAATGCGCTTAAGTCAGTTTTTCGAACCTATTTCAATTTTTTTCTCGATCTCTTCTTTTTTCATTTGCCTTTCTTTTTATAGCCAGTTTTGTTCCCCTTTTTATCGTCTTTCTTTCTCGCGATGTTTTGGCTGCCTTTCTTTCCAACAAAGAGAGAAATTTAATCTGTAAAGGGTAGTCGGGTAAATAGCAAAATTGGCTCTGGATTTTTTCCCCTGATCCAGGTCTACTAAAGATCCGGCGGACCCTCGCTGGTTTGTCGTTGTGGTTTTGCCTCCACAAGTATTTTTCCCCAAATGTTGCTTGTTTTTTTGTCTGTAACTCTGTCAGGATTTTTCAAAATGTGCTAAATGAGGTATCAGGGGAAAGCTCTATGGTTGCTGATTTTGCTTATTACCACCTCAATAACTTAAGTGGAAAGCTTAATTGGTCCAGGAGAAATAGTATGCAAAGGTCCATATCATGGACTAAAACGACTAAAGCGGACGACAAAGAGAATAACAACCTGAAACTAGTTGACCTATAATTATAGTCGCCGAAACAATAGATGATTTGTTGCATGACCAAGCCATTGTATGGCTATGTTTATGGGGGTTTGTGAAAAGAGAATCTGGCGCCCCCACCGGATACTCATAAACTGGTAGAGTAGAGGGTAAATGTTCCTGTTTTTCCGAGAAAGATTCGATATAACTTTCTGTTCAAAGTCCAATTTCTCCCGCTTTACCTAGCTTATACTAAAAGGTTTGTAACATAAAAGAATTCTTTCCACATCAAAACAGATGCCTTGTTGCCAATACAATGCTCTTTTGTTCCTTTGAAGCAAGATATCGCGTGATCAATGGCCTTTTCAAGTGCCTCATTCCCAGACGTTTGCGTCATTGATCATTAAGTAACCGGCGTCCACTCGATCGCCCCACATCTTCTGAAGCAAACATCTACTTAACAGCTCTCAAAAACAGGTTTGTTTCTTTGGATTTGACACATTTACAAATAACTATGCGGTGTGTAGCAGTCTTTGCAACGAAAGTCAATTTTGTGTGTGTGTAAGCTGTCTACATATCCTTTCCATACTCAGTGATCATGCATGCATTGCAAGATCATTTATGTGCATGCCGCTTGGTACAAGTGACGTTTTATAGTATAACTTTCACCCAGCATGAGCAGAAATGATCCGACGGAAAAAGCGAGTTTGATCACTGCGATGAAAGAAAATGTCAGATAATCCACATCAAATTTCGCTTCAATATCTCCCTTGTTCGGCGTGTTTAACTTGCTGTGTATCGGGGAAGGGAAATAGGCCTCCGATATGTATGATTAGTATTAGCAAGAGATAATGAGCATTCTCTCTTGGTATTAGTACTTGATCTTCAGTTTCCTCAATTTTCGATTTATTAGATCATATGCACTTTCTATCGATAACATAATCCGATTTTTAACGACTTTTTATGTGCACATAAAAGACTTAATTAAGATGAAATATTTCGTCCATAAATAGCCATGTAACAATGGACCTTTCAAGGGTTATAGACGTTAAAGCATGAACCGGGTATGCATGAAAAATTAGCAGACGGTGATCAGTCACCTCAAACCATTTTTGTCCCCAGCCTCTACAATGTAGTGGAGTGAACCCATTGCAGCATTACTGATTAGACTTAAATACATAGAACTGCTCTGATTCTTAATTTTGTTTGGCTAACATCGCGTGACTTAACAGAAAAGTTCACACGGATTCGCGTGAACTATCCGATGGTATTGACTCCACCCACTATACAATGGTTTAGTTCTGGGCCGATGCCTTCAATCAGATTTTCTCTCTCCGTGTCTGGACGTATTTTACACTTAACTTCAAGTTGTAAAGGAATTTTCTACAGGAAAAATGAGTAGTAAAAAATGAGTAGTAAATAAACCAGTTTAGAACTGATCAACTTAATCGGCGAACGCGAGATTTTAATTTCACGACATCACGTGATATTATGTCTCTCAAAATAAGTAAACTGCGTTTATGTGGAATGTGATGACAGATGAAAATGAAGCAGAACGGACAAGTCTATGATGTAAAGTGGCGTAATTCTGTGTAAATTCCAATAGTGTATTTCCTTGTCCCAAGGGTCGTAATTAATTTTGTAAATCAACATGATTCTGTTAACAATCATGATCAATAACTGAATTACGACACAGGAAGTATCGGGTAACTTCAGGACCTTAAAAAGTAAAGTCATCCGTTCTATTTTTAGTCAGACTCAGCCTCCAAGCCTTGGTAAAGTTAGTTGGTTCATATTACCTAGGATTTCTCATATCCATTTAGTTCTACAAGGTCGGCAGAGTTCCTGAAGCTCGACTGTACACGTAGAAGACTTGCAAGTTGATATATATCGCCAATGAATACGAAAATCGATAATTAAACGGGGCATGAAAGTAAGCGGATAACACCGAGTAACCTATCTTTAATGATCAGCCAAATCGCAACGCAATCCAAGGCGATTGTTCTCTCTTTCACATCTGTGCTTTCTCTTCCACTTTCAGTGCCTTCACGAATTTACAGTTTATTTCAAGCTGGAAAGGAATTTATCAAAAAAGAGAAACCTCATCATTGAACTCGTGAAGGTATGGGATCATATCGCTATGCATGTCAACGATAGCGTCGTGTCTATTTCTGGTTTTCTTTTGAAGAAACACGTTCTTAATGTCTTGTCTTTCAATAAATGTAAACCGGTTTTGAAATGAAATACAGCAAAAACACCTGACAAAGTAACCAACTGATGTAGTTATAGTTCACGTGATCATTGTTGTATACGTATTCCATCAATGTTATATAAAGAATCTTCTTAAAGTCTATACTGAAATGGAAAATTTCTTTTAGTCATAATCAATGACTGCTTCTTTCATAGGAAATAATCGCGCGTTACTTGCTTGGCTCCCAGCAAAGACCTCTGAGATTCGTTTTCTCTTCCGATTTTACCCAAGAGTTAACCAAATCACTTCTTAAGGTTTGTTTTAGATTTTCGTCTACTTATTTTCATAAATTTGTTTCATATCCTTTACAATGGCACAGTACATACCCATTTAAGGTTTGGCCGAAAAAGGATGTGTCTACCCGGAAATATCTTTCGACAATGATCTTTTGTTCTTTTGACGTCAGCAGTAGCTTATTAATTCCCAGTTGACGTCAATCAACCGAAAACTCCTTCATATGTTCTGAGACAAGCAGCTTACTTCCCTGCCGCTCCCGAAAACAGGTTTGTCTGTAGCATGATATCTCTGTTTTGGATTTAAAGGCGTTAAGAACAAATCGATATTAACTTTTCGGACAATATTGTATCTGTTAAGGCAAATTCCTTCCAAACTCAATGATCTCGACCGTTAGTGGTGCTCGCATCGTCTGATCATCTTCAAAATACTTGGCTTTGGTAGAATTGATAGTCCTCATCCAAGTCATCAAAATATCAGTGTGTTTGTTCGTTTATTGAGTGCAGGTTCAGGTTGTTTGCGAGGGCTTCAATATCTCCCTTGTCTGGAGTTTTAACTCACTTTTCAAGTCACAGGGAGGGGAAATCAGCCCAACAAAGCCGCTGCTATTTAGTGTTAGTACTTGATCTCGGACCATTTCCTCAAGTCATGTTCTTTCTATCGATAACATAGTCAGACCTTTTACGACTTTTTATCTGCACTTCTAAGACTTGAATAAAGTCAAATATTTCGCCCATAAATAGACCTGTAACAATGGACCCTTCAAAAGCTGTGAAAGTGAAAGCATGAACAGTATGTACTTAAAATGTTAACATTAGACGGTGATGCCGCTTTTGGCCGCTTGAGCTTAGCGTCTACAATGTAGGCAGTGGAGTGAACCCAGCATTACTGAATAGACATAGATAGCATAGAACTGCTGTGATTCTTAATTCTGTTTCGCTAAAATCGCGTGACTTCGGGAGAAGAGTTCACAAGATTCGTGTAATACTGCTATTCATGTCTTATCGACAAGCAGCACTAACTCTGTGTCTTTCAATAAATGTAAACTGGTTTTCACTTTTGAAATGAAATAGAGCAAAAACAACATATAGCCAAACGAACTGATGTAGTTATATTAAATTCGCGTGATCATGGTTAGGTTATTGATAGTCTATTGTCGTATTGAAGAGTCTTCTTGAAGTATAGAAATCAACCTAAACCCCTTCTACAAAGAAATGCAAAATTTCTTTTATTCATTATGATTAATAACTGCTTCTTTCAAAGGAAAGAATCCTGTTACTTGGCTCCAAGCAAAATCACCTCTGAGCTTCGTTTTCTCTTCCGCCTTTATCCAACGGTTAACCAAATCACTTCTTGAGGTTTGTTTTGGATTTATTTACTTACATTTTAATAAATTTAGAGCTCACTTGCTTCAGGGCAGCTTTTATTTTGAGTTGTACTTTGCCCCCTTTTTGCTAGATTGTAAATTTTTACAAAAAGTAGGAAGTCTCAGCGGAGGCGATTAACACTTCCTTCAGTATGCATTTGCACAATTTCCCAAATAACCTGTTTTGTATCAGAAAGTCAATTTGTTTGCTTTGGATTCAGGAAACCCGTTTTGAATTAATTTTTCCATCGCAGATCGGGATACAATTGTGTGATCGTGACTATTGACTTTTCTAAAGAGAGAGCCTTTTTGAAATTCCCCACATAAAACTTAAATAATCCCTCCACTCAGTTGAAATATTTTGCAGGTCGACAACCGAGCGGGCACTGGGACCATTCGATGCAGAAGTGCGGCAGTTTTCTTTCACTTGGGTTTTGAAGGTAAATCGAACCGTAGTGTTCAATTACGTTCTAAAGAAAACTAAAACGAGAGATGTTCAGTTCCATGGTAAACATGTGCAGATTGCCTAGCAAATAATTGTAGCTGATTAATGAACTGTGTTCTTGCTTCCAGATCTACTTTTTGTGCATGTGATAGTGAATAAGTCACATCCGTGTCGGCTGTGAAAAATATTGTGAAAAGGTAACTTATTACTTAAAGCTTTAGTTCATGTTTGGTAACATCATATGATTTTTAAATATATTTGCTAAGAGAATTCGCTCTTTTACTAATATAAAGCATCATGTAGGACTTCTACACATTTTATACACATTGTCTCTCCTTTGGGAACTAAACTCTATTTTCATGTAAATTCTTGGAGAAAAAATTATATTGTTTTGACCTTCAACATAATCACCTTCTCCCGTGGTTGCAAACCAAGAATTACTTCATATTTAATTGTTGGTTCAATTTGACCTGATACTATGCCACAGCGGGCATATCCCCGGGATTTGCAGTTTTGTTTGTTCTTGGTGGTCTACTCACCACCCCCGGGCATGCAGAAAGAGACAATTCCCCATCCCAGAGCTCCTGATCAACCTTATATATGTGTTTTGGGGGTACATCTTTTCAAGAGCAAAATTGATTTCCATCAATTTTTCAAAATTGATGTGTTGAGTTTGATTCTTATCCCAGGGGCCCCACTCGCATATTTTAGTGACGGGGAGGTCCGAAGGATTTTTTTGGGTCTGACATTCTGGCCAAAAGGGATTTTTTTGGGGTCTATGAAAGACGCCGCGATTTTTTTGGGTCGCGAAAACAACACAGGGATTTTTTTGGGCATTTTTTTTCATCAGCTCAAACCAACAATAGCATAAGCGCAATTTATAGTTTTGTTTTTGACCAAAACCAAAGTTGAAGTTGGCATGTTTTAGCTTTCCAGAAGATAAATAATAAAATTTGCTGATGCAAAAACACTGAGGGTTTTTTTTGGGTATGCTAAAAAAAAAGTAGGGATTTTTTTGGGTAGACAAATCCTGAAGTTGGGATTTTTTTGGGTATAAAATATGAACCTCTGTCGGACCCTCCCGTCATTAAAATATGTGAGTGGGGCCCCTGGGATTCTTATCAAGCTAGCTCTATCTTATTTGTTACTGGTTTGTGCATAATAACCCCACAGCCATCTCCATGTCAAAAATATTAGGAAATAATTGTTATTGAAATACGTGACATCCATTATATACTGCAATAATTGATGACCTGTGGTTATTTGGTGGCTTTTTTAATCTGGCTGCAGATAATCTGAGGTCAGACTATCATGTTCAACCCTTTTGAGTCTTCTAACAGTGTAAAAGATTAAGAGAGTTTTATTGTTTAATGTTTTATTATTTGTTTATTTTACAGTGTAATCCCTATTTTTCAAAACTTGTGGGCACAAGGAAGTTGGTTAACATTTTACCGGGTGGTTCAAAACATGAGGTATGTAAACCTACATTTGTTACTGACAATTATCAAGAGGTTCAAAAACTATGGGTTTGGGAAATAGGCCTCTTGTTACCATGCTTCCTTTAAACAAGGAGTTGAAGTCTTGCTAATGCCAAAAATTGACAAAGCACATAAAATTTATCTTACACCTGATTAAGGGAGATATATTTGTGGCACTTTTCAACAAAGTAGTATGAATTGTATCGACCACCATGTTGGAATTGAAGCGAAACTACTTTTTTCTTGCATCTTGGTAGGCATTTGAGAGTTACCCTTAGATATGCTGTTAACATTAACCACATCATCTTTTCAACATTTTCCTTGAAGTTTAACAGGACTCGATATAACGGCTGGTCAACAAACAATGTCCAGACTGATTGCATTAGGGGAGTTGACCGGTCAACCTTTCGTTTTGCCAGTCATTTTGACCTGTCACATTCAGTCATATTGAAATTGAAATAAATTAAAATTTCCTTGCTGTTCAGTTATTTCAGTAGCCTCCCATGCAAGAATTTTTAGGGGAGCTTGTCTTTCATCCCTCCCCACAAATGCCTGCTCCACTGAGAACAACATTCCTTTGCCAAGCTTAGCCAATTATCACATTGTACTTTCCAAATTCTGGAAAGTTGACCTTGACCACAGGGTAATCCGATAATTTATTTTCATTGACAATGAGGGCTTTAATGTGCTATAAGCTCTAAGCAACAACTCTTTTGGAAATATATATATATATATATATATGTTGTAGATAATTTTTTGGTTCATGCGCCCCTGTTTTAAAAGTTATTTATCTTATAAATTTGACCGGCCAGAAAGGATATGTGACTGAGCAAAAATAAATTTGGCCTGTCATTGTGTCTGGAGACTCTCCGGAAATTATTTCAAGCTCTGTTTAAGTGCAAAATTTGTCTTTAGAAAGAGGTAATTCATAATTTTAAAATCACAATTTTTGGTCATGTGAATAGCTGCAGGTTTTCCAACTGAATCACTATTATTTTCTTCATCCTTTTTATTCCATAAACTGATGGTAAGAAATGTTAATGTGGGATGAGAAAGAAGAGATGGAGCTGTCTTACAATTCTGCTAATAAATAAGCAGATGTTGATATTGATGGCGTCGTAACAGAGTTTGCCCATCAGAAGGGTAGGGAGGTCTCGCCCTTTGCTTCACTAACCTCCTTGATGGCGTCACTGTTTTACCCTTTTTTTCCAGATAAAAACTGTACCTTACCGATAGCCTTAAGAGATCGGTAAAATAAGCACCTTAACTACTGCATTCTCCTTCATATTATTTCATTTAATGAAAATGCGAAAAAAGCAAGAAATGGAATTTTTGAGACCCTAATTTCAAAAATTTTCTGGAGGATTAGTTCTAATAATTTTTTTTTTCTGGTGCATATACATTCAAAGTCTTATAAATGCTATGCCCGTGAATATTATGATTATAAAATTACTGTTTATATCTGAAGAGAGAAGTCATTAATGGTCTTTTTGATTTTAGTGTTTCAGCTGCAAAGCTTTCCAGCTGCCACTTACTAGTTACATGTATGTTGGGTACCATGCATTACTATGATCCCTAATTTTTTTTTTTATGTGAGCCTGCAAACAGGTTCCCAAGTGGAGGGGGGTGAAAGAAACAAAGTTTATGGTGTCCCCCATCTTTTTCTCCTCAAGGCCACACTCAGCATCGATTTTCTTTTCTGCTCTGCTCTAGTTGGGACCCATTTTCAGTGTTTTCCTTATCAGGCAGTAACTGGTAAAATTTACCACCTGAAGCAACACTTCTTACTGCCTGCAACTGCTTGAAGGTTTATTAAAAATATTTTAAAAAAAGAAAGTTGTGATCTGATCGGATTCTCACAAAGAAAATGAATAAATATATATGGAAAAGTACTAAAGTATACACAGCTTTTCTTTTTATGGGCCATGCATTTTGGAAAGAGAACATTGAAGACAGAGTAAAAGTATTGGAATCAAACATTTTAAATTGGTGCCTAAAGATAACAATGGCTGATTTGTGTAAAGTAGGTCTTAAAGTGAGGGAATGACGTTTCAGAGAACTTAGCTCCTAAATTTCCCCGTGAGGGTAGGGCATTGTCCCTCAATCCATTCCCAACCCCCCCCCCCTTTCAGGAAAGTGTGCCTCTGATGAATATTTTTTTCCTTACTGGCCATGAATGGTCCCTTACCTGCTGAGCTAAAATTCAGGGAGAACACTGTGTTTGCAGGTTGTTTTTATTTTTTTTAAATGAGTGGAAGTAATAAAGTAATAGATTTGTTCAGACATAAAACTTGTTCAAGTGTGTATCACTCTGTGACCTTATTTATTGACATTTTAAGGCAATACACATCTAACTGAGACAAAATGGCACAACATCAAGGGCGTAAACGGAAAGGAGATACTGCTCATGATCAGCCAGCAAAAGATGATGTTCCAACTCTCAGTATTAAACTGCCAGAGAAAAGGGACCTTCCTAACACATCAAAACCTTGGAGTGATGTTCAACTCCCAGTTGACATTCTTTTGATGACGGTGGAGGACTGTGAGTTCCTGGCCTGTTATGCATACTTGAAAAATTCCTTTAAAAGCTTCCACAAGAAACTTGGATTTGTGTACTTCGGAACCATGGGTGAAAGTGGAGATGTGCCCCTAAAAGTTGCTTTGATGACATGTTCCGAAGGTTCTTCTGCTCCAGGTGGCTCTCTGGTCACTGTTAAGAATGCTGTGGTGGAACTGAGACCCAAAGCTGTTTTCTCTGTTGGCTGCTTGGAGGGGTTAAACCCAGAAGTCACCAAGTTACATCTAGGTGATGTGGTGGTATCCTCTAAGCTTTTAACAGATGCATTCAAAACCCCGGTGGGAAGAGATATCTTGCATCTTGTCAAGCATGCAGATCATGGCTGGATTCCTCCATTAAGAAGTCCAGAAGATCATAAAGTTCAGGTCTGCTGTGATGGGGAGATTTTAACTGGCACAGACCCAATCAGTGCTAAACGGCAATGCGTGTCAGACTCTATTAAAGCAGTTGCATTCGAAAAGGGTGGTGGAGGTAAGATTTTTCAGTTATACGTCTCGTGTACTTAAGTCAACTGTATTATCCTTTGTAGCCAGATAACAGCTGATGGTTTTGTTGGTGTGCAGAGCAGGAAACTAAGAATGATTCTTTATATATAGTTAAGCCAAAGCAAAAAGAAGGAATGATTGGCCAATGATTGTTCCCTTAACAGTACTATAAACCCACCCTGGTCTGCTAGGGGCCGTGGTAGTCACTTTTGGGCAAACATGTAATTTTTGCGATCCCAAATGAATTGACCCATTTTTTAAATTGATTGAAGAACACTTTACTTTTCACCTACAGTACACAGATTCTGGTATGTTTGCTAACTGTAAAATATAATATGAAGAACTCCAAAAAAAAATCCAATGTGTGAGCCCATTCTAGTAACTCTGTAGAAAATGCAACTCCATTATAGTCAATCCAGTCGTGAAAATGCGACCCCATCCAGTGGCACATCCCCATTAGTCTCTTATAAGGAAGTACCCCCTGGGAGCCATTCATGATTTACCCTTGGGGGAGTATTGCATTTCTTGCAGTTCAGGACAGGGCTGTCTAAGGCTTAGGCCTGGGGGAATTTCCCCTGTCTACTTCATAGAAAACAACAGAAGAATAGAATCGAAAGAACGTCCTAGTTGTTCAATTCCCCCCCTACTTGTAATATTGCATATTATACTCTTGTGACAGCCCTAGTGTTGTAGCTGTGCTACGAGGCAATATGTTAGAGTATTCTGAGGTTTGGGTTGAATTCCATAACAGCTAATAGAAAAGCCTTTTGTATATATATCTCACCTTGTCTTCGTTTTAGAATCTAAAGCTCTCTAATATCAAAAATAGCCAGAAAACAATATCCTAAAAATAGAAAGACTAACAACATTAAATTTTAAAATAAGTACAAGTATGTTTTCGACCATTGATAAGATCTTTCACTACCACCACTTCATTTCAGCAGAGTGTAACTACAGTATCCCTTCATATAACCAAGAGCGCTCCCACAATAACCTCACCTAAAATCACTTTTACCTTCCAAAAAATTATGTTTTGTTACTTCATATCAAATTCTATGAGAAACCAGTTTCATTGATTAACAAACTACAGGCATTATCTTACTAATCCCCATCTGACATAACTCCACACCTTGTTCCACTCACACATCTCAACCAACTCCTAAAATATCCAACACTTAACTGCACTACTCACACATCTCTAGTGCACATAAAAAACTTCACATATGCCTCGTACAATGACGTCCAAACATAAACTCTCACAATGTCTTGTTATTGTGGTGTCTTAGACCAAAAAAACTTAGACCTCTGAGACCTGAAAAAATTTACATAAATTTATTTTTGTTCTGATTTGTTTTTGTTGTTCTATTTATAGGACTGTTTGCTGCAGCCCATGATTTGAAAATTGAATGGGTGATTGTTAAAGGGATATCTCATTTTTCCAATGATGGCAACACTCCTACTGAGTCCTGGAAGTCATTTGCTTCCATCATGGCAGCCTCTCTAGTGTCCAACATGTTAAATGATCCAGTTTGTTTTAAAGAATGGCTGCACTATGAAGGTATGTCACATCCCTGTTCTGACATTATTGATAGTGACAAATGTTTTGTTCAGGTAATTTTATTTTGATTTATGAAGATTAATTTTAAAATGGTTGCAGTTTTAGTGAAAAGTCATTGGATACATGCATGGAGTGCCACAAAATTTCTACTGACCTTTTGGGCTATAATGTATGGTATTGCTGGCCATGCCATGAATTTAGAATATCCCAAAAATAATTTTTCTAGTTATCTGATGCTTGTGCCTGAAAAACTGTTAGACGGAGATAAAAAACATACACCATGTTGCTGACTCAGACACAAAAAACTGAAATAAAAATTGTGTTATGTTCCTACCCTGGAACCCAGATTAATTTGTCAGTCAATTTAATTGAGGGTGAGATACAAATTAAGTATGTCCCGTATATAAGCCCTGACCGTGTCCTTCCACATCCTCTTCTGAGCAGAGTTTGAGGTCTACCGTCAACAGTTTTTCTGCTCAAGGGAAAATGAGGATAATTTGATAATTTACAGTAGTACGGGGCAAGAAAACAAGGCTTGTAGCAGCAGAATTTAAAAAAGAAAAAGATGTTTTCTGTTTAAAGTTTGGCCTGTAGAATTAGTTAGGGAAGTGAAAAATCAAACCCAACTGTGGAATCTTAAGATTGAATCTTAAAAAGGTATCACTAATTAACACAATAGAATAATTGAGGGGAAATATTCATGCACCATCATTACAGTACATGTAAGTAATTAATTACAGTGGAACCCCGTTAATATGACCACCTTCGGGCCATTTTTTATTAACGGGGGAGGGTCAAATTATGGTGCAAAATGCTTTTAAACTACATTCTACTACATGTATACCGTCCTTTAATCCGTTATAAATCAACCTTTTTGCAGTTAATTAACAACCTTACAACCGCAATTCAATGCAACTGAATAATGTAACAGTAAACGAAACCGAGTAATGAAAAAAAACACTGACTTCTTTCAGTTCCTTGTTATGAAAGGAAAGGGCTTGTGATTTGTCTCGAAGAGCCGTTTGCTACGTTGTAGCTTACAACACTTTTACAGTTATTACAAAGTTCAAAGTTCTAGGAGAAAAGAAAAGGAAATGGACTTGAAGAGAAAAGCCACAGTAGAAGGCAGCAGAAACAAGAAGGCAAAATAACTTTTAGAGCCTCGAAATACTGCAAAGTAAAGTCTTTCAGATCTTTTGTATTATTTATTCACGCATCCTTTTCACTGCACACAGCAATTTACCGGATGTCATGCTAACCACTAACACCTTTGCCCAAAAACATTCAATGAAATATTAGTAATGGGTTATTGTTTGTCAGATTGTGTCTGTTTTCATTCAGCAGCCCCACCAAGCATTTTGACTGGTCATATTAACGGGGTAGTTTTATAAAGAAAATAACGACTCAGGACTCCCAAAGGTGGTTGTTGGTCGTAATAACGGGGTGGTCGGATTAACGGGGTTTTCAGATAAGAAAATGAGTGTGCTTTTGTTCGGACCACAAAAAAATGGTCGCAATAACAGGGTGGTGGTATTAACGGGGTGGTCGTATGGCGGTGTTCCACTGTAGTAACAACCTTTAATGTAATTACTAATATTAGTAAATGCAAAAATATTGTAATTTTAATGCCTTATTTATGTATACTGTAACATAACTAGGAGACGTTTATCAACTAGTCGTGCTGTTTTCACCATGCACATGTTTAGACTCCCACGCAGACGTTCTTAGGGCTTCGTAACCCGTGGGGTAGGTACACATAACAAAACCATAAGAACATCTGCTCAGGAGGCTAGGGCATATTCTGTATTCATACGTTACTCGAGCCAAAAGCATTTTATTTATATATAATTTTTGACTTAAAGAGGTTCTTTTTATGTAATTAAAACCTTTTAACAGATTCTGTATGCCTTGAGAAGTGCCAGAAGTATCTGAAAATGGTTTATAAAGCAAGGAGCAAAGTCAGAATCATCCCATGGAAGCCAAGCTCTGCTGTTGATATTGATGAGATGTACACACAGTTGACTTGGCTTAAGGATCACAGGAAACCCAGTGGTGTGACACAAAACAAGCTTGGAAGCTACACAGAGATATTCAATGGTGGAAAGCGACTTTTGGTTTATGGCAAGCCAGGTATGCAATTATTTTTTTCATTTCAAGCACCGTATGCGGAGGAATTAAAAATGTACCAAGTGAGGTACTCAACAAATATTTATACGGGGAGGCTGCGCCCCTAGGTCCAAACCATTACCCTTTTATGTACCATTTTTCACGAAAAAGGTACCCCTTTCATATACCTTCTATTGACAAATGGTACCCCTTTCACATACCTTGTTTGCGACTTTGCAACCCTTTTAACTGCTGTAAATGCACTGTCTTTTCAATAGGAATCAGTCACAAAAATAGAACGTTTTCTCGACTTGATAAGCCATAAAATAATAAGCCATAAAATGCATCTGTTAGCACTTTTGGGCTTTTTCACAGACCCAAATGACAGATTTCCCTACTCGTTATTAATATACTTCAACAACTGAAATCCCTACCCTTTCATATACTTGAAGCCTGAAAAAGATACCCCTTTCGGGCGAGCCTCCCCATATAGGCCATCATAGGGAGTACCCCCCCCCCTCCCCCGGGATATTTCAAACGACTCTTCTCTTACAATCCTAGCCTCATAATCCCTCTTCAGTTGAGTGTATTTTACTGTTGTAGCCCAAATTATACCCCTCTGTAACAGACCCAGTAGAATCTATATCTTCAGTGGGTTCTCGGAGAAAAAGTCAATGGGTTGGTTTATTTTCCACTGGGTTTTTCATCTTAGTTGTGTACTTCCCATAAAAGCGGGAAGGAGTGGCAGGCCTTACATTTTTACAGGCATAAAAAATTTGAACACTTTATATAAACGATTTACGGTTTTTTATGCGAGACTGACTACTTGTACCCTCCCTTTTTTGTTTTTGTCAATGGTAATAATGTTTTGTATCTTTGCTTCTTTTAAACAAATATGAGCAACAAAATACACTGGTCTTGAAGAAGTCGTGATAGAAAGTGACTGGGGAAGCAAAAAGTCAGCCGGGTAGAAACAAACTATTCGCCGGGTATCGGGGAGGCTAAATTATCACTGGGTAGACTGGATTAAACCACTGGGTACGGTTTCACTGGGTCTTTTACAGAGGGGTGTAAAATTTGTGTGGGTTCCTGAGTGCCTCATGAAAAGGTGGCCTTGTATTAAAAATCAGGGGCGCCCAAAAACTTTTTTAAGTAAAATAACTGATCGGAGAAGCTAATATTGCCTAGAAATGTCCCGTTTTAAAACATCTAAGATATTCTGAGTTTTCTGCTTATTAATAACCAACTGTCGGGGGTCGTCTTTTTTACTTTTTTCCCCAAGATATCGCGATTACCGTTCAAAAAAGGGTTCCTGAAAATTTCTATATTTCTATGAACATATGGCAATTGTCCTCAAACTTTCGACGAGACCCATCAGAGTAGCTAACAGTTTTGGATGAGGCGAAAAAGCCACCTAAAACTTTCGTGATGACCAAAGTTTACCTTACCCTGCGAGTAGAGGCTACATTCAGCTCATACCGTGGAAATGTAGCCTCTGCTCGCAGGGTAAGTTTACCTAAGACATCTGAACAGATAAATAGTTTTAAGGGCAGCTCAAAATTAATCAACGATTCTTCTCAAGCATGGAGAAAACCATTTAATTCACTTCTGACCTACTTTGAAACATTCGGTCGTATGGGTGCCCCTGTTCAAATTCCCATGGGCAAGAATATCATTTTCTAGAGTCCAGAAATAAATACATACTCAGTGGCACTCATACCATTTTCCGCGGTCTGAAAATAGACAAATTCCAATTCTTATGCTTGTCAGGTACTGTTTCATGACTGAGTTATTTTTAAAAAGCTAGTATTTGGTTTGCGCTAATAATCATCTTAGAAACTGTATTTTCAGTGATTTTCATGCTCGAAGCTCTTGTTTCAGAAGTGATTGTATCTATTAATGTTTTTTATCTTAGAAGTACTTGAATCAGAAATTGTTTCTCTTAATGTTGTTCGTTTGTTGTTATCCAGGTATTGGTAAGACTGTTTTTACCAAGAAAGCCGCTTTTGACTGGTCCCAGCAGAGATATCAAGAAACCATAGGAGCGTTTGAACTTGTCCTTCTGATAAGATTGCGTGATGTCTGTAATCTCCATGATGTTCCATCCATTTTTAAGGCTTCTCAGCTGCTCGCCAATGATGGCAAAATTTCTGTTGATGATCTGCACGACTACGTTCTAAATCATCAAGAAAAGGTCTTGCTTATCTTGGATGGCTACGATGAGTACAGTGCAGGGGAGCAATCGCCTGTTGATGAAATTTGGGAGAGAAATCGACTGAGTGACTGCTGTGTTATAGTCACCTCGAGACAAATGACAACTGACAAGCTGAGATTGCCTAGTGATGCCCAATTTGAGATTAACGGGTTTGACTATACGCGCCAGCAAGAGTTTGCTCGAAGATTTTTGAAAGATGAAGATGATGTTCAAAAGTTCCGTGGCTACTTGTGGGAACAACACCTCATCGACTTGGCGGAGATTCCACTTCTTCTGCTAATTTTGTGTCTACTCTGGAAAGAAAAAGATCGCAAAGAACTACCCAAGAGACGCGTAGAAATCTTCACTCAGTTCGTTACGACTTTGTTTCATCACATGCATGGAAAACAGTCTTCTGAGTCGGTGTTTAACATTGAGGATTACTCAGATGAATTATATGCATTAGGGCGCTTGGCCTTTGAAGCTCTCATCAACGATTGCCTGTACTTCCCGAGAAGTGAATTACCTAACTACGATCTGATCGAGAGGATGATTGAAGTCGGCCTTTTTCAGGTTTTAAATATGTCAAGTTTGAATCCTGAAAAAGGTGTGTATTTCATTCATAAATCCCTACAAGAATACTTCGCGGGAAGTTTCCTCAAAGAAGAATTGATATTATCGAAAAAGAATAAAATTACAAATTCCCTGTCAAAGCTGGATTCGGTTGAAAAGATCCTCAAAATGAATGAAGTGATAAAATTTGCTGGTGAGCTGTCAGAAGAAGTCGCGCGCGAGATTGTGAATCATCTGATTAAAATGGCGGCGAACGAAGAAGGACTCACGAAGTACACCTTCGACAGCGAAGCACCGTCTGAGCGGGATTTTTCAGAAGACCAAAGAAATTTTCTAACACTCTCCACAGAGTTGTTTTTCTATTGTTCAGCTGAGACAAAAAGAAACCTCTTTCCTACATTTCTTTCCTCTTTCAAAGGAGTTCTTTTAATTGAAGCATACCAGCTAAACGATCTTGTGAAAGAAAAGTTAGTTAAAACTACCGTAAACGTAAATTACGTTTTTTTCACCGATGACTTCGTGTACAATACAAAACAAAACTATACAGAGCAAGACTATAAAAACTTAACAATTTTATCTGAACAATTAATGGCTTTTATCGTAAGTTGTTCAGGAGAAAAGAAAGCATCAGAATTTTTAAGCAACTTAACGTGGCGTCGAGTTTGTGAATTTTTCCTAAAGAAAGAAGAAAACAACACTCACCTGTATTTAACAGAAATTCGTACAGATGCATCCGGTTTTTATGTTCATGATATAATAAAGGCGCTAATAAGTAAACAAGAGACAACAAAGAAGACAAACATGAATGGTGATGAGTCAAGTGAAGAGAGCAGCAGTAGCTGTTGTTCAAAGCGTCATGGTCTCTCCAGGGTTTGGAGCCTTGACGCTCGGTGGTTGAACAGGTCAGATGTGGAACAGCTGATTGAGATGATGCCGTTTATCACCGCTCCATGCGATATATGGGTTTGGGGTAAAGACGGTGAAGTGTTTGATGCTGACGTAACAGAGTCTCTGCTGAGGAGGATCCCAACAACACACAAACTGAAGCTATTATCACTCCGTCGCATCAATTTAACATCATCACCTGCTGTGGAGTTCATCGACAGTTTATTTAAAAAAGCCCCAAACTTGGAGTGGCTCACCATGTCATACAGTCCTCTTCCAGGTGCAGGAGTCGACAGCTTGATTAAACATCTCAGCTGCGCTCCTCACCTGGAGACACTGTACCTTAACGATGTGATGATGACTCCACAGCAGGTAAAGGATCTGACATCAGCCATCAAACAGCACGGCAACATCACTGACCTGGAGTCATCCTACCACGTAAGTTTTCCAGTTTTATCGCAATTTGTTTCTTTATTCTTTGTTTACAGTTTATTTCTACTCAGCTCTTGCCTTTCGCCATTTTCCTTTCTTTGTCATTTTTATACTCGACAAAACACGAGATTTACTTTTGAAATCAAATCACAAACTTTAGCAGATTCAAAGTATCGTTTCAAATTCATTCCTTTCAATTGATTAAACTAAATTCAAAACGATGTTTTAACCAGGAACAAGTAAATTAATCTGAAGGTGTCTGCACTGTGCAAAATAATGGATCAGCGAGCAGATATGAAATTTCTCTCCGAGTCTGGTTCAACTCGATGTGAGCTCACTTATAACAAATACTGTGTTACATATGGAACACAAAAATTCCACAATATTATAAATTTTGGAATCAATTTTAATTCATTACTTTTGGTAAAATGATGAACAACAAGCATTAAGTCAAAATATGTTCAGTTCATGTTCAATTCAAACAAATAATTTGCAAAGTAAGAGAAAGAAAGATTAACTTACAGTTTCACTTTTATCGCTAAGATTTCCTAAAATCAGTCAAACTCAAGAAAAGTTTGTTTGAGAGTCCAGAAAACGAAGAAGTCTTTTTAGAGCCTGGTGTCCTTTTCTTTGAGTGTTCTTGCGTGTCCTTTCATAAATGACCTCGATCGCTCAGTAGCATAGCTTTTTTTAGATAACTTTCCACAAAACAGACAATTCCTCAGAGACACTTTTGTACAAATTTAACGCCATACATTTTTTCGTAGGTAAAAGCACTCCACTATGGTATTAACTGTCAAATTTTGTCGGCGACATATTTTTCCAGCTTGACGACAAACACTATGACGTTAGCAAATCCTGCGTCGCTTTGTGGCTTCAATTAAAAAGTTTTTTTCCTGGTAGCCTCCACAAATCCTTTGAAAAATGCTGCAAATTCCGGAGTAAATAAGCCGAATCTTTCTCTCCCTCACGTTTTTACGTTGTTTTCTAATTCTTTTTTCAATTCCCGTCCATCTTGAGCATTTTTGCGTTGAATTTTTTCTTTGAAGAACAAACTCAACTAAAGTGAACAACAAACTACAAAATCAACAAACTGCCATTCAAAGTGGCGTGAGAGAAGGCTTGTGACGTGTTGACAGCTGATTGGTTAAATTCAAACACATGAAATATTCCTGTCAATCACGATATGCTACGTGTAGCATTTTCCCGCCTTTTGTTTGCGTGTAGCGCCAGCATTCCCGCCTTCCTATTTATTTTTCGGTCCTATGACCCTGCATTAGAAAAAGGAAACTACTTTCTGTTTAAAGTGAGTATTTCTAAAATACCTTTCGCCACCAAAAATTACTTTGTCTAACTGATTGCTCTTGCTTTTCTTGTTTCTAATTAAATCATCATGGGTGCCCAAAAAAAAAAAAAACAGAAATATTAGGTTTGCAGAGAAAATTGAAGGTCAGTTATTGATTATTAAAAACTGTCTGTCCCCTTTTTAAACTTTTGGGAGTCCACATGATCGTGTGTTTCAGACCTTTTTCCTCTGATAATTGAAAAGAAACAGCAGCACTTGGAGTTTACACTGAATGTAAAGCTAGCCAGGGCATTTATTCCACATATGTACCGTTACCACCCTCCCCTCCCCCACCCATTTTGAACCCCCTCTCCAGTGATCTGAAGGAGTTTTTCATTCTATTATATCAGAGAAGTGACTCTTTTTTTTTTTTTGGAAATTTGGTTAAGTTTCCGCAGCGACCGGTTGACAAAGAGCTGTCGTAATGGAGATTTGACTGTATTAAGGTTTTTTTGCTGTACATTCATTGCACCCGTGTAGTCTGAACTTGCTGGTAATGGAGTTTTCACCTTTATATTGTTTCTCGTTTCCTCTGGTCACGTTTCAGTGAAAAGAAAACTAAGTTTACGCCTGAAAACCTTACATTTAATGTTTGTTGTATGGTCGACATTTCATGTTTCAGGAGCGCAATGGCGATCCCAAGCCTGAACACAAGTGGCCATCAGAGGACTATTGGAAAGAGCGGTACCCTCAACTCTTTCCTGATTCTTCATCTGGGTTAGCGGACGATCAGAAGCAGGTGGGTCATAGAAATAAGGTCAAAAGAAGGCATAGTTTTGACATGAGGTTTGTTTTTGAAATTCATTTCAGTTCACTCCTTGTAGTTTTAATCAATGCTTTGTATAAGATTTACTTAACAAAGGTTATTCTCAACTTTCACTGATTGGAAGTGAAGGTGTGTTTTTCTGTTCCTTGATCATTGGACATGTGAATTGCATTCAAAGTAACCGGCACCGTTGTTTTGCTCATCAGTGTCGCGGGTCGTCAATCCCAATGACTCTTCCGGCGTTTTTTTATGAGATTAAAAACCCCCTCATTTGGTTTAAATTTTTTCGTAGTTTTGCCTTTTTTTAAAATCCTGTCCAGTTTACCTGTTTCAGTTTTTTAATTATTTATTATAATGTTTTGTATGTGATTTACTTTTAAAAAGTTATACTAAAAACTTCATTGATTGTACTGGCAAATCTGTTTTTCTGTTTATCGGACACATTCAAGGAAAATCTTTCCTTGATCATTGGACGTGTGATTTAGCTTTCAAATTAATTGGCACCGTTGTTTTGCTCGTCAGTGTAGCGGATCGTCAGTCTTTTGCTATGTCTTAGCAATAAGAAGAAAAAAAATTTTTGATTCATAATCATGTAATTAACGAAGCGATAGCAAAGGCGTGAAAACCTTTTCGCCTTAACCTTAGAAACTCACTCGCATCTTCTCAACGAAGGATTTTCTTTGTTTTTAAATGTCTTCTTTGATCTGCAGAGTAATTTTTTTGTTATGAGAGGTGTTTTAATGTTGTCTTTTGTTTCGTGGCAGGATAATTCATCAGCTGAATCTGACGATTATTATGTGGAGGTCAGTTAGCGACTTCAGGCACAATTTTTTACATTCATTGATTGTATTTTATATTTTATGTCTTTTAAGTTATATTTTACAAACGGTAATTAATGAAGCGATAGCAAAGGCGTGAAAAACTTTTCGCTTTAACCTCAAAACCTCACTCGCATCTTGTCAACGAAGGAGTTTTCTTTGTTTTTAAATGTCTTCTTTGATCTTCAAAGTAATTTTTTGGTATGAGAGGTGTTTTAATGTTGTCTTTTGTTTTGTGGCAGGATGATTCATCAGCTGAATCTGACGATGATGATGAAGAGGTCAGTTAGCGATTTCAGGCACAATTTGTTACATTCATTGATTGTATTTTATATTTTATGTCTTTTAAGCTATATTTTACGAACGGTAATTAATGAAGCGATAGCAAAGGCGTGAAAAACTTTTCGCCTTAACCTCAAAACCTCACTCGCATCTTGTCAACGAAGGAGTTTTCTTTGTTTTTAAATGTCTTCTTTGATCTTCAAAGTAATTTTTTTTTATGAGAGGTGTTTTAATGTTGTCTTTTGTTTTGTGGCAGGATGATTCATCAGCTGAATCTGACGATGATGATGAAGAGGTCAGTTAGCGACTTCAGGCAAAATCCAGCGGCGGATCCAAGGGAGGGGCCCGGGGGGCCCTGGCGCCCCTCTTATTTTTAGACCAAAATGAGGCGGAAAAAAATTTTTTGACACCGCTCCCCTCCTCCCCTTACCTGAAGGTCTGGATTCGCCACTGCAATTTTTTACTTTCGTTGATTGTATTTTGTATTTTCTGTCTTTTAAGTTATATTTTATAAACGGTCAGGAGTTTCATTTATTAATTAAGTTTAAAACACAGGTGAATTTTTTCGAGAGTTTCCGATAATCTATGGTTTGGGCTTTTTAATCATTCCAAGAAAACTGGAGCCAAAGCTCGTCCGTGTTTTAACGGATTTAGACACCTGTCAATTCGTTTGGATCTTCTTCATAAAGTATTAGTGAGTTTTTTGGTGTTACCTTATGACCTTTTTGAACGTTATTTTTCTCAATAGTTTTGGTTTCTTATACGAACAGTTTCATTTTTCTATCAAAAGCAACTTAGATTTTGGGCTTAAGTCACGTGCTATTTAATAGTAAGCATGATCAGTGTAGGGCATGTTTTGAGTTTTGCTTCTTGCTTCTTATTTGGTCAACTACGGCTGAGAAGATATTGAAACTGTCGCTCTTTCTTTTGACTTGCCTCTCCTCGTGCACATGAAAACTTACTCAGGGTCCTAAAATTAAATATCATAAGAAGTGGATGTTGTTTAGTTTAAAGTATATGATTTGTGGCAGAATGAAGAAGGAATCATCGAATGTGAAGATGAAAGATCGTCATCTGAACCAGAAGACAATCAGGAGCAGGTGGGTCATCAGATTTTGTGCGAGTGAATAAGGTGTCTTCCTTAAAAAAGGATTTTACTTAACAACAAACTTAAGAACGCTTGCTAACCATTCCATGGTGAATGTTAAGTACTAGTTACAATTTAAATGAATACCGTAAAATTCCGAAAATAAGCCCCTCCATGTATAAGCCCCTCCAAATATAAGCCCCCCAAACTCGTGACCCAAAACACCCTTCGTTAAATCGCCCCTCCAAATATAAGCCCCCCGGAGGGCTTGTACTTGGAAATTGCCCTTAAATACAAAGTAAAACAAAGAAAAACGATAAATTTCCTTCTAACTATAAGGCTAGCCCAATCGATTTTTAAACGCAAATTTCCCTCCGAACATAAGCCCCTCCAAAAATAAGCTCCTCAAAAATGGCCTTTGAAAAATATAAGCCCCGGGGCTTATTTTCGGAATTTTACGGTATTTTTGAAAGTTAATTATTATACATTTGTGAACGAACGTTAAACAACAAAAAGCGCTCAAAATTTAGCCAGAAAAGACAAGAAACAATTGAAATAATATTCACGGGAGTTGTATCATTGTTGGAAAAAAGCTGCAAAATGGAGAAGGCTTGTTTTATATTCAATGTGTGTCTTGCTCCATCACCCCACCCCCTGTATTAACAGTACAGAGATGTAGATCTTTTTTTTTTTACTTCCTGGGAGGTGGGATTACAGACTGAGCTTTGTGACTTGTGTCAGTGGGACACCTGTCCCTCAGTGGGGTAGAAAGTGAACAAACAAAGCCTTCCAGGGCCCGCATTGTTGTTGTTAATTGTTTACCTTTTTTAACTTTTTTCAACGATTACTCGCAATACACTTACAATAAACAATATTACTATAAAGACAAATTATAGTTACACACGTAATGCAAATAGTGAGAGACACCTTCCAAGTTAAGAAAGGTTAAACTAACAACATATGCATGACACGTTGCAATAACCGGGATGTCGCTAACAAAAAATGAGAAAAAGGATTACAATAATTACTGCCAGCGGAGATATATAGAATTATTGATCTTCAAATTAGTTTTTTTTTTTAATGAGTGGTGTTTTAATGTTGCTTTGTGTTTGGCAGCAGGATTATTCATCAGCTGATCATGACGACGAGGAAGCAAGCGAGCGGGTGAGTTTGCGACTTTACGCACACTTTGTCTCCTTCATTGACTGGATTTTTTAGTCTCTTTTAAGTTAAATTTTTATAAACGAACAGGATTTTGTTTATCAAGTTTAAACCACAATGCACAGCTGAGTGTTTTTGAGAGTTTCCAATACTCGATGGGTTGGTTTTTTTAATTATTTCCGAGAAAAATGAAGACAAAACCCCTTCGTGTTTTATCGGATGTAAACACTCCCCGTTTGAATTTTCTTCTTTAACTATAACTGAGTTTTCTAATCTTATTGTATGATTGTGAACGTTATTTTCCCCAATACTCTAGATGTCTTATACAAACAGTTTCTATCAAAAAGACACAAAACTCAGGCAGATATTGGGCTTAAGTCACCTGCTATTTTATAGTAAGCGTGATCAGTGTAGAGGCATGTTTTGTGTTTCGCCTCTTGCTGTCACCTTTTGACTGTTATAAAATTGGCGTTCATTGACGTATTTTTTGACTTGTCTCTCCTCGTGAAATCATAATCCTAAAATATCATAACAAGTGGATGATGTGTAGTGTAAGTGTTTTGATTTGTGGCAGGATGAGGAAGGAATGATCGAATCTGAAGATGAAAGATCGTCTTCTGAACCAGAAGACAATCAGGAGCAGGTGGGTCATCAGATTTTGTTGATGATCAATAAGGTATTTTCTTTGAAAGGGATTTTATTTTGCAACAAACGTTAAAAACGCGTACCAACCGTTCCATGTTCAATGTCAAGTACTAGTTACAAGCGAAATAAATATTTCTTTAATTTAGTTATTATACAATTGTGAATGAACGTTAAACAACAAATACCGCTCAAAATTTAGCAAAAAACTACAAGAAACAATTAAAATAAAATCCACGGGAGTTGTATAATCGATGTGAATAACCTGCAAAATGGAGAAGGCTTGTTTTATATGATTTTTGTACAATATAAAACATCAACCCCCTCTATTAACTATGCAGGGATTTGTAAATCCTGTTTTCTTATGCAAATAGTCTCTTTTTTTACCTCCTGGGAGGTGGGATTGTAGTTGCGTGACTTGTTTCAGTTGGAACACCTGTCCCTCAACGAGGTAATGAAGATGGATAAACGAATCCTTCCAATGGCTGCATTTTATTTAAACAGTGTTTACTGATAGATCCTCACTGAGGTAAACTTTGTTGAAAATAGTGGGGATCGATCTTAGTGAAAATTTTCTGACGGAAAATCCTTTTAACATTATTGCTGTGGGAAGAGGCTTTTTATTCATTTTAATCAAACAAGTAGCGTGAGGGTAGCCTGAAAGATAAAATTCACTGAAAACGGTTGTGTTGATTCTTGAAATATATTTGCGTTTTATTTGAATTCAAATAAACAGAATTTTTTTACTTCTCGCGGATGTTATTTGCTAAGAACACCACACTTCAAGTTCCTGGTAACGGATTTTCAGTAGCAGGTCTAGGTCGCCCACAATTTGGAATTTATTGATTTCAAAGTTTTTTGTTTATTGTGGTCATAATGATATCGATTTTACTAAGAACTGCATTTTGACAAACCGTTCGATTCATAGTCAATCACTGGCGAAAAGTTTGTAGCGATCGGACAAGGACAAAATCACTTTTAAGGCGATCGGTATGGTCTCCGAAAAACTGTATTGAAACACCTTAAGCACAGAATAAAAGGTAGACCATTTTGTTTTAAATTCCTTTTCACGGCCAGACGTACATGAAATTGTTAATTGTCTACTCTAATCTTGTCACGAACAAGGGAGACAAATTCGTCAAAGATGTGAGCTTTACTTTTAAGAGCAGTTTCAGAAAGGAAATGCTTTCCTATAATATGACCGATCTATCAGTGTTCACTGATAATCCTCAATCCTAATTTTATTTAATGTTTTGCGTGTGATTTGCTGCAAAAGTTGAAACTTTCATTGACTGCGCGTGCAGTTCTGTTTTTCCGTCCATCTGGAATAATCAAGGAAAACCTTTCCTTGATCATTGGACGTGTGAATTGCATTCAAAGTAACCGGCACTTTCATTTTGCTCGTCAGTGTCGTGGGTCGTCAGTCTTTTGCTATGTCTTAAAAATGGAAAAAAAGAACTGTTCGTAATATGTAGGTAATGAAGGATAAAGGCATGAAAACCTTAACACATTAACTTCAAAACCTTACACTTCTCAATGAACGATTTCCTTTGATTTACAAGTGTATTCTTTGATCTTCAAATTAGTTTTTTTTGTAATGAGTGGTGTTTTAATGTTGTTCTGTGTTTTGTTGCAGGATGATTCATCAGCTGAGCATGACGATGAGGAAGAGCGAGTGAGTTTGCTACTTTACGCACACTTTTTTTCCTTCATTGACTGTATTTTTTAGTCTCTTTTAAGTTAAATTGTATAAACGAATAGGATTTTGTTTATCACGTTTAAACCACAATGCACAGCTGAGTGTTTTTGAGAGTTTCCAATACTTGATGGGTTGGGTTTTTTATTATTTCCAAGAAAACTGGAGCCAAAACCCCTCCGTGTTTTATCGGATGTAAACACCCCTCAATTCGTTTGAATTTTCTTCAGTTAAGTATGACTGAGTTTTCTAGTCTTATTGTATGACTGTGAACGTTATTTTCCCCAATATTCTAGATGTCTTCTACAAACAGTTTCATTTTTCTATCAAAAATACACAAAACTCAGGCAGATATTGGGCTTAAGTCACCTGCTGATTTATAGTAAGCGTGATCAGTGTAAAGACATGTTTTGTGTTTCGCTTCTTGCTTCTCATTTGTTCGCCTACACTTGAGAAAAGAGTCAAACTGTTAGGAGACTACGGTTGCTGTCACATTTCGACTGTTATAAAAGTGGCGTTCATTGACTTATTTTTGTTAATTGTCTCTCCTCGTGCACATGAAAACTGAAATCGTGGTCCTAAAATATCATAACAAGTGGATGATGTTTAGTGTAAGTGTTTGATTTGTGGCAGGATGAGGAAGGAATGATCGAATCTGAAGATGGAAGATCGTCTTCTGAACCAGAAGACAATCAGGAGCAGGTGGGTCATCAGATTTTGTTGATGAATAAGGTATTTTCTTTGAAAGGGATTTTATTTTACAACAAACGTTAAAAACGCGTGCCAACCGTTCCATGTTAAATGTCAAGTACTAGTTACAAGCGAAATAAATATTTCTTTAATATAGTTATTGTACAATTGTGAATGAACGTTAAACAACAAAGACCGCTCAAAATTTAGCAAAAAACTACAAGAAAACAGTTAGAATAAAATCCACGGGAATTGTATCATTGATGTAAATAACCTGCAAAATGGAGAAGGTTTGTTTTATATGATTTTTATATCATATAAAAGATCGACCCCTTCTATTAACTATGCAGAGATTTGTAAGTCCTGTTTCCTTGTATAAATAGTCTATTTTTGTACTTCCTGGGAGGTGGGATTGTAGACTGAGTTGCATGACTTGTTTCAGCTGGAACACCTGTGCCTCAATTAGGCAATAAACGTGGATAAACGAAACCTTCCAGGGGCTGCATTTTATTTAAACAGTGGTTACTGATAGATCCTCCTTGAGGTAAACTTTGTTAAAATAATGGGAATCTGTCGAAAAAAGCTTTTACCATTATTGCTGTGTGGAGAGGCTTTTTATTCATTTTAATCAAATAAGTAGCTTGAGGCTCGCTTGAAAATATAAAGTCACTGAAAACGGGAGCGTTGATTCTTGTAACAAATGATATGACCTGCAGTCAGTATAAATTTATTAGTTAACCTGGTTCGGGGACTCAGGTTTTCTCCTTTTGTGGTCTCGTTTTCACAACTTAAATAAGTTGCTTTTCGCTCAACTATCTCATCAGCGTATTGCTCATGTTCTCTTCTATCATCACACAGATTGTGGCAGAGATTCTCCTCAGTCTTCACGACATACCGTTTCCTGTTAACAATCCAGAGACGCAATAGGACCATTTCCATGGCCTCCTGATCCTACTGGTAAGGTTCTAACTTCCCTGTTTTTGATTGGCTTTTCTTAAGCGGTGCCCTAAGAACCAATACAACATTTTACACTAGTCCATTACGGTCAAAGTCGTCGGTATAGTTCATGTGAGAGAGTGTCAGAGCGGGAGTGTTATTATTGGGCTGCCTGTAAGGGTAACGCCCAATCAAGAAATGAATCACGTCTATGTCGAAAAAGACAAAATGGCGCACGGAGCTCCCAGAAGGCTCTACGTTTCCCATCCGCGCTTCAATGCAGCCAATTTTTGCGGGGAGGAGACGGGTCTTTCAGGTCTTCTGGGGACAGATTTAGAAGTCGGTTTGAAACGAACAGAAACTTATTGGATGGAGTTATTGGCCCTAAGTCAACACGGATAAATACAGTATTCGTTGATGTAGTTAGCCTACTTGCCTCCCACGCAGACGTTCTTAGGGGTTTGTCACGCGTTCCTGCCCCACGAACATCTGCTGAATCGAGTGGTTAAATTCCTTTCCCATTGTTCGCAAATATGAGCTGGAGCTGGAGCTGGCGTGCAGATTATTGGAGAACCAGTCGGCGCTGTGAAAGTCCAAGTGTTGACAAGCCAAACGCATACGTTTAAGCTCGGTAGGGTGTGATACGTGATCAAAGAGTTCAGCTCCGAACAAGAATATTTAGGAGATAAGGGTTGACGTTTTTGTATATTTCTCTTTGTAAAGGCTGAACTAGATGTCATTTGCTCACAGAGGTGTTCTGTAGGTGAGGCAACGGTGGGGTTGTACGTTGTAACTGAACAAAAGGCAGAATTTTTCTTCGCACTTTATTGTTTTGTAGTAAAGCCGACTTCCGTTCAGCAAATTAAACCTCGAAGGTAATTTTTCCAATGAGATCGTGAGGGCAGTCTCTGGTACGAAGGCGTGGGATTTAACTGAGTAGTTTGTCCTAAAAGTATAAGGTCTTCACCTTTCGAGACCTTTCTGATCTTTTCTGTAGCTTAGTCTCGCACGAAAATTCTCAAGGTCCAAAGTGCGCTTCCCAGATCTGGAAGTGTGCTCTGATTGGACTACGTTTTTTACCGCTCGATTCAGCAGACGTTTGTGGGACAGGAACGCGTGACGAACCCCTAAGAAAGTCTGCGTTGGAGGCTATTAGCCTGCAGGAGAGCTGCAGAAACAAGCGACCCTCCCACGGTCCCCACGGGAAAAGCTTCAACTTGTAGCAGACCCACCCCCCCGCGTGAGAAAAGTCTCTCCTTACAACAAGAAAGGAATATGCTAATTGTAGAAACATATTCACTTGCCATGGATTGTTAGGTGGCGAAGGGCTTTAAATGAAATATCCGACAGAAATAAAACTGAACCTTAATTGGCTTTGCGAATTCTAATAAGCAGAACTAGTACTGCTATTATGTAACAGTTATTAAAACATCAAAGGTTGACCCTTTCACGATTTATAAGAGTAGAACGACAATAATTTATGGAATTTTCGGCAAGATCAAACAAGTCACGTTATACTATCATGCTATATTTTGGGGTGCGTTGTGGAAATGTCCCAGTTAAGAATAATGCCAATCGTTTCTTGTTTCATAAGGCTAACTGTTTGGGGGATCTAATTTCTACCCTTTCCTCTCTACAGCCAGTTTGGTTTTAGCAGCCAGAGCTCCTAATCTTGCGGTGCATGAATCTAGCCACGGTCTGGCATCCTTCAGTGGATACTTACCTCCTCATGTTGATCCCCAGCATCACTCCTCCCCTGATATCAACACCCATCATTACAGCACCTCGTCCACCATCTTTACACCTGGAGGATCCCGGGGGAGGGATCCGTACCTTCCCAGTGACTCCTGGCCTGTCTGCAGTTACACAAGACGAGACCGAGTTGGAATTTTTGTCTGTTGATGAGGTAATGAAGGCGGATCCACAAAGCCTTTCTTGGATATTTTTTATTTAAAACTGTGTTTAGGATTTGTGTTATTAAGCATTTATTTGAAGCCTCCGTAGCAAGCGTTTCTACGCGAGTTCGTCGAGAAAGTTGGGACGCGAGCAACTTTTGCGCAGTAACTCGATTGGAAACGCATGCTTCGCAGACTAATTCATTTGTGAATCAGTCATTTTCTTGGTACAAACTTTCCTAGAAGGAAAGATACCGAGCTTAGTAGGGCTGGTAGATTGTTAGATCTCAATGTTGTTCCCTCACACTTTTTTTATGACACAATTGTCATAATTCAAAAACAAACGTTTTGGAACTTTTTATTTCTCAAATTATATACTTAGCTTAATATGAATGATCTTTATAAAAAGTCAAATGATTTCACTAGTCAGTAGAACTGCGACTTTACCTCTGTGGTCTCATTTTTAGAATTAGCTGAACACTTTCCTTTTGCTTGGGCATCTTACCAACTCATCACCCCTAGTTCTCTTTTTTCACCTGTTCAGATTTTGGCAGACGTGCGTGCAGTGGGACACTCACCCCAGTTCTCAGGACGTGCCATTAGACGACCTAGAGACCTAGAGCTGTTGGACCAGTTCCAGTTCCTCTCAATCCTGCTGGTAAGGTTTTTCGGCTTACCTTTTCTCATCCGTAGTACAAGTAAAACAAAATAATTATATTGGCTTCTAACGCAGTGACTGAATTAATCAGCGATGCGAGAATACAAAAAAAATCCACTGAGTGCTTCCATTCTTCATTTGATGATCTAATTCTTACCACAGTTAACAAAAAATTCAGGTCCTTCTTTTTCATTAGTTAGATTGGCGCTATCCAACTGAGGCACCCACTATCCAGTGGCTAAGTGTCAGGGAAACCGCATTATCCATTGGCTGGTTATTTGAACTGATTTTTCCAGTGGATAGCACTATCCAACTGTTAAAATACTGGGCACTGAAGGTCTGTTGAAGATCGAAAAAGGACACCTCGTAAGACAACTGTCTCATAGTCTGCCTTCTATAATTTCCTAAGTGGGCCTTTTTCATGTGGAATTCAGTGGGTGCTGCTTTGATTTCCAGTTCAGGCTTCCCCGTCACCATCTTTTCTGCATATTTTCTCTCAATTCTACAAACTTTAACGTGGCAAAAACAAATAAATCAAATCAAACTCAATAACGTCAAGAGATCAGGAGAACTGTACTTAAAGACCATGCGCCGGTTTTGACAACAAATTTTAACGAAACCGCCTTCTCAGTTTTTTTTTCTTCTTTTAATTGCAATGTGACCTTTTCCCACCTGATATCTAAACATTTTTTGGTGTCAATAGGGTAAGAAAACTACGTATCTATTCAAAGTTAGCCACTTAAAAATATTGGAGTTTACCGTCTCTTAAATTGCGCTGTAAGTTAACCTGTTTTAATAACAATCGCTTTTTACCATCACATTACTTGTGGGAATCTTAATTCGCTCCTTTTTTCACTACAGCTGATCCGATATTGACAGGAGCGTCTATTACCACAGCACATGGATCGGTCCATGGTCTGGCAGATGTTGAACCCTTTACTGCAAACCCCGTTCATATTCAGTATCCACAGCGTTACTCCTTCCCTGTTATCCAAACCCATCATCACAGTACCCCGTCCACCATCTTTACATCTGGAAGATCCTTGGGTAGCGATGAGTATCTCGTCGGTTATCCCGGCTTGTCCACATTTACTTAGTCGGAGCCCAATTTGGGAAGTTTGCCCGTTGATGAGGTAAAGAGGCCGGATTCACAAAATTGTTATTAAACATTGGTTAAGTTTCATATTTAATAAAAGAGACTTCATGGATTAAATGCGCTTTTAATAACAAGCATGTTTATAATAGAAGAGTTATTCAGCGTCCATGGGCAGCAAAAGTGTGAGAACTCGACGTGGTATCCCAATACACTCGTAGTAATAAAGGTTTAAGGACTCATTTTACTTGTCATTAGTCAAGAACAGGTTATGTGAGATTATCAACAGACAAACAGGATTATTATAATAAATGACACCAGGAAGTGGGTCCAGAGAGGTGGGATTGATCGGTATGTTTTACTTTAGTAAAAGAATCCCATACAGTCCAGTCCAGTCTCTCTTAACCCTTTAAACCCCAGTATCCACATACGAATTCTCCATACTGATCTCCGTACATTTCCTTAAAGAATCAGTTGAGAGAATTTAATAAAAGATCAAAGCATTTTAACTAGGGTGATCTTTTAATAATTCTCATAACCTTTTCCTTTGATTATGTACTGATATTGTTAAGAGAAAATTGATGTTGATCACTCTAGGGACAGCACAGGAAGACCAACACTTCTCTATCGTTGATCCCCCTTTTGCCGTTTTTTAGTCATAACTAAACTCTTGCCAAGACAGACAGTTGGAGCCAGTCCCGATGGTGGTTGTCTTAGGGAGGGTTGACTGTTGCGATCGGTAAAGTATATCAAACAAGTCAGCTGGTCATTCCCCAAATCATCCACACTGCTGAGTGTTCTCTACACTGCCGTGAAGTCAAATGATAAATTGCTAATAGATCACAGGTTTAATTTGCTTCTTTTACTGATATTCTGTTGTCCTCTTTTCACAAGTTAGTAAACACTTTCTTATATTGTCAGCTCTTCCTTACTGACTTGTTCTCCTCCTTCATATGCACAGATTCTGGAAGAGTTGCAGTGGAACACTCGCCCCAGTACTCAGGACGTGCTGTTTAAGGATCCTGGAGCCGTTGGATCAGTTCCAGTCCCTCTCGATCCTGCTGGTAAGGTTTTCAGTAACCTCTTTTTACCCGTAGTACAACTAAAACAACATGATTTGATTGGTTTGTAAAACACTGTGAGAATACAGGAAACTTCACATAATACCACTTTCAGTTGATGGTCTAATCGTGACTAATATAGAAAACAGAAACAAACAGGTGCCGCCTTTTCAATAAAAAGGTAAGCGTTATCCATCAGATAAATCAGTACTCAGTGGGTAGGGATCAGGAAGCGGTTATTTCTCATGGTTTTTTATTTATGCGCTGGTTAGTTCTATTTTTCCTGTTGAACAACTGCGCCTGTAGACCCCTTGTAAGACACCTTTCTCTTTCAGTTTATCTTTTATAATTTCCACAGTAAACATTGCTTTAATCTTTTATAAAGTTTGTACAATAACTTCCAAAAGTCATCAAAGGCGAAGTTAACTTGAATGCCACAAGTCTAAAATCAGTAGCTTTCACTGTCACATCATGTTACTCGTGGGGGATCTTAATTAATTTGTACCTTTATTTCTCTTCATTCGGTCCTGTGTTAGTGAGTGCTCCAGTTAGTACGGCACATGATTTCAACCACGGCCTGGCACCCTCCAGTGAAGACCCCCCTCTTCAAGGAATGCCAGAACCTTCACTGTATGGATTGCAGACCCAGAGTACAATTGCAGGTGACCCGCACTGTTTCAGTGGATCAAGCAGTTCTACAGTTCCTCCCCTGTTAGGTACATCGGGATATCTTTCCTCGCATGGAATGATGGAACAGTCTATGCATGGATTGCAAACGCTGAGTACAATTCCAGGCGTCACGCAATCCAGTGGTTCTGGCACAACCACAGTCACCCACCCGCCAGGAATCCCGGGATATGTTTCCCCGCGTGGAATGCAAAGTTCTTCACTTCCCAGCATGCAGAGTAGAAGTCCAGTTATAAGTGAACACACACAAAATACGGACTCTCTTTGCAACGAATCTGGCACAAGTTCATAATCGGCAGTACTCTGATATATATAAATTTCTGATGGTAATTGTGTATATTTTTCAATTTATAAAGCATTGCAATAGAATTTCGGTGTAGTTTGTTTTTTTTTTACTGTAAATAATATTTAAATTTTTTGACACGAAAAAATGTGTAATGCTGCTGTGCGATGTGGCAGCAAAGACGTTCAATCCTTTGCGTGGATGAATCAACAATACTACAATGTACATAAAATTCATGACAATCTTTGTAAAAATACTCTCTTTTTTGAATAGATTTTCTAATGTATATATTATTTAATTTTTAGTGTCAAGTAAACGTTATGGACAAAGAAAAAAGAACTACAATTTTGCTTTGCTATTTTTACTGGTTGTTTCTCACTGTTTCCACAGCTAATAGCACCATTTCCTTGAAGCGGCCTTAAATTAAGAAGAACTGGCTGCATTTAAGGCTCTCAAAAACCCAGCTTTTCTAAAATACCTCTCTTAACTGGAAATGCCCTTTACCCGTCCAGATGAACTAACAATGACATAGCGTTCCCACACAGGATAAGATCTTTGCTTCCACGTGGAGTTACTTGGTCTTTTGAAAATCGGAGTAAAACATTGCTGATGTATATGTGATCATATGTGACATATTTGATGCAAATAGATCTACTGACCAAAAATACATCACGTGATAAATCAAAAAGCAAAGGATTGCAATCGAAAATGCTAGGAGGGGATCCAGGAAGTTATGAAAAAGCGGCGGGGGAGGGGAGGGCAGGGGGAGCAAACTTTTCCCAAGATTAGAACTGGTTTCCATCATTTTTCGCCGGCCTTTGACGAATCTTCCTAAAAAAACAACATCAGAAGCACATTTGGAAAAGCCCATGATATGTTAACATAATAAGGCAAAGTGTTGCACAGTCCAAGTTTCCAATAGATACCAGATGAATGCTTTATTCGATCCTTTTGGCAATTTCGGCGTGTCAAGTACGAAAAATCTGTTGTGGTGGAAAAGGAGTTGGAGGAGACCCACTAAACGAGATTCTGGTTCTTTACAATTTTTTCTTTAAGAAGTTTTCCGCCGAGCATACAAGTCACTTTCATAATGGAGTCTCCCCCCCACTCCAACCTTACTTAAATTCGTTGTTGAAAACAGAAAGTCATGCTTAATGCCTACATGCTTTATCCAAAGAATGCATGGGATAGTTAACTCTTCAATTGCTCCGAGCGTATTTTTATCAGACCTATTTAAGCAAGCTGAAACTAGTTGAGCTACAATTTAGCTGCCAAAACAATTGCTGATTTGTTCTAAATGACTAAGTCATTAAAATGATGTGTAATACGACTATGTTTATGGGTGTTTCTGAAACTAGAACTCCAGCGCCCCCACCGGATACTCAAGAAGGTAGAGTAGAGGGTAAATGTTCCTGTTTTTCCGAGAACGTGAAAATGTGAAATGTATGGTACAGAACTGGTAGTACTTGGGTTAATTGCTGCTGGCGTCTCAGAACCCCTACCCCATTATTGTCTATTCTGTGGCCACTTTTAGAGCCCATCTTAGTCACTTTTGGGCAAGTGTAATTTTCGCGATCCCAACTTAAGGCGTTTCCAAAAGTCAGAACTGGCCGGCCGGACTATGGCCGGACCAGACATTTTAGCACTGAAATGTGCTTTTTCCAAGAAGTTTTGCTGAAAAACCATCTCCGTTGTGCATAATACAGTAGGATTTGACTGATGTGGATGGTTAGTTTTGATTAAAAGTGAAATTCTCATAACGATGGGAATAGGCTGGTCGGTCAGTTCTGACAAATGGAAAGCGGCCTTATTAGTCAGTTTCTATTTATGTATCTTAACTAAAAATTGTCCTAAAATGAATTGACCCATTTTTTATATTGTGTGAAGAACACTTTACTTTTCACCTACAATACAAAAATTCTGGTGCGTTAGCTAACCATAATATAAATATCCTGATAAATATGAAGAACCCGGTACAGGACCTCGATTTAACGAAATCCTCGTTATACAGACGAATACAATCCAGAAGCGCAATCTTGAAAATTATTGTATCGCGATATAACGAATAAATGTCAACATGTGATAAAAGATGAATGCCAACAGACCAAAAAGGATAAAATTTGTGCGCACAGTGGAGGGGAAACAGTTTAGTTTGCCTGTTCTTGAGTTTCCAGTGCCGAAGATCCGAGAATACTGGGTTTTGTAAATTAATTATTAACTATACCTCGATATAACGAACATTTTGGTTGTTTTTTCGAAAATTCGTTAAATAGAGGGGTTCGATATAACGAACTCTCGATATAACGAACAAATTTCCCCAGTTCTACTGTATCAATACTATGCTGAATAGCTTTCGACAATCTTTGACGTAAGACATCGCGTGACCCTTATCAAGTGCCTCATTCCCAGACGTTGACGTCATAACAGAGTAACCGCACCCTACGTCCGTCCACTCGATCGCCCCACATCTTCAGAAGCAAAGGTCTTACTTCCAAGCCCTCAAACCCAGGTTTGTTTAAAACTTGAATTCTCTAGTTTGGATTTAAGACATTCTCAGTTAACTATGTGGTGTGTAACTTTTGTAAAGAAAGTCAATTTCGTATGTGTAAACTAACATATTCTTTCCATACTGAGTGATCATGCTCGCATTGCAGGATCAGTTACGTTCATGCCGCTTGGTACTTGGTATAGTATAACTTCCACCCAGCGTGAACAGAAATGATCCGTCGGACAATGCGAGTTTGATCACTGCGATGGAAGGGAAATGTCTTGAAATGTCTGATAATCCAGTTCAAACAATCATTGCAGGTTTCGCTTCGTTTCGCTTCGCTGTATCCTTGTGGATACAGGTTTGATTTTTTTTTCTTTCAAAGTTCTTAGTTTTAACCTTTCCTTAAGTAATTGTATTTCTAGCATGATTCCAAAAGCCTCCAAAATAACCTGTCATCACAAAGTCAACATTTCTTTATTACCATGCCGCTTACTACAAGACTGTGCATGTTATCTTTCATCATTGGTTACCCTGTGAACAGTCTGCTTCGAGCTTCCTAGATATGTCGGGAAGACGAAGGAGACTCTGTCGACTGCCATTAAGCATGCTTGAAAGTCAAATGTAACCGAGCCTCTCAGCCTCGCTTTCAAACTAATGACCGCGCGAGTTATCATTCCAAAAAAGTGCAAATAACTTTTAAAATTAAAATCTTTAATTCTCGCTGAGCAAGTTTATAAATTTGTCATGTGTGCGGCAACGCGCACAACAATCGCTCAGCAAGGCGTGATCTTGCCTTGGTTATAAATATCTCTATCAGTTTGGGCGAATGCAGTTACCTAACAAGGCACCCTCCTGGTTGCCTTAGGGACCGTTTAATGTCGTTTACGAGGTCAAAAAATGCTTTTAGTGATAAATTTTGAGGGTAGAAGTACCTTTTACAGTAAATGACATTGCCTTCAAAATAACCGCAGAAATCGACGAAAGAAAACATCAGTTAATGCTTTACGTCCTACTGCGAGTTGTATCAGCTTTGTTGGGCATAATAATATGTCCCTTCATTGCCATGAAATGAGTTTACAGTGGTTTTTTACTGTCAATAGCCCAGTTATTTTCCTGAAATATACCTTTGAATTTGTGTTTAATATGGCTCGATCAGCTTCTAAAGGCGATTGCCGACGGAATTGCCGTGGAAAAGGCCTTAAATTAAAGACTTTTTACCAGACTCACGTAATCATCCTTAGTAGTTTATTGGTAAGGAGAAGTCACATGAAGCTGAAGATGCCGGGTTCAAATCCTTCTTAGCACCCTTTCTTTCTTTCTTTTTGTTTTGTTTGCTTATTTGTTTTGTGTTTTTTTTATATATATGTTGTGGTTCAAATTTTATCCTTGGTTTAACTTTTATTTCCTTTTGTTTTAAACTCATTATCACACATTACCATACCCCAAAACAAAGGGAAATAAAATTCAAACCAAGGATAAAATTGAACGTCAACATATATATTTTCTTTTCCCCACCCAGCCTTCTGTCCCTTTCTTTCTACTTCTGACCCTTAACCTCTGCTTTGTGCGGCTCTGCGATTGACATATTCCTAGTTTTTAATTTATTTATTATAAATCTAGGAAAACCTTTAAAGTACATGTATATTTACAAATAAATTTCATACAGTGCCCAATTAAAAATGAACCAGAATTTAGAAGTGATGGATGCGTGTGAAATATCAAAAGCATTGCAACTTGGATTTCGTTAGCCTCCTGATCATATTTTAAATTAATGTTATGAATGAGCAAACACAAAAGAATAGACAGAGAAATTATTTCTTAAATATTTATATTCAAAACCTGTCAGTTTCATAATAAAACACCGTTTAAAGCACATCGTGAAACACTTACTGGATTGTGGATCCGTTCACGCAAATAAAATCGGCTGAGCACATGGTTAAATCCAAAGCAAAATCCATATCAAATCAGGGTGCATCTTCTAATTTTTCTATAAACATGACTAGCGCTTCGCTGCGGTTTACTAAACATTGAATCAACAATTTTCTCAAAATCATTGTGTGAAATCGAAGTGGCAGCCATCTGTTTTGTTATGGAGTGTGGGGTAGAATACAATATACATGTGAGCACAGGTAAAACTGATTTATCCAGCATGAAACTAGTCTGACTCATCCAAATGGCGGGATGATCTGTAAATCAAAGGACTTTGAAGATGTCGGCAGAGTCACCTCCTCTTTCCCAACTTTTGAAGGAAAGATCAAAATGACTCTGCTCGCAGGGTAATCATTGGTCAGTGGAATATTAAAATCAGCAAAGAATCGAACTGCCATTTCATGCCATTTTCCTCATTTTGATGTAGTGATTTACATTAGCTGTGTATGAAAAAAAATCAGCCCTTGATACTTGGAAAATAGTTACAAGAGCAATTATTATTTAAACTTGTGAAAAGGTACCAAATCCAGATTGTGGTCATTAATTTTGTGTGATCATGACTCGTGATGTTTTGAAAATTTTAAAAAGAAAGTCTTTTTTAACCAGAATTTTGCAAAATTTTGTCTTAACAGAACCTGGCATGGTAATGTCCCACCTCTCAGATGACTATTTTTCACGTCAACCGAGTGGGAACTTGGACCATTCTGTAGCTCATTGATTTCTTAGTAAAGTTTGTAGTGAATTCAGGTGATTTTTATAGAAGGTAAGTGAACCTGATTGGAGTTTTTCATGAAGGCTAAAATAAAAGATGTTCAGGGCCTTGGTTAACATATAACATGTGCTGTTTGTCTGGCTATCAATGATGTCAATGTATATTGTAGCTGATTAATGAAGTACATTCTTTCTTCCAGATAGACTATCTTTTGCATGCATGCATGTAATCGTGAAGTGACATCAACGTTGGCTGTGAAATTAAGGTTAGTTTCCTTTGCAGCTGTTTTTAGGGTTGTCACACAAAGCTAAGCTTATTAAGTTTACTTAAGTGTAACTTTTGATAAGCTTACTTTCGTGAAAGCATTCTTAGTTTTAGCAGTATAGAGTATCATGTATTACTGACACCTAAGTTACATGTAAGTTTGATTGTACACACTAATCTATTGATCTCTCAATTGCCTAATTCATAGTAAGTTCATATTACATGTATATTATTGCATACATGTATTTCAAGAAGACTATATAAGGAATTCTATGATAAGTGATTTAACCCTCCAAATTGACTTGCTGTCTAATATGCTGTTTTTCAGTTTGAAGTTCAGTACGTTAATTTAAAATATCTTTCCATCTCCTAAAATTTAACTTTTTACATGAAAAGATTTTAAGTGCATGATATCTTTCATCAGTTTTTTAGACCAGCTTCAAACTACCAAGATACTGAAGATGCTACCCTGTGATATCACAAGATTTTAAATACACTGGGTAAATCATACTTGCTCCTGAAAGTAAGTTATTCAGCTTTTTTTGGCCTCTGTTCTACACCTGTTGGCACTCTTGAGCTAATTTAATGTACCGGTAGTTTCACTACTGAGATCATTACCTAGATCACTATTTCCTCTGATTCTCTAATACAGTGCTGTAGTCAAGCCTTTGTTAATAATGGATCCCACCCCTAAGTATACACGTAGATCCGTAGCCAATAATACCAACACTGCAATTTCAATGGTGAACCCTTTTACTGGAAATCTCCCCTCCTAAATGAAGCTTTTTGTGGTCCCTGCGCCACTAATAAACACTTCATTTTTAATTGACCTTTGTGAAAACATGGTTTTCTCTCCTAAGCCAACACTAACTATTCGTGGACCCCAAGAGGTGGGGAGTTGAAACAGTTCAACTCTTTAATTTATTTTGCAGACTTTTCAGCTAACAAGGCATCCCCCACTTTACCAGGTATGACTCTTCTAAGTAAAGTTACTTGGAATTCTAGCAAACTGAAGTATTTATCTGTTAATACTGTTGTCAACACAACCACTTCTTTTCACATTTGCACAGTCTGTAAAGTAGTAACAAGTCTCCTATACTTTTGTAGAGAAGTAACGACCAGTATACTTCAAACCTCACACCTCTCTTCTGGCCCTTATTTGAACACAATTTAACCTCCTCCTCATGTCTCTAATCTAACCCTCTTGACCACTCAAAGGAGTAATACATGTATATTACTCTATAGTGTAGATCCAGAAAATATCTCCCCCATGGAAAGGATTTGGTCTTGGAAGAACTCACACCCGCCCCTCCTCTCCCTTGCAAATTCCAATTGGGATAAATACATGTACCTTTCTTTTTGTTTTATGGTCCTTGCTGAGACTCCCTCCTTCCCCAGGATTTTCCAATCCCTTCCATGAGGGTATTAAAGATATTTTCTGGAGCTATACATGTGCAGACCACACCTCTAACAAGGAACATTGCAACATTGAAGTCCTTGCATTGTCTTTTCGCCTGATTGTCTGGTTGTACTGACATCCATTTCATTAAATGCCTAAGTTTTGCTTGACCTTCAAAATACCAAAACATCAGTAATATATTATTTGTACCCTCATGTCTAAGTATGAGTCCCACAATACAGAGAAGGATTCCCTCCCTCAGACTCTAGGGTAGCAATTTCTATGTCATGCTTCCTAATGCTGCACAATGCCTATAAACAAAAATTGAAAAATTCTACTGCAAACTGACAAAGGTCTTTCAGGCTTTCATTGCTGAGAGAAAGCCACTCAAGGATCATAAAATCATCCCTTGACATCTCTGTAAATTCCCAGGCTTCAACACAACTGTCTTATGCATAGTAGTTCTTAACTGTGGGTCTTGTAAATTTCTTAGGTTATTTTGTTGTTAACAAAAATAATGTGTGCATAGATAATCAGTAGTGTTTTAAATCTTTCCCAGCATTTGTAAACGTTTGTCCGCTCTTCAAAGAGTAGTTATGTAGTGAAACTGTGGACTCTCATATTTTCTTATCTCAATTTTTTTTCCGTATTTGTTATGTGCCCCTGTCCTAGAGTTTTGTGTAAAACATTGTTTGATACTTAAAATTTCTTAATTTGTAAGGCAAAATCCTTGTTTTCAGATTCTGAGTGCCTCGAAGAGTGCCAGAAGCAGTTGCGGTCTCTTTATCAAACCAAAAACAGAGTCAAAATTGTTCCTTGGAACCAAATAAATGCTGTTCACATTGATGAGATCTACACAGACCTGTCTTGGGTTATGGATCACAGGACACCCAGGGGAGTGACAAAAGAAGAACTTAACCACTACACTGAGATTTTTGTCCGCAGAGAACCTCATCCTGCACCAAAGCGAATTTTGGTTTATGGACAGCCAGGTAATAGTAAGAAAACTAAGTAGAGTCTTTATTTAACTGGAGAGAAAGTGTATGATAGCACCATCAAAGCATACAAACTTGTGCTCTTACACACCTGTATAACACAAAAAAAAGAACAAAAAGAACACAGCTGAGAACACACAATTACCATTGGCAATACTGTCAGAAAATTCATGCACAAAACGTTAAGGTTGAGGAGGTTCAGAGACGTGTCACTAGATGGATATTTTTAAGTTTAAAGCCAGGCCAGATGTCAATTATGGGAAGAAACTGCTTGCCTTGGATATTCTGCCTCTTGCTTCCAATAGAGAAATCGAGGATCCCGTTTTATTTTACAAAGCCTTTTACGGCTACATTGATATAGACGTTACTAATAATATTACATAACTTTTAACAATCATCCACGTATGCACTGTAGCCAGTCTGCTGGCTGCTATCTTACTTTTGGGCCTGTAAAACCCACACTTTACAAGCTTCATATTTTGTCTGTAGTGTAAACCTGTAAACAAGTAATACAATGAAGCTTTCCCTAGTGGTAAATGTGGTTTTACCTTATTTTTGAAGAATCTGTTTGTCTCTTTTAATGAATGTCTTTGATGATGGTCTGCTTATGGTCACTAACTGAATACATATATATTATATTTTTCATTTTTTTTAAAATTGCTTTTAGATTTCTCTACAGTCAGACGACAATTTTCTGCAATTAGATTTTTCTTTTACTACAACTAAATTTTATTTTTTTTGTATTATATTTCAAATTCTTATATTTCCCTAGGGTGGGCGCCCCTCATGGGCCTACGTGTCCCGTTCGTGCCCTTCTCTTTTGGGCTTTAATTCTTTCTTTCGTTCTTTCTTTTTTTTTATCATGTTTGTATATTTCATTCTGTCTTGATCTTACCCAATAACTAAAAGGCTTGAAATAAATAAATTTAAATAAAGATCAGCTCGTTATTTATAGGCTTTTAATGTCTTCACTAATAATTATTGAATGTTTTACCAACATCCTAAATGAGTTAGTTTAGAATGGTAGCAAACGGAATTGAAAGTTTGGACTAATATTGCTTTAATAGAGTAACTCAAAAGTGGAGAGTTTTCAGTTTTTTTGCATGGACTGTAATAATGAACAATTTTTATCTAGCTAGAGCAATAAGAGTTTGTGCAGTGTCCAATTATGGCTCAGTTTATCTGTTGTTCGATAAGGTCCTTGTTATTAACGTTTTTATATTATAGTTCAGAAGCATGAGGAAATAACAAATTGAGCCATGAGGATGAAATTAAGTTTGTCGGCCTCAATATACAGAGACAGTATGCACAACGACTGAATAATAATGAGAGTGCTGTTCTTTTTAAGAAAGATAAGAATTCCGAATCGCGCCCGTAAAGGTGGATGGAAATTCTTTTGGCATTAAACTTCATTAAAGGCACATTAAACGTCTAGGAAAGTTAAAGAGATGCTAGCCGTGGTAATTTATTTATTTATTGACACACCGAATGAAATAATTATTTAAAAATCCCTGTTGAAGTCCTTCAAAAACACCGAATAGAACATCATTTTAGAATAATTTTTAGATTCCGATTGACTACAGCGAGCAAAGAAATGCTGAGAGTTTGTTTATTACCTCGTAGGTATTGGCAAAACCGTTTTCACACAGAAAGCTTCTTTCGACTGGTCTCAACACAGATCTCCAGAAAGGTTAGGAGCGTTTGATCTTTTCCTTCTTATAAGATTACGGGACGTTTCTAATCTCCAAGATGTTCCGTCTATTTTGGCGGCTTCCAGAGCGCTGGCTAGTGATGGCACAGTTACCGTGGACAACCTGTATAACTACGTTCGCCGCCATCAAGAAAAAGTCTTGCTTATCTTGGACGGCTACGATGAGTATGTTTACACTGCTGGAAGGCAATCGCCTGTCCTTGAAATCTGGGATAAAAGTCAGTTAAGAGATTGCTGTGTTGTAATTACTTCAAGGGAAATGAAAGCAGAGACGTTGAGAAGTTCTAGTGATGCGGTTTTCAAGATAGACGGCTTTACCGATGAACGCCAAGAAGATTTCGCTCGTAGATTTTTAAAAGATGATGAAGATGTTAAAAAGTTTTTCGAATACCTAAAGCAGCACAGCCTAAGAAAACTAGCACAAATTCCTCTTCTTCATCTGATAATGTGTCTACTCTGGAAGGGAAAATATCGCTGTGAAGAGATAATTTATTGTTATTCAGTTATTTTGCTTTTGCTGGTAAAAATAGGAAAAGCCAATGTAGAAATCATTTATTCTTTAGTCTAACTTCTTTTAGTCGTAAACAACCTGTTGATTTATTGAGCGTTAACTTATTTGTCAAGTCATAATTGTATTTAGTCTTCGGAGTGTAATCAACCTGTAAGAAGCCGTTATCCACCTGTGTAGCTTTTGGAAGTAATTAATGTTTCAAAGCAAGCTTAGGTTTCCACCAATAGTCTTGTAGAAATGATTGTTGTGCTCTGTAATTTGACTCGTTGAGTTGTGATGTAATCTGTATCGCTTCGCTAGCTTAGGCTTAAATACGAGTGCTTTTGTAGGAGTTTCTTCGGTTACATCCAGGTCCATCTAGTCCTGGTTACATCCAGGTCCATCTAGTCTTGGTTATATTTTGGTTGGTTATGTTCCTGACTCTACCCGCAGTATAGTCTTGGATTAAACCTCTACATTGGAGCCAAGTTCTGTTGTAATCATTGTCTCAAGGGTATTCAGCAGGCGTAAGAGATTCCGTGCCTTCCCGCAGCCAGCGAGTGTCCCCAGGAAAAGGCCTTTCCCAGAGAGTTTTTAGAGTTTTTCCCCGTCCGTCAGTTTACCCCTTTGTGAAGGCAAAACCTGTTTCCACACTGGTGTTAAAGTGAAAAACGTGTTTTCACACTGGTGGAGAATCCGAGCAATTACGCAAGGAATACCAGAGGCAAAGAAACCTTACAGAACAGGATGTAACCCCTTGGAGCAAGAGAGTACGCCCAAGTAAGTCAATTTAACTTGATGCCGAAGTTTTTCTCGAGAAGAAAAGAACCTTACAACCTAAGGAGCCGGAGTAAGAACCAAAGTACTCCGAAGTCGAAAGTAGACGCCTGCGTCGAGTGCGATTTGCCTTTCGACGAATCAAAAATTGCCCCAGAATTGAGGCGTGGGCCAGTTGCTAAAGAAGGAACTAGTTCAGAACCGTTAGAACCTTCTCACAAAAACTCTGTGAGGTTTAACACGACCAACTTGGAACCCGTAGATATTAGTGTAGATTCCGATAGCGACGACAGTCTTAGTGCTTTGGACCCACGGTGTCTCAGAGCTCTCGTAGAATCTGAGGAAGAACTTTCTTCAGAAAACGGGTGAGAAAAAGATAAAGAAAAAGAAAAAGAAAAAAAGAACTTTACGGATAGCATTTTTGCAACAGGTAGTCAACAGGTACCTGCGAGTACGTCACCTCCTACTGGTAGTACATCGCCTCCCAGTAATACAATACCACCTACAACCACACCTGTAGATCCTACAGTAATTGAGCAACCAGAAGTGTTAAATACTACACCAATTGTTCCCGACAACGCTGCTGGTGGACAACCGTTACCAAATATTAATTCACCTGCTGATATTTACGAACACTTTTCCCGGAGGGTAGACTACAGAGATAACTTCAAAACGGGAACGCCTCCCAGTAGTAATTTGACTGGATCGCGTGATAAGACTGACAGAACCCGTGACGACTCTAGTGGTAACAGTGAATGCGAATCAGCCTTACCAGCTACAAATATAGAGAGTTGTAACACGTGTGACGCTACAGGTACCATGCAAGCAGAGCAGTTAACTAAATTGCAAGACCAAATAATTGCTTTACAACAAGAACTTAAATCACAACAAGAGAAAGCTCATGTCTTCCGAACAAAAACTATCAGTGCCTTTGAGCAAACTCCGATTCCAGATGTATCAAGTCCGCACAGACCGACCGCATTTCACGGTTTTGATTCCGAGGATATAAATCGATGGCTGGATAAGGTGGAAAATTATTTGACACTACGCCGGATAGATACATCCACTCCTACCGCTTTGGCAGAACTTGTACTGAATCTTGTTGGGTCAGCTGAGGACTTTTATTATTCCCTGCCTGGGGATTGTAAGGATACCTTTACTAAGCTGCGTGATGCCTTGAAGGAGAGATTCGCAAACGAAAACCAGAGCTGGATTATTTGGCAGGCAATTACTACCCGCCAGCAGGGCCCTGTGGAGCCACTTGACACCTATTTAACTGATCTGACCGGAAAGTTTCGTCGAATCAACATTTCAGATGCAGATAAGATGCGTTATTTTGTTCAAGGGCTAAGGGCCGATTTGAAAGAAACTGTTTTGCTAAAACAACCAAAGACTTTCCGGGAAGCGGAAGAAATGGCCCGCCTCGCATCAGCAGTTAAAACCACGATGAGCAATTCTAATGAAACTGTTACGATACAATTAAATAATTTAACGAAGACCTTGAACACTCTGGAAGCCAATAGTAGCAGCCCAGTAAGTACAAATCAACAACAGTCGCTTCAAAGCCAGATAGAAACATTGACACAAAAAGTGAATTCACTCATGCCTACAGTTACGAAGTCAGATAAAGTTGCCGCTTATTCAGAGCCACAGGTGGATTTCCAAAGTAAGATTGAGGACCTTACTAAACTTGTGAAACGCATGGAAGGTAACTTTCAGGATCAAATTGCCAGTTTGGATAAGAGGATGGACGCACGCATCACTGGCCTCGCACAACGTCAGCGAGAGACTCGTAACACTAGGGAGCGATCAAGAGATGGCCGCCCTTATTGTTATGTATGTGGTTTGCCTGGCCATTATCAAAACAGTTGTCCACGACGGAACAACCGTGAACGTGAACGTGACCGCACGCCAGTGCCCAGGTACGCGCTGCCTGCTCCTGATAACTACACACTATATTCAAGTGGCCCTCAAGCACGACAGCGAGCCTTACCACCGCCGCCACAGAGCCGAATAGCTGCCTTTCAGGACAGTACTCCAACCTCTTCCAACCATCCGGAGTTGCCTATACATGACTCTCCCAAAAATGACTCTGTTGATTGGGATTATTATTATGGTGACTTTAACGACGATGACTTCTATGGAGAGTGGGATTATTGTTACGATTGTGAATCAGAATCCGAGACTTACGATTATGCAGATGACTGGGACAAACTACACTGGGATCAAGTATATGATGAACCAAACATTCAGCAACCAATTCTTTCCACACTTATAGAAGAAGACCTAGGCAATACAGCAACTGCTCACCTGCCATACTTAGAAACAGATGATTTGCTGCCGTTGACTGATGACGAATATCCATCTGAAGACGAAACTGAAAAAGGGGATGAGTTTGATCTACCAGCTCCAGTTCCTTATCCGTTGTTGCCCACAATAACCATGCACAATGACAGTGCTGTCTCTAGAATTTTAGGGTGCCTTACAAGCACTGATCAAACTACAAAATCAGTGATGACCTACCCGCCAGCGGCAGTTGATAACATGCCACCCCCATACCCAGGTGACGTTGGAGTAGATCCTACTCAGTATTTTGGAACTAACTATCCCAAACCAGCGTTAGCAGGTTACAATAAAGTAGCTCCTAGGAAGGCTCAGCCACAGACCAAAGAGGTAAAGCAGAAGTCAACAGCCATTGCTTATAGTACCCTGAACGCTGATAACCACGTTACAGGAGATTCCAGCCGATCTCGCCATGAAGACCTTCCTACAGAAAGCCCAACCGCTATGCACTCTGGGGAGAAGGCGAGCAACTCAGTTTCGGCTCAAAATGTCAGAGAAATGGTCACGACTCAAGTCAGTAAACAGGTGAAACCCTTAACCAATCAGGAAACAGACAGAACTACCAAGCTAGAACAGAACTACCATGTAGCTCCCAAAGCGATACCGAGTGACCAATCAAGTTTCCCTTGCCCTGAGATTAGACAGTCAAATCCTGATACTGGACAACCAGGTAGTAACCACTCTCTACGAGCGCAGATAGTTTCAACAGAGCCGAAAACCAAAAGAGCAACTCATTCTCAGCTTCATAATGATTACCAGCAAGAAATTAAGGACGAGCTTTCAAAAGTTATAAAGGATATGGAAGGAAATCTATTGAACAAGATTACAATTTTGGAACGACGCATGGAAGGAAACTTGAGACACAGTAAGGTACAACCATGGAAAAGGACTTGCTTTTATTGTGGAATGGTTGGCCACATTCAGATCAACTGCCCCATCGTAGTTGCCAACAAGGGTCCTATAATTATAATGCACGTCATGAGCCTGAGCGAATCCCGCATCAAACCACTACGTTTCAGCCGACATACACATCCAGGGACAAACCTCGATGCCAAGATTCAGGAGAGGAGCCATATTACGTCAACCACAACTCGACAAAAGTTGGAGTTATCCTGGACCAACCAAAGGAAGTACTTAAATTGGGCCACCTAAACTCAGTTGCAGCAAACAGCTTCAAGCCAACAAGTTCCCAGATACCCAATGTGCCACCCGACTGCACAAATGGTTTAAATTCCCCGGAACAAGAGAAACCTAAGTACCAGCAGAATACCCTTATTTCCACTAGTCAAACGCCTGGTGAAAGAATCCGCAACCAACAAGTCGCAACAAGTTGTACAGAAAAGTATCCGCCTCAAGCATCGCAGTCCAGCAAGACGCCCACTATTAGGAAAAACGCGGTGAAGCTTCAGAAGACAGGCAAGTCAGCAGCATTGCAGCTCAAGATTCCATGTATGTTCGAGAAGTTTATTTCCTGGTTCATGCTACTAGTGCTCTTTCACCTGTGTTTTGCTTCACAAGCTCATAATTTACCTCAAGTGCAACGAACACCTCAAAAGCTCCACAACATGCACGACTACCTCCAGTCTGCAGAGAAAGAATTGTTTCCATTCCCTAAAAGTGATGGCAGATTGACAACCGAAACTCATACCCATAATTGGCATCAACCATTGTCTTCCACAAAGTTCAAGTACAATTTTCCACTGCTGAAGGATGACCCTTCCGACGACTTAATACCGAGCGATCTCACCAGTAAATGACAATGGCCATCCACTAACAGAGAAAGCGACCTTCAGAAGAGGAAATAGTTAGTGTGAAATTTCTAAGAGTCCAAGAGATATGAGATAGAATAACGAATACGCAGTTGAGTAATATAGAATCAATTAACATAAGTCCGTCCAAGCCAGAGAGAAGGCTCGAATAATAAAAAACATGATACGGAGTTAAAATAGACAGAATCGAGAATTGAGAAGTACTAAATGAGAGTTTCAGGTAACCTTAAGTGTGACAGTTTTAAGCTAAGAAACGAGCGTTTGAAACGTATATAATAACCCTTTAGTACCTTCGCTGAGTAAGAATGCATGTAAGTAATTGCCCTCAAAAGGCGCATATTTTGAAGTACGTTAATCTTTATATAGATCAGCTTTTATTTTCATTGAACCCCCGAGGCCACTATATTTAGGCTAGTTCGGTTTATGCCGCGGTTCAGGCACAAAAACAAATACAAAATTTTCATTCGCTGTGCATTTTCTTAATTTTTCTCGTATACTTTTATTGTTTTCCTTTTCCTCTAATCAGCTGAGGACAGCTGAGACTTAAGGTGGGAGGAATGTGAAGAGATAATTTATTGTTATTCAGTTATTTTGCTTTTGCTGGTAAAAATAGGAAAAGCCAATGTAGAAATCATTTATTCTTTAGTCTAACTTCTTTTAGTCGTAAACAACCTGTTGATTTATTGAGCGTTAACTTATTTGTCAAGTCATAATTGTATTTAGTCTTCGGAGTGTAATCAACCTGTAAGAAGCCGTTATCCACCTGTGTAGCTTTTGGAAGTAATTAATGTTTCAAAGCAAGCTTAGGTTTCCACCAATAGTCTTGTAGAAATGATTGTTGTGCTCTGTAATTTGACTCGTTGAGTTGTGATGTAATCTGTATCGCTTCGCTAGCTTAGGCTTAAATACGAGTGCTTTTGTAGGAGTTTCTTCGGTTACATCCAGGTCCATCTAGTCCTGGTTACATCCAGGTCCATCTAGTCTTGGTTATATTTTGGTTGGTTATGTTCCTGACTCTACCCGCAGTATAGTCTTGGATTAAACCTCTACATTGGAGCCAAGTTCTGTTGTAATCATTGTCTCAAGGGTATTCAGCAGGCGTAAGAGATTCCGTGCCTTCCCGCAGCCAGCGAGTGTCCCCAGGAAAAGGCCTTTCCCAGAGAGTTTTTAGAGTTTTTCCCCGTCCGTCAGTTTACCCCTTTGTGAAGGCAAAACCTGTTTTCACATCGCAATGCACTGCCAAAGAAACGCGCAGAAATCTTCACTCAGTTCGTGAAGACTTTGTTTGATCACATGCGTGAAAAACAGTCTGCTGAATCGGTGTTTAAAATCGAGGATTACTCAGATGAATTATATGCATTAGGGCGCTCAGCCTTTGAAGCTCTCATCAACGATCGCCTCTACATCCTGAGAAGTGAATTACCTAACTACGATCTGATCGAGAGGTTGATTGAAGTCGGCCTTTTTCAGGTTTTAAATATGTCAAGTTTGAATCCTGAAAGAGGTGTGTATTTCATTCATAAATCCCTACAAGAATACTTCGCGGGAAGTTTCCAGAAAGAAGAACTGATATTATCTAAAAAGAATAAAATTACAAATTCCCTGTCAAAGCTGGATTCGGTTGAAAAGATCCTCAAAATGAATGAAGTGACAAAATTTGCTGGTGAGCTGTCAGAAGAAGCCGCGCGCGAGATTGTGATTCATCTGATCAAAATGGCGGCGAACGAAGAAGAACTGACGGAATACACCTTCGACAGCGAAACACCGTCATGGCGGGATTTGTCAGAAAAACAAAGAAATTTTCTAACACTCTGTACACAGTTGTTTTTCTACTGTTCAGCTGAGACAAAGAGAAACCTCTTTCCTACATTTCTTTCCTCTTTCAGAGGAGTTCTTTTAATTAAAGCAGACCAGCTAAATGATCTTGTGAAAGAAAAGTTAGTTAAAACTACCGTAAACGTACATTACGTTTTTTTCACTGATGACAAAGAGTATACAGAGCAAGACTATAAAAACTTAATAATTCTATGTCAACAATTAAATGCTTTTATTGTAAGTTGTTCAGAAGAAAAGAAAGCATCAGAATTTTTAAGCAACTTTATATGGCGCCTAGTTAATGAATTTTTCCTAAAGAGAGAAGAAAACAACACTCACCTGTATTTTATGAAAATTATAAAAGATGAAGAGGAAGGCATTCCTTTTCTTGCTTATGATATGATTAAGGCGCTTATTAGTAGACAAGAAACAACAAAGAAGACAAACATGAATGGTGACGAGTCAAGTGAAGAAAGCAGCAGCAGCTGTTGTTCAAAGCTGCATGGTCTCTGTAGGGTTCGGAAGATTGAAGCTCAGTGGTTGGACAGGTCAGAAGTGGAACAGCTGAGTGAGATGATGCCGTTTATCACCGCTCCACACGAGATAGAGTTTTGGGGTGAACCCGGTGAAGTGTTGGATGCTGATGAGGAGTCTCTGATGGGGAGCATTCAACCAACACACAAACTGAAAAGCTTAATACTCTGTCGTATCAATGGAACATCATCACTTGCTGTAGAGTTCATCAACAGTTTATTTAAAAAAGCTCCAAACTTGGAGTGGCTCGAGATGTCACACAATCCTCTTCTGGGTGCAGGAGTAGACAGCGTGATTCAACATCTCAGCTGCGCTCCTCACCTGAAGACACTGGACCTTACAGAAGTGAAGATGACTCCACAGCAGGTGAAGAATGTGACATCAGCTGTACAACAGCACGGCAACATCACTGTACTGCGGTCATCCTACCACGTAAGTTTTCCAATTTTATCGCTATTTGTTTCTTTATTCTTTGTTTACAGTTTATTTCTACTGAGCTCCTTCCTTTCACCATATTCCTTCCTTTGTCATTTTTATGCTCGACAAAACATGAAAATACGGTATTTACTTTTGAAAACAAATCACAAACTTTAGCAGATTCAAAGTATCATTTCAAATTCATTCCTTTCAATTGATTAAACTAAATTCCAAACAATGTTTTAAGTTCAAGTTTATGGTAGCATAAACTGTTGTTAATAAACCTGAGAATGATGCCCTATGAAAGCACACTTAGGACATACTAGCAACAATCATGTCTCTGTTCTTATGTCACACAACGTGCAACATTTGTATAAGCTGTTGTACTAAGTAATGGTAGATACTAGTTCAAAGTACAAGAAGGAACAATGAACACTAACTAGTTGTTTGATTACAATGTATCCTTCGTCTTTGGCAAAGTCCACTGTAAGGTAGCATGATATATTACTAGACTCCACATAGGTTCCATTCATATTATCACATGCTTATCATGCACTTGTGCTCCTCTTTTTGCCGTACGCTACTGTCCTTTCCCAGTCAGTTCGTTTAGAGCTTCGGTTCATTCACAACAGCGTTTTTTAAAATTTTTTAACCGAGAACAAGTAAATTAATATTACGGTGTCTGATGCAAAATAATGGATCAGCGAGCAGATATGAAATTTCTCTTCGAGTCTGGTTCAACTCGATATGAGCTCACTTAGCAAACACTGTGTTACATATAGAAAACAAAAATTCCACAATATTATAAATTTCGGAATCAATTTTAATTCATTCCTTTTTATAAAATGATGAACAACAAGCATAAAGTCAAAATATGTTCCGATCAGTTCATGTTCAATTCAAACAAATAATTTGCAAAGTAAGAGAAAGAAGAGTTAACTTACAGTTTCACTTTTATCGCTAAGGTTTCCTAAAATCAGTCAAACTCACGAAAAGTTTGTTTGAGAGTCCAGAAAACGAAGAAGTCTTTTCAGACGTGTCCTTTTCTTTGAGTGTTCTTTGCGTGTCCTTTCTTAAATGACCTCGTACAGTAGGATAGGTTATTTTAGATAACTTTCTACAAAACAGACAATTCCTCAGAGACATCAGGGGCGGATCTAGGGGGGGGGTGCAGGGGGTGCGCACCCCCTCCCCCCCCCCCTGAGATGACCTGCGATTTTTTAATACAACTGGTATTCTGCCAAAAAAAAACTATGTGGTTTATTGGTGTTGAAGTAGAGCAAGAGACGAGTGCACCCCGTCCTAAAAAAAATCCTGGATCCGCCCCTGGACATGTTTGTTCAAAGTTAACGCTGTACATTTTATTGTAGGTAAAAGCACTGCACTGTGGTATTAATTGTCTATTTTTTTCGTCGACATGTTTTTCCACTTTGCTAAGTTTTTCTCCTGCTAGCCTCCACAAATCCTTTGAAAAATTCTGCAAATTCCAGAGTAAATAAGCCAAATCTTTCTCCCACTGAAGTTTTACGTTGTTTTCGAATCCTTTGTAAGTCCATCTTGAGCATTTTTGGGTTGAATTTTTTCTTTGATGAGCAAACTCAACTTAAGTGAACAACAAACTACAAAATCAACAAACTGTCATTCAAAGTGACGTGAGAGAAGGCTAGTGATGTGGTAACAGATTAAGCTGTCAATCATGATATGTCACGTGGTAGCATTTTCCCGCCTTTTGTTTGCATGTAGCGCCAGCATTCTCGCCTTCCCGCGTTTTTGCATTTTTCGGTCCTGTGACCCTGCATTAGAAAAAGGAAACTATACTTTCTGTTTAAAAGTGAGTTTTTCTAAAATACCTTTTGGGCTTGAAATTTCTTTGTCTTAATTGCTCTTGCTTTTAAATCAACATGGGTGCCAAAATAAACAGATAGGTCGGCATTGCGTACATGTGTCTAGTGCGAATTGATATCGTTGAAAAATGTGGTCATGAATGGAAAGAGTTAGTTTGGTCGGTGCTCTGTTGCTCTTGTTGGAATGCCCGTTTTTTGTCAAAGTGTATTAGAGAGAGAGTTTTTGTGAACATGATTGTGTGTTTCAGACTTATTTTTCTCCGATAATTGAAAAGAAAAGAGAAACATAAGCACTCAGAGTTTATTCCACATATGTACCGTTACCACCATCCCCTCTTCCACCCATTTTAAACCCCCTCTCCAGTGATCTGAAGAAGTTTTTGACTCTATTAGCGAAGTCACTCTTTTGTTTTGTATGTTTGGTTAAGTTTCCGCAGCGACTACTTAACATGAGCTGCGTGATAGAGATTTGACTGTTTAGGCTTTTTATGAACTTGCTGATAATGGAGTTTTTACCTTTATATTGTTTCTAGTCTTCTCCGGTCCCGTTTCAATAAAATGAAAACTAAATTCACGTCTGAAAACCTTACATTAAATGTTCGTTGTATGGTCGACATTTGTTTCAGGATCTCGATGGCGACCCCAAGCCTGAACATAAGTGGCCGTCACATCACGATTGGAAAGAGTGGTACCCTCACCTCTCTTCTGATTCTTCATCTGAATTAGGGGACGATCAGGAACAGGTGGGTCATAGAAATAAGGTCAAAAGAAGGCATAGTTTTGACATGAGGTTTCTTCTTAAAATTCATTTCAGTTCACTCCTTGTAGTTTTAATCAATGTTTTGTATATTAAAGATTTACTTAACAAAGGTTATTCTTCAACTTTCACTGATGGCAAATTGACGTCTGTTTTTTTGGTCCTTGATCACTGGACATATGAATTGCATTTAAAGCAACCGGCACTGTCGTTTTTGCTTGTCAGCTTTGCTGGTCTTCAGTCCCAATAACTCTTTCGGCGTGTTTTATCAGATTAAAAACCCCTCATTTTGTTTAAAAATTTTCATAGTTTTGCCAGTGGCTTTTTTTAAAATCCATTTCAGTTTACCTGTTTCAGTAATTTTTAATTATTTCAGTATTTTAATACTCTCTTTCTCTTCATGGAAAACCTTTCCTTGATCATTGGACGTGTGATTGTGCTTTCAAATTAACCGGTACCATCGTTTTGCTAGTCAGTGTAGCGGGTTATCAGTCTTTTGCTATGTCTTAGCAAAACCTCTCTCGCATCTCCTCAACGAAGGATTTTCTTTGTTTTTAAATGTCTTCTTTGATCTTCAAAGTATTTTTTTGCAATGAGAGGTGTTTTAATGTTGTCTTTTGTTTCGTGGCAGGATGATTCATCAGCTGAATCTGACGATGAGGAAGAGTGGGTGAGTTAGCGACTTTAGCACGATTTGTTACATTCATTGATTGTATTTGCTATTTTCACTATTTTAAGGAAAGTTTTACGACTCAATCGTAAAACGCAGTCAATGGAGCGTGACGCCCTCAATCAGAAACATGTAACGCAACGTTATGCTAGCCCTTATCATATCTGGTAGAGTTTTACTCGTAGAAGGTAAAAATTACTGGGTGGCACGTAAATTTACTTCCAAAGTTGGGAAATTACGGATACAATAGCAATCCTTGTTTATGGTGCATTTGGGGCTAGTTTCTAATGTATCGCTCTTTTTGTATGGCTAGTAAAAATAATTTTCTCATGCACGTCTCGTGGAGCACTTCAAGTGCAAGTTCCATTAGTAGTACAGTATTTATCATTGGCTTACCCTCAGATAGCAGGTCGACTATAAAAGGCCTGGTAAAAATCCTGTGTCTCATTCGGAGCTGTACTGCTAAGTTGTAATAGTTCAACCGTCCGAAAGTTTTGTAATTCCCACCTTTTCTTCCCGTTGCAGGTTTTGTTGTTGTTCTCAATAAACACGGGCTCACCGCTTTCTTTCGCTTTCGGTTTAAGGCTCTCGGCGACTTCCCCAAGCTTTGATTTTAACGCAAACTTTTATATTTGTTTGTATTCCAGCACGTGCCGGCGGAGTCAGCTTGTAGTGCTGATAAGATAAAGTTCCTAGAACGGTATAATTGCCTACACCGTTCCATTAAGTTGCACGATGCTGGCCGGAGGTTTCAGCTCGTAGTGCCGTGGAGTGTTAGGCCGTATTAAGTTTGTTTGCTTTTGGACCTACCTGAATTTGTCCGATCCGGCGCGCGTAAAATAGCACCGGGGAGATAAGTAAGGCTTTATGGTCACTCTATGGAAGTCGTCCGCCACGCCGATCGCAGAGCAGTGTTCGCCCCTTTACGCCATATATTTTGTTGTCGTGTTTTTCTTAGACTTCAGGAACTGCGACATTAATTATATTTTATAAACGAGTAGGAGTTTCGTTTATTAAGTTTAAAACACAATGCGCAGCTGAGTTTTATGAGAGTTTCCGATGATCGATGGGTTGGGCTTTTTAATCATTCCAAGAAAACTGGAGCCAAAACTCGTCCGTGTTTTACCGGATTTATACACCCCTTACATGTAATTCGTTTGGATTTTCTTCATAAAGTGTTAGTGAGTTTTCTGGTCTTATCTTATGACTTATTTGAACGTCATTTTTCTCAGTAGTCTAGGTTTCGTATGCGAACAGTTTCATTTTTCTATTAAAAAGAACTGCGATTTTGGGATTTAGTCACGTGCTATTTAATAGTAAGCATGATCAGTGTAGGGCTTTTTGTGAGTTTCGCTACTTGCTTCTTATTTCGTCCACTACATCCGCGAAAATATTGAAACTTTCGCATATAGTTGTACAATTGACCTATTTTTTTACTTGCTTCTCCTCGTGCACATGACTGCCTGAAATCATGAACCTAAAATATCATATCAAGTGGATGATTAGTGTATTAAAGTACGTTATTTGTGGCAGAATGAAGGAGGAATCATCGAACCTGAAGATGAAAGATCGTCATCTGAACCAGAAGACAATCAGGCACAGGTGGGTCATGAGATTTTGTGTGAGTCAATAATCATTAAGGTATTTTCTTCTTCACTTGAGTTTTAACAACCATATCGAGCACGTAGTCAACAAAGTTTCGAGAAAATTGGTTGTTCTTAGACGTTTGAGAATCTCTATTCTTATGGCAGTGGCTGAACGCCTCTACAGAACGATGATTTTACCCATTTTTGACTACTTTGATGTGGCCTGGCAAGGGTGTGGAAAAGTTAACTCTGATGTTCTCGAGAGTTTACAGCATAGAGACGCGAAGTAAATTTTTGCAAATTCTGGACTCGATACTAGAAAACTGAATGACACTTTGTTTTGTCTAGTGCCTTTGATTAATAAGCGTAAACTACTACTAAGCCTAATCTAACGTAATAATATCGAGTTAATAACATAAAAGATTCATGATTGTGCAAATAAGTCAAAAATTAGGAGTTTTATAACATATTAAACACAGAATAAAGGGTAGACCATTCCTTTTCACGGCCGGACGTACGTGAAATGTATTTTTCTACTTTAATCTTGTCACGAACAAGGGAGACAAATTCGTTAAAGATGTAAGCTTTCCTGTTTAGTCAAGAGCATTTTCAGAAAGGAAATACTACTTTCCTAATATGACTGATCTATCAGTGTTCACTGATAATCCTCATTGAGGTAAACTTATTAAAATAATGGGGATCTTAGTGGAAATTTTCTGACGTGTAACTTTTAACATTGTTGTTGTAGGAAGATGTTTTTTATTTATTTTTAAGGCTTGCCTTAAAAATAAAATTCGCCAAAAAAAGTCCAGCGATGATTCTTTTCTCAAATGATGTGACTTTGCGGTGTAGTATTCACAACTAACTAAACAGTTTATTATTTTTATTTATGAACTCAACAAATTGGCCTGCTCCCAATGTATGGGTCTTCACAGCTCAATTGGTAGAGCACTGCAGCGCTAACGCAGAGGCCATGGGTTCGGATCCCCGTGAAGTCCCGAAATTTTTTCTCTTACCACTGCGACCATCATATCTTCATTTCGGTTTCTATTTGATTGATCATTAGCTGATCACCTCTAGTTCTCGTCTATCATTGCACAGATTCTGGCAGACACTCACCCCAGTGTTCATGGCTCACCATTCCTGGCTCACCATCCCGACACTGTAGGAACATTCCCAGTGCCTCCTGATCCCGCTGGTAAGGTTTCAACTTCCCCGTTTTTGATTGGCTTTTTTGAAGAGTTCGGAGCACCAATGCGACGTTTTACACAAGTCCATTGCGGTCAAACGTTACTTTACTTAAAATGATTTTTTTTTCTTGATTGAAGGAACTCATCAGGAGCGGTAGTGTTACTTGTGTGATTCTAATTTCTATCCTTTTGTTTCTACAGCCGGTTTAGTTTTAGCGGAAGCTCCGACTCCCGCAGTGCATGGATCCAGCCACGGTCAGACATCCTTCAGTGGATACCTTCCTCCTCATGTTGATCCCCAGCATCACTCCTCCCCTGATATCCACGCCCATCATCACAACACCCCGTCCACCATCTTTACACCTGAAAGGTCCTGGAGATATCCCTACCCCAGTGGATCTGGTCTGTCTACAGTTACACAGGGCGAGTCCCATTTGAAATGTTTGTTCGTTAATGAGGTAATGGATCTGGATTCCGAGAGCCTTTCTTAAATGTTATATTATTAAACAGTGGTTAGGATTTGTCTTTACGGAGACGCCTGCTAGGTAAGAAAGTTGTTGATAAGTTGAACTTAAGGTCCTTCGCTGTTCTGCAAGATTTATTCTCGTGACGAAGGTTTTAAGGAGATTTGTGAGACAGTATTCATCTTCACTATCATTCCCCTTGTTTTAAGCTGGTACCAGGCTCCATGGTTGGGGAATGGGGCGAATAGAACGGAGCACAAAAGCAAGCCGAGCGGGGGACTGGGGAGAAAAAAAGCGGCTGAACGGGGCTGAAAATTTTTGAGGGAAGATATTAAAGCAAAACGATACGGCGGACTCTACCACGGCAACCGGGAGTAATTTTATGAAAATCATGGGTAAATCCTTCTACATCTGATGCAGTAGTCTAGCCTAGTATAATAGACACGCACCCCTATTTTCCTATCACGGGAAACTAAGTTATGGGGCGAAACTGCGAATGCTACGACACTAGGCATGCCGAGTAATGAGGGTTTGCGACGTCAACCGCCACCAGGGAAGGTGGGAGGGGTGGGGGGGGGGAACTTCAAGATCACTTGCACTGAAATCAGTTGAACTGGCCAGGAGGCGGTAAAATGCAAAGAGAAGGCAGCGTTGCATCGTGCCACTAACGCGCAAACTCGACATGACGGAAATTAAAGGAGTTTCTTATTTCCGGCGTTACGGGATAATCATGTATGCAGTGAGAATAGTTAAATTTTGACTACTCACTTAACCCGTGTGGAACAGTTGTTGTAATATAGAAAAAAAAAACGCGACACCGGAGATTCGCTGAAAAAAAAAAAGCATAAAATAATATTGAGGGTTGATTTGAAGAAGGCCCTATTTAGCCGATCACAAAAGAGGAGTCACGGTCGAGCGGAAAGTGCTCCACACACAGTTCCGGGCTTGGCGCACTTTCTAGGGCTTGGCGCTCGACTTTGTCTTCATCCTTAGCGTCCGGCTAAATAGGGAGCTTTTAAAAAGCAACGACGACGGCGACGTCAAGGGAATGGCAATCAAAACAACCACTTTGCACGTGCATCACGCTTTTTTGTACATTTTACGTTTGAAGGAAACAGTTATTGCTTGACAATCGTATGAGGTTATCAGCTTGTTTTCTTTCTTGTCTCCTCTCAAATCCACAGACTGCGGCAGCGTTGCAGAGGAACACTCGCCCCAGTACTCACGATTCACCGCTCCCTGTTTACGGTCAAGAAACCGTAAGACCACTTCCATTGCCTCGCTATCGTGCTGGTAAGGTTTCCTTTTTTTGTCCTCTCCTGTCAAAACTACAACAATAATTCTACTATTTGATAAACGCCCTGACGGATTTGGGCACTAATAAGACAATGTTCAAGGACTTCCGGCGCTTAAAGTTCTTACTTTCCCTGTCCAAAAATAGGCAAATCCCAGTTCCCTTTTTTTGCCTTCGAAGGCTTTCTTACTGCCGAATGTTTTCGTTTTTATTGACCCAGAAGAAAGAGGATGGATTTATGTCATGGTCAAAAGATAATTTTTTCTCGCGGAACAACCACGGGAAATCACGAACTCTGACTCAATCAGGATAGAGGATTCGCTTTATCTTGCCCGCTCGCGAATTCAGTCGTATTACAGAAAGCCTTATAAAATAAAAAAAGGGATAAAATGGCACGGCTTTTTTTCTCGTCTGTAATCATTACTTTTCCAATTGTTTATTTCCTCATGTCTTGTTTCGGCAGAGTCTATATTGCATCGTGAAAAGAGGGTTTGTAACTGATATTGGAAAAGGAGGAAATCTGTATCTACTTTATGACTGTAAATATCTTTAATCAGTGGCTTTCACTGTACCATCATGTTGCTTGTGGAATTATAATTCCTACTATTGTCCCTTATAGCGGAAGTTCCCATTTCTGTGGCGCATGGATTCAGTCACGACACGGCGGTGTTCGGTGTATCCTGCCCTCAACCTCTTTACCCACGGCATTACTCCTCCCCTTATGGCAGCACCCACCATCACAGCGGCCCATCCGCCATCCGAAGGTCATTGGGTAGCGGTCCGTATCCTGGTGGTTCTGGTATGTCTACCGTCACACATTCGCCGGAAATGCAGGAATTTTGTTCTCCTCATAGAGCGCTGAGAAGACCACTGCGTGGATTACAACCTCAAACTAAAAGTCTGTCGGCGTCTAATCTTAGAGGTTTGGGTGTGTCTACGATCACTCAACCCTCAAGAATCCAAGAAATGCCAAGACCGCCACCCCATGGATTGCAACACCAAAGTGCAATTCCAGACTTTCCGAATCTTGGTGGTTATGGTTTATCAACAGACACCCTCCAGCCACAAATCCCAGAATTGCGTGCCTCGTATGGAACGCCTAGTCCGTCACTGCATGAATTGCAACCGCACCATACATTTCCAGGTGCTTCTTATCTTAGTGGTAGTGGCCTGTCTTCAGTCACCCATCTACCAGGGTTCTCCGGGCGTTCTTCCCCGTTTGGAACAATAAGACCGCCACAGTATGAGCTGCAACCGCAAGGTGCAATTCCAGGCGATCCGCATCTTAGTGATCCTGCTACGTCTTCAGTCACACACCCGTCAGTAATCCGTTTTCCCTCATATGGAACCCTAAGACCCCAACTGTATGGACCGCAGCTTCAAAGTGTAATTCCAGGCGATCCGCATCGTAGCGTTCCCTTTGCGTCTTCCGACACACACCGGCCAGTAATTCCCGGACGTTTTTCTCCGTATGGAACGCTGAGATCAGATCCGCCTAGTTCCCAAAGTACAATTTCATTTATGCGCGGGCAGGAGCACAATGCGGACGATGAAACTGATAGGCCTTAAGCAACATTCCTAAAGTGTACCCTTTGGACAGTGTAATATTGTATAAATTTCCAAAGCTATGCCGCATTTCAATAGATTTGTAGTGTGGTTATCATTGTAAATAAATTTAAACTGTAAGACACGAAGGAATGTGTAATTCGCTGTGCAATGTGGCAGCAAAAAAGCTCAATCCTTTGGCGTGGATGAATCAACAATAGAATATCTAGCTAAAATAACCACGTCGATCTCCCCGAGTTTTGTTGAGGGGAGGGGCGTCTGTACAGAGGCTACGTCTCTTGCGGCGCGGAGCGAGGAGTCCGAGAATCAACCATACGACACTACATAAATTCATGATAATCTGTGTATAAATGCTCTTTTTCTGTATTTTAAATATTTGGTGTATTTTATTTTTGGAAATAATTGAGTCAACGTTTTGGACACAGACAACGAAACTCTAATTTTCCCGTGTTATTTGTACCGTTTTTTTTTTTCTAACTGTTTTCAACGCTATAGGATCATTTCCATCAAGTGGCCGGAATTAAAGGAGAATTGGCTGCATTTTAGGCTATTGAGAAACCCAGCTGTTTGAAAATAATGCTCTTTTAATTGGAAATGCACTTTACCTGTCCAGACAAAATGGGAGATTTTGGACAACAATGATGTTATGTTCCCACACAGGATAAGAATGACTTGCTTCCGCTTGGAGCTACAGAGTCATCTCTCAGTCTCAGACTCATCCAGACTCTGAGATAAGGGGGGGGCCTGGTCTCCAAAAAATATATTTTTTCGGCCCTTTAGGCCTCATTTTGGTCTAAAAATAAGGGCAGGGCCCGGGCCCCTGGGCCCCTCCCCTGGATCCACCACTGTATCATATTGCTGCAAGCCCCCAGGAAAGCAACACACTAATCTTTGGGCTTCCTGTGGTTTCTTGGGTGTCCCGTCGCTATTTAGGCATTATAATCTGGATTTATGTTTGTCAGGATGATTCTTAGCAAGTATGTCCAGAGGTGTCATCATAACTTTATTTCATATCATACCCCCTCATTACATCATTCTAATTGCACTAAGTTTAGCGCATTACTGTGCATACAAACAGATACAGAGTATTTTTGTATGACTGTAGTAAATTGTGTAAAACCTTGACCTAAATAACCTTAATGAGCGGTTTTTATGTGCATTGTTTTGCACTATTAGGGAGGTACAATATTAAAGATTTAGATCAAGGTTTTACAGAGTTAACAGTCATACAAAAATAACTGAAACTGTCTGTTAAAGCAGTACAACAGTGAAGAGACTTATTACTTAAATAATTGCAGTATATATTACAGAAGTTTCACCATCCCTATTTGAAAAATCTACGACTATGTGGCTGACTTTTTGTCGCAGTTGTTTTTTTGGTATTATTCTCCTTTGTACTTTGTCTATCACTATAATCTTACATATGTTCACAAGACCCAGATTCGAGGGGATATAAAATTTGAACCAAAACATTCGTATCCAACTGTCTGTCCATTACGATTCAAAACCAGTGGTGTTGTCAGCGTTACATGTTAACCAACTTGAAACTAAGACAAATCTAAACTTCTTCCATGGTCAGTTCTTCTGTGATTTCAGGAGTGTCGGAGGTGCTTAAGAGTGATGCGTGGAGGCCAATAATAAAGAATGACGCACCTGATAAAAAAAATAAATGACCTGTCAACCTTTACTATTAGAGGGCATAAAATTTATAAAACACAGTTATAACCGTAAATTAAATTCAATGTGTGGCCATTCAAATAAAAGCTACTGAGTAGTACTTTCCTGTGGTATTGTTTACTACATTGTACAGGGCGATTCTAACTTTTGAGTCTGAGAATGGCAAGAACGAATAAAAACGCTTCTGCAGTCCTTGAGCCATGCCCTTGGGGTAGGTCAAGTGATGGCTCAAACTTTAAAGAAGTTAAGAATTCGTCACTTCCAAGTTTCAAAAACCCTCACTTTCAAAATGAAGCCAAGTGTACAATCTTTCTTGCAAAGAGTTTTATCTGCATGAGGTTGAAAAATAATTTCCATATCAAAATAATGCTAAGCACTTAACCTTGTTTTAATATAGTGACCCGCGGGAACTTGGAGCCTATTACCACATACTATAACTGCCTTTCATTTAGACAAAAAATTTTACTAAACAGAGAAATATGAAAACTTACAACATTCTTACTCACCTATAATCCAAAACACTGTTGATCCCGCAGAGGCCAAAATAAAGAGAGGAAGGCTGATCAAAATTACAAGACCATACTGCTCCACTCGACTCAATTCACGACCTATAGGGCCACAAAATAAATTACACCAACTACAAAACTTTCATTAAATTATTATATTTCAAAACATGTGTTACTACCTCCCATCACCCTGACCTCAAGGTATCCCCACACCAGCTCTCAAACACAACCGATCCAGCCATCCCACCCTCCAAATTTTACACCTGAACTTTAACGAAATTTTAGGAATTTCAGAGAAGTTAGAGTTAATTTTTCAGCCTAAAGTTAACAGAAAAGTTCAAACAGAGATGCTTTCTAGTCTGTGAGAGTCGCCGTTCCATACAGAAGAGCAGAAAGGTTACTATAATTATCTAGAAAATTGTAAAGGTAATTCAGGAGAGTTGCTAAGCGTGTAATAGATAACATCATAAATTACTATTAGCTTCCCACCTAGAACTTGGATCTTTTTTCCTTGGTTTTTATATGATATAAATAAACAGCCACCCCCTGCGACTGATAAAGCAATGAGCAGCAGTGGAGATGTGAGCCTGCAATAAAAAGAATGATTACAACACATTATTGTGCGGTTCCAACAAATAAGGGTTCCACATCACCTTACAGACAATCATTGTAATTTTCATGGGGAAGGGAGTCTTACTGATCTATTTTTTACAGAGGAGAGGGGTAGATTTGAAGGGAAAAACTTTCTTTAGGGGGAGTATGGATATTAATTTTTCTGGAACAAAAGGTGGGAAAATGATCTTATGTTTCTTAAGGTGTATGATGGAAAATTCCAAACAAATCTTACAGAGCTAACTTTCTGTTTCACTATACAATAAGCGTAGTTAATATTATCTAAGTTTGATTAGATGCCCTGTGACAGGATAAAATGATTTCTACTGTGTGACTGGCTTTCATACCTGTTCAAACCACCTAGAGAAATTATAAATATCTCCCTAACTTTTGTTTTAACCTCAATATGGTAGGTTATGATTATAGATGGGTGAGTGCAAAAAATACCACCCCCTTCCCCCCTTCTTGTGAGGGTGTGCTGCCCGATTATCCACATCCTGACCTTATTTCAGACAAAAAAGTGTCATTTTTCACACCCATTTCTCAGACCTGGACTCTTAGAAATTATGTCATCATTATTTAGATTAGAAGTGAACAGCAACAAAAAACATTTCTTAAAATCCATTTCAACATTCATGGGTCTCTTCTTTTCTTACTTATTTGAAATTGAGACAATAAATTTGCTCATACACTCCGATCCCATAGTTCCCTTGGAAACCACACCTGATTCCAGACCAAAATGAGCAAAGGCTATAGTAACCTGTTTTTAGACCAAAACAGTGCAAAACCCCTACCCCTGGGGCACACACCTTTAGGGCTTATATAAGGGAGTACCTCCTTCCAGATAAATCCCTATTATTATGGACTGTCACTGTTAAAGGCATTGACACACAGTCACACATAGTGGAGCAGGGCAACAAGGCTGTCACTAAGATTTCAAGTTGCTGGGTATATGAAATTAGCTGGCAGGTAATTGAACAACTAGAAGGTCCTTTTGGTTTTATTTTTCTTTTGTTCCCTATGAAAGTAGCCGGTGGTTATACCCACAGTGGCAGGGAGAAATCCCTGGCCCCCAGCACTTAGTGGGATTTATATGACAAACAGAAACCAGGCCCTACTTGACTGTTTAAATGTTGAGCTTAACTGCAGAATACCTGGCCACTTCGAAGCTATACCCTTATAACATTGGCTATGAGGCTATCCCAGTGGGGGGTACTCGGGATTTCAAGTGACGGGGATGATCGAAGGATTTTTTTGGGTTTGAAAGTTTCGATTCCGGGATTTTTTTGGGTACGAAAATTTGGCAAGTATTTTTTGGGGTAGCTTGATTTGAGTAGTAAAGTTATTCGTTATGTTCTTACCCAGGTTGGTCTTGTTTAGAGTTATTCATAACATTACTGTTGAAAAAAAACCGTTCTTGGGTGTCTCTAGCACCCGCTCTAGCTTTTTAAAATGACTGCCAGATGAGGGAAAGGATATATTCAGATGGTATGATGAATAAACAAACACGAGTGTTCAATTTCCAATGTTTTTCTTTGTGTTACAGCATTACTCCTTTCTGGAACTTTTAAGGGCCACAAAATCGGCATGGGATTTTTTGGGGGTTAATTTTTGGTCCAGGGATTTTTTTGGGTTTTGCTTGAAGCCCTAGGGATTTTTTTGGGTCTTGAATTTTGGCTCCATTCGATCATCCCCGTCACTTGAAATCCCGAGTACCCCCTCTGGGGAGGCTACACAGCTACGTAGTCTCCTATGTAGCCATATAAATCTTTATTCTTTAGCCACGCAGACCTCTAGCTACGTAGCTCTGTAGCCACATAGCTGCGTAGCCAGGTAGCCACATAGCTGCATAGCCCCGTAGGGTTAAGATTAGGGTTAGGGTTAGCTGCATAGCTGTGTAGCCGCATAGTCACGTACCCACTGTTATAGGGGTATAGCTTTCAAGTGATCGGGTATTGTGCAGTTACTCCAAATGTTGGATAGCACTAAACATCTGATAAATCACCATCCAGCAAATAAGTGTTCGGGAAACCAACTGCATTATCCCCTGAATGGAGATTTATCCAGTGGATAGCACTATCCATCTTTTGAACAACTGGGTAAGGGCTACTGAAACGTGAATGACAAACTTCTAGTAGGCATGGTAAATTACGTTCCTTGAAAGAATGTGCTGTGCAATTTTTTTAGGAATTAACTTGAGATATTAAAGGTAAAGAAGATCGGGATCTTTCTACGACAAAAGAAGTTTTTCCTGGCTAAAAAAATTCAAAGGTCAATATCCGAAGGATAACCTTAATAATGTTACTAAATCACCGAAAAAATATTCATGAAACGTTATTCATAATACAATTTATAAGCTTAGCTTTCACATACACTTAGCAGACATGCAATTGCAATCGGATGAACTTACTGCTCGTCGTTAAATAAAATAATATTTAGTACCTTACATACGACAAATCATACCCAAGGCATACATATAAGATTTTTTCCCGAATTTTCGATCTACCGCCGTTTACACAATGGAAAATTGCCTAAAATCTGTAATATGCCATAGCGGGGAACTTACTCTCTGCTTGTTGTAAAATAAAAGACTCCTAGAATTTAGACGGTTTCAGGACGTGAAAACGAGATCTTCTTTTCTTAAAAACTACAAATAATAGTCGATCGAAATATCAACTTACACGCAGTAAAAGAACAGGAGTATCGTTATCAGAATGTAGTTGCTCTGGTAGTCTTCCAAGTTCTTCATCACTCTCTTGCCAGCTTCGGCTACAGTTTTTGGCTTGCTGAATCGGGAACTTTTAAAAAACTCTGCCCATGGCTTCATCTGTGTTTTGCGTTTGTACAGCCATTCTTTAGCGAGTTGTACGTGAGACGATGGAGTTATTACAGCCGCCATTTCAATATTTCCCGTGATTTCCTCCGTCGCCATAGCTTGTGTTGTAATGTTCTAAACGTCACCAACATACTCTCCCCTCCCCGAACAGTCATGACAATAATTACTAATAGGGGTGCAGTAGGCGAAACTGAAATCTTCTCTGGTCCCTGATCCTTACACAAAACTATTCAGATTATTTTGCAAGGGGTAAGTCTAGTCTTTTTGCAAATAAATATACTACTTCTTGTCAAGAGTTTTTAATTTCTTTTTTACAGTAAAAAAAAAAAGTATCCCAAAAGCATCACAAAGGTTAATTATTACAATTTTCTCTCAGATTTAATGTGAACTGATTAACTACCCTGTTTTCACATGAAAAGTTAATTGAATTTTTTCCTTTTATGAACCATTGAGAATCATTCTCACAAATATTTCGAAGCATTCCTCATTGAATCCATGTAATTCAATCTCATAAGTTGGTGGATCTTTTTTTCTGGTGCCAGGAGTTTCATGAATAACTGCCTTGTTGTACATGAAAAGCCCTGGACTTATCCACACCATATTTTTGATGCCGCTGTCAGAAACAAAGTCTAATGTATTCAGTTGATAAGATAGGAATGACAGTCTGATTCCATCACTTGCAATACACTGTGCGGTTAGGGGCTTTTCTAAAGTGTCTCCAAGTGATGCTCCATTGTTTAAAGCTTCTGCCGCAAGCCGTCCAAAGGTAAACATAACACCTGTAAGTTAAACAGTGGTAATAATATTAATAAATGATGGCAGTGATATTAATCAATATTGGCTCCAGTATTATAAAAGATGGTGATAAAATTAACCAATAATGGAAATGACATACGTCATCAACCACCTAACGTTCATTTACGTACAAGTAAATGTTGCTATTTCACAGGCAATTTTCAGCAGGAATTCACAGCTCAGTTTGACTAGTACCTAGCTCATTATGGAGTGACAGAGTATCTTAATTTTGAAACTGTAGATTTACAATGTGGTATTGTTGAGGAAAAGCATTAAAATATTGAGCTCTAAAGAGGGAACATAAATGAAGGCAGTCAAAATATTATTTTACCTTCCTCTTATCCCCATTCAGGTATTACTCCAGTAAAATTTTATCCTCTGAACTGTGATTTGCTACAAGTCAATTAATTAAAATAACATACTTTCAAGAATACTCTAGTCTAGGTCAGTATACCTTTTCATGAGTTGATAATTCACAAGATAGCAATGGTGACATTATCCACTGAAAAACCAGATTTTGACGAAGTACATGGAAAAAGGCTTCAACCCTTTAAGTCTAGATACAAACTCTCCAAACTAATCTCCATCCATTTCCTTGACATTTAGTTGAAACGATCGAATAGAAGATCAAAGTATTTACCTCTGGAGATCAATGTCAATTCTAATAAACTTTTCTTTAGATGATGTATTGACATTGATTACGAGTACGAGATTTGAGTGAAAGTTTTATTGCGTATTCTCAAAAAATAATATACACTCCAGAGAGCTTCATAGTACTTTTGATTCACCAGGAAAGTTAGCACTGTTATCTTTATTAAAGGAAGTTACAAGGTAAGCCCTCTCCCAATCACAAAATGATAAAACTTCTAACATTTGATAACTCATCTCCACCACTATGACATTCATACTAAATTTTGTAGCAGAATGACCATGGCTGTCACGTTTTCCTGCCAAAATGGCGCTGGTTCAAGTGCCAGCAATTTTCAGTATTGAGAAAATCTTGTACTCATAGTTGTTGTCTTCCTCAAATCTAAAGCTTTCTAATCATGCAGGATGTAATGTGGCCTCCTCACCTTGCGCTACCAAGTCACTAGTAGTCCACTTTCTGTTTGTACTGACAATAAAAAGCGTATGCGGATATGGAAAGGGAGAACCATCATAGAACCCAGTATCCAGCTTTTGTGTTGTTCTTGCCTTGTTGAGATTAAACACTGGAGAAATTATCTCTGGTTTCTCCAGAGATACTTGTTCAGTTCTCTTCACCTCTGCGGTGTCTTCAACTTGTTTCAGTTGATGCTTCGATGATAACAGAAAACCAAGATTTCCAGAAATCAACAGGTCAGTATCACCTCTTTTGTATGATACGCTTACACGGGGCTTGTATGTCAGCGATGTTTCCAAGAGTCTTGGGAAACTGAGGTAACAAAAAGGTTAAGTGTCATGATGATTTTCCAATAATTGCTGTTCTGGGGTGAGACTACACTAACTTTAAAAATCTACATCTGTCAATACAGTGTATATGTTGTAGTTAATTTTTATCTCAGGTAAGTTTTGCTTTTCTTTTGTTCATGAAAACAAAGGAAAAACAAAAATTACCTGAGATAAAAAATTAACTACAACATATACTTTTAGTGATGGTTAAATAATAAAAAACATCTATACTCATGGTTCACATTACATCACCCGTGGTATGGATGTTATTTTTTTGTGCCAGGCTATTTTTTATTGGTTCTTTTTGCTTCAGTGGTTAGCAAATTTAAATAACAAAAACCATGTTTACAAACACCAGCTACTTCTAAAGTATACATAGAGGATATTACATGGCTGCGCGGAGATACGAAATTTCTCTTCGAGTGTTGAAAAATATTTCACGAGTGAGCACAGCGAATGAGTGAAATATTTTTTCAACACGAGAAGAGAAATTTCGTATCTCCAAGTGGCCATGTAATGTTCTATTTATTATATAAACACCAATGAACTACCAATTTCACTTTAATAGTTTTTTGGTGTGAAAGGCGCGATTTATTATGAAGCCATAGCAACGGTGATATTTTCACATGTGAAGATAACATGTTATTTTCACATGTGAAGATATCAAGTTTTCACGCGAAAGCTCACATGGTATTTCATTGGCGTTTATATAATAAAGTGTAGTATGTTATTGTCCGAATTCTTCTTCGGTCTTGATTTTGTAGCCCTTACATCAGTTTAATGGGAGCTACTTTAGAATACCCGGCACTCGTTGCAACACTTAAAAGAACGAGGTAAAAACACGATACTGTCTTTTACTATTCAGCGAGATGCAAATACATGTAAGTGGCCGGGTACTCTGAAGTAAGTTAAACATGTGTCCATACCATATGCTTTATTCTCACCTGCCAGAATAACTCCACATTACCCTTAACATATTCTGCATCAAAGGTAAAGCATTCATATCTCTAGTTGCATGGTCACCTTCATGATTAATCAGCCTTGTCTGAATCACATTTTGTCTGAATTTTGACATCATGTCTTCCCTCGTTGAGAGATCTAAGTGAGAACTTTGCAAGCAAGTTGAAATGTCCCCCATTTCTAAGGTCTTTGTGAGGTAAAGTGTTTGATTTTCTGGCTCCAACGTACGACTTTGAGGATGATAAACATAAGGCTTTGTATTTGCGGAAACACAATAATCTTTCTTGCCGAGAAAATATGGTAAAAGACGATTTAGTTTTGCACGCATTCGGACGGCAGCCATCTTGAATTCTTCCAGATGGGAGACTGGGTCCCCGTTCCCAGTCTCCTTGTTGTTTCTGGGTTTTGTTGTCTTGGAAACAAGCAATATTTCTTCCCATCCACAACCAATCTTCGCCATTTTGAATTCACTTCCCAACAGAGAAACAGTTGTAATCAGAGCAAAAAGACTGATAAATATGGTAAGTATGAAATACTATTAACCATCATAAGGCTGTTTTCATTCATTATACATCTGAGAGTCGCCTCGTCTTATCCCCAGAATCTTTGTGACTTTAACTTCAATCAAATTTGTGTGATTTCTCCATAGCCAAACAGCACTGTCGGGTCGGTAGAATCTACCGGGTCAAACGCATCTAGGAAGTCTTGGACGAGACAATATCACACAGTCAATAAGACTTCCACCGTAGTAAGTTCATGAAGACTAACTTAAATATTTAGTATCGCCCGAAACGCCAATATAACTGTTGCTGATGTTAGTAAGCTACGCTGAAGCACCTAGGCAAATTGAAAATGCAGTAACCCGTACGGAACATGCAGATCTGCAGACTGGTCTTTTTTTCGTCTGCTCAACCGTCTTCAGCAGGCCTGCAGATCACTTGCCTGAAATGTCTGCAGTTAGTATGCAGTTGGTCTGTATTAAGTTTGCAGTTCGATTTTATTTAGTCACGGAAAGGTGAACACAAAAAGTGGATCGGTTCTAAAAGTATCCCTTCACTGTCAGTGAGCTGCAAGTGAAAAGGTGAATGGCAGACCTTTAGGTCTGCAGATTGACTGCAGCAAAGTGAATGGTGTATTAGATGTCAGCTAAAAATATACGAAGAAAACAACACGCTGCAAGCCAAAAGGTGATCTTTATTTAAGAATGGAAAGAGGCATCGAGAGAGTAACTTAAAATTATCTTTTTTAAAAATAAAGAGAATAACAGCGATTGCTCTTATACATAAAGTTTACACGGACAGCAGGCAAATGATATTTTGATTCGTTGCAACGGGCTAAGCTGGACATTGCTCACCTTGACGTTTTGTCCATGATCCACGATCTTCTACACTTTTTTCATGAAAGAAATCAACCCAATTTTACTTTGGTCGTCGTTAAATTTTACAATGGACTAAAAAGGAACGAACATTACCACGAGCGTATAAGAATCTTGTAAGTGCGAGTTACCCCATCTGAGATTCTTGTATCTGTGTTGCTTGCTCTGGTTCGATTCGTCGATACTTAGCGTAGAAGTCACTGTTCAGTGCGTTGTTTGCAAATACGTTTGAGCTGTTCCATCCAAAAACTTCAACGGAACTTCCATCTCGAAACAGAACTAGATGCAAAAACACTTAGAATGTTTGCGCCTTTCATTCAACGGTCGCAGATGTTTGGGATCCCGTGTTTGTCTAGAGATGTAATGGGATCTCATGTAAAAGGACCGACCAATTAGATCACGGCCTAGAATGTCTCCAGGGAATTAGCGATAACATTCCCACACTTGCCGGTCACGGAATAAAATTTATTGAAAGCATAGAATTTGAAGGTTTATTCAATAAGTGATCTTCCTTGAGCACAAGCTTACTCACATTTCTTAGAGGTACAGTCAACGTTTTCGCGTTATAAAAGCCGTAATCTGTGCCAGGGCTTTATCTGGCGATTCATGTTATTGGCGCTCAAGAAAGTCAGATCGACCGCAGCTGAATTGTAGCGACGTTACTGCAGCTACTTCGCAGCGTTTGAAAGTCGGCAACTGCGCTGCAAAACCGCTGCCGAGAGCTTCAAAGAACCTTCAAAGGCTGCACAGCGCTTTTGCAGCCCGCTGCAACTTGAATGAAGCTGCTGTTTGGCTTCTAAAAGGCTGCTGAACAGCTGTAATTTAGCTGTACAGCTATTTTGAAGCGATTTTGTGGCGCTGTACAGCGCCGCAAGTTTCGTGCGGGTGGTTGTCTGCACAGCGTCTGCTGCAGATCAAGTGCAGACATAATAATAGATCCTTATTGCATAATCACCAAAAGTCACGAAAGGTCTGCAACAGACTTGCTGCAAACAAGATAAAAGGGAACACACAGTCAAAGAAGAAGTCATTTTCATGAGATGTCTGTCACAGACAGTATGCAGACTTGCAGACTTCAGTTTTGCGTCAAATTGGTCTGCTGTATGACTGAACAGACCTGTGACAGACCTGAGAAAGGCCTTCGGCAGATCTGCAAGTTACGTACGGGAAATTTTCTTCCGAAAGGTACTTCAGCGTTTTATTGTAGTTCCTAATTTAGAAGAAATTTTAAACCGGTTACGTTAAGCCTACCTATTCGGCACTTGATCTCGCATGACGAAAACTTGTTTTCCGAGCGATCTGTGGTTGTAGATTGGAGGAAAATAAGTCTTTAGACGAACTTCTTATATTATCTTTTAGCTTTCAAGAGTAATCTTAAGTTATCTGTTTACAGGAAAAATTCGTCATTTATTTTCTATGGCCTAATGTCTTGACAGTTTATGACCATATCCTTAAGCTTAATTGGTTCTGCATTTTATCCTGCCCTCTAATAAAAAATTGGCAAAGATCATAGAGAATTTAAAGCATTGTTCTTCCTTAGGATGAATCACTCTTTGCTTCACCAAAGAAGACAAGACCTGGTGAAGAGGATGCTTTTGCTACAGCATTGTCTGAACGGTCATCGCGTAGACGCACTGGTAGGTACACCAGTTTGCTCAATACCGTGGGCGCCAGAGACTTTTCGTGGTTTCCGATTTACCTGTTTCAGTCAAGTCTTTTTAGTGACTCTTATGGCTTGGGCCTGTAGCTTACACCAATGGCAAAGAATTCCAGTGCATGGGAGAAAAACTCCTGGTACCCAGAGTAATAGCATGGCTTATGTAATGCTAAATAATTTAGCATATTTTCCAACAAGTCCAATAATTGGACTTGTTGGAAAATATGCATTTAGTTATCTGTCATCATTGGCAGATCTAATATTAATCTTCAAGTAGGAGGGGAGGGGGGGGGTGTGGCACTGCTATCAAGACCTTGAGAACATAGAGGGTCTCAGCTTCGAAAAAATTTTTGTCAGCCTGATGGGCTTCAGTTTGGCCTGAAAATAAAAGTGGGGGCTTAGAAGTGCCTGAGACCCCTAGATCCGACCATCACTTGTGACTCTAGGGACTCTTTCATTTCTTGAACTTTGATATGGTTCTTAGGAATTCAACTCCAGGACATATGATATAGTGAGTTGGAACAATCGCGATAAAGATTGAAAAAAACCCAAATTCATTATTTAAGCAGTATTTTTGCCACCGTTGCCATCATCGGATCTTAATCATGATGCACTCCTTTGATTTGAGGATTTGAGATCTACTTTCTTTATCACTCTAGAGCTGACAGCTTCAGTTGTAAGATTTTTATCCTTTTTGTATCGGCACCCTTCCCCACCCAAAAAGCAACACCAGAGGGGAGAGTGGCTATGTGTTTGCTTAAAGATTTTGTGGCAATAATCATACTGCTCTTCTTAAAATTAACTATGGACTGGTCCATGCTTTCAGGAAAAGGAACACCAGCAAAAAGGTCTGATGACCCAGAGACAATTCAAGTTATAACCAAGGATTTAATCAGAAGATTAAGGTAAACTTCTGTTTTACATTTATAACTCTTTAATTTTGACCCTTTAAGCCCTATAATTTTATTCAAAGGCACTTTCTTTGCACCTGTCAATATACATTTCCTACAATACAAATAGAATTATATAAAATTCTGTGACTAATTTGTATATTTTTGTCTAATCTACAACTATTACATTAATTTATTAACAGAGTTCCTCAAGAAGATCCTTCTGGAAGGACTATTATTTTAGAGGCTGGTGAATACCAGCGAATTAAGGTGAGGTTGTTATTGCAGGGCTTCTGATATTTCGCGCGGTAAATTGTGAAAACTGCACAGTAGTCATGATGTTAAAACCTTCTCATTGGCTCATTTCTCAAGCACTTTGTTGTTGAAATAGCAAATAATTATGTCTGTTGAAAAACATTGAACGTGCTTGTAAAATCTGCACAAAATCAATTGATTTCTTACGAAATTTGCCCTGAAAATTCCCACGAAATCAGCCGTTTTTTACTGATTGTTTTTTGCCAAAGGTAGCCTTGTAAATTCTGTGAAATTTCAGCAAAAGCGGCCGATTTTTCCGCAAATCTGTTGTGTTAATCGGTCTGATCAATAAGAGTATTGTTTGTCATCCTTGAACTCCTTGACAGGACTTTTTTGTGGGAGTTACATGTAACTTGGCATTTCATCCCTCTTTCCCCCAAATAAATAAATGAAAATGAAGTTTTGCCTTTCACCAGTCTGCATCACATGTTCCCACTCAAGAAGAAAGAGACTGGGCTAGGGAAGAAATGAAAAGGAGGAAAGAATATGAACAAAATGCCTCAGAGGAAAGAAAAAATTTTATGCAGACCATGGAGCTGAAAAGAAAAGAGAATGCAAAACCTTCTGATCTGGAGCAGGTAAATAACTGTATAGTGAAAAACATTAAATTTATAAATTAAAGGGCTGAAAGCAAAACTGTCTTCTGTCAAGTCTTTTGTTGATTTTTTTCTGGCCAGAATTGCCTCAATCTTCATATGTGACCTAAATTGATTCAAAAGAATAACTTTGCCGTGTATTTTTTTGCGTCATTTCTTACTAATTTTTGTACAAATTACTTATGCAAAAAATGCTTTGGGTTCTTTAGAACAAAAACAAAAGAAATCAGAAAGTTCTTTGTTTTGCAAAATCAACTAAGAACATCCTTAGATTAGATTCAACTGACACTTTATTTTTCATCAACACAGTACAGTCTAATATAAAGTGAAACCTTGATTTAACAAACCTCTACATAACAAAGTCTGCAATGTAACGAACGATTTTCTTTACCCCAATAATACTAAAATAATTTAATATATAAAAAGGAACCTTATTCAGATGTTCAACTAATGCTTTTTCAGATTTTTAAGGACGTTTTATGTTTACAAACCAATGGCAATTGAAGTTTTGATGAGGGAATTTTCATCTGAGTTTTGATTATTGTAAATGGCTATACTTGTTAGGAAGCAAAGAAACAGAGTGGTACTTTACTGGAAAAGGCGCAAGAACAGATGGAAGAACAGGAGGATGAAATTAAGAAGCTTAATGAGGTAGCTTCAGTTGTCTTAACAGGGTTAATCTTTATCAAGCATACTTCAAGAAAGCAAAGCTGTCTAAGTGTAGTTAACAAAGCAATTGCTCACTGCTTGTGGTTGAAGTCTAAACTTTTGAACATTTCAGATCATCTTTTCTGTTGATTTCTATATGGGCATAGACTGTGGTGTTCATGGTCAATTTGTTTTTACCATAACTCCCGGGGGGGAACTCCCATATGAAACAGACGGGGGGATGCTCGTCGCAAATTTTGAATTTAACCCCTAAAGGAGAACATCTTGGTGTGGCTCAAGCTTTTTGTGACCCCTAAAGGAGACCAATCTGGGCGTGGTTTAAGCAAATTTTGACCCCTAAAAGAGATCACTTAAAAACACACAAATACTACATGCAATGAGTTTTAATGATATAAAGACATAATCATCGAATGCTTTTATCTAAAAGTAGTTTTTAAAAGCATTGTCATAAATCTCAAGTTCTTCGCGGAACCCTAAACGAGACCTTGGCGGCTTAAAATATTGGCGCTTTGCCCGGAGCACCCTAAGCGAGACCAAAATCCAAATTTACACCCCTGAGCGAGACGACGAGCATCCCCGTCTGTTTCATATGGGAGTCCCCCCCGGGCCATAACTCTCTTTTGGTAACTACTGACCACAAGACAGTGTAAAGACTGGTTAGAAATAATTTAATAACTATCAGTGCATTTTCTGTTTCTGTTGCAGCTCATACTAAATGCCAAGTGTCATGCCATCCGTGATGCACAGCTTATAGAAAAGGTTGAGATCAAGAAAGAACAACTAGACGAGGAAAAACGACTTGACGAGATGATGGAAGTGGAGAGACTTAACGCTCTGAAAGAGTATGAGGAGAGAGAGAAAGCAGCTCACTTTGAAAGACTCAAAGGAGCACAAGTGCTGCAGCAACAGATAACTGATAGGGAACAGTCACGATTGCTGGATGAAGAGAAAAAAGACCAAGAAACAAAGGTTGGTACATCTAACTGGTTCCTTAATGTACAAATTCTCACTCCTTTTTTTAATTTCTTGCCTTCCTCCCTTTAGCCTTTTTTTTATCACAAAATATTAATCATTGTTGCACAATTCCCCCTATCTCTCCCACTTTCCACCCTTTTAGTATTCCCACCTCCCATCCTTTTCTATTCTGCCTCCCATACCCATCCCTACCCCTATAAATTTTACCCTGCCTCATATCCCCCTAATGTTCCCCACTCAGAAGGTGTTAATTTGAACCCTCACCCCACCCCCATGAAAATTCCAGTTTAGCTACATACTTTCCTGGGAAACTGCCCATCTCCCCCTCCCCTAAGCCATCGTTTTGCCTTGAGCGAGAAGTAAGTGTTTGCTTGGGGAAGGGGTAGGCGGGCAGTTTCCCGGAAACCTAAATTGATCCGAAATTTCTAGTAACCCGTCATGGGGTGGGTGTGGGTATTTCTGGAACCACCTAACATAGTGATGCTAGTATTTCATGGGGGAAAATGAAAAAAAAAGAAATCATTCTTTATGAACTGCTGTGGAAATTTAAGGTTGCATACTAGATTTCTTTTTTTCTTTTAGGTGATGTTACAATACCTTGATAAGCTGCAAAAAGAAGATATGGAAAATTTGGTCAAAAAGCGAGAAATACAAAGAGCGTTGATGAAAGATGTGGCCAAGGCAAACGAGGTGAACTTTTTAAATGATTCATAAATTCCAATGGTCGTGAATATTATTGTTTGATCGCCTGTTCTAGTCCAAGTATATCAAATCTAGGGCCAGTAATTAGTCATAAATGGATGCATCAATAACCACTTAAGCCAAGAAGCATACGTACAGCTATGTCAAGAAAGTTCCATTGTCGGAAAAAGTGCTCACGACAGTCCCGAAAGGTGTTGTGGGTGGTTTTGAGTTCACTGTCCTTCAAAGAATTTTGAAAGAACGGCATGAGATTCCATGGACGTACGTTTGTGAGTGCTAAAGGAAAGCACCAAACGTAAATTTGACAGCTGCATTGTCAGTAACGGTGTATTGATCATATATTGATCATATTACCTGCAGGATTGCTGCTTGCACATTTTCACCGACGTTTCTCGAAATAACTGTATGTGTGTTTCTTGGCTCAACTATATTAATATCAATTTTTGCACCTAATGGCTCAAATTGTAGCCCATTTTATGGCTTTCCGTTGACCCGATGGAGACCCTCAGAACGGGGTGCTTTGAAGTTAAAATGCTGGGGACGAAACAAGGATGCCCCCACCTCCACCCCCCCGGTCTCATAATAGGGACCTTAAGCTAAAGTCAAAAAATGGCAACCGGAAGTAGATATTATATCTGTTTCACTGCTCTGACTCGACAAATTTGTACAGTGGGAGTTAAAACAATGCATTCAGATTCTTTGTGTGTGACAGAAGTGTACCATCAAGCTACACATCGAATTCCGGTTACTATTGATGACGTCCCGGACGTAGCGTTCTCGTTGCTTAAGCTCACTAGTAACCTGCGCCGCACTCTCAGATGTTAGGCAAGCGAAAAACGATGCGCTAACTTGAGTACCAGGCCATGTTTCTGGGATGGGGAAAATCTCCTCTCCCATTACCCCTAAGAAAGGCCTGATCAGCTTCAGGCTAATGACGCGCGTGATCTGGGGAAGAGGGCGACCACCTCATGATTGATAGTTTTAATTGTTATTTCGTCCCCTAAGCTTCTATATCTGCTACTGGTAGTTTAGCTGAGCCTACAAAATGTAAGATGAACGCTGTGTACCTTTTAATAATTTCTGTTAAAAAAAATTTGTTATCTTTAATACCCAGGAAATCAAATTTCTGAGAGAACGTAAAACAGAGCAGGAAAAGTTAGAGGAAATTAAAGTCATGGAGTTTTTGAAGCAAAAAGCGGTATGTAAAAACTTTGAAAATTCGATTATTATCTTCATAATATTTTGCAAGTAATAACTTCTTTAAATACTTGCAGGATAGTCACAAACGAAATTTAGCAAGTAGTTGTTTTCTTTACAGGAAAGAGAAGAAGCTTATCAGCGTGAAGTGGAAGCTGCCAGAATCGAGAAGGAAAAAGAAATAGCTCGTCTTCGTGCACAACAAGAAAGAGCAAAAGATAAGCAAGCCGAGAAGGTAAATTGTACTCTTTTAATCTTGAAGAAAACCGCAGCAAAAACGGTACAGAAAAAAATTCGACAACAACAACAATAATGTATTTCTTTAAAGAAATATAAAGTTTACAATATTTTGTCCGGGAAATAGCTATAATGCTAATCTAGGCAGGACAAGACTTTAAATAAAGACGTTATTAAATTACATAAGAAGAAAGAAAAGAAAAGAAATACAATAGCATACAGAAAGAAACGCCTTACATATAAATTCAAGTTCAGGGGATTTTGTTATTTGAAAAAGACTAAAATTACAACAACTGGAAGTATATAAAACATATCAGGTTAACTGAATTGCCAAACATGTCAAGTACTATAGCTCGAGAAACTAAACTCGCGGATCGCGGATAGGATTTTGTTTCCGACTTCAGCGTTACAGACGTCGACGTATGAACAAATACTCGGAACAGTTTCGCCATCCTTTTCAAGTTCTTTTAACCGCCATTATACTTAAACTTTAAAACTCTAGGCTGCAGAAAGTTCGTTGTGCATAATTTTAACAACAACACTCACGAACACACAATATACAGGTGCACTTTAATTCAATTTAGTTGAATATCTTAGTATAAAGAGAATACTTTCGCTGTTTCTTTCTTTCCGGTGTTATTTTTACGAGATCTAATTTTCGCGAATCGTTAGAAAATCCGCGAGATTTCGTGCTTCCTTCGTTGAACCCAGCCGGAGGAAGATTTCTAAACGGAATTAAAAAATGTAAAACATCTTTTTGAAAAGTCTGGAATGGATTTGACTCTTTAGGACGCTTTAAGAGCAAAGCGAAATCAAGAAGAGGCTGAACGAGAATGGAGAAGAAAAGAAAAAGAAGAAGCCGAGAAAAAGTGAGCTATTGTTCTGTTTGTTGGTTATTTGTTTACGATTTCCTGATTTTCTGGCTTTCGAGTTGGGCTTGCATCTCGGATTTCTCGTTCCGCGCTAGAAGTTATTCCGCGCGCAAACCTCTCGCGCTTTCTCCCCCACAAGCGTAACCTGTTCCAGGCTCCGAAATAGTCGGGTCCACTGAATTTAGAAAGCGCAAACATGAAATAAAGGGAGGAAACTGGGGAGAGGAAGGGCGGCGGAAGAGGGTCGTAAAAGAAATCCTTACAGGCTCTCTATCCCTTCCTTTTTCCCGCCTTTTTTACCGGCCCTGCCAACTTTTCGCGCGCCTTTCGCTTTTGCGTCTTCTCCACTATATGAGAGCCTGGAACAGGCTTCCACAAGCGAGTCTGCTGACACGCTGCCATGATACTTTTACACTCCCGCAAGGGTGTTTTTGAAGGACAATGAGCAGCAATGTTGCAAACAAATTTAAATTTAAACGCAAGTTCTTACAATCTTATTTACGGCTTTGCCAAGAAACCAAATAAGATGTCCTCGCGGATCTGCGCGACTGTCACCTTACGCGCACTTTGCGCCGTCTCGCGTAGTCCATATCACGCGATCGACAAGCCTCCCGTAGTGTATATGTAAATTGGGGTTTACACTTATTTTTCCTCAAACGAGGTCTTAAAACCAAAGAATTGTTTTTATTTTTGTATATATTCCTTGACTTATTTAGCTTTTTATGCTAATGCAATGTTCCCGTTTTTCACAGGAGAGCGACCGAGGAAATGTTGCGAAAGGCTCGCGAGGATCAAGTCAGAAACAAAGAGCATTTCTTAGCAGTACAGGCTGGAAGAGACCGGGCTGAATTTGAACGAGTTTTAATGTAAGTTGAGTTATAAAAGAGTTATAAAAGGCAAAGAAGAGTAAAGAATGTAATGACTGTATACAAGACAGGATAAACTTTATCCTCTTTTGCTGTATATTAACTTCAGTTTGCTTAATAACTTCACCTAGAACTCTATTTAGAAAACGAACTACGAAGAGGCCAATAAAGAATTAAAACGCGCCAGAACGCGATAAGCGCGCTCGGAAGTAAGAATATTAAAGTAAAAGGCATTCTTTTCTGTGCGCCGATGATCTTCAGAGCGTGGAAAGGAAAAAAAATTCTCTTAAATTGGCATATTTGTTAGTTTTGGGTAGCCTGTGAATAGGCCCTCTGTTTGGGGAAAGGTGGCAATTTTCAAGGGAGGGTTTTCAGAGACCTTCTTGATGGGGTGCACGCATTTCCTTTTGATATTGACAAAGTAATCCTTACGAAACTATGTGGGACGGTTTGGAGAATATGCCAGTTAATAAATGTTTTATATTGGGTTGATTGAGGGTGGATTGATCGTTAAACAAATTCTCCTCATTAGCACAATATTGTTGGTTAAGGGCTAAGGTCTAATTTGCTTTTTACAGAGCGCAAGAAGAGCAGATGTTAAAAGACGAAGAAGCTGATAAAATCCAGAGCATCCGTCGCCATCAGCACTCGGAAGAAGTTCGTCAACAAATACGCGAAAAAGAGAAAGACAGAATCCACGCCAGGAATGCTTTCTTCGAGGAAGGAATCAAGCTGGATCAAGAAGCAAAAGCTCGGTGAGTCTCACCTTGCCTCGTCCCCATGCGGCGTCTTCCCGGGCCTCCTCGGTCGAAACGCATGGACCGCGCGGAATAATGAGGCCTAGGAACTAGGCAAAGTCTTCCTAACCCTTTAGTTTCCAAGAATGACCAACGTCCATTTTCTCCTTGTATTATCAGTTCATAATCAAAAGGAAAAGATTGTGAGAATTAACATCATGATAATCAAAGGAAAAAGTCTTAAATCTTTTATCAAATCTATGACATCATATGACATCGTAGCAAAGAAATCGTCGGGAAAGTGACTTTTTCTCGCTTTGACTCATGCTTTATCTTTGTGTAGCGGGGGAGGGGGCGGGGGCATTCCTATGAGAGCCTCTACGGGGAGACTACGCCCACAAATGGGTACCTTTTTTAGGCGTCATAGATATAAAAGGCAAGGGATTTCACTTGTTGACAAATTATAGTATAAAGGATATAAAAGGTCTGTTAAAGGACCTAAAACGGGCCAGCAGACCCAATTTATGGCTTTGAAAAAAATTAACAAAACCTCGTTCATGGTTTAGTAGTTTATTCTTACTGGGTAGGAGCTGCTCGTAAGGTGTTTCCTCATTGGTCGCAGTAAACAATAACACATCATTGTTTATCATCATTTTCCATTATCGAACCAATTGGCTTTTAGGGTTAGGAGAGCTGCTACATCTGTCTTGTTTTAAAAAAATAGGACGTTTCCATGTATAGCAGTTAAAAGAGATGCAGCGTTCTAAATTAGTATGTTGAATGGTATCATTTTTCAATAACAGATATACGAAAGGGGTATGTACCTCTCCTGTCAAAAATGGTGTATAAAAGGGTAAGGGGTTGGACCTCGGGAGGGAACATCTCTTATAAAACTTCGTTGAGTAGTCCCCTGGGGGGGAGGGACTACACTATACTTGGTTCACTTTGTCAACTTGTTTCATTGATCATCTTACAAGTGTTCAGAAAAACATTATAAAACATATGATCAGCATCGCAGGTTATATAATTTAACAAATCACAGACATTGATACGCTTTAAATTCTCTTTTAGGCGACAAAAATTAGATGACATTAAAAGAAGAAAACTGCAAGAACTGAGAGACGCCGGTGTCCCTGACAAGTACTGTAACGAGGTTGCGCGACGAATCGAGGCTCCTCCTCCATCATTGTCCCGGATGTACTGATTTGCGCCCTCGATGATTATAAAATCTTGTATTCCAGGAAAGTTTTACGGATTTGTTTTAAGTTACGTGTTATACGCACTGAGCAATGATCACTTGAAGGTTAAATGAAGAAAAGATGAAACACTTTGGTCATACCTTTTTGGCTATAAGAGCGCGCATTTCATATAGGCGTTCTTGGCTCTTTTACAATGTAAATATTTGCTTTCTTAAAAGAGAAGCTGTGTTTATACTTCGTGTACAAATGTTATTCTGTCAAAGGAATAAATGAGTGTAATGACATACTTTTTTGTCAATTAGTCTTCTCGTTTTGTTACATGGTTAACTGATCAGTGCGGAAGACTGTAAAGAACTAAGAGAAAATGAGCAGAGAAGCAGGAGGAAAACTTATAGTTGTTAACAATTTACATGAGGATACCAGTCTGTTGGAGGTTTGGGTGAAGCGATACCTGGATCGGCAAATATAGTGACTCTCCGTCCCAAACTCCCTAAGTGAGACCAATATCTACAATTTACACCCCTAAGCAAGACAACGAGCACCCCCGCTCACTTTTGTATGGGATTCCCCCTTCCCCCCCCCTTCGGCCCTCCACCGCCGTATCCCCTGGAAGCCCCGAGAGGGTTTGCTCGCAGGCTACTAAGGTCTCTGATTCTCTGAGCCCCTCAGAAGTCCTTGCGAATAGTAAGACTGTAAATGTGGGTTTTTAAAAAACTTGACGTCTTAGTGACAGTAAATTTTGACACAAGCTTTGCTTCCTTTTTCATACTCAAAATTCGTCAACAAAAATGGTATATCAATCAGTCTTAGCCTGCAGGCATGCGTCTTCTATATCCTCTATTGCATGACCCAGACGAAGCCGACACCTACAAAACGCTTGAAAAAGGAAAATAAAATATCTTTACAAAGCGTGCGCTGTACAGAGTGCTGTCTACTAGGCAGCGTCTAGCTTCCTACGAAGACCATGGACAAGACCTTAGTGATAACGACGGGTTCAAATTTCAACGAGGACTTGGTTTTTTTTTTTTTGGCTTACGCTTCGGACGGTCTCATTATCGCGTTACTTTCTGCCGTTAGAGTTACATATTTCAATCAATACTGACTAAACGTGACAGACACTTAGAAACACTGCAATCATGTCGTCAGTTGATCTTGAATCGCCAACAGCAACGAGCCACCTCACCAGAGAAAACTCACAAAATGCAAAGCCAGTTTATCTAAGACGCTCTGTGGGCCTTCCGGAAGCCATAGCGCTCCTCGTCGGTACAATCATCGGCTCGGGAATCTTCGCCACACCAAAATGGGTTTTGCTGTACGTGGGCTCTGTAGGAATGTCTCTAGTGGTGTGGACTGTTTGTGGTTTGATCGCTCTCTCTGGAGCTTTATGCTACTGCGAATTAGGAACTCTGATTTCAAAATCAGGTGGGGAATACGCGTACCTGATGGAGGCGTACGGTCCCCTCCCAGCCTTCCTTTGTTCCTATATATACGTTCTTTTTGTGAAGCCTTCGGGAATTATGGTGCTATTGGTGTTCGGTGCTTATGTCAGCGCGCCGTTCTTCCCAGGTTGTGGAGACAGTGAACATCTTGTTCCATTGGTCAAAATATTAGCAGCCGCCGCATTAGGTAAGATGTTTTTTTCGACCAGTTTTTTTTTTTTTTTTCGATATTTAAAACGTTGTAAAACTCTTTATTCAAATGCTTTCTTTGTTTGGCTATTTTTTTCTGTCACGCAAATTTTACGTGGCGACAGCAGAAAATGTCTTTACTCACGAAATGGATCGCGTGATGTCTTCTCCAATACTAAAATCTCACGAACAGATAGATCAGTCTAGTTGGCCTATATGTGTATAGAAAACTTTCATAATTTACGCAGACAGTTATTTGAAAGCGATTTTGTTATTTTTCTTACTCACGCCCGTTTCAAAAGTCGTGCTCATACTGAGCCTGAGCTTAATTGATACTGCATACTGCAAGTATTAAATAACTGTAGAATGATTAAATTCGACTGGTTTTAATTAAAAACATCGCCGAGCGCAATTCATACATTATAAATACTGGGGTCTGGAAAGGGATTCCTGATCCCACATCCCGAACTTCTGTCTTCGCTATCTGAATATCGTGCCAAAATTTTTGGCGAATCCCGCTTCAATAGTTGTGAAATTTCGTATCCCGTTACGTCCCGTTAAAGGCGTATCCCGCACTTCATTTTAGTCAATTACAGGGCGGTGAACATTTTTGTTGTTGTTGAATCTACAGGTGTTATTACTTTCGTCAACTGTGCAAGCGTGAAATGGGCTACTCGGATGCAGATTGTTTTCACTGCTGCTAAAATGATCGCTATCGTGATGCTGATAGTGACTGGATTGGTGCGCTTAGGGCAAGGTAAAAGACCGTAAAAAGCTTCCTCTTCATATCTTCACTAGCCTGCTACACAACCGTTTTTAATGTCGCCACGCAACGCAGCGACACTAAAAACGGCTGTGTAGCAGACTACATCTTCACTAGTCTAGCCCGAGAAAACAGCCGTCATTTCGTGACGTCACCACTGGTTTTCCCGCCAAATGACGTATGAGGAACGAGTGCAGAAATTCCATACTGATGACGTGTCTCTACCCAGATCTGAGTAGTGCTTCTGATTGGTTGAAGCAAATTCCCTTGAGGCCTGACCAATCAGAAGCACCACCCAAATCTGGGTAGTGGCAGGTAGTCGGTATAGAATTTCGGCACCATTGCCAACAAGAGCAAATGATACCCTATTTGAGCATCGAGACCCTCACTGAGCTCCACCATCCAACTATCGGATGGCACAATATCACCCAACAACAACGATAACTTTATTAATAGCAATGAAATGCATTAAACACACTACCTACATTTAGGTAACGCTAACAGGGGCATAGCCAGCTTTTCGACTAGTTATAGGCCCAGCTGACTTTCGGCCTCATATCCTGAAAATTGCACGCATGACTAGTACGCACTGACCTCACCAACACTTGGAGCTTTTAAGCTTTTTACCGCCCACCCCAACAAAGCATAATTCATTACAAGCGGTAGAGTGATCAAACCAGAAATTTGTAGGCCCAGGCCTACAGGTCTATGGGCTGACTATGCCCCTGGCTATTCGAAGCAGGCAGTGTGGGTACTCTACATACGTAAACTGATACATTTTAAGACATTTTACAAGGAAAATAAAAGAGATTTACAACATCAAGAAAAAAGAGGTTAAAAAGAATAATAATACGAATGAATAAATATGTAAATAAGTAAATAAATATAGGTTACAATACTGGCATTGGATTAAGATCAGCATGGGCAAAACTATCCTAGTGGCGGATCCAGGGGAGGGGACCGGGGGCCCAACCCCCCCCCCCCCCCATTTTTAGACCAAAGTGAAGCCCGAAGGTCCGAAAAAAATTTTTTCGGAGACCAGGCCCCCGCTTTTCAAAGGGTCTGGATGACGCCCCCCACCCCCTTATCTCAAGGTCCGGATCCGGCAGTGTATCCTGTCTTTGAAGACCCCTCAAATGGGAGTAACACTCGGCGCGCAGGCAGTGAACCTGATATTAAAGCTCTATACTATCATGAGTTAGCCAAAACTATAACAGCAGCCCTTAAAAAAACGGATATTTGTTTGTCCAGACTAATCGTACTATGGTCTTTCTAAAGGATATACATCGTCATTGGCAAATGGATTCGAGGGGACAAGCTGGAATATTGGAAAACTCTCCTTCGCATTTTACAACGGCTTATTTCCCTACGATGGATGGTGAGTAATACGAAAGTCTCCTTCCTTTTTAGTTAATTTTTAACATTTTGACATGATAGTGTGCTATGAAAAATTGTGAAAATAGTTTTAATGAAAAGGACGTTTTAGTTGTAATCGTTTTATGGTGAACTGGCCTTAATACAGTTTCACGCTCTGTGTGAGTTCTTCGAAGTGCTTTAGTAGTCCTCTGATAATCTATGTGAAAACGGATCTCTTAACCCTTTAAAAGTGAAGGATAAGGCAGGTGAATCACTCAACCTTCTAACAGAACTTTTTTCCTTTGTCAGGAATCAACTGAACTTTTTCACCGAGGAGATAAAGAATCCCAACCGGTTAGTAAAACAACTGTAACACACGACTGAGAACTAAGAAAGGCTGGGTTACAATCAACATGCAACTCGCAAGTTTTAATTCATTTTATATTCTTAATTGGTTACATCACGAACTCACTATTGGCCATCCCCTCCAACTGGCTTGACTCACTCAACTAGATTGAACATTACGTCCGTTCATCGCAAAGGGAATGGTTCGATTCTCGGTCATGCCTGAATTTTTTCAGGTTTTTTTTTCAACGGCTTAGGTCGATGATTAACTGGTACGACGATCACGTGTACTTACCAGGGGCGGATCCAGGATTTTTTTTATAGTGGGGTGCACTCGTCTCTTGCTCTACTTCAACACCCGCAGGTCATCTCAGGGGGGGTTGCGCACCCCCTGCACCCTCCCCCTAGATCCGCCCCTGCTTACATGCAGTCAACGCAAGATTTGTTTCGGTAATTTACTTCTAAGCAATAATGTTGTGAAATGTTTGTAACAATGTATAAAATAAAGTATAGGCCCTCCGAATGTTGACTGTGATATTGGTGAAAGTTTTTGAAGAACCACTGAGAAAGTCGATTCAAGAAGAAACCACAAGTCAAAGTAGAGAACTCGCCACAAGCGCATGGAGATCCCTCTACGGTTATCCAAGTTTATAGGAATATGGGGAAGAAGAAACTTTTTCCGTGTTAAAGATTGTTTTACCATGTATTTTTTTTTTTTGCAAGAAACCAACTAGGCCTGATACTGCGTCGGGCTGATTGCTCTCCCCTCTTCGCTGAAAAGGGTCATTTTGCAGTTATTTTGAAAGTTTATTTGCTTCATTTCTTTCTAGAAACATTCCGCTTTCCATCTGGATGGGAATTCCACTGATCACAATATGTTACTTGTTGGTAAATATTGGATATATCACAGTTTTGACTCCCCAAGAAATTGTGAATACGGACGCCGTTGCTGTGGTAAGCTAATAGTCTTGTGCTTTTCTTAAAACAACAAATTACACGATATTACGATTCAGAACAGAAGGAGCATATCCCAAATGTTTACTAATTAAAAATTAAAAATCTCTTAGCTTTTATTATTAGTAATCTTGAATTTAAGCGCGAAACTTGACGCAAGACGGGTGAAAAATCGGGGGCGTTCCCCGCCCGAGCAAAGGTAGGACAAATTGATCATTACGTGAAAACTATCCATGCGCGGTTTCCAGTTTCCGCTGTTCGTAGTTTCGGCCTTTGACCGAAGACGTGTCGGCCTGCGGCCGATCCTGAAACAACCCGCTTCGAGTGAGAATAAACCTCCCGTATCCAGGGTACGTGAAAATACGCAACTGAAGCAGAAAGATTGCACCTGACGAAAACGTAACGAAGAAGGTAGAGATGCTGTGGCGCCGAGGTCTTCAAACCCCAACAATCTTTAAGACAAAAATTGCTTATTTCGCTACCCTGTTAAAGACCGGAGACAACGCTTTCTGTCCTAGATTGTTTTGCTTTCCACTGATACAGAATTAACCAATGCTTCACACTAAAATCATGGGAATAGATATTTAGGGAAAAAATTATTGAGATTGCAACTGTAGACCGCTCATCGCAAGTCCTCACACTCTTTGAAAAGCTTCCAGTCCAAGGCTTCCACTTGCCGTTTTGTTATCTCAACAGATTTTGGCTAATCGTTTATACGGAGTTATGGCTTGGATCATTCCAGTTCTTGTTGCTTGTTCAACTTTTGGTACTGCCAATGCAAATGTTTTCGCAGGCGGAAGGTAATAGTTTATAATGATGATGATGATGAGTACAACGACGATAATAATTCTTCGTTTTCACTGTCACGCAATAAACACGGCACAAAAAAATACATCTGAAACCGTCCAGTGGAAGAAGCCAAGAAAATGAAATGTTATAAAAGACTAATATATAAACAATTTGTCCAAATCTCAGGTCTTTGTGGCCCACAGTTTCTGAGTTAGTTACCGAAATATTTCACGCACCTTTGTAGAGCTTTGTATGGAGACGCCATACTGGTGGACAGAAACTGTCCACCAATATGGCCGCCGGAAATCAACAAAAACATCTGGAGTTCACTTTTTCTATAAAAGCTCTTCCTTTTCACTCGAGAACTAGCATACTTGCGCATAAACATATCTTCTAATACTTGAAATGGTTAAACTGCCGAAAATCAAGCGGAGAGACTTTTTTTCAAGGAGATAGCATTCCTCTTTTGGTGTCACGCACTGTGAAAACTCGGAACTTCAAACTGCTGTATTTTCGAAATGAAACATGCTTCGGGGCTGGAAACTTGTACAAAGATGTATTTCCTACTAATCTTCAACCTAGTGTAAATAAGAATTCGTAAAACCTCGCTTTTTTGACTTTGCAATCTGATGACGTCACCGTGAAAACCATCAATAATAATAATAATAATAATAAAAACAATAACAGTAGTAATAATAATGACTGTACGACCTTCCAAAATAAGGGTGATTATAAATAAACAATGCCTTTTCAACAAGATAATCAGTGCAAAGCCTATTGCGCACTTTAAAAAAAAACAGCATATCTTTGTGTGTTAACTATACCAAGTTTCTTCAAGTCTTTCCGTAGGGGTTTGACGAAGCTTGGTAATAGAATTAACCATCTTCTCTCCTGTGTCATAAGTTATGTAATTCAGTCTGACGATGACGGATGTACCGTCGAAACATGTTTGTTAATATTAAAAAAAGTCGCACTATTTTTAAAAATTTATGTAACTCCCGTTTTTCAGACTGGTGTTTTCTGCCGCGAGGGAGGGACATCTTCCTAAGTTTCTCTCCATGATTCACACCAAGAGACGGACACCACTTCCTGCCGTGGTATTTTCGGTAGGTTCCCGTTCTTACACCGCATGAAGGATACGTTCCGAGGGAATCAGTAGAAACCATTAGATTCTAAGCCGAGTACGACTACGACTACGAGATTTTCTTAGTACTAAGTAGTGCGCGCGCGTGAACCAACGTCATTTTGGCGGGAAAAAGTGGTATCCGTCGTCATTCTGCTACGGTCTTCTGCTACGAGTTTTAGCGCGAATGTCGTGGTGGCAAAAACAAATATCAAATGTTAGAAGTTTTATCATTTTGCGATCCGAAGAGCTCGTAATCTCCTTCACTAAAGATGACAGATCAGAGAAACAGTGTTAACTTTTCTAGTGAAAATGATAAAATGAAGCTTTCCGGGAAGTCTTTATTTTGAGACTACGCGAAAAAACTTCAAGTCTAATCTCGTATTTGTAGTGGTCCTCGTCCTCGAATCTAAAGGTGATGTGTATACACGAGAGGATTCGCAAGGGCGATTTTTAGCGCAACACAGCGTTGCAACATTGTTGCGACATTGTTCAGAATGGTTACAACATTGTTCCAACATTGCAGCGTTGTGTTGTGCTAAAAATCGTCGTTGCGAATCGTCCCGTGTAACATTATCTTTAAGGTCTCTAGTATCAGCCACCCTTAAAATTGCCATTTTTCCATTTTTGAGGTTTCAACGTTTTCAAATAGATATGCTTGAGAACCTTCTTTAAAAAAAAAATCAGAAGAAAATATTATTTCTGTCGAAAGATATCGGGGGTAAAAGATTTTTTCTCGTTAATTATCTTAATTGATCGTTGACAAGATCTGTCATACCCGTGTCATATATCAATTAACTTGTCTGTGAACTAGTAGCGTGATACCGAGTGCGTGCTTCGACACAACACGTGCGAATTGTCTTCGCAATGTTTATAGCCTTTAGTATGCTCCGTGGATATTTAGCGTTTGCTGTGAAAAAAGAGAAGGTCGTGTCCGTTTTCGTCATCGAACCGAGAGCGAAAAAGAAATCGAAGAGCGAGTTTGCCAAAGAATGGGCCGCAAACTTGGCAGAGAGCGACAAAGGCTCATTTTATCAGCAAGAGAAGTGGCTCGAGGAGTTGGATATTCAGAAAAGCGAAAACGCCGCAGTTGCTGAGAGTGCAAGCCGCTCCAAAATCCAGCTTGAAGAGCCAGATGAAGAAAGCCAATTAAGCTCATCGACCCCGTCTGCTGATGGAACGTGGAAAACAATAAGCGGTCGAGCTATCGTATCGAGCGAAAAGCTGCTTGAGAAACTGGACGAATCTGTATCTTGTCTATTTTGCCAGGGAAGAGTCCAAGTCATGGAAAATGTAGCATGGACTTGGTTCTACCTGGAGAATCCAGTGCGAGAATGAAAGCTGTCCGTCGCACAAGACAAATTCTGTTTTTAATTCTTCCGAGAAGAGCAGAGCGTTTGAAATAAACCGGGCCTCAGTTCTTGGCCTTCGAGCAATCGGTGGTGGACATTCGGCGGCTTCAGAGCTTTTTAGTTTGCTTGGCCTGGCGCCGATCAACAAAAACGCCTGGGCGGATCATACAAAAAGGATCGAAGGAGAGGCAAAACTTTTGCTCAAGAAACAATTAAACAGTGCTTCTCGTGGTGTAAAAGGGGAAGTTTTCCAACGGAGAATTAAACTGTTGTTGAAGATGTTGATAGCAATAAAAAAGTTTGTTCCTGTTACATGTTACCTGTCAAAGTCCTATTGTTAGAGAAAATTGATCCCTCTCTGATATCAATCAGAATAAACATTTAGGTGTTATAATCTCATTCCAGGTAGGATGCCGCCAAAATGTATTATCTATTTTATCTCCGAACGCAAATTTTGCCGATCGACTCGTACGTTTTGAACTCCAAGTCGGCAGCCTTTCAATCAATTTGGCTAAAATTTGGCCGGAGTGATGCCATATATCTCTTCTACAAAACCGTGTCTGCGAATTTTAATACTCCTTTTCGTTTTAAAGCTAGAGCTTTTTTTCCACAGGGAGTGTTGACTAATTGCTTTCCCCAACTTCATTTGCAAATAAAAGAAAAACAAACGCACTTGTCAAAAATCTGAGACACGGTTTTTTAGTGGAACGTGTTGAGAAGCGAATGCGGTGTTAATTGTTTTCTTCCGTTTATTTCCGGCGGGAGTGGAACATGATTTATAGAGACGTGTACTTTTACACAAAGCGTTCCAATTTCGAAACACATTTAAGGAAATCGTTTTTGTTAGTTCAAATCCATAATCTGGAATTATTAAACTTTTAAAAAATATATGGTTTATAGGGGTTTTTATAAAAACAACTAACGCTACATCGATCTGCGCGCGGACGGTCCTGAAGGGTGGCTGATACCTTGAGCCCCCTACCGGGAAAACGGACGCAACATCGTTGGCCAACTACTCCTAACATTGTTGGATGTTGCATGTTGCATCCGTTCGCACACCCTGTTGCAAGTTGTTGCGCGTTGCATTGGCAGTTTTGCGCAAAGTTTGACACCGGTCAAACCTTTGGGTCAACAAATCCCAACATTTCTTTTGTTCCGTGTTGGCTGAGGCCATGTTAATAATCTATTCTCTCTTGCCGAACCTTAGTGCAACAATGTTGCATCTGTTTGCACAGCTCTTCCTACAATGTTGGTGCCACGCATGTGCGCATTACAAATGCTCTCTTAAGTCTTCTGGGTTGTACCCTTCCCACGATACACTGCAGGTACTGGCATTGTTAGGAGCTGTTGTATCAGTTAGCACACCACTGCCAACAAGGACGCAACAACTCCCAACATTGTTGGTCCAACACTGATGTTGGGAGTTGTTGCGTTCGTTTGCACGAAGCTTTACCAGTTCTACAGGATCACGCAAACTTTTTTCCTCATTGTTTGTCCTTTTGTTTGTTTTACTAGAGCATTATTTCATTGCTGATGTTAATACCTAACTCTACGTCCTTCGAATCACTGTTGAACTACTTTAGTTTCTTTGGTTGGCTGTCTTATGGACTCACCATCTCTAGTGTGATCTGGTTTAGGTACAAAAGACCTAATGACAGGAGGCCCTACAAGGTACGCACTCCCCCCTAAAGTAAAACCTACAACGGTAGTGAGAGTTTAAAATGACGGTCGAAGGTATGCCGGCTACTTTTTCCCTATAATAAAACTCGAGCTTGACAAAATTGGTTACTTGAAAAAAGTAAGTGCTACAAAGGAACTAAGAGGTAACACTCAGTAGGATTTATGGGTTATTTGGTTCACAGTGTTATACGGGACAACATCATTTTTCCCATCATTTTTCTTCCTTAAAGAAATAAGTATTGCCAAAACTGTCATTAAGCTACGTGGATTCTTTTACAATCTGAACCTCCCAAGTGCGTCGAAAGCATTCTCGTCCCCAGGGCTCTCTCGCCCCTCCCATTTTCTCATGGAAAGTCTTGGGGACAATGTTGATAAACCATTCAAATTTCCCGCCTTTTTCTATGCATAATTGGCCATTTCCGAATTCCAAACACTCTCACTTTCAAAACGAGGCTAAGTGCAAAACTTTTCATATGAAAATGAGTTTTATTTGCATGAAAATACAGTGGCGGATTCAGACCTTCAGATAAGGGGGGGAGCGGTCATCCAGACCCTGAGATATGGGGGGGGGGGGCGGTCTCAAAAAAAAATTCGCCCCCCCCCAAAAAAAAAATTTCGGCCGTCCGGCCCTCCGTTTGGTCTAAAAATAAGGGGGGGGGGGTTGGGCCCCCCGGACCCCTCCCCTGGATCCGCCACTGGAATAAAAGATCATTTTCAGATCAATGACCTCCCATCTCGCCTTGCTTTGGAACAGAGGCCTGGAGCGATTCGGAAATGGCCTATTAATTGATCCATTTTCTTCTTCCGTAGGTATGGATAGGAATTCCTATTTTCATGGTGCTGATTTCTGCGTACTTGGTCATTGCACCGATTTATGAGGCGCCACTGGAATCTCTTTTCTGTGTATTGTTCCTGTTATCTGGTATACCACTGTACTTAATATTTGTACGCTATGAGAAAGTTCCAGTGAATTTTCTTCGCTTTGTAGGTGAGTTTGTTTTACGTCTCTCATTATTCTCAATTCTCAGTGACCACTGAGGGGGAAAAACGAGCGACCTGGTAAAAAAAATTATTATTCCTGGGAACCTGGTTTTGCATGGGTGGGCACACATAAGCTGTCTTGTGTTGTGGGACTGCCCCGAGAAAAGGCAGCTTTAGCAACGACCACGGCGACGGCAACGACAACGGAAAAAAAAGAAACAGGCTTGATTAGCAAACCAACAACTTTTCACGTGCTTCCGCACTTTTTTATACATTTCTTTGCCGTCCTGACTGGACGACTACGAGGTGAAAATGCCTAATTTCACGTTTTATGGAGAACGTAAACAAGGAACGACGAACTTTTTCTTTCTCTTCCTGAACTTGAGTGCAGTTCCCAAGAAATCAACTCCAGGGAAACTCGCCCATATTTCACATTTTCAATGAATTGGAATAAACGCGACAAAGTTTGAAAAAACGCGAGTCATTTTAAAAGTGGCGTTTTCGCAGCCGTCGCCATCGTCGATCCCTTATTGTGGCGGAAGGTTCATTTCGTGTGTTTTGGTTGTTTTATTCGACTGTTTTTCAGGTCTTCCAGCCAGGTCATGGCGATTTGAGATTGTGTAGTTCTAGCTGTTAAGTGTAAACGCCGCTTTTGTCACTGTTCACAGTCCATTTGCGGATCTCACAAAGCTTTAATTTTTTCTTTTCTTAGATCGCGTTACTTTCAAGTTGCAGAAGATCTGCGATGTAGTATTTCCAGAGAATGAAGATGACTTTGTTTCCCTTTAATCAGAATCAACACCCTCATTTGGGACATTGCAGCCAAGCCTAACCCCCTGACCTCAATGCTGTGTTGTGTCCGACCTAGCCTGCGCAGCAAGCGGTTCCGCGCGAGTTCGTCGAGAAAACTGGAACGAGAGCAACGCAGGCTATGTCAGACCAACGCTAAGCCCGGCTATGTTCACACACTATACCTGAGCTTCTGCTTACACGAGATTAGAAAGTGGTGCCAAATTAAAACTGACCATTTTTTAGTAGTTATTGATTTTAAGGTGTCTTTAATAAACCGATCATGATATTGTAACCTGCGTGGCTGGCGACGAAAAGGGAGGGGAGGGGAGGGAGGGGAAAATGGAGAAGGAATTTTAACTTTCAGTTTTTCGGACAATTTTTATCTTGCTCTCAAATGCTTTTTTTAATTTCAAAAAATATTGTCCAGGGCACTATTTTTTCCCAATTTTTTTTCAAAAATAACGTTATGAGATTCCAACACAGTCTATCTTCTCTCTGAAGTTGAGCCTACCGCAGGGAAACACTCATAATTGGTTAACCTGCGTAGCATGGAAGTTTTGACGAGTTCACGACTGAGCGGCGCACTCGCAAAAACGCGCCATGCTACGCAGGCTAATAGTTAGTCACACTACAGACTTTTTACCTAGGTAAATTCGACTTGTGAACAGTTTACCTTGGGAAGCTTGATTTTTTAAGTGTGACCGATTTTTGCGATAAATATTAGCGATAAAAAATCACGACGTTTCGACCTCTCCGAGGTCATTTTCAAGTGTATAAAAGTTCTCTAAATTAGCATAGATAAGTTAAAAGCAAGTTATAATAGATAAAAATGTGGTGAACGCTAAAATGTGATAAAATATGTAAAAATGTAAAAAGTGCTAAAAAAATATTTATAAAGTCAAAAAACAATGGAAATAAAACAATGTTAACAAGAACTACTCTAAACAAATAATTTGGCGCGAATTGAATCGCACTGTTTGTTAAGTGTCGGTTTCAGTTCTTGGATAAAAAACATTTCAAAAATAAGGCAGTCAAATTTGTTCTGACACTTTCTTAAGATTCTAAAACTTTGTGCGATGTCTTCAGGCTCCATATCATGCTGCTCTCTGAGGTGGTTTCCGATTGCCGATCCTTTGTGTTCTTCAATTCGTTGGTGTAGGTGTCGGCACGTGTAGCCGACATAACCTGCATCACACAGACTACACTTGAAAATGACCTCGGAGAGGTCGAAACGTCGTGATTTTTTATCGCTAATATTTATCGCAAAATCGATTTCTAAGAAACTACTTATTAAGATTTTGACCGATTTTTCCCTAGGTAACTTACTTCGGGGAAATGTTATCGTCTGCGACTTGGATGTGTCTCGAGAACAAAAGAGTTTCCCTTGACAGCTACCCCAGAGCGCTAGCTGGGGAAAAATGAAATACCGAGGTTGCTAACCAATAGACGCTCATCGGCGAAAGTCTTGATGACAGAACCGACCATAGCTCACGCTGTGAAAGAAGTTTTGGTTGCACGAGTCGTCTACGGTCTTTTTCGCTTGTCAACCTCGTTCCCAGGGTTCTCTCCTACCCGTCCCTATTCTCTCGACGGGTAGGAGAGAGAACCTGGGAACGAGGTTGTTCACCGGTCTTCATCTAGCACGTTGTAACAGCGAGATAAAAGGAAAAAAACATCTCTTTGATCCGCTAGTTCCCTGCGCATCTTGCCATCCTAAATTTACGTTCCAAAAAATTCATCTGTGCGTGAAAACCTTGGGAGCCGATATCAGTAGTGTGACCTTCCCAGAATTTTTTACCTAGGTAAAACGAAATCCGAGATGAATTTACCTCGGGAGGGTTTTAATGAATTTGCCCTAGGTAAATCGGTTTTACGAAGGTAAAAGTGTATAGTGTGACCACAGCTATTATCAAGCCTTTTGTGAAGTCGGACCACAGGGTCAGATCGGGCATAAGCTCTTTCAAGACATTTTAATTGTTGTAAGGTTGCTGAGTTCCCTGGGAATTACCCCCTTCACCCCATGGGATTACAGGGTATAAGAGATTTCTCTCCTTTTCCTTCTTGCAGAAATGAGGCTGTTCCATGATTGGATGTTTCCTCCTTAATCCTGTCCTTCACTGCTACCGTATTCCTCGAATAATCGCCCCCTTTTGATGAAAATATTTAAAATAATCGCCTCCCTCGAATAATCACCCCCCATACCCTACCCCTCTTGCCATCTTCTCTTTCTTTTATCCCCTCCCTGTAAAATTGAAGCTGAATCAGATCCAGCAAAACGGATCAGTGACGATTCAAGCTCTAAAAATTAATCAAGGAATGAAATTTGGAACACTTTCGAAGCCCATGTTCAGTTTATTCGATGTAATAATTTGATGATATAATTGGATACATAATAAAACAAAATATTTAGGGCACGACTTCCAGTTGACAATATTTGAAATAATCGCCTCCCCTCGAATAATCGCCCCCTTTAGATGCGAAAAAAAGAAATAATCGCCCCCGGCTATTATTCGAGGAAATACGGTTCGTTAATCTTTATACCTTGACTAAAGTCCTGCCCACACTATGCGTTTTCTTTGACATCGAAAACGCATCGATCGATTCGCGTACACGCTACCGTTTTGAATCCACACTAAAACGTTCGACAACGATAGAAGCAAGTAAAACAATATGCACATGCTACAAACACTTGCGATATTTTCGGTCATCGTTTTGTCGACCGTTCTCGACCGCTCACAATACGTCACACTAATACGATATGCATGCGTATTCGTTTTGATCCACTTTAAAGAGCGTTTTCAATGAAAACGTATTAGTGTGGACAGAGGGCTTAAAGGGAAAAAAGCCCTGGGAACGAAGTTGCTAAACGCGTCGAAACGTATTCGTTTTTAAACGAAAACTCATTGACATGGTTTAGCGTGGTCGGTCCTGAGTATGTTGTCAACATCGGCATTCCATATTGTTGCTCGCAGGCAAGGGTCATAAAGCACAAAGGTCTCATTTCATCCTATTGACCAATCACAACGCAGTATTGTTGCTTACACCTTCTAGGGTCCCCTGAGATCTCCTTGGACAGGAATGACGGCCATTTTGAAAAGAAGATAAGAATTTGAATTCAATGTTAAGCATGTTAAGGGATTTATTCGTGTCCTTTTTTAAGACATTTGACTACAAAAGGGATTTTTTCAGGAGAAATACTTGTGTGTTGGCTTGATAATTATCAAAATAGCCCTAACGCTTTGGTCAGTTGTTCGTTCGGTGAACACCATGATGCCAAGCAACCCGCGGAAAGCTCATGGCGTAAGAGAAGGTATGAATGCTTTTGTAGTTTGAAACGATATACCTTCACTTCTGTTTCATATGAATATCTCCTTCGTCGAAAATGTAGCTACTTTTTGGGTGTCTTGAACGCAGATATGTCGAGGAAAACAACTAAAAGAAGCGACAGCGATGGCGATGATAGCGATGGTTTACCTCCATTGCTCCCATGCACGTCCGACGAAGAGGTAGAGAAAAGTTAACACTTTTATATCGCGTTTCTCTTGGTTTACTGGCCATAGAGGTCAATTTTGCAGTTTTCCTAAGTACATTTCTATCTAATCTTTTAACCAAAGGAGGATGATGTGGAAGAATATTCTAAAAAACCGGCAAATAAAGCAAAAGTGAAAGGAAAGGAGGCATCCAATAAGTCAAAGAGTGACGGTTAGTAGTTGTTACATCTCAGGGCTGTAACTGTAACTCACAAAATAAATGAAGTGCAGTTGAAAATTGTCTTTTTGGTCAGAAGCTTACATTGATTAACCTTTATAATGAACTTTATAAACCACATATAATATTGAGGTTGAATAGGGTGTTGGCCAGCAGGGGGTTAAGGTGGGTAACACGACGTTTTGCCCCCATTTGAGTTCATCCCATTGGACTTGACACACATTTCAAGTTCTCCTTGTAGGAATCAAAATAATGGCCAGTCAATGGACAATGTCCACTCACTGGTCATGTTGACTGGTCTCACAGACTCTTATTCTTGAACAAATGGCCAAATCCTCACCTGTAAATCTTAGTTTTTGTTTCTTTGTAAAAATGCAATCATGTTCACTGATATAAAATTACACAAGGATTAGTTCACTTTTTTCCAATTTTTTTGACTGGTCAGAAAACAAGACTTGACTGAGAAAAAATTCATTTTCTTTTGAGCCCTGTCCTTGCAACCTCTTTTCAAGACTTAACGTCTGGTTTAAGCACCAAATTTCACATGGGCCAAATGTAATTCAGGAATATTATTTAAATGCATGGGGATTTTCCTTGGCTAATGTTGGCACTACCCACAGCTACTGTCGTAGGGAATACAATGACATTTAAACCTGGAATAGCTTCCGAGCTGTTCAGGTATCCATATATCACACATCATTATAATAAAGCTGAATTATAAGGAGAGTTAAAGGAAGCAGATGGCGAGGAAACCTGCAGGAAACCACGAGGCTTATAAAAAATCAGGTTTCCTCAGAACAACAAAAAAAAGCCAGAGTTTTATGACAATATGGAACAGCAAAAGTAGTATAAGCTTTTACACAAAAATATAAGTAACCAAAGCTGAAAGCAATATTAAGTTATTTCCTATTGAGAAGAAATTCTTTAAGCTTTTTTTTAAAAGATGCATTGGAGGTAATATATCAAGCATGAGATGCAGTTTTTCATCACCAGATGAAACACTGAGAAGAGAGTTGAAAATAAGATGGGATTTTAGAAGATTTTAGAAGGAGAAATTTAGGATGCAAAAATGAGCTGTTTTTCACCTGATTTCCAAACACTCATTTAACTTTTTAAAATTTCCTTTGTATTTTCTTTATGAATTATTAATGAGTTTGAGAAGTACAGTTCATAGATGATGACAAAATGTAGTAAGAACAAAACTGGGACACATGACTTGAGTCACTGGCATGTTTGTCCTCAATAATTCTTACTTCATTTTAAGACGGAATCCATCAGGAAATAGAATAATTTTAATTTTCAGTGGACAAAAAGCTTGTACCAGAATAATTTAGACAAAATCACATTCTTTTTTTACATTTTTCATGGGCTATAGATACAATTAGTTATCTGCAATAACACCAAAGACTATTTCTCATGGGAGCCTCAGAAAATAAATGTCAAATTTTCATAAGAATTGTGAAAAAAACAGGTAAAATACAGAAATTTTCATGTGTAAGGTGTCATTTTGTGAAATTTGACATTTATTTTCACGGGCCCTCATAAGAAACTTGCTTTGGTGTTATTACAGATAACTAATAACATCTATAGCCCTTGAAAAATGTAAAAAAAAGAATGCGATATTGTTTGAATAATTATTCTGGTACAAGGTTTTTCTCCACCGAAAATTAATATTACTCAATTTGCTAATGGATTCCGTCTTAAGTCTTTGTGACTTATAATAGTATTTGTTGTCACTTGCGATTCAATATTTTTTCCAGGTTTAAATTTTATTTTCCTGTTTTTCAAATGTTCCCAAGAACAGAAGGAAAAAATGGAGCCAATGATAAAACTGAACCACAGTGTGTCCAGAAAAATGGAATCTGCTCACTATCTACAAGATACTAAATTAAAAATAGCCATTGATGCTAACCAGAAATGTTTGGGAAAATTTCATCTGTGTAGAAAAACAAAACAATTGCAATGATTTCATTTTCTAGAATAATGTGCCAATTTTACTATCATTATTAGAATAATTTTACTATTATTATTAGAATAATGTGCCAATTTTTCCTGCTGCTGAATAGTGCTGGACTATTAATAGTTTATTTTAACCCAAAAGTGAAAGACAGAAGAGAGGAAACTTCAGCCAAAGATGTTAACAGTAAGGTTGATTCTCCAGTCAAAGAACCTGAGCCTTGTATGACAGATGATTCTAGTAGCCCTGTCATTTCGTGTAGTTCTTTGATCACATTCTGTGCTAATGTTCTTTGTTGAAATTGTTTCTTCAGCTGAGTGTGCGGACATATGGTATAAATTGAAGAAGGAAGACAAAGAAAAGCACATCCATGTTATGAAAGTTTACTTACTGTCACCTTTCTTGTTTGGAATTGTTCATCAAGACGATAAGGTAAACAAGTTTGTTCCAATGAAAATTCATTGCAAAATATGATTTATCTCTATACATTTCCGTGAAGAATAAGTGGAGAGAATTTGGTCGAAGATCAAAGCATTTTCTCTTAGGTGATTACGGTTGACTCCCGATAACTCGAACCCTCACTAACTCGAACCTCACTCTAACTCAAACCGAAATCGATTTTTCTTGGATTTCGGTCATACATTTACCGTAATTTTACCCTCTGTAACTCGAACCCTCAATAACTCGAACCTCCCTCTAACGTGAAGTTTTTTGTTTCCCCTCAGATCATTTGTATATAATTTTACCCTCAATAACTTGAACCATGTTTTGAGCCCTTAAAAAGTTGTGAAAAACACTCTACTGGCATCCGAAACATTGTATTTTGAATTGATGTTGTTTGTCACAAATCTAACCTGAAAAAGCATTACTTCTCAAAACAGTAAAACGCCCGCTTTATTTCAGGTAATTTTTATTTTTCTTTTTTTTCAGTTTCATTAGCATACATTACATGACCATACCCAAAAACAAAAACAAAAAAAACAAAAATTACCTGAGACAAAAAATTAACTACAACATGTACTTGTATCAAAGACAATCATTTTGTAACTGAGGGTTTCCATACACTACAGTAAATTTTGAAATAATAATTACTTCCTACATCTTTTCAGCTTTGTCTGACAGATAGGGAGACCTGGTCAGAAATCTGTCCTTTCTAAAAGTAAAAGTTGGGTTATGTTCACATTATACTGCACAGCTTTTTGTGCTGACAGAATAGGCTGTCCATTATAGTTTGAACAGTTGTGGTTACACACTTCAAACAGCATTGTGGTGGAGCAGTTGCCAAGAGGGTTTGGTGCACCAAATTTCAATCCTTACTCCTGAATACGGTGGAACCCTGTTAATATGGTCACCAATGGGAGAAAAAAATATGGCCGTATTAACGAGGGTTGTTGACAGGAAAAGTATGGCCATTTTGCCTGGCGGCCAAAAAAGGTGGCAATAATAACCAGGTGATTGTATTACCGAGGTGGCTGTAAGGTGGGGTTTTACTGTATTTACTACTTTTTTCTGTGGGTTCCATCCCTTGTTCCAACTTATTCACTTCTCTTACAGTCTGAATACTTGCTCACTCTGCTTCAAAGTGTGGAACTTAACCTATCTGATATATGACACTCTGCTATTGAGACTGACATGGCACAGCTTTGATCAATAATAATTGAATAATAATTGATTTGGCAGTAATTACTGCCAAATCACCATTTTTTTTTATGTATGAACAAAAGCCCTATCTGGTGTGAGTTTTGTACCCCTGACAGAGCTTTCTGTTATACTGTGAATATTGCCTTATTTGGAAGCCTGTATATGTAATTCACCAGGGATGTAGCTAAGGAAAGGCTGAACAGGATTTTTTGACCAACTGCATCTTGAAAATAATTTCACCCCATTTTTGTTCTGCAAAGCAATTTGAGCCCATGATGAGGTCTTTTTGATTACTTACATGTATTTCAAATCAATGTGAGATGTGAAAACGTGTTTTTTTTTGTCAACAGTGGATTAAGTGGGCATTTGAAAGTAAATTGTTGCCATCTAAGAGGTACGTGTTTTTTACAATTAATACCCAGAGGGCAAGCGGATTTATTATACACAAACCTTGATTAGCAATATCCTTCATGGTGTCTTTGTTTTGTCATGTTTTTTAGCTCATTTGAGACAAGAGAGCTGGAAGAAAAATATTTTGATGCTGTTGATTTAATTGAAACAGCATTTAACAGACTGGCAGAAACTGCAGTAAGTAAAGATTTGCTCATGTGGTCAAGTTTAACAAAATTTAGGAGGTGAGGCTCTATAATAAGATATAGCTGCAGGGATCCATATTCATTTTTATCAAAGTCGTCAACCGGGCAAGGACGCTTGATGACATACTTGCCCTGGTTACAATTTAGGTTGCCCCGACAAAAGTGTAGAATTGTAAGAAAGAAGGGTGATAAAAATAATAATTGTGTGCAACTTGAACATTTCTGATTTTCACTATAATATTATTTCCATTATAGTTACTAATAAAGTAATACAGGCTACAGGCCTGAGGCTAAACATCCAAACAGTCTGCCATCGTACATTGGCTGCGGCTCCTGGTTATTTTTTTGTCATCAAAGGCGGCGAAATGCTTTCATCTTAATGAATGCTGTCACGTTTTCTGCTAATGGCCCACAAATGCAGTTCTTCACAAAATGAAACATACCAACAGTTAACAACATGAAAACTGGGCCTGCGATCTGCACCATCAGATTAAAGATGGCACCAAACTAACAATTTCATTCCATACAAAAGATGCATGTTATTCTCGATTATTCTAAAGGTTGGATGAGAAGTAATCAGAACACGGGTAAAATGTACACGATAAAATCATATAAGAATTTTTGAAAAGATTTTGTGGTTGAGCAAAACCTCATTTGTCCAAAGGAAGACTTTGATTGTTCATGCAAGATTGTAGTCGATGGGATGGCTGCGAATATGGATCCCTGTACATGTAGCTGTATGTCTGTGTAGGCCAAAAAAGAAGCTGTAATAATTGGGTGTCTTTATTGTAGGGTATAATCCTTTTACTTGCAAAAGTGGCCAAAGTTATAATACCACAAAATTTGATTTTGTAAAGCGGTGAAAAGCAAATGGTATGATGTGAAAGAATTGCCAGCGAGGTTTCAGTTGAACTGTCACACTATAGGTTTTCATCCAAAGACTCAAATGTTAGAACTACCTTGTGCAGCATAATAAGCAGTACCACAGGAAAGTACTGCTTAGTAGCTTTCATTTGAATGGTCACACTTCAGGATTTCACCTACAGACTCGAAAGTTAGAACCACCTTGTACAGCATAACAAGCGGTACCACAGAAAAGTATTGCTCAGTAGCTTTCATTTGAATAGTGACACTATAGGATTTCATCTACACACTCAAAAGTTAGGACTATGTTTTAAGACTCCTTCTTTCTCGGAAATATCTCTTTGTAAACTGTTAGTTACTCTGGACAATTTTTTGCTCTTTTTGCAGCTTTTGAAAAATAAAGACGGACTTGTTAAAATTCTAAACCTCATTGGAAGTCCAGGTGTAAGCATGGTAAGGAAAGCACTTTATTGTTGATATTGTACATTGTCGTGAAAGGCGCATTGAGAGTCAGTTCCTCTACTCAAACCAAATTTTATTGAAAATGTTATCTTTTTTGTAGGAATTATTAATAAAAAAAGGGACAGCACCAGTTGTTTAAATGTTGGATGGTGCCGCTATCCACTGGATAAATCACTATCCAGCGGATAAGAATGAGGGAAATAAATTGCATTATCCACTAGATAGAGATTTATCCACTGATAGCACCATCCACCTTTTGAACAACAATGCCCAGGTATTAAGATGATCAGGGTAGAATGACAGTGTTTTGATCATTGAGCATGTGTGCACAGAAAAAGCACATAAGTAAAGCAACTCCTGTAAATATAGGTGGAATCAGAACAAGGTTAATCTTATTTAAACAAGTGTCTCAGTCTTTGAAAATGTAGTTATCTCTGAACAAATAATAATAATGTTATTTTTATCGTTGCTTTTGTTTCTATAGTCCCAGCACTTGGATAAGGCAGTGACCTGCGCAGAAAGTTTTCTGGCTTTTACAAATTTAAGGTACCGGTGTTTAGGAATCTTCCAATCAAAGGTTTAGTAGTGAGCAGTGATTTTGTGACCTCTGCATCCTGCTTCCCTGATGTATGAAAATCCTTTAAGATGCAAAATTGTTTTATGGCAAAATAATGCATCCCATAGGACACAAAGGTCGATAGATTGATCCATGTGTTTTTGTAGAATTATATGCTGTTTGTGTAATTTCTGTGGCAGTTATTAGGCTGATTTAGCGACAGGACAGGAACGTCAGTTGACGATGGGAAAGCGCACGGAAAGGACTAAACACGACTTCCGGTGCCAAATTTGCTGCTCTGCCATTGGTCAAGCCACTTGTTTAATTTGCGCGCGCCGTCGTCAACTGATGTTCCCGTTCTGTTGCTAAATCAGCCTATTATGGTTGTTGTGTAACGATGGGTATAGTTGTTGTGCTTTAAAACTGAAGGACTATATTTTAATTTCAGTATACACTATACTGTTGTAAAGAGTTTTGTAGTCCGTTTTCAGATTATACTGTCTGGTTACATAAAGGCCCAAGAATTTTCATTTTCGGATTCTTTGTTTTTTTTAAGTGGGGCTCATTGATTTTAGACTGGGACTCACGATTTTTCACAAAATGGGTTCCCGGGACTGACCATAACTATTTGTAACAAAATCGTGAGATGAAAAACTCAGTGTGGATTGAGGAATTTTTTTATCCAGAAAAGTGATCAGCAGCAAACTTCTCCTTGTAACGTTAATGGTTTGTAAAACAGGTTTGTCAAGAGAATTGACTGCATGATCACACAAGTTGAATTTAGTTTATATTATTTTTATCAAATTCTCCCCACTACTTCTTTAGGAAGTGAATAGGGGCAACAAATGAGAATTTAAATTGTGATCTTTGGGTTCAAAGGGTTAAGGGGTCACCAACTTGTGAACACTGCTGAAACTTAACATTTGGCTTGTATGTGGTGCATGATTGTGAAGCATTTAGGCTGCATTGTGGATCTTTTTAGGGATAAAATCAAGCTAAAACCAGGAATAACCAAAAGACAAGGAGATGTTGCATTACTGTTAGCTCATTATCAAGGTATTAACCTCTTACTTGCTAGTTTGTCACTCTAACTTTAAAATCTGTGAATAAATACCTATGATGTCACCAATCAAATGAAACCTCTTCAACAGTACTTTCACATGGTGCGATTTATTTAGTTTGTAGTGGTAACTTTTGAGTCTGTGGACAAAATCCTGTGATGTGACCATTCAAATGAAACCTCTTCATTGTACTTTGAAATGGTACTATTTTTGTTAGTATGTAGGGCTAACTTTTGAGTCTGTGGATGAAATCCCATAGTGTTACCAAGCAAATGAAATCTCCTCAGTAGGATCTGGCATTTGCTTGCCAGATTTATACAGGTTTAATAGTATTTTGTGAAAGTTGCCGATACCTTCTGCTTTTCCTCCTACAGTCACAGACCATATCAAACAGTTGGCTTCAGGTACTGATCTGGTTGAGGACTTTACCCAAAAGTGCAAAAAAGAGGAAGCTGTGAGTGCAATAATAACCATATTTTCTTGAATAACCATCTCTTTTTTAAAAGTTTTCTTGAGAGTGGAGGGCCCATGATTAAGGAAGGTTTCCTTCTTCATACAGCCATATACCACATGTACTTTAAAGGAGCTGTGTCACGAAATTCAGCCAAATTAGTCAATTACAAAATGCCCTTAAATTAAGAGAACGTGAAAATAACTGCGTAAAACATTAAAGGAAGGTTAAAATAACACAACAGATACAACATGCCATGGATGGACAAAACTGAAGAAGATTGAAACGGATTGAAATTAGGGTTTTTGAAAACTGTTCAGCATAACAGTTTTTCAAAGTTGATCTCTGCTGTTTGCAACTTCAAAAATAATGCTCAGGAGACATATTTGTTTGTCTCGAATCTCTGATTTTGTCATTTCCATGTAATTTCCTTGCTTACTTTAAGTTCCATACTGATTAAGGGCGAGTAATTAGCAAAATTAAACAAAATGCACTGGGCTGCTGTGACACAGCCCCTTTAATAATCATTGAATATTCACTTCTTCATAGAATAACTAGTTTTGTTAGACCATGTGACTTCAAGCTTTAAGCTAAGGATGAAACAAATCCCTTGCTGGTTCAGATTAAAGCGTTTTAATGTTAGGTATGTTAACTTCAGCTTCAGTAAAACAGACACATTTAGAGAAAGTATGCAAGATGGGTTGAGCGATGCATGAATGCTGACTTTTAATTGGATACAATTACGTGAGAATCATGCCACACATTAGATTTGTGTCACTTGCTGTAAGACAAGTTTGCCTTGGACCAGTAACGTTTTTTCACAACCTGCAACCACCTGATTTGTTGCAAAACAGGTTGGATTCTTTGGTGGTAAAACACACAACATCACTGTTCATCTGGTTTGGCAGCAATGTTATGATTTGTGTTTGTCATTTTGGTCCAATTTCATTTGAATAATATTTGTCCTTAGAATACCACTGATGATAAGAATGCGGGGAATGCTAAATTTGAAGATGGCAAATACACAGCTGCCAGTTCAATTTACACCAAGGCATTACATATGAGGTAAGCAGTTTCACTGTACTCTTAGATGATTCTTCTAGTGAGGGTGTCGGAGATGGAGTTGTAGTTAGAAGCACAGAGCATTACAATTATTTTATCGTTCTAATTCTGCTTACAACTCGGTCCCTTACAATTTAGTGACAACTACACCTGTAGGTTTTCCAAATGACAAGCAAAGCAGAAGTACCAAAACAGCAAAACAACCCAAAAACATAGAAACAGGCATTGTGATTGGTTTAAGCACGTCTGTTTTCAATCCCTACAATTACTTTTCACTGGATGTTGCACAGCATAACAAACTCAGAAAAGTACTACTTAGTAACGGTCTGTTGAATGATGGTCACACTGAGGATAGTTCCCGGGGTACTGCCATACATAGGCTACATAGGAATGTGCCGTTGTGAAGGGTATGGTTTTCAAGCAGTTTACTTTAGGATAGGGTATATGAATCAGAGTCTTTGGGTCTAGAATAGGGTATCATTTTTCAGGAAACTGGTCAGTTGGTGGAAGATTTTATCCAGACTAGGGATTGTGGTATAAGGTTTTGTTTTGGCTAGACTGTGCTAATGACTGCAGTAGTTTCTGGAAAACAGCTACAGCTACAGCGGGGGGATTTGGGGAGTTTACTCTAGTATACGGTAGCAAAATTCAGTTGAGCTAGCTGTGGTATAGGTGAAGGGTTCCAGGGTCCCAGCAGCACATCCCCACCCAGAAATTCCTAAAGTAACCCCCCTGGGGATAGTTTCCTTAGACTGTAGAGCTAGAACCACCTTCTACGACATAATAAACAGCACCACAGAAAAGTATTGTTCGGTAGCTTTCATTTGAACGGTCATACTTTAGGATTTCATCCACAGACTCGAAAGTTTGAACAACCTTGTACAGCATAATAAACAGTATCAAAGGAAAGTACTGCTCAGTAGCTTTCATTTGAATGCTCATACTGTAGGATTTCATCCACAGACTCAAAAGTTTGAACAACCTTGTACAGCATAATAAACAGTACCAAAGGAAAGTACTGCTCAGTACATATAGCTTTCATTTGAATGGTCACACTCAACAATTTTACCTACAGTCTTTATTGTTCCATTGACTTTTTTTTACATTTAATTTTTCATCTGTACTTGCAGCCCCTATAATCATCTCCTTTATGGAAACAGAGCTCAGAGTTTCCTTAAGACTAAAGATTTAAGGCAAGTATCTTTGGTATTGTTGATTACCCTTCAGTCTTTTGTTTCCTCAAATTATTAGCAATCAATGGATGAGTGCAGAGTATGGTCTGAAGAATATAACACTCAAAGAGGGAGTTATCCCAGTGTGGATAACCATAGTCATCCATGAAAACATAAAAGCAGATAAATTGTTTCCCTATTTTAGGGTTGACCTAAGAAATACAGTCCGGCAACTACAGCTTTGTGTATCAAATTTAATTTGCTGCTGATGAAAAAAGTGCATTTTTGATTTTCTAAAACATTGCATGAAATTATGTTATTGACATTTCAACAACCCCTTCCCCAACTTTTGCAAGGAATAATGTTTTTCCCTTTATTTTGAAGAATTCTACAAAATAGAGTTATCGTTATTTTTTTTAAAACATAAATGAGAGTTTTTTTCCCTTTTCTTGTGTTAATAACATCAGTACTGTAAATCTGTAGGCGTGCACTCTCTGATGGACGAAGAGCAGTGGTCCTGAAACCAGATTGGCACAAGGTATGCTTATTTAGCATGGAACGATTTCATTTAACTGTTATTTTCCCACACAAACACTGTAAAGGTGGATCTTCAGGGTTCACACAGTCTTCAGAGTAAGAGAAATGACTCCTGAGTTCAAACCTTTCAAAGAAAAATCTTCTTATCTACTTGTCCCTCAGACAAGCACCATATTAAATTTGGTTGTTTGAAACCCAAGAGTTCTCGTCCAAAACATCTTGCCAGGTTCCTAAGCCAAACAGAGCTCATAAAATTTAAAAATGTGCTTGTCCTAGACAAGTTTGTCAAAGGTTTACATGTCCGAACTAAATTTCTACCTCTCCCGGACAATCATCGGACAGTGGTTTTGGTGCGTCCTGGCCTTGAAAAGTCCTCGAATTTTCTTCAGCTTTGAATGTAGTGGCCTGAAAAAGTGTCGTATGATGCTCTTTGGTTGTCCAAAACAGAATATAAATCGTAGCTTTCTTTTTTGGGACTGTAATTAACTATCAATTTGAGACAGGTCAACTGAAAAATGTCGAGAAGTTGGTGGAGCAAAGAGCTCAATCCTTAAAGTCCTATAACATTGGAATGGGAATGTGCATTTTTGTACAGTGTGTCAAAGGTAGTTCATCCTTGAAAATCAAATGTGGTCCTTGAAAGGTCCTTGAAAAGTCCTTAAAAATGGTTCCAATTTTTGCGTGAAACCTGGATCGTAGTATTACTTTAACCCATTCGCTCGTGGAGATTTTGCGGAAAAACACGTGTTGAAGCTAGTCAAGTGGTTTTCTGGTCACTGTGGTGCGAAAGAGAGCTAAAACTTACCACAAACCTGTTTACAGGTGGCACACTTCACAGCCTTCTGATCCAGTTGCAAAATATTAGCTTGCGAAGTTCGGACGTGTGTAGAAAGCAAAATTTGAAGATAGTTTTTGGGTTTAAAAGTGATGCAGCAGTCTTGACTTTTAGTTTTCGGCTTTCTCTCCTCCCCTCTGTCCTCCCCTCTTTGCCTCTTTTTTTTTTTCTTGCTGGGCATTTAGTAGGCTTCATTTTGATGGGAAGAGTTTTTAGGAAAGCTTTTAGGATCTGAGGGTTAGGCGAAATGAAAGGTAGGTGGGCAATGGAACAAGATTTTCATGGAGATTTTCAGGTCATTGTTACATGGTTTTCCGGTGTCCTTGACTGAATTGTGCTCATTCTGGTATGGTCACTCTGCACAAGTTCGCAGACAAAGTTGTCCTTGACCATTAAAACTGATGACCTCACAAGTGCTAGAAAGGACGTGGATCCGCCCGGGCGGTTATGGGTGGTTCAGGGGCAAATGGGTTCAAGAAATTGTCAAAACTTAGCATTTTCTTTCAGGCTCAATACAGATATGCTCAGGCATTTTATGAACTTGGAGATATCACCAGAGCCAAGGAAACAAACAGGGCTGCAAGGAAAATTTGTTCTGAAAAGAAGGACTTGGAAGGTCAATTTGAAAGATTTGAAAAGGGCTTCCAAGCAAGTGAGTTATGCTGAAGTATTAACATAAAGTTCTACATGTATCTGACTAAACTCATGAATAATATTTGAAGTTGAGTGTACATCTGTGAGTTCAGATTATTTTGATGCAATATTGAAACCTCAGCATTTGTACCAAGTCTCAAATGTCTCCTTATTTTTTGTTGGCATTTAGAAATTGTTGCAGCAAAGTTTCAGTTTTTCCACATAGGGTTTTATGAATCTAGGATTTTACCATTCACAAACTTCCAACTGAATTTACTAGGCAACAGTTTGATTTAGAATCTTTAAGAAGCTTTAAGGAGAAACCAGTTTTTTGAATTTTTATATGTCATTTTATATTGCTGAAACAATAAAAATCTCTGTCTCAGTCATTGAAAATGTGTGTGTACAAATGCAATGGTTTTTTTCAACTTTTTAATGGCAAATAGAAAGTTTTGAAAATGTGACGAAATACATGAAAATTGAGTTACCGGTAGATGCAACTGTGTCTATGAAAGCAGAAGCATTACAGCTTCTGAGATGAAATTTCAAAGAACACATGTTAAGAACAAAACTTTAATTTCCGTAAAAATGCATCTGTGTATGCATAACTGAGCCGTGGTTTGCAATTCTTTAGCTAAAGAAGGTAAAGGAAAAGCTACAGAGAAGAGAAAGGCTGCTAAGCATAGGTAAGGCACTTACAATAATATTTTTTTAAATGTAAAACTGGTGCTACTTTTGGTGATTTGATAAATGACCAGGTGCTTTCTCGAGGCTAAAAAAGTGAATAATGGCACCAGAATTCCTTTAAATTATTATTATTTTTGTCCAATAGTAAACTGCTCGATGACTTGCCAGACTTGGTGGACCCAGATTCTGGTGACACAAGTTCTGATGATGATAATGGTGCATGTATTCCAGATCTGGTTGATATGGAGGATGAAGATTCTACCGACTCCACTCATGATGATAGTGAGGTAAAAGCAAGGATAATCTATGACTGTCTGTTTTACTTACCATATTAGAGACCTGTAGATTCTAAGGTGAGTACGACTATGAGTACGAGATTTTCTCAATACTACATAGTGCTTGCGTGAGAAGCAGCGTCATTTTGGCGGGAAAATGTGGTAGCCGTCGTCAATCTATGACGAGTTTTGGCACAAATGTTGTGCTGGCGAAAACAAGTTATCAAATGTAGGTTAAGTTTGATCATCCAGGTGAACGTAGTCCTGAATAGGACTGTTGTTTTGACAGTGACTGATGTTTCGACAACCTGAGCAGTAGTCATCTTCAGAGTCAAAGTGAGCTGTATCACGTCAGTTGATGGTATTATACTCTGGTTATATGGTCAAATGTTAGAAGTTTTATCATTTTGCGATAGGGAAGGCGCGTAACCTCCTCCACTAAAAGATATCAGAGCTAACTTTTCTAGTGAAATACGGTAAAATGAAGCTTTTCTGGAAGTCTATATTTTGAGAATACACAAAAAAACTTCAAATCAAATCTCGTACTCGTAGTCCTCCTCGTCCTCAAGTCTAAAGGTCTCTATTTACTTGATTTAGCACTACCCTTGAATAAATGCTGCCCTCAGTAAATTTCCCATTCTTTGTTGTTCACTTAACTTAGTGTACTTGACTTTTGTAGGATCCAAACTCAGACATTTCAGGATATGAATCAGATGACTCATCTGCTCGGTTAGTTGTTGACAGTGATTATTCTTTGAAAAGGCACGAACACACTCGGCAATATGTCCCTTTCAACACGTCGATGTGGAAAACCCCTTCTTGTGAGCAGGTCGTGAAGACGTGTTGCGGTGACAAAACACTTTGTGTGAGCTGGAGAATTTTTGTGAGAAACTAGCATTTTGTTGCTGCTAAGGGTCACCACAACGTATTATGCTGTGACTTGTCGCCTAGTGTGTATAGACCTTATACATTTGTGTAATAGAGCGATTTTTGTATGACCTTGAAATGAAAACGCGCGAACGAACCAGAAAAAACAAGCAAACGGAAATAGAGTGATTTGATTGGTTTATCGAATGGATACAAACATCCTTCCCTCCCCCATTCACCCTTTCTCATTTTGGAGCTTGAACTTTCATACTTGGTTTGTTGAAATATGATTTTTGCTGTCTTCTTTAATAGTTGTTTCCTAAAAATTATTTTGGAACTTCAGAGAGACTTGAAGCAAAATAACATCCACAGGTCATTAATTGTTCTCTAAAACAAAATAATAATGCTCATTCTTCTTTCTGTTACAGAAAGAAAAACACTTCTGCAGCCCCACTGGTAAGAAAAGTACTTTCAATTAACTTGCTGCCCTTCCTCTGAAGTTTATGTGTGGTTCAAGAAAATATCCATTCTCCGTCACAAAGTGTTGTTGGTTTGAATTCTAGTCTACCTTGAAGATTTTGGCCTTTAGGCCCTTCCCCCAACCTCCCTCCTCTGAATTTTTCAGTGAACCACAATCTAAGATGGGGGAACAAATTATTATTTTCTGCAACTGCACGTTCTTTCCCTGAGTAACAATTATTTGTTTGTTTATTTCTATTTCCTTGTAAGGGTTACATTGACTGAAACTTATTTTCAAATATGCAGTTATTTAACTTACCGGTATCTAGTTGTGTGCTAGAGATTTCTCAAGTTGAAACATGAATAAGGACGTTGAAAACTGTGCTCAAAGTTTCTTAGATATTGTGCAATTTTTTTCTCCAGCGCAAGAAAAAAAGACCAAATAAAAAAGTAAGGCAAGCTTTACGAGAAACGATGCAGAACAAAGTTAAGCGAGAGGAAAAGGCCAAGAAAGAAGAAGAGGAGAAAAAGGTAGCAACTGGAAAGGAAAACAAAAAGTTGGAGAAAAAGAACAAAAAGGCTAAGGTAGGAAAACAGATTGTTTTCCTATCATATGCTCTCGTTAATGTTAACCTGCAAGCAGACCCTGTAGATGAGAGCAAGTAACCAAGCTGTGAGTTGTGGAAGGGACAAAGCCACAAGAGATGTGTGAAATGCACTGGCAAGAAGAGTTTGTAAACATCTCTTCCAGTACTGGCTCATAACTCTTTGTGTGGAGGCCTATTATTTGTGTTAACCCAGCACAAATCCTCATGGAGAGAGCCTGATCGCAAGATGTGTTGTTTTTGTCCAAGTAGTATCCATGTCAATCTACAATGGCACTCGTTGTTACAGTAAAGTTCACATTAACAATACCACTTGTTATTAAAAAGTGGTGACAATAGTGTCATGTAAAATGCACGAGTCTCATTTGAAGTATCACCACACTTATTTTGATGACAGTACTTACCTACACTTTATTTCTGTTAAAGGGTTGTGAGTTTGATAAATCTTTTACATTGCAGGCTACCCAAGTTGACCAGAATGGCAATTCTCAACGAAAAAAAGAATTTACTGCTCTTCTTAAGCAAGTAAGTTCATTTGACAATGGCGTTAAAAAAATTGATCTCCACATCCCAAAATGTTATTGCTTGCTCAAGGCAGTTGCATGTTTAGCTTAGTTTATGAGTTAGTTGGAAAAACACTTCCCTTGCCCTCAGCCCACCTGACAACTGAGCTTGAAAAACTCCTTCATTTTTATCCATGCTGCCGTGCAGTTTTATGATGCCCCCCCTAAATGACAAGGCAGGCAAATGACGGTTGGACGCAGCTGGAATTGACTGGTGTGTTATATTATTAAAATGTATGACGTCTCCTTGAGAAATTCCAAGAGTGTTTTAGGACAGTCCAAACAGAGAGAGAAAAATGTTGATAGTCTGACGTTCTCCCAAGCTTGTTTTATTAAGTTTTGAGTGATGATGTGATGTTTTCCTCACAGGGCAGCAAGGCTGTTCTGGAAAAAAAGTGTGTCATGGCTGTTCATAACTATGGAAAAGCAATAACAATATTAGAGCAATATGATTTTTGCTATCAGGTAAATTACATAACTTAAACTAGATGAAATGATTAACAATTAATCCTCGAGCCCGAATGGGCAGAGTCAATAGCCCATGAGGCCCAGTTCATGAGCTATTGACCCAGGCCATGAGGGTGAGAGGAATAATTGTTTTAGTAAAATCCAACTAGTTGGTTGAAAATATCGAGACAAAACAACTTTAGCTAGCAAAACGCGATTCAGCCACCATTGTTTTGGTTTTCAAAGCTGGTGCTTCTTGCTACTAGGGGGCAATAACATATAGCCTAGAAGTAGCTCAACCAATCAGAATTCACCACTAGTTGGATTTTACTAATTATTATAATAAAGTTCTGATATAACGAACACTCTGATTGGTTGAAAAAGTGTGCTTTATGAAAAGATAAAAGACGGAGATAAAGCTGTCACACTATCTGACAATACTGTAAACGTCCTCTCATGAGCCCTGGGCTTATACAACTTTGTAAGGGGGTTTAGGAGGGCATATAAAATGGGGGGAAGGTTTGTACCAGCTGTATTTTTTGGTTTACAGGTACATGGTCCTACAACTGGTAGGGCTTATAAGTGAAAGTTTACAGTAGTTTTTTTTTTTAAATTAGAATGAAATCCATGGGGAATTTTACAGATTCTTTATCATAAAACAAATAAAGAAACCTTGACTTTGCTCTGTTCTGTTGTAAAGCACTCAGGTAGCGTGTGGTGTGGTGTGTTTGAGAATTTCAATTTGAAAGAAATCCATGGGGAATTTAACAGATTGTCTATCATAAAACAAATAAAGAAGTCTTGGGTGTGCCCTGTTCCATTTTAAAGCACTCAGGTAGCGTGTGGCATGTCAGTAACTTTATTTTTTGTCTTTGACAGGTCTTTGACTTGAAGGAAATTGATTTTGTCATATTATTGTATGGTTTTGGTGCAGCCTATCTGGAGGTTGGTGGTCACGAGGTAAACAATATTATTCCACTCTTAAATTCGGTGTTGCTATTGCAATAACCAGTCGTATTGCAGAGAAATTGTGAGTAATTGGGCCTGATTCTATTTTCAGGAACTTCGAGAGGCCAAGAAGCAGTTTGACATCATTGTTGTAGAACATAAAAATGTAGTGTTTCCTTTAGCATACTTGGGCAGTGGAAGAGTGTTTTATAAACAAAACAGGTATGATAGGTGATGATTATTATTGAAATGTCAGCTGATAAATGAAAAGCTGGAATGAGTGTTAAGATGGCTTTCCAACAACAGTTAAGTGCTCTGAGAAAGAAAGACGAAGGTATTTTTTTTCTAATGAAGTATATTTCTCTCTACTTTTCTCAGATTTACAGAAGCCCTGAAACCTCTAGAAGAAGGCCTAGCATTAGTCAACAAATTGGGTGATGATCTTGCATCTTACAGATGGCCTGGTTCTCAAGTTATTATTGATGAGACAAAACCTGGAAAGTTGCAGGCAAGTGCTAGTGTAGCTTCCCATGCAGGGGTTCGTCACGTGATCTTGCTCCACTTTGGGGAGGATTGCGTGACGAGCCAAAGAACATCTGCTTGGGAGGCTAGTGTGAGTGTTGACACTTTGATTCCTAAGTGTCAAATGGTCATGATTTGTGAAGGGCAGTCACTAAGATCTCAAGTTGCTGGGTATTTGCAATCATTAGGCAGGGGATTGAACAACTAGAAATGTGTTTCACTTTTATTTTCCTTTTGTTCCCAGAGAAGTGGATGAGGAGGGGCATGCTCATTTTAGCGGGGGGGGGGACCCCCGCCCCTGCCCTCTGTCACACCCCTGTTCGTTTATCTTGTTTTTGCATGTCTTGGTTAGAGAGACATTTTGAATGTTGTTGAAGTTTCAGCTTATAGAGTTGGGGACAATAAGGTGACTGAAAAACTACCATATACTATCATGACATTTTTGAACGCATCCAAGGTGCATAATAATCGGCTCATCTCTACGCTAGTTCTTTGAACCGTTACTTTCTTCAACCTACTTACCTTTGTACAGTGCTTGACTTATCTTTCAGAGTGCAATAGAGACGTTAATTAGAATTTGTCGTCATCCTCCTCGTCCGGATGCCGTTTGTAGATATCAAAACTGTTCAAATAAAGCACAGATTTATCTTACAGATCCTGGTAGGTGTTTTGTCCCCTAATGTGTGTGTGAAGCTTCCTGGGGCCCACATAAAGTATTTTCTTGGGCGGGGCCGACAAATATTCAGTCTAGAATTCAAATAAGGCATTGCCAAGGTGTCATCCTTTTTATATTGTAACACTGGAAAGGAAACTTTTTGTTTCATTTATAGAAAAAGTATACTTGAATTCCATGCATTTTGCTGTAGTTTTTTTCCATGGTCCACGCCCTATTCTATGAGATAGCAGTGTTACTCCTTTTCATCTTTTTTCGTCAGTCGAATTCATGTTTTTAGGTGTTATTCAACCTTAGAAAAGTGTCTGAGATGAAAGAACAAGAGCCCTTAAAATTAAACAACAGAATAGTTTGCGTTAGTTTTAACCAGATGATCGTAATATCCCAATTGCCGGATCGTAGAGGGTTGCATTGCATCTTGAGTTGTCGTATTTTTAGAGGATCGTCTCGATGGCTTGAACACATTTTGAGCTGGCTCAGGTGATCATAGTCTGCAAATAAAACTGCCATCACCCTCTGTTGGCTGTATTCGCAGGCTACGGTGATTGAGATGATCTAGCCAATTATATGGAAAACTAGGCTATAGAGGCAGTGGAAGCATTCGTTAAGATAACCTTGCTTTGTCTGATCAACAGACTACAAAGGCTACATACAACTGATCTGCCATCAAGAATGTAAAGTGGAATTTCATCCTGTTTGTTGGAAGAAACAGAAAAGTACCCAAGAAGGAAAGGCTGGAGACAAGGTGAGGGCTCTTGTCGTAGAACCTCAAATTAAGCCGTGTTGACTACCACTCGACCGGTTACTGCTTCAGTTGATTGGGTATCAGACTCCCCTGAGCGATTGGCCCAGGTTCAATATCGGCCTCTCAGCCTCAGGAGTGGACTTTCTAGTCATCTAGATTAGGAAAAATGTTGAAAATAACTGAGCGATTTTTTGCACGGTGATTGGTCGAGAGCTGTGGTCAAGGAAAGTAAAGACTTTGGATATGACCTAACGATGGAGCAGTTTTTCAACAGGGTTTTCATTTCGGCATCGGAGATCGGAGAATTCTCCGTTTACTACGCAGAATTATCCAGCTAACGTGCGATAGCCTATGACTCGATTTTATATTCAGACATGGAGCCTGTTTCACAATATTCTCCTGTTAAGTTACACCTTTCTCCTGCTACTAGAATTCTTAGTGAAAACCCAGTTCAATGATTGGACTCGTGTGGAAACCAAGCTCTATAGTGTTCGCTGTGCCAAATCAGTGTGTTCTGAATCTTAATAGAGACCTTTAGATTCGAGGACAACTACGAGTACGAGATTGGACTTGAAGTTTTTGCGTGTATTCTCAAAATATAGACTTCCCGGAAAGCTTTATTTTACCATTTTTCACTAGAAAAGTTAGCACTGTTATCTTTAGTGAAGGAGGTTACGCCCCCTCTCGATCGCAAAGTGATCAAACTTCTAACATTTAATTTTAATATCTTGTTTTCGCCACCTCGACATTCTCGTTAAGACTCGTAGTAGAGTGACGACGGCTACCACGTTTTCCCGCCAAAATGACGCTGGTTCACGCGGGAGCACTACTTAGCACTGATAAAATCTCGTACTTGTAGTCCTACTCGTCTTAGAATCTAAAGCTCTCTAATGTCTTACAATTAACCTGATTGGTTGAATTAAAATGAAATGAAATGAATGATTCTTCTTTGATGATAACAGGATTTTCTTGATGATGGTTGTTTGACCCCAGACTGTGGAGGATCCGTTGTCAACATTCAGATTTTTGATACTGATGGTCTAAAGACAGAGGTAATCACATGACTTAAACACTTTCGCCCCTACACCAAGTTTTGGCAGGATCATTTGTCACTGTAGTTAATTTTCTGAATGAAATCCTATGGTGTTACCATTCAAATGAAACCTCTTCAGCAGTACTTTCACATGGTACTATTCATTTAGTATGTAGTTCTAACTTTTGGGTCTGTGGATGAAATCCCAAGGTGTTGTCATTCAAATGAAACCTCTTCAGCAGTACTTTCACATGGTACTATTTATTTAGTATGTAGTTCTAACTTTTGAGTCTGTGGATGAAATCCCAAGGTGTTGTCATTCAAATGAAACTTCTTCAGCAGTACTTTCACATGGTACTATTTATTTAGTATGTAGTTCTAACTTTTGAGTCTGTGGATGAAATCCCAAGGCGTTGTCATTCAAATGAAACCTCTTCAGCAGTACTTTCACATGGTACTATTTATTTAGTTTGTTGTTCTAACTTTTGAGTCTGTAGATGAAATCCTAAGGTGTTGTCATTCAAATAAAACCTCTTTTGCACAACGTTTGCAGGGTGCTATTTTTTCCTTAGGATTTTACGACAAAGACATTTGGAACTTTTGTGAATTTCTTCGCTTGCCGCTCATAGGAATGGAAGGGTTGATAGAGGAGCTGAGTCACTGTTTATGGAATCGGTGCATTGCATGTCACGTTATACGTAAAATCCTGGTCTTTAAAGATTTTTATAGAAAAAAGGGAAACATGTAACTTGAATGGCTTGATTCATTTGGACGTTGATATTTTCCTCCTCCTTCCCTCCCCCCTGAGATGGGTGTGCTGGGTCTTAAAGGCGATACACTTAGAACTTAAGATGAACGTATGTTGTTTTCAGGGGCACAAAGTACAACAATTATTTTCAGGGGCCATGCAAGCATTCTAGAACGAATAAAATACTAATTAGGGACTCTTGTGTTGATTTCCGTTGTTGTGTTTTAGTTTAAAAGCGAAAAGTTGAACACGAAACAGGAAAACAAGCCCAAAGCCACAAAGCAAAATAAAGTCAAAGGAAGGTTCGTTCGCTTTTTGTTTCTTGCAATTACTTTGATAGTTACATTAAAGTTCCACTGCACTTTCCGTAACAGAGTTGTTTTCAAAACAAAAGTTAGTTTCAAGACCTACATTAAGGGCCTGTTTACATGGAGGTGGGGGACCCCAGGTAGGTGAGGTAACCCGCTTTGGTGGGTAACCCGCCTGTCCACATAATCTCTCATTTTAATTTGATCACGTTTACATGATAGGTGGGGTGACCCGCCGCATGTTACCTCACCTAACTGGTGTCCCCCACTTCCATGTAAACAGGCCTTAAATATAGAGTTCGATGCTTAATCTCGGTATAGTTGCTTGTTCTTCGTGTTGTAGTAGCTCAGTCTATTATAATTGCCTTTGTTGACTAGTTTTTTAAAAGAAAGGGATAGAGTTGAAGGGCACGATCACTGGCTTCCAAAATGAGTGCTCCTTTCTCCTTGAAATTCTTTGTTTGTTTGTTTTGACATACGTTGCCAAAGAGACTGAAGTGACTGATAACGCGGTTTTATTTTATAGTGTTGTTGCCACCAAGCAAAAGAAGAAGAAGGAAAAAGAGGATGCCATCAAGATAGAAGATGTCACACCCACAGATACCGATACTACCGAAGAGAAGGAACCCAGTAATCCTGCACCCCATCAACCTCCCCCTCCTCCTCCCCCTCCCTCTGTACCAGGTATGTGGTCAAAACTCAACCAAGCTTCAATAGAGCGTTTTCTCTCACGTGACCTGCAGATATCCAAATTTATTACAACAGAACAAAGTGTTTACGTAAAAAAAAGGTTCAACTCCCACAGCACCGTTTGGGACACCAATATGACCGCCGTGACGTCATGTGGAAACGATTTGTAGTCCCTTTCGTCCTGAAAGTAACCGCTGAATGCAAACGCTGATGACGGTTTTTTTACATGGTTAGCCTCAACCTCAAGCAAGATTGTCACAAATGCTGGCTGGAAGGTGACTGAAATTTAAAAAAAAAAAATAAAAGGGTTGTTGGAGTTTGTGAATATACTCACTTCAGATGGAAGCTAACCCTGTAAAATTGCGCCGTCGGTGCTTTAATTCAGCGGTCTTTGCAAATGATCTCAGAACTCTGTGGTTCTTTTTAGTTTTCTTTTCCATGAGATTCCGTTGATGATGAAGCAAAGGAGAGCACAAAGTAAAGCCAAGGGTCTATAAATTGTTTTCTTAGTGTGAGCAAGACAAGAAAGGAAATTCAACATTCAATATTCAGTCTTAACAAAGTGTGCTTCGACTGTTATTTATTTTTTTTCTCAACCCCAACCTTTGCCTACTCCTCTCAGCCACTAGGTTTCTACTCCCAACCCCCATACTCGCAGTGATGCACCGTCTATCCCTCCCCTCCCATAGAAGGTATGTGTGTTTAAAGGTTATGATAATAAAGTGATTAATGCTGCTGTTGATTTCAGTGCAAAAAGAAGAAAAACCACCCGAAGAAAAACACCCAAAAAACGTGAGGCACAGTTTTTTTTTCTTTTTTGATTAGTCAAAAGAAAGGCCTCAAAACTTCCAAAACCTCTCAAATTGTACTCATTGGCTTCTTCTCTTGGTGTCTTTGTTAGGCATTACAAGACAATTCCAACGCTGATGCTGGTATTGGTGAAGGTTTGTATGTTTAATGCTTAACCCCCAACCCCACCCCCGTTGTCTTTGATCCCCTAATAGAGAACAAAAGAACCACGACGAAGTTCACGACGACGACGTCTGTTGACTGGGAAAAGACTGGAACGAGAACGTCAGTTTCGGCGGGAAAAAGGAAAGTTAAGATGCAGTTGGTCGGTAGGTCGACGACGACGACACTGAATGTAAACACAGATGTAAAACTGTGATGTTCGTTCGCAACAAAGTTTTTCGCAATGGCGTCTTTCAAAACAATGCAAGATCTTATTTGTTCAAGCCGTACGTCTAATTTCATTGACGATGAAAAATTTTTTGTGTTGTCTGACCTTTTCGAGTGGAAATACACCTACTTTCCGTACGAAATTATTCAACTTTCAACTTGAATGAGATGACCGAGTCCGAGTGTCTGTCAGAGTTTAGATTTCGAAAAAGAGACATTCTGATGTGATAGCTGCTTTCCATATAAAGTTTTTTTCCTCTATATTAAAGATATATGATTTACCTTACCTAAATACGTACAAATAAATTTATCACAATTCACATACCAGTTCGCTCGCTCGGCCTCCTCAGCTGTTGTCATTCTTCAAAGTAAAATCAATTCATTAGTCGAATTTTCAATCAACATCGCTTGTTAGGAGAAAAAAGGAACGATACCTGGATTTAGGAGGACAAGAAAATGTAAAGGCCGTCAAAAATCGCTTAAAACAGTGGATTTATACCTGCCGAAGCTTGTGGATTGCAGGACGACGTGATTCTACTTTGTTTTGCGTCGTCGACGACACCACGACGACGAAATTTACTGGTCGCGCTTGCGCAGCACAGTGTAACTCACTTCCGGTCGTCGTCGACCAAGCTGTCGTCGTGGTTCTTAATTTCCCTATTGTTGATTCCCAAAAGTGGGGGTGCGAGAGTGAGTTTCTGTCTTACAAAGTGTTCTCTTATCGGAAGTCAAAACACAATATTCCTAGTTCCGGTTTGTTGTGGAATCATAGCACTAAGGATACTAGTCAAAGGGGACCATTGTCTCTTTTTATTGATTAAGTTGTTTTTACTTATCTCGTTCTCTTAGTTGATGTTAAGGCCGGTTTAGGTATTTTGTCAACATCAAGGAGCTTGAGCAAACTAAGGCATTTTTGAGCGATGCTTGTCAAACAGAAGTGGACTTTTTATATTCTGTGGCAGTTGTTTTAGCCCAAATTTTCGGGAAAATCGTCTGAACAAGAGTAAAAACACTTAGCAATACAAATTTGTCAGCGTCAAGGCATATACAAAGGGAAAAGGTCCAACTTCTCGTTGACTAGCCTCCCCACAGGCATCCTTTGGGGGTCGTTTGTCACGCATTCATTTCTCCCCCACGTGGGGGAGAAATGAATGCGTGACGAACGAACCCCACGGGACGTCTGCGGGGAGGCTACCCGTTGACGTGCTTCGCTCCAAAACACCTTTGCAGTCAAGCTCCCTATTGCTGTGAACACACCACACTATTGCCTTGCTACATAGTATTGAAAAGTGATGTATAAATGCTTTACAGATCTTTAACATCTGTTTTAGGTGGCGGGGGTTTTATTCTGAAGAAAGATGAAGATGAAGAACCAATCAAGGTAAGGAGAGTTTCTCTTACGGGTAAATAAACGCAAAATTTTTCTGATCTTTGTTTATCTAAACACCGTTTCTTGTGCATGGTTTCACGGAATCATATAGGGTAGACTAGAAGAACATTCATCCTCTTTTAAATAAGCCACTTAGGAAGAGATCTGGAAGTTCAATGATTTATTAAACTGCTGCGGGCCTAAGTTATAGTCTCCCTTCACTTCACGCAGCGCTCCTCAGGTTTTTGTAAAGCTCCTCCCCAACAATGATTTCTTAAACCGCGGCCTAAGTTAGACCACGCTGGGAACCCACGTGACATATAAAGCGTTAATTATCCCTTAACAGTAGATCTTTTAGCCATTGTCTTTCCCTTGTTCTCAAAGTGACTACATTGAGATTTTTAATAGTACAGCTTCGCTGTTTTTTGCAAGCCAACAACAACTTTATTTAAGTGCATTGAAATATAGTACAAGCCTTCTGTACATGTTACTTGGCTGGGGGTCCAGGGCCAAGCTGTAGTCGTTACTTGGCAGACGTTATACGAAAGTTAGTGGTACATAATTCACGCAAAAATTGTCTTTAGAAGTATCCTCTTTGAAAAATTTAAATTTCTCGAAATTTCCTTGGTGAGAAGAGCTTACGCACCGAGGGAAGAAGTGGCTCTGTCTTCCTTTCTAATTCCCTTTGTGTTTTTTTGCTTTTAAAGGGAGTAGGCAAGGCTAAAACCAGGAAGAAAAAAGCCAAGGTGAGAACCAGTTTGTGGTTTAATCCTTTTACTGAAAGTACTGCTCTCTTTTAATGTTTTCTCAGTTACTAGGTCTTTGTAAGGCACCAAGGGCGGATCCACACCGGTTTCTACCGTTTTACGGAAATCTGTCACATATTTTTTCATAATAAATATATTTTTAATAATAAAAACACTTTCCAAGTTGAAATCTGGCCAATATCCTGTCTGAATGACTCGGAAACCCAGGAAAGGGGACCTTAAGGAGTAAAAATCCAAACAATTTCTTGGGGGAGCCCGCCCTCGGACCCCGCTAGAAGCTTGCGCCTTCGGCGCTCGTTTAGGAAACCCAGTATTTATTCTAGATTCGTGCCTGGGCACATAATGCGACGTCGTTCGAAGCTGGACGCCTGGGAAGCCCTGTTTAGTTATGTGACAGTCTGTTATGTTACTGTCGAATGTTTTTACTGTGGATACTTTGGCGTAAAAAAATCGAATTTGTCTTTTTCACTTACCCAGCTAGGCAGCACCACAGGTTTATTTAGAAAGTAACCCCTTTATTTATGTTACTGTTGTAAAAAGACATGTTTACTGAAAGATGAGTAGAATCAGTTCAGTAGGAAGACCAGCTAGCTTGTAAAGCTACCTACACACGGACGCAATAACTCCAGCCCAACATTGTTGGTCCAACAATGTTGCGTGTTGTTGCGGCTGTGTTGCAGTGGTGTGCAAACGGATGCAACAACTCCCAACATTGTTGCGCCAACAATGTTGCGTGTTGTTGCGTCCGTGTTGCAGTGGTGTGCAAATGGACGCCACATTCACCATCCAACAATGTTGGGAGTTGTTAGCCCGCAATGTTGCGTCCGTTTGCACGGGGCTTAAAGTTCACCGGTCCTTAAAGGCGTTATGTCGCGTGATTTTGGTTTTGGGTAACTGGTCAGAAAATTGACTGAAATGTCAAAATAAAAAAAAAAAGTAAAAACGGATTTCACTCAGATGAACTTGAAAAATACCGCCTCCCGTTTCCTCAGATCATCTCAATTTGTATGAAACGCCTTATGAAACAGTGATTTTGTCAGTGAAAGATTTTGCTGCGCTAACAAAAATCTTCAGCAGACTCTGCGAAAGTACTATGACCCAACCCCACCACTGCAGGGATTGATTGTCTTGCAGTCATTTGTGGCAATTTCTGTTCTCGTTAATTTCAAAACTGCATATTTCTTTTGTTTCTTTACTGATCCGTTTATTTTATTGCTTATTTTTTTGCAGAATACGCAGACCTTGGATGAATTTCTCAAGGATCGTGGTGGCCAACAGACCTTCAGGCCGGGTTTTGGGGAAACGGTTGACGAAGTTGATGAAATAACAATTCCAAAAGGGTAACTTAAAACAGATTGAAACCTTGAATTATTTATTAACCAAGCAGATCAAGTGAATACGTTTGCCATAGACCTCAGAAAAAAAGAAATGTTCGTTTTTGGGTTGATTCCAGCTTTTCAGCCGGCAAGTAAGCTATCCTTTGGGAGAGTCGCGAGAAGTCTCGCGATAGCAGCTCTCGCGCGCGTTCTCTCGCGACTTGTTTCGGTCGCCATAAATGGAGAGCTTGTTCGCAGGCTGTTGACTTTTTAAATGTGGCTGAATGTAATTTAGGCAAGGTTAATCTCGAGGTAATGCTGCCAGCGGTCTCGCCCAGTTTGCACATGATCCGTGGGGGCGCCCCTTTGGAGTTGGCAGGGGCAAACTACGTACAGCCTTGCTTGCTAGCGATCGTTGCGATCACTGCTTCTTGGAGCGAATCTTTGCGGATTCATTAGCCCCACCCTCCCTTCCCAGAGGGCTTCTCGATTGCTGAGGTAAGTATCGGGTTAGGTAAGTATTTCCACTGGACTAGTTTCAGTGTGACGGTGCCTGTTAGCGGCTGCTACTGTCAGTGTACGTTTGAAGTATGTATCCTGGTGATTTGAAAGAACAGAACCAATCATAGCCGTGCAGACTTGAATGGAAAAAAAATGCAGCTTCGTTTTCATCTTTGCCACAGTTTCCAAGGTCAGGGTCACTCTATGATCTTGGTCATGTCTCCTGGGGCCAGGGTGTTTTCATAATCAAGACAAACATGTCATTTGCGGTCGAAAATTAGGACTTGATTTCTTTGTTCTCTCTGCGTTGTGGCAAAAAAGAATTTTTGAAGTTTGCTAAAGGGCTGTGTCACGAAATTTATGATAATTCAAACACTGGTGACTGCCACCAAAGTGAATGAAACATAAAAATAACTGCGCAAAGCGTTTATGGAAAGTATAAATAACACAGCAAATACAAATGGAGAAACGGATGGACAAAACTTAAAGAAGATTGAAGCGGATTGAAATTGTGTGGGATCTTTTTTTGAAAACTTGTTGGCCTAACGATTTGTCAAAGCTCATTTTTGTAGTTTGTTACGTTTGATTTTTAAATCAAACGTAACATGCTTGGGAGACATATCTGTTGGACTTGCAGTTCAGATTTTGTCGTTTATAAGTAATTTCTCAATTTCCATAGCGAATGAGGGCGCGTAATTGGCATTAGTGAGTTTACGCAACAGTACGGCAGAAAGAAGAGGACAGCAAAACGCTTGTGTGTGACAAACGTGACAGGGCTATTACTTACGTTTTGTATCGTGATCTTCACTTAAATTAATGTTTTCTGGTCTTTTTCAAAAACATTTGTTTAAAGGAAGGTGAAGTTTGACGGAAATTGTTTTCGAACAAAATTTTTGTCACGCTTGTCTCGCAAGGTTTGCCGTCTTTTTTCCTCTCCCGTCCTGTTGCGTAAGCTTACTGTTGTATACACAATGAACCCGACAGTGGTGACACAATACCACTAACTTGCATGAAGGCACTGATTGTCATAACCTCCAAGCAAATTATTTCTCTCGTTTTTTTTTAATTGCAGCAAATTTGAGTTTGTTCCTCCACCGCCGGGCTGGAGCCAGCATGAAATGGAAGCACCATTTGCTATTCCACCTCATTTACAAGGAGATGTGGCCCAACTGGAAGCCAGCTACGCGGGCGGCTTGAATACTATGTTTTCATTTTCACCAGTCACTGCTCCTCCACCACAAATTGACTTAAAAGCAGTCACGGATTATGTCAGCACGTAAGTGACCTTTCCTTCCTCCATAGCATTACCATAGTCTGATTCTTAGCCCGCGTAGAATGGCGGTTTGTCGGGATCACTTCTGATCGGCGAAGCCGCAAAAACGCGCTCGCGGACGAGCGGCGAAGCGGCAAGCTAAATTTGCTCTTGCCCCAATCTCCCTGCGGTTCCTCTGCCCTCGCCCGCTTTTGTTACTTTGCGCGCCCAACCAAAACCGCCATGCTACGCAGACTATCTGATTCTTTTCTTTTCCTACTTCTTGACCTGAGTCGCCATTTGTTTTTATAAGTCTTATTTTGAGGGAAGAATATGTTTGTGGTGTCGCTGGTGATGTTTTTCATGATGATGGTGATGAGGTTAATGACCGTGGTGTTGTTGATTACGATGATCACGATGATAGCAATGATGGTGATAATGTTGATTGCAATGATGGCTGTGACTTTGGTGATCACGGCAATAATAGGGACTTTAAGATTCAGCGACGCGACGGCAACGAGAACGTCTTAAAAACAATAGGTTTAATAAGAAAAACAACAGCTTTGCACGTTCAGCACGATTTTTTGTTCATTTCTTTGCCGTTTTTGCACTACCACGACGTAAAAATGCCTAATTTCGTGTTTTACGGAGAACGTAAACAAGCAACGACGAAATTTTGTTTCGCTTTCTGAACTTGAATATTGCCCCCTGGAATTCACATTCAGAAGGGTTCGCTTACATTTGACGAAGTAAGTAAATAGGAATAATCGCGATAAAGATTAAAAGAACGTAAATTCACTTTTTAGGCCACGTTCTCGTTGCTGTCGCGTCGTTGGATCTTAAAATCCCTATTAGTGATTTAATACTTTGTCGTCTTCATCATAATCATCATCATCATCATCATCGTCACTGTCATCACCATGGTCATCATTACTTTCATCACAACTGTCATCTTTATCATCGTTATCATCATCCTCTTCATCATCATCATTATTACCATTGTTTTCGTCATAACCATCATCATTACCAACATAATCACTATTATTATCGCCATCGTTATCACGACATTACCATCGGCATCGTGATAACCATTATCATTGTCATTATTGTTATTATTGTCAATGATCATCGTCAAAAAACCCCCTTATCATCATCATCATCATCATCATCATAAGCATCATCATTTCTTTTTTTTCATAGAATGTTACAGGAGATTTTGCGAGCAAACGGACCTCTGGAGCTGGCGGATCCCAACATTATGCAACCACTGAGCATGTTGCCAGACAATTACCAGGACATTATATCTAACGCTGGCGGCCTCAGGCCTATCTTGGAACAATCCGGCAAATTTGTGTTCGACGGAAACAGAGTTATGCTTCCAGAGGATAAAGACTTTGAAGAACTCGTTCAAGATCTTAAGCCAAGCACTAATAATCCTTTCCTTGAACGAATTAGTGAATCAGATAGTGATACTAGAAATTTAGAAAATGCTATCCAAGATGCAAAAGCAATTTGGGACGCAGATTCAGTGATGGAGACAGATGAGTTTGCTGGAGAATTGAATTTTTCTTCGTCTTCTTCACAGTTGTCTCACACATTGTCGTCGCCTCCTTTTAATCCTGAAGCTAAGGAGTTTGTTCCTTCGTCGTCGCAAACGTTGTTGGATAATAGTTCATCAAAGACGTCTTTAGTTAGCAATGGCAGCAATGTAAAGGATGTTGAATTAGTTGATGATCAAATCGCTGAGGAGGGCAATACTAACATTCAAGAATCTGAGTCTGTTGAGAATTGTACGGAAGAACACAGGCCAGATTCAAATGGCGTTGAAGATGACAAAACGGTTTCAAGTGATGCTGGAGAAAACAAGAGTGTTTTAAATGGCAGTGAGGAGCAAAAACCAGTTTTGAGTGACGCCGAGGAGCTTAAAGCTTTTTCTAATGGTAACGAAGAGTTAAAACCATTTTCTAATGGCAGCGAGGAGCTCAAACCAATTTCTAATGGCACTGAAGAAACCAGACCTATTTCTAATGTCACTGAAGAACTCACACGTGTTTCTAATGGTGTTGAAGAACAGAAACCAGTCTCTAATAGCATTACTGAGCAGAAACCAGATTCGGAAAGTACGAAAGATTTTGAGCTAGTTGGAAAACGATCTGAAGCTGGTCCCATTGTGGATAGTTATGATAATGACGTCAAAACGATCGGTGGAACTGAAAAACAAAATGAAAATGCCTTGACGGATAATGATGAAGTTGCGAAAAATGAACCGGTAGCCGTTGGAAGAAAAAATTCTGATGATTCATCCGGGAATATGTCTCGTGTTACTTTCACTGTGGAACAAGCAGGGAAGAATGTCGTTCCTGAAATAGCCGGTCCAAAGGTGCAGTCCACTCACAAGCGAACAGGCAGTAACAACTCTTCTTCGAGTGAACAGTCAGTGATTACAAGCAAGACAAAATCGGTTCAGACCCAGCCAAATGTGAAACACAAAGGCGTAGGAACAGATCCCATCCCTGAACCATTTAAAGCTGAGTATCAGCGAACTTTGGCTGAAAAAGACTCGCTACAGGCCAGGCTGCAGGAAACTACGGAGAGACATAATGCTTTACTAAGTAAAAACTCGGCAGAGGTTGAAAAGGTTAAGAAGAAGCTGGCAGATGCTTTGCAAGACAAAGAGGTATGAAGCTGTTGTTTCAACATAAGACTGCGAGAAGTCTCCCTTTTTGTTCAGATTTTCTGAAGGGAGTGTACGCGCGCGCGCCGACTCGAGAAACGAAGGCTGTAGCCCGAGGAAAACAGACGTTTTTCGTGCCTCTCCCTACTCTCGCCTTTTGTGTCGCGCGTCGGCATTTTCGTGTCTTGCTTGTTTCGGTCGACGGACTAAGAAAACCAAGAAACTGCTCGTAGAGCAAATCCAGTGAATGATGTATAAATTTGGAGTTCAAGAGAGTTGTCTTCAACTCTATGAATCTAACACACTAGATAGTATCTGACACTGGTATTGATTATATTTGTGTTACTTAGGAGGGCACTTACGATTCAAAATTGGACGGCCAGACGGCCCAGTCAGGTGAAATCGAACTAGGCTCAGTTTCTCGAATTTTCACAAGAACACACCGCCATGCATGCTATGTAGGGTCTTGGGAAGCTAATGACTTTTATTAGCTGGGAGGAAGGTTACTTGAGACAGAAAAATTAGGTGGCTGTGAAGTGCAGCTTTGAGGTAGTAATCCTCTAATTTGCACACAACCCTACCTCAGTTTCTCAAAGGGCAGATAGTGGTTTTGAGGTTGTGTGCGAGACTGCACCACCGCGGTGTACTGTATATTATTGTTTTATTTTTGGTTTGGTTGTGTGAAGCTCTTTCGTTAGCTGCAAAATTTGTACTTTTAATGCTGTTTTCATCTTCTTTGTAGAAATACTACAAGGAAGTGCAAGACATAAAACAGAAGAACTCAGAGGAAATACGAAAACTGCGCCAGCAATGTGAAGACAAAGAAGAAAAAATCAAACTTTTAAATCAAAAGATGCTGCAATCTACGGACGATAAGTAAGTATACTCAATGCCACTGAATATTTAAGCTGTCGATATGTAGGCTATGTTATTTATACCTATCAGTCTCTCTCCCATGTTGTAACCTTTCTTCTTTCAACGGTTGTGATTGGCGGAAAGAGGTCGCGCCACTTTTTTCAGCCAATCGGGAGTAAGAACGAAAACCAGGTTCCAATCCCGCCTTTATGATCGGCGTCTCTTTTTCGTTTCATTTTCGAAATGCTTCACTTGCATGTCCCTTGGAATGTGGTTGGCTTGACTGAAAAGCAATTTCCATTAACTAGAACGACGAGAATTTTAAGGGGGTTTGTGTGTCTTTGTGTTTGGTGGGGGGATTATCATGGTTGTTTATGAGACGTCACAGGGATTACTAAACGTAAAATAAGTAAGAATTCTGGTAGAAATAGTCAAATGGTGAATAGCTAATGTTCCTACCTCGGATGATATAACTGGCTTTATGATGCTCCAATGAACACTGCTCCTTGTTAAAGACAAACCACTAACTTACTATTTTGATCGCCCCTGAAAATAAACTGGATGTTTCGTTTTCCTTCTTCAGAACCAGTGCTGTTAACAACCTCAAGAAAGAACTTGCCACTTGTAAAGGCCAATTCTCAGCAGAAAAGTAGGTTCTTTTTGAAAAGAAGAAATTAAGAAATGTGTAAAACTTGAGTGAAAAATCGACTGAAGAAACTCCTTTTAAAATATCTCTCTCTAGGGATTCTTGGAACAAAGAACGCTCTGAAAAGGAAGATTTGCTTAAGAATATGAAAGTTCAACATCAACAACAACAGACTAGGGCCCAAGACGCCGAGGTAATTTTGTTTGTAATCTGGAAACTGCTCAGTAATCTTCAGATGGTCACACAGACTGAAGTTAGAACTACCTTGTACAGTATAATAAACAGTAACACAGGAAAGTACTGCTCAGTTGCTTTCATTTGAATGGTCACACTTTAGGATTTCATCCACAGACTCACAAGTTAGAACCACCTTGTACAGCATAATAAACAGTACCACAGAGCATTACCGCTCAGAACCTTTTATTTGAATGGTCACACTTCGAAAAGAACGCGGTGCTCTTGCCCTTATGGAGTCATTTTTTTATACAGGCATGTTTTTTATTTTTGTGCATTAAACTGCTCGTTAATCTTTTGTCAGATCAAGCTTTTGGAGCTTCGTCGAGACGTTGGGTTGCGGTTCCTGGAAAGAGCTTATCAAGAATCCCACATTACCATCAACAACCTTCTACAGGCTGTAAATGCCAGGTTTGTTGCTTAATCACATTAATTACATTTATAAAACCAGGACTTTAGCACCATAACAGTTTAGCCAATTTTATTTATTTACTTAGGTTCGCCAATTCTTGGCAGGGTCACCGCAACAGCGCATGTCGCCAATTACTGCGGGCCCGTTTTTTTCTTTGATTGTGTGTTGTCCGAGGGCTATAAATTGCATCGTCCGGTGTATTCTACCTCGGTGAATTGTTAAAGATGAATTTTGTTTGCTTTGTAACAGAATTGCAGGTCCAAAAGTGGAAGAATTAATTAATACTTGGAAGAATTATGCAGCGGAATGTCATCAAAGGATATTACAATGCAAGGTAAAACGAGGCTAGGTGCAAAAACCTTTCTTGTGAAATTGAGTTATATTTGCATGAGAATGAAAAGGCATTTTCATATCAATAGCTTCGCACTTAGCCTCTCTTTGAAACTGAGGCTTTGAGCAACTCGGAAATAGAGTACTGGAGTGCTATGCCTTGGTATTGAGAATTAATCATCATCATTATCGTTAAGAAGGTTGAAGTGGTTCACGTTGTTTGTAACCTGCGACCAATTGCTATCGTTATGCGTTTTCAGTAGTTGCTTCCACGTGAGCACGAGTTCCGCCTTCAGCTATACCTAAGTAACTCACGCAAATTATTAGTGATGTGCAATTGTTTGACAGGACGAGCTACTGCTTCTTCCTCACCGTGTTTACTTTTCTCGTAGACTACGTTTAATGAACAGATAGAGCAACTGAAGACTGGCAGGACCCTTGCAAGTGTTCCTCAGCTGACTATCCCGGGTCCACCTCCTTATCCAGCCATTCCAGTTTTACAGTCTGTGGTAGGTTACCCTTGAGACTTGTACAATCAGAAATCAACGTAAAATGTACAATAGGACATCGTAGAATTCATGTTGGGAAACAATGAATAAGCATCGGCTATGATGCGAAATCAGATTCCATTTTCCTGATAGCACTGCAGAGAGAATAGCCTCGTCAAGAGGGGTTCTTACAGTGCCGAAAATCCTTGTTTTGGACCCCAACGAATAACTAGAAGTGTCTCGAATGTCCCTTCAACCTGATTGGCAAATCAGACAATGGCTTTTAACAGGTCGATCATGGCGCGCACTCAAAATCCTGGTACACATCTGGCCCCAGTTGTACAAAAGGTGGATAACGTTATCCACCGGATAAATCACTATCCACTGGATAGCGCAATTAGTTTCCCTAACACTTATCCGTTGGATAGTGATTCATCCGGTGGATAGCGCTATCCAACGCGACCCAGAACAAGGATTTCGGCGCTGACTCGCAGAGGGTCTCAACCAGAGATTTAGACAATAGGGCCATTTATGCGAGGAAAAATAAGACGCGTCTTACATAAGATTCGTCTTAAATGAGACGCGAACTGTACCATTTATACGAGCATGTCTTATCTAATAAGACGCGTCTTAGCTAAGCCGCGTCTTATTTCAGACCAAATGTGCCGTTTATACGGAAAGTTCGCGTCTTATGTAAAACGCGTCTTATTTTTCCTCGTATAAATGGGCCTAATGTTCACACTATACCGGACAACTTTTACGCCGGCCCGAAAACCATAGCGGATAAGGCTTCTGTTCATTCATAAAGACACTGGTTTCGGCGCGATTTCTGTAACGGAGCGAAGCTGTGCCGCGCTTATCTCGAAATTGGAGGGTCACATACTTTACCGGAGAGATTTTCGTGTGGACACAAAAAGCTTTCCTTTAAAGTTGGAACATAGCCTTAGTTTTCGTCTGCGGATTGGACTAGAGGACTTCTCCTGCTCTAAGTTCTTTTCAATTGACAGTTGACTTATACCTGCCAACTTTTTTTAAATTTATGGTTGACATTTTCATCCTGAGAGAGCCAGGAGTTTTCGTAGGGGTCCAATAATATCCGAAGACGTTCCAAAGTGTTTCGTCTAACATGAAAACGGGAGCACCAAGGAACACGACCTCGTCTCCATTGACTTTCCCTATTAAAGTAAGAGAATTCGGAGAAAGTCAACCATTCACATGGACTTTTCTTTTCTCTCATTGGTTCCAGTTTCTTTAAATAATTAATATATTTTTCAAAATGTGTCAGTTAGCGGTGTAATGGCTCAAACATTTCTACCAGGCGTGAGTAGGCGTGAGAACGAAGTTTTCGATCCCCAATGGTGACATTTGGAATCTATAGTTGACCTTGTGTCTTTTCATCCAGGTGCCAGGACAACAGCAGCAACAACAAAACCAACAACAGCAACAACACCAGCCCCAGACCCAGCCCCAGCCCCAGCTTCAGCCCCACCCCAGCCACAGCCCCCTGTGGAAAACAAGGCTCCACTTCCCAGAGCGACTGACCCTCCCCTCCCTAATGTACCTGCTAGTGCTATTGGCGCAGTCGCGGGTCCCTCCTCAGTTGGACCTGTTCCTGGCAATCCTCATGCTGCTGTTGGCGGAGATAAAACTGCCATTGCTGCCGCTACCGCTGTGGTTGACAAAGCAAGACCTTCCAACAGCTTTGAAAAAATTATGCTACGTCTATCCACCATGTATCCGAATTTTACCCGGTAGGTAGACGATATCATTTACTCTCGGCTACTCTGTATAGTAGAATAAACAACACCACAGGTTTTGCTCGGTCGCTTTTATTTGAATGATCACTCGAAGATTTCACCCACAGACTCGAAAGTTAGGACCACCTTGTGCAGCATAATAAACAGTACCACAGGAAAGTACTGGTCAGTAGCTTTCATTTGAATGGTCAGACATACACAGACTCCAAAGTTAGGACCACCTTGTACAGCATAATAGACAGTACCAAAGGAATCATGATACTGCTCAGTAGCTTTCATTTGAATGGTAACACTTTAGGATCTCATCCACAGACTCAAAAGTTAGAACCACCTTGTACAGCATAAAGAGTATCACGGGAAAGTACTGCTCAGTAGCTTTTAGAATCTTGTACAGCGTAATAAACAGTACCAAGAAAAAGAAATGTTCAATTGAAACACGTCCATTTCTAAAAGCAATGTTAAACGCTCCCTAATATAGATAAGATATACTGAACCCTCTTGATTCGTGCAGTCTTATACAAAGTTCGATTTACACAGAAAAACTGAACCACATCTGAAATGGACGCCGCTAACCACTGGTGTCTCCCTTATCGAGTTTTTTTTTTTGTCTTGTCCTTTTTTTTTTCGTTTCATGCTTTTCTCTTTTTTTCCAAATAATTTGCGTTCTTCTTGTTTTCCGTTTGTGTGCTTTTAGTTTGGAATTGACGGGCTTTATTAAGGAAGTGCGACATAACAAACATGGTTCACTTACGGGCCTGTCTCTTGAGGATATCGTAGCGAGTGTGTCTGAGCTGGTAGAACAGAAGATAAAGGTATGTTCATAAACTTCGCTAGCGTACGCTGCTTTTTGGCAATTTCAACACTTAACGAACGATCGCAGAGGTGATTCAAATAGCAAGATAGCTGCTTGAAACTCTAGAAAAACACTAGAAAAATACAGAAAAGCCAGAAAGGGGCGCGGAGGAGCAAAGCTGTAGGAGATTGAAACGGATTGCATTTATTTAAACTTGGAAAGCAGTGACCTCCTTTTCAAGTTTGTCTCAATGTGTAAGAGGGTGTAACATGTAGTGCTTCACTTTGGCATTCCATCCAATGAGACTCAATACACATAAATTATTTTTCCGTCAGTTCTCATACATCGCTTCGTTTACTCAAGAATAAGAAAGAGTATTGGTAGTGTTGTTTTTCCTTGTATTCGCTAATCCCATCTCTGTTCTCCTGAGAATTCATTCACTATAACATTTTATTTTTATCTGAAGGCTGGCTTATTGCGCCCCGGGCCTGTCGCACCGAACACTACCCCCGCAACACAACGACCGCTTAAACCTACCATGATGGCGCAGAACATCCAACCAGCACAGGCAGTCCAATCTGCCATGCTAGGAGCGCCGGAAATGCTAAAAATGATCCCTGGTAGCCTAGGTTACGAAGAAGATCCGTGCGTTATTTGTCACGAGGACATGAATGCTTCTAACGATATTGTTACCTTGGAGTGCGGCCACCGATACCACTCACCGGTAAGAATAACCTTACTAGTTTTTCGCTAGATAGTCCACACTGTAAAGACAGGTAACCAAGTGACGTGCGATGTGGCGCTGTTTCGAGTTGATCGGGCGCCAAGCATTCTAAGCTCATGCAATATCCATCAACCAAACCATTGGCGAATCTAGGGGATAGTGCCCGGGCCCCCTCCTTATTCTTAGGCCAACTGAAAGCCACCAAGGGACGAGAAAAATTGTTTTTAGGGAGTACCCTCTCCTCTCTTAGCGTTTGGGCACTATGGTTTGCATGAGGAGGCCTCCATCTTACTTCACGATCTGAATCCTCCATCGCAAACTCTAATTTCCAGGTTGCAAACATCAGCCCTGTAATAATATGGTAATGAGCGCTAGACTCGTCTGAAAAGTAGTGTAGCATTCCGTTCCTACCTTCTAACATACATGATAACGCTGATTTTAAAAAACTTGTAAACTCGGATATTTGAAAGCTTAAGATTCGAGGACGACTACGAGTACGAAATTTTCTCAGATTGAATAATAAGTGGTGCACGCGCGTGAACCAGCGTCATTTTGGCGGGAAAACGTGTTAGCCGTCGTCATTCTACAAGGAGTTTTAGCGAGAATGTCGTAGTGGCGGGAACAAGTTATCAAATGTAAGAAGTTTTATCATTCTGCTATCGGGAGAGGGCTTAAGCTCCTTCAGTACAAATAACCTTAGTGACGTTTTTGGTGATAAAAAAGTTAAATGAAGCTTTCGGGGTGTCTTAGTTTTAGAACACGTGCAAAAACTTTCAGTAAAATCTCGTACTCGAGCTCGTCCGTAAACCTGGTCTAGAGTAATAATGCTGTTAACTTGTTTGTCTTAGTGTATCCGAAAGTGGCTGCTTGGTGAGCAAAGTACTTGTCCAACTTGCCGTGTGCATGCTCTTCTTCCCGACGAATTCCCTCGTCTTAAGTAATAATGATTATTGTTCATTGAAGAGTGAAGAATATTGGTCTGTAAAGAAAGTTTGGTAACACACCTCTATACAGGAATACAACAACTTGGATTCATCCTCTGCCCTTTATTGGTGTGTCACGCGTTGAAAGAAGAATTGCGCGACGTTAATGTGTTACAATGTCACGTAATGCCACATATATTAGCGTAAGATAAGTGAAGAAGAAAATGTGGTATATTTATTATCAGGAAACGCAAAAGCTTAAAGATGTTAAGTACTGTGGATGAAGATTAAAATTATGACAGTGATATTTATAGAGAATAACAAGATTAAACTTTTGGAGTTAATTTACAGTGGCGGCTTTCAGACGAGATAATCCCGCAAAGATAATTTCGACACAGCATGATTCGGAAGAGTCATAAAGAATTTTGTAGCAATTCGATTAAGTAACCTGGGACCAAAAAAATTCTGTGATATGTTTTATTGCTTTTATCAAGGAACTTAAATAGAGCAACCTATAAAACTGGTTTTTCTTGAAAATTGAACATTATTACCCAAGTAATTAGTTCAGTATCTTTAAGTCCAGTTAATTACTTTTTTAGGAATTATTTTTAATAAACTTTAGAGCGAGCTGTTTGCGTAGTGCTGTTCTAGTAAATGATCTCACAGTACCCGCTTATTGCAAGATTTAAATACTTTTCACAAGTTTTGTTTTTTTTGATATCTCAAGATGCGCTCGTGTCCATTTTCTTTTTTAGTTCTTTCGCGTTTCGCCCGAAGAAAAGCAGGAAAAGGGGGCATATTTATAGTCTTCAGACCAATAAAATAGTGAAAGTAATTTTTGCTTGTGAGCGCAACTCTTCCAAGAAATGAAAGAAGTTAATTTAACAATTGAAATGCCTTTAAAATGATAAAACACGCAAGAAGGTGTTTGCGCTCCTGTTTATTCAGAAAGTCAAACATATAGGTGGAATTAATTTGTCGGCTGTTTTGTTCTTTTTAAACTAACTAAACAGAGAAGAAACATTCGAATCTTTACATCGCAGGACTGCGATCGATGAGTTATAAGATCGGAGAATGCGACGCCGATCGTCTGAGCTGACACCTAAAAATAATGGTCCCTTCCACGGTTTTTTCCAAAGTTTTTATAAAGACCACCTAGGGTATTTTCATCGACACTGCTGGGAATTTATCAGTCAACTTACGAATTACTCAATTTGCGAACGAAGATATCCCATCGCAAAAAGGCGAATTTTTCAGACGTTCGTATTGTAGGGGCACAGACACCTACCTCCCACCATACAAACGTCTCTAAAATTTCGCGACTTTGCGGAACTCCATCTTCTTTAGCAAATCAGTTTCAAACTCGGCAAGTTTGCTCATTTTAAGGCGATCTTTCCAGCCGTGTCCATGGATATTTCCCAGCTTAACAGATTGGAATTTGCTCTTGAAGCGGTTTGGAGGGTTTTTCGGCAACTGGTACATGCGGGGTACAGTTGTCTCAATAGCCCGAAAAAAAAATCCTTGGACAACTATCGCCTTGCGGACAAATGTCACTATAGGACCTTTTACACGACACCCCGATAATACGTATATAAAGTCCCGGCAAAAAACAAATTACAGAGGCGACCACTTGGGTACGTGGTCGCCGCGCCTTGCTTTCTCGCATCATTCTTGCCGAATCTTTGATACAAAGGATGTCCGCACCTATGGTTAATCCAAGAAAACAAAGCATCTTTTTTGAAGACCTTTAGCAAGTTTGTATTTCATCACTTGTTATACCACTGAAGGAAATGGGAAGCGGAAATGACGTATTGGAAAAAAAGCTACTTTTATGGTGTTTGTTGTTGTGCCTCTCGCCAACTTGTCACGCGCGCGTTTAGTGGTGTGAGCAGTATTTCTTGAGTTTCGTGACCGATATTTATCCGACTTTCATACTTGAAATGCTTTCGCGTTACCCTCCCGAAAATACCTCCGCGAAACATTTTATTACCATTTCCGGCTTGAATCTCTTTACCCTAAAGCTTTGTCTCTCGACATGTTCCTTATTGATTTGGAAGAATAATAGCCTCCAAAATGCGCTTGATATGTTAATTCACCGACATAACAACTTCCTTTATCGCCTTTGTTTTGTTTACGAACAATCTCTTCATCAAGTTATCGAATTTCAATTGCAAAGTCACGCCAAATCTTTAGGCGTGAGTTTGCTAAAAAAATCCGTTCCAAAAACAAAATTAACCAATTAATGTGAATTCTGCAAATTTACAAGTCTCTTCCGTTTTGTCTAATTGTTGTATTTGAAGACGAATGGTATAAATTTTGCAAATTTTTAGCACCCCGGGCATGGCAAATAATAAACCACGTGTACAGATCGTCCCAATAAGATCATTGACAAGCGATATAATTATTCCTTGGAATTTTAATATATTATGAAGAACCAATCGCAGCGTCCCTTGAGGGTAGCTCTTGATAATCGACTTCAAAGTCAAGACTGGCGTTCCGACAGAACGTGGTTTCATGATACCGTACACTAACAGATTTACACTGCCTTAGGAAATAGAGCACTTTATTCAGCATTACAAAGACCTTAACGCTGCATCGAGCTTGCTTCATGTTGAGAAACGTTCATTAACCGAGATTTCGTTCATTATTTAAACTATGCCGAGTCACAGATCAGATCGGGCGCATAGAGACCAAGATCACAGTCACAGGGACAGGAGGGAGCGAGAGAAGCTAACTCGTGAGGAATCGGGAAGCCAAGAAATCTTAGATGAAGGAATTATACAAGTTCAGGTGATCCCTCAGGATGATAACTGGGGCGAAACAGCCACTTCAATCACTGAAACAGCAACCTCGATTGTCACTTTAAGCGAGACTTCACTTAGCGATGTTGGAAAAGAGAGACGACGGATGCCATGTAACTTTGGGCGCCATTTTAAGCTGGTCCCGGCGGCGATTTTGAGCATTTTTGCTGTTGCTTCACCGATTCTCTTCGTTGTATTTCCCCTAGTTACGTGGAAGCCTTCACTCTGTGGCTCTAAATGTGATGGGCTCTTCATCAGCTTCACAGTTAAAGAACTGTTATTGATGATAGCAATCTGGGCTTTGTATTTCAGAACATCGCGCGCCTCAATGCCGCGCGTATTTGTTCTACGAGTTGCAATGATGGTGTTGGTTTTTGTGGTTCTTGTGTGCTACTGGCTCTTCTACGGCTTACGAATCATCGAAGCTCAAGTGACAGACTTTATGGACATCATTAATTTTTCAGTAACCCTGATAGATACTCTATTGTTCCTTCACTATGCTTCTTTAGTGGTTCTCTGGATCCGTCAAACCGACCCCCTGTTTACATTGAAAGTAATCAGAAGCACTGACGGAGTGAGTAGATATTACAACATCGGGCCTCTGTCGATTCAGCGCACTGCTGTGTTTGTGTTAGAGCAGTACTACAAGGATTTCCCAGAATATAATCCTTACATGATGCAAACGCCCGCGAGGACAGCGCATAAACAGTTCTCCAGTCTTACGTTCTACGATATTGACGGTAAACCTAGTGACAAAGTTAATCCGCGAGCTAAGGCAATCTTGACGGCTGCTTCTACTCGTAGACGTGATCCTGCCAGAAATGACCGCTTTTATGAAGAAGCTGAATTCGATAGAAAGGTCAAACGACGAAAAGCGAGATTGTTCAATGCATGCGAAGAGGCGTTCGGACACATCAAGCGCGTTCAACTTGAACGCGGCCCTTGTGTTCCAATGGATCCCGAAGAAACCGCACAATCGCTCTTTCCGTCTTTTGCAAGGCCACTTCAGAAATATCTCCGAACTGTACGACTTCATCATCGCTACTCAATGGATGGGATCATTAAGCATCTCGCCCATTGCTTGACATTTGACATGACGCCGAAAGCCTTTTTGGAACGTTATGTGAGCGAACAACCATGTTGCGAGTTTACAACAAAGCGGCGAACGCAAAACTGGAGTTTAGTATGCGAAGAACAAGTCACAAAGCCGCTATCTGCCTCGACAGTGTTTCAACTTAAAGGCGAAGACCTTTCAATTATAGTCACTGTACGTAGGCTACCCTATTTGGACATTTCGGAGGACGAGTTTGATTTTGAAAACAACAAATTTGTGCTAAGACTTAACTCTGAAACTTCGGTCTGAGCGATGGATTTTGGGGGGATCGAATCCGCCAAAATGTGATTTATATTTTGTACATAAACTAATTATTGGTCTGTTTTTGCTACGGTACTTTACTTTGCTCTCCAAGAGAGGAAAATAGCAACAAACTTTAAGTTAAGAAACTTCTAAATGGCGTAAACTTCCCCAGCTTCCAGCGGAATGTTTATCCGGACATGATAAAGTGTGTAGTATATTGCTTTTCAATTCGCTCTCTGGCTGTTTTTAAGTGCCTGCGAAAGACGATCATCTTGTATAGAGTTTCTTGTCAAGTTCAAGAGCCACAATCAAACAGTTATTTTCTTTAGAATTCTGTACGTGCTGAAATGTACAAAACACCCACTGTTTTGTCAATTGAACGTTTTCTAATAGATTGCTTGAATAATGAAATAGATTGGCCTTAGTTTTTGAAATAGATTAACAATTGAAAAAAATTAGTCTGATGGTTATCGTTTGCTCTTTAGTGATATCCGAAATTCCAGGTTTAAACTATTCAATAGTTACGAAGGTGCATTTTAGTATTGTTTCCAAATGTTGTACTTCAGTGATATTGCTAGCTCTTAACAAAGAGTTAATGCTGTTTCCAGAAAAAATGCCCTTTCGCGGGCTAACCTGTTGCGTTAATGGAATTAAAAACCTGAGTTAATTTTCTCGAGAGTTGAAATTTCGGCAGTATGAGGTGAATTAATCTTCTGACTTGTAAATTTCACCTTTGTTGCGGTTATAAATGGGCTTAAAAATGTGCGTTATGGTCACTTAATTTCGCCTGTTATTTATGTGTCGATGATTGTAAATCATGTTTCCTCTGTGAGAGAAAAACACTTAAATCTGTCGGAGGTCGACCTATTTTTTGCAGCAATGTCAGTGAAATTCTACACATTTGATTTAATTTGTTTGGTTTGATTTCTTTCATCCCCGTTTTGTGAACTTTTGAAAGTGACCTCCTCAAAGCTATTCCCGTCTTCACGGCGCGATTTTAATGTGGGACTTATATGTAGATTGTTTTCCTCCGATTTGTATATCGTAGCGAGCGAGTTTTAATCAAATCGCAACAAAACTTTATTGTCCAACTTGAATTTTGCCGGCACCGTAAGAGACATAAAACCATTAGAGTTAACAAAAGTGAACGTCGCATAATAATATTTAACATTTTGAATGATTCCGTGCAACTGATAAGATCGGTCGATTATTGTGCCTTGTTTGACATGACCAAAATGACTGGCCGCTTATAAAAATACTTCGTTTGGAGACAGCCTCTTTCAGGAATTCGTCTGCTGTCGAAATGCTGACAAATTCCAACTTACTCATAAACATTGCTCGGTAAGAAAACTTCCAGCCAAGAAAGTGGTTGAGTTGAAAGCGGTCCTTTCGTTTAGGCATAAAGCAAGACTTGATCAAGTGAAACAATTTCAAAAGCGTTGCTTTAGTAGCATACTGCGTACGATATTTGGGTGATTTAGTGAACATCTTCGTCTGTGTTTTCATAAAATGGACAGTCGTGACTGGTGAGCGTGTTTGTAATAATTGTTGGCGTGAAAAGGGTGTGAATCGCCCCGGGAAGGCTAATGATAAACAAGGATTCGTTATTTACATTTCCGAATGTTAATTACGAACCACTTCAGCAACGCTTTACAAATAACCCTTGCATGAGCCATATGGGCTCCTGCCCTTGATTTTCATAGAAAATGCGCGGTACAAATTTCTAGTAATAATAAAATAATGAGGGGTGGGTGGCACGCCTTGAGCTTTTTATGTGGCTTGGGCCCGGGGGGTACATTAGGAATTTATGGGTGGGGAAGTGCTGCTGGGACCCCGAAACCCTTAGCCTATACCAGAGCTAGTTCAGCTGAATTTTGCTACCCTATACTAGACTAAACTCCCCAAATCCCCCCTATCTTAGCAGCAGTTTTCCAGAAACTACTGAGGTTAATAGCACAGTCCAGCCAAAACGAAACTGATTTAATTTTTTTTTATTTTTGAGTGGCAATTCCCGGTTTCCCTAGTCTAGACTAAAATCTTCAACCAATTGATCAGTTTCCTGGAAAATGATACGCTATTCTAGACCCAAACTCCTTGATTTATATTACCTTATCCCGGAGTAAATTGTTTGAAAACCATACCCTTCCGAGCGGCACATACCTTTAAAGCCCATATATGGAAGTACGTGTATCCCGGAGGCCGGGGGTCTCCCCGAGGCCTGGGGTCTCCCCGTCATTAAAAGTTTACGAGTAAAATGTCTTCTCTGCAATAAGTCGACAAACGGCGAAGAAACTTCGTTCATTCGGAACACGGTCGGGTGGTGTCCGGCTAGGCTACATTCGGAAATGGCCGTATTTTAATTTCCAAAAATGTGGTTGTTCGGCAACCAAAAACTGAAATCTCTCCTGAAAATAATTTATTATTCCGTGCAAAAGCAGCCCACCATTTTACGGCATAATTTCATCGTCAACAGGGTTATTTTGATTCTTTTTTCTTGATCTCGCTGTTAACTTTCAATTATCCTTTTGCGTTCTATACCATTTATTTTTAAACTCCTGTAAAGGCATTTTATACTTCAATTCCACACAAACAGGACATTTAGCTAAGGAAAATGAAATTTATTTCATAATGGGATTTCATGTAATTCCCTTAATCCTTAAAATCAAGTTCAACTAAATTGAACGGAAATGGCTTTTGAAGAGGGATTAGATTTGACATGATAGGAAATGAATTTAGATTTCAGTTACATATTCAGGATTTAATACACAAGATGACAAAAGACAGCGGAAATCACAGCATCCTCGGAGACCCAGGGGCAGATAAATGGGGCGAGGGAAAGTCTAAACGGGCGGAAAAATATATATGGAACGAAGAAAAGTAAAGAACGGCGAGAAGAGCCCCTGGGGACAATGTCTTACCAGACCAGTTCCAACGGTCGCCGCCGTTCTGGCTTCTGATTGGTGCCAGAAAACTTGTGTTTTTCTCGCCGTTCTTTACTTTTCTTCGTGTCATATTTTTCCGCCCGTTTAGACTTTCCCTCGTCCCCACTATCTGCCCCTGGGTCTCCGAGGATGAAATCACAGCGGAAGTCTTCAGATCATAAGTTTTCGCTCTCTTTTTCGTCCTTTTCCTTTCAACCAACCCCGACGGCTCAGAGACCCAAGATTTTTACATCCAAAGAGAGTTTTGATTTTTTGACAATCAAGTGTACATCTAGGGCCATCATAATGTTTTCACGAGGTTGGTCCCCTAAAATTGTCGAGACCGGTGCGGAGGCGGGGGGGAGGCAGTGGCGGCGCGGGGATCTTCGTCACAGAACTGGAATTGACTCATTTTCAAAACAAGATGGCCAAAAAAGCTATAGTTATTTAATTTCCCATAGGAAAGTTGTTATCTACTACTTCTTTTTGCTTCAGTTTTCTTATTTTCTTTCTCTGCCTTCTTTAGCTTATATTGCTAGTAAGCGACACCTGTGAGAGTAACAATGTTGGCTTTCCCTCCTAAACACTCCAATTGATATTAAAACATTTTATTAATGCCCCTAATCGAGATTAATAAGCAACTCCTGCTTCTTTAACCGGCGAGGGAATTGAGCCGCTTGGTCAGTTTAGGCGGGGGGAGGGGGGAAGGGCGGCGAAGCGTTCCCCCATTCTCTCACTTCCCCTCTTTCATTTTTTCCCTCGCCGTCTCCTCGGGATTTTTATATTAGCCCCCTTTCCCCAAACGGCGGACCTATTCACCGGCTAATCGAAAGGATTCCGCGTCCAGTCCGGGATTCTTATGAAAAGTAAAGGATTAAATTAACTGCAAAAACCGCGGACGAAGATCCTGCTAGTTGTAAACGTTGGATCTCTAGAAAAAAGAGATCTAATCAGCCAAAATATAAAGAACCAAAAACGAGAAGTCCAAAGACTACTGCAAAGCTGAATCAGAACAATGTGTACTGTTTTTTCATAACAATGTTTCGGCTGGCCATACGAAAAGTACAATTCCCTTCTTATGTGACGGGGATGTGGTAAAGGGTCTGGATCGGGAGCGGGAAAAAGATCGCCGGTGGTCGCCGGTCCATTCCGTCCTCCATCCGATGGTAGCACGTACAGGAATACTAACCTCTGAGAACCCATGACTTGACTTCAGTACTGTGGTTTTAAAACCAGCTGTCCATTCAAATACAAAGAATACGATTTATATAAAAGTATTATAATTTATCTTACAAAGGAGTCATTTGCTCGTCTTTGATATCGTGACGTTTCGTCTTTCGATGAGTGCGACTGGTTGTGCGCCACCTTGGTGCTCCTCTGTGAATGGAGTAGTTTTTTAAAGCAACCTCTTTTTGGAGACGAGGCTGGGTTTTCAGCAGCAGTGATTGGCGCATTTCTATCCTCCCTGTCTCAGGGAATTGTTTCGTCGTGATTCACCATGATGAAAACTTTCAACTTTTTTACGACAGGACAAAGTTTAATTTTGCCGATGAGTGCCTCGCCTCGAGACTGCCTATGCAAAGTGCGCAATTTTCCGGTTCTTAACTTACTTCGTCTACAAAGAAAAAAAAACATATCTCCTTTTTTTGTCTTATTTGCTCCTTTAGAAAAAACCATCATGAAATGGGAATTCGGAAAATTTTTTTCTTCGGTAGAATAACTTGAGGTTATCTTGTTTTTACCTGTTAGAGTAAATGAGCCTTGTCAGTCTTAGGACGCGTACACAGCCTCGTTCCCAAGGCTTCCCCTTAGAAAATGGTGTAGGTGGCCGCCCTCGAAAAGAGGTTGTATCGTACAAAGATGCAAGACAAACAAGACTCTCACTGACAGGAGTAATCAGGTGAGTAATGAATTTCAAGTAAAGACAAGTAGAATCTACAAAGACAGGAGCCTATTGTCTACTGTTTCTCATCTCTCAAAAGTGCGGAATTACCGCTAGCTCAGTTTCCTGTTTAATTTTTTAAGTACCCCTTGCTAACATACATTTTTTTTCCTGTCAGTCAGAAGAGCTGTAGATTTCAACCATAATTACGAAGCCAAATTTAAAACTAAGCATTTAAGGGGGAGGGGGCGAGCCTTTCTTTCGCTTGCTTGATTTTGGCGTACTTGAGCATTCGCTGCTTGTTGCTGGGATACAGTCTCCAACTCAGCCTTAACACCCAAATCTCGTACCCAGATCTCACTTTTCAGTGTAAAACAGAGTGCGATCTGGGTACGAGATTATTAACACCCATGTACTTGATACAGCTGGCTCAGTGACTATCGGTTTATCAGTAAACAGATGCTCGCACAAAGAAAAACCAGTGTGTTGACGAGAAAAAACAAGATTGACTAAGTTCCTCACGCCGGCTCTTCTCGCATGGTGTCGGGGAGATTCTTGAATTGAATTTTCAGAAATACACTGTTCCCTTACATTCGAGTGTCACTGGTAGAGTTAGATCGATAATAAAGGTGTTTTCACTTAGGCCCCGTTCACACGTATCAAGATATTATTGAAGAGGAGATGTTTTCCGTTCACACTGAAGTATACTAAGCCGTGTTTTTTGGCACCTAAATCAAAGGGGGTCCTTATAACCAAGCTTCTTGAAAACGCTGGTATTGACAGAGGAAGACGGTTTCAAATACGACGATTTCATACTTCAAACAGCGCATGCTTCTGTAGAATGTAAAACGGCAAACTGATCCTTACGACAAGGCGATGACCAAGTGAACAAAAGAATAAAACAAAAAATTATATTCGAAAAAGAAATTGTTTAAATATACCGTAAAATTCCGAAAATAAGCCCCTCCATGTATAAGCCCCTCCAAATATAAGCCCCCCAAACCGGTAACGCAAAAAACCCTCCGTTGAGTCGCCCCTCCAAATATAAGTCCCCCGGGGGCTTGTACTTGGAAAATTGCCCTCAAATACAAAGTAAAACAAAGCAAAAACAGCAAATTTACTTCCAACTCAATCGATTTTGAAACGCAAATTTCCCTCCGTAGATAAGCCCCTCCGAATATAAGCCCCTCCAAAAATAAGCCCTTCAAAGAGGGCCTTTGAAACATATAAGCCCCAGGGCTTATTTTCGGAATTTTACGGTATTTTTTGTTTTATTCTTTTGTTTACTTGATCATCGTCTTGCCGTAAAAATCAGTTTGCCGTTTTATATTTTGCTATTTGTTATTGTACTGATTCAGGTTTACAACTGTGAGATCAGGCACCACTCAACGGTTTGTCCCTATAGAACTGCTGCTATCTAATATTTTAGTGCATGCTTTGCAAGGGACGTTATCCTAGCTACTTTCATCGTTTTACCAAATTTGCGGGCGGCTACGATCTCCATTTTCATTAATATCCGGATCTGTGTGGATGAGACTTTATTCATGAGGTTACACGGTAGGCAAGAAACCGCTGCACGGTAACCGAGATTGTCTCCAGAAAACCTTAAAATATACCAACTATTGCCATCTTCAGCCATTACGGCGACAGCAACAAAAACGTCTAATAAGCAAAAGATTTCGTAGGCAAAACAACAGTTTTACGCGTCAGAAAATTTTCGGAACAATTCTTTACCCCGTCACTGCACGAATTCCTAATGAAACTTTCTAATTTGACGCGTCCTAGGGGACGTTAACATGTGACCATGACCTGGTTTTCTTTATCTTTCCGAACTTGGATGTGCTCCCTAATAAGAAAGGTAAATTGATCTACGCTTTCACTACCTTCGCCTGTTTTTGTGCGTTTACTAGCCAATCACAACACACACAAATATATTGTACATATACGGCCCCTATATTTGTTGAATAAACTAATATTTTTTCAGATGTGATTTTACTTCATAAAATAACAAAGAGAAAACTCCAAATATTGGAATAATTAGACCGATGTTATTAAGGAAAACAAAACATCCAACATAACAGCCTCTGAATACTAAAAGGGTTAGGAAAACATCATGTTTCTATCGAAAAAATCATTGAAGCCTGATCCGCGGTTATTCGCATTTAATTCTTTTTATGCCAACGAAACGAAACATTAGCCAAAGCAGTTATAACAATGCTCATGCTTGAGGGTTTTTTTTGCCGATTTTTGTTTTCTTTAATATGTGTCGTGCATATTTTTTCCACGTGTATGTTTTGTTCTCTTCAGGGGGTCCCACAGCCCAGTCCCTAAGCGTTCTCCCGCGCGAAGTCTGGGAAAGAGCGGGCGAGTTTCTCTCGGTGACGTCACAGCTCAGGGTAGAGTCCTAGGCTGGGGGTCCCCCATTGAGTTATAATTCACTCCCATCTTCCAGTCCCAAATTTTCCCGCAATCCCATAAGTCATTTTTGGGATCGCGCAGCCAAAACATATCGATCCGAATCTCAGCCTTCAAATCGGGAAAACGAGTCCCGCATCCCGAAAAACCTTACTGCTGAGGTCTCTCACTTCAGAGCGAGGATGACCAAATTGACTGTACATGTCATTGCCGACGAAGTAGTGGGTAAGAACGCGATCGCTCGAAGAAGGTGTTAAATCTTGTAGACGAAGAACCACTTTGTAGATGCGCTCACGCTATTTAAATTGTTAATTACTGAATTAATTATTTTCCAAGCCGATCAAACTTGAAAACCTTCATACAGATTCGTCAACATGGTCAAGTTCGGCTCCCACTTTATTCAAATACTTATAATAGTTATTTCAAGGTAAATCTCTGAGAAAGGAAGTCAGTGCGAGGATCTGAGAGTAGAGGATGGGAGAAGCAACCTTCGTACATTGGAGTAGTTGGAGTTTGGACTAGGAGTCTCTAGTGAGGAGAACTTTCAGGAGAATACCTACAATTTAAATTTGTAGCAATCAAATGCTTATAAATCACAATAGAAAGGAGAGTCTAGCCTGCCAGCAAGCTCACTTGTGCAAGTTTCGGGGAAAATTTTGCATGACCAAAAACCTACTTATATCTATAAAAGACGTCTAGGTATGACTGTCGTAGAAACATGTAACTCTGCTAGACATCAATGGAATACTGCATTAGTCGAAGAAAGTTTTTTTCGTTCTTATCAGAACTCATCACTTTTGCCACAGGAAAAAAGGAGACCCGAGCCGTCTCTCCGCCCTATCAGCCAACAAATTCTTTATTTTATTTCTGAAATAAGGAAAGTACTATCCCGGGACAAAATATTCATGGTATGTGGTACAATATCAAGTCTGTTTATTTTATTATTCTATTTAAATTTTATGTGTTGTGATGCAAACATTTAAGTGTCACGTTGTAACTGGCATGATATTGAATATCAATATCCAAGTGAATAACTCTGATATTCTTCTGTGCTTCAAGTGATAATGAATCGATTTGTTTGTTTCTCGATAAGACGGCGATTTTTTTCGTTTAGAAATAGTCCAAAATTCGCCTACATTTGACATTTTGAACGAGATGGAATAGTGAAGTTTAAAAAGGTGCGAAATTCACTGAATTCCTAGCCTTAATTTCAAAAGATTACTTCGAGTTATTTTTACTCCCCCAGTCACCTAGAGGTACCCTGGGTACCAGAGGTTTTTTCTCGCGTGCGACGAGGGGCTTCGACGTCGGCTGCAGGCCGACACTTCTTCGGCCGAAGTTGAAGGCCGAATACGGAAACCGGGCATGAAAAGCCTCTGGCACACAGGCCAGGGTAACTCAGAGGAGAAATCTTCTGAAATTCAGGCTACTGAATTCCCTCTTTAAAGCGATGTTTCCGGCCTCGGGGCGGGTGGTGGTTAAGCTCCCAAATGTCCGCCGACAACCGTGAACAAACTCAAGAAAACTTTAATTCAAGTTTACAACAAAATTATCTCGTCTTGACACGTGACTACAGCTCACAAAGCATTGCTGAACTCTTAAGGACCTATAGATCGAAATTTAATTCATCCCTTGTTTTTTTAATTCAAGTGTTAGTGTATCTGTCACTTTTATTGGAGTTAAGTAAAAAAAGAATGTTATTTTCTATACTAAATTAAATATAAAATAGCAATAACTCAGGCCAAACCTCAGCTCGAACGTCATCTTGATTAGGTTGAGTGACGTCATGTTACATCCGGGACTGTAGCTTTTAAGAGGCCACGAATACCTTATTTGGCCCCAGTTTTTTGTTCAAAGGGTTGATAACGCTATCCACCGGATAAATCACTATCGAGTGGATAACATAAATGGCCTTCCTAATGCTTATTCACTGGATAGTGATTTATCCGTTGGAAAGCGCTATCCTGCCTTTGAGTTACTTAAGCCTGGTGGATAGCGCTCTCCGATGTTTGAAAACTAAGACAAGGTCAGGAGCTTACAGGTCCTTACAGATCAAAGCATTTTTTTCTTGATCGTTTGAGCTCTTTGTCTGTTCTTCTAAAAGTCGATAACAGTTTTGGTTCACTTTTTAACGGAAGCCGTGAAAGACAAGAAAGAAAAAATATATATATTAAAGAGATAAAGAAAGAAAGATAAGAAAGAAGAAAATAAAATAAAAAAGGAAGTAATGAATGAATAAAAGAAAGAAAGAGCCAAAAAAAATAAAGAAAGAAATGAACGGAAAAAGAGTTTTTTTAGGGTCGTTTTAAACAACAGTTTCTAATCTATTCCCGATCTAAAAGTCCGTTTACACGGGCAGGACTTCCTTGTCAAGTTTTTCCCGTGAAAAAGCTTGCTTTTATGTCTGGACAAACACCATAATTACGGCTAAAATTTGCATTGCTACTTCCCATATTTACTATTTTATCAGATAGTTTTATTTGAGCTACATGTCATATTAGTTTAGGCTTCTGCTACAACAGGCACTGATTGGTTTTTCCTTAGAAATGGAACTATTATGATGGGAATTTTTATTATTTTATTACCGGCAAATAATCATATCGCTTGAGAAGTGCAAATAAATAAGAACTGCCAAGACATTTGCAAGTGGCGTGGTCACTAAGCCGTGAATGGGCATGTGTTGATCCTGCGCGCTGCACCGGCCAGAGACAGCGAACAATTTGTGAAAGATAAAAACTGAATTCGACGGGGAAAAACAACTGAATTTTCCCTGGATGAGGAGTCTGACATACTCCCGTAACTTGCTCTATAAAATCTTCACTTGTGTGGCCGTCCCTGGTCGCTAAATCTCATCAAGGTATGGGAAGTTTCAATTTTATTCTTGAATTATTAAGTTGTACGGTTGTCGAGGTTTATAATTTAAGCTTTAATACAACTGTTCTTATAAGAAGGAATTGAATACTAACAACAAAGAAAAAGGTAGAAAACGACATTTCCTCACAAAGTTATTACAATCTTTCGCCTTTTTTCTCGTGCTTCTCTGACGCGTGATTTTTTCCACAAACTTCACAGAACCAGAATGAAATTTCGAAGTCGAAACTGAATTTATCTGCGGGTGCTCACTTTTTGGACGCAAGGTGATTCGCTTTGGTGAAGGACAGCTCGGTAGTTGACGTTTCATGTGGACGATGAGTTCAGGCGAAGAAGAGAATGATGAAGGTGTTGAAGCGGCTCAAATTGACGAAACTGATCCAGTGTTTCGTTCCGTCGCAGAGGCGGACGTCAGCTTGGATGAAATGATGAGTTTAGCATGTCGACAAGGGAAACTCGACATCGTAGAGCTGTTGTTGGAAAGTGGGGCTCACGTGGATTATAGAAACAAGGCTGGGAATACACCATTGTTGGAGGCGTGTAGCCAGGGACATGCTGATGTAGCTCGTTATTTATTAGACCACAATGCTAACATCGATGCCCCTACTGAAACCACCTCAGATAGTGCCCTCACTTGGGCCTGCACCCTTGGCAACGAGGCCATTGTGGAGTTGCTCTTGGAAAGGACCTCCAATGTTGAGCATCGTACCAAAGATGGTTGTACGGCACTAATGTTTGCGGCCCTGGCAGGTCACGTCAAAGTAGCTGCCATGCTGCTTGATCATGGGGCTGAAATAAATGTTGAGTCAGATAGCAACAAAGATAGCCCCCTTACATTTGCCTGTTGGAAGGGGCACTGTGATGTAGTGGAGCTACTTCTGGAGAGGAATGCCAACATCGAGCACCGCACCAAAGAGGGCTTTACTCCACTCATGTTTGCGGCACTTGGGGGGCATACCGATGTCGCGAGGAAGTTACTGGAACGTAAAGCCAAGGTTAACGTTCCGAGTGGAAGCAATAATGATATTCCACTGACCAGTGCATGTTGGAAGGGCCACCATGATGTCGTCAAGCTTTTGTTGGAGTTTAAATCCAATATAGAGCATCGCACAAAGGATGGTTGTACTCCACTTATGCTAGCAGCTCGGTACGTATACCTTGTATGATATAACCTTTAGAGCAATATAAACTCTGCGTTGTAGAGAATGGCATGTAAACATTATCAGAGAAAAGAAATCCTTTTCAAATCTGAATATTGTTTTCACCTTCTCCCAGATAGCCTTTCTAGCTTTCGGTATGAGAGGTCAGAAGTTCATATCCCCTTAGGGCCAGTTTTTCTTTCAAGGATTTGAAAGGGTTTCTTTCCTTCTGAAACCACCAAGATTATACTCGACAATAATATTAGTCTTAAAACTCTCTCAAAAAAGTGCTGTGATTGTCAAAGCACTTTTCAAGATCCATTTACTTTTATTACGACCTGGTGCAGATATTGAAGTTCAATTTTGTCCTCAGCACAAATGTCATTTTCTTTTGTTTCAAACTCATTAACATTCATTACCAAACACCAAAACAAATGAAAGTCAAATTTGAACCAAAGAAAAGATTGAGCCACAACCTAGATTCTTAAAAATATCTCAGTCTAAACTTCTTGTAAGTGATCAACAAACCTTTTTAAATCCTTTGACGCGAATCTTTGTTTTTTAACTCGCCTGGATAACACTGTCACATGGCTGGACAAAATATTTTGAGTTCAGTCATCCCAATTTTTTTTTTATGTGCTCTCGATTTGTATATACATGTTCCGGGTTTATTCTAGAAATTGGCCAATGAGGGTCAAGTGGGCGCTGTTCTGTAATTTTAGGGGGACCTTTTTTGAGAAAGGGGGTTCCACAAAAGGTATTTGAACTTATTGGTACAGACTGTTCCAAGAGAAAACAAACACTTATTAATGTTTTGCGTCCATTTTGGAACATTCTGGGCAACTGAAAAAGCCTGGGCTCAAATGACTGCAGAATCCCGGATGTTTGTCTTGTGAAATAATGACTCAAACGAAGAAGAGAAAGGCAATTGAGACAGTAATAGGCTATAAAAGTTCAAAGTAAGTTTATAGAGCGGCCGTCAAATCAGTGATGTGACTGTGTCAGTGATTTTTTTTCCAAAAAAAAAAAACTTATCCTTGGGCCTATAATTTTTGTGCCCCATTTGATGTGGCAATGTAAATTTTTGGGGACATTTTTTCCAAATTGTGGAAATCCCGCAAGGCTGTGCTCTAGAATAAACCCTGCATGTTTACAAGGTGAGAAAGTATTGAGAAAATTATGCAGCGAAATTTTTAGGAGGACACAATTATGTGACAAAATAATGTCTTTTTTTTTTTTCAACAAATTATGCAGCTTCTATGGAAAAGATTTCTCAAAGAATTCTACTATTATTAGATTCAGAACATCAATGATTTTGTTACAAATAGTTATAATGAGTTCTGGGACTGATCTAGTGAAAAATCATGATTCCCAGTCCAGAGTTAAAAAAGCAACTGAGTCCTAAATTGAAAATGCTTGGGCCTTTATGTAATCAGACAGTTAATCTGAATATAGAGTCCAAAACTATTTAATACAGTTTTCTGAATTAAAACAGTCCTTCTATTTAAAGCACAAAAAAGACTTAGACAAATATGTACAGTTAAAAATCAGTCACAGAAATCACACAAACAGAATATTCTACAAAAACATTTTCAGATCAATCGAACGATCTTTGCGTTCTATGAAACGCATGCCATGAATTATTTTTCATCTTTGCGGATTTTTATGCTTCAGGGGTAACAAAATCACTGCAGCTTTAAAAATTTTATAGACTCTGCATTAAATGTTAGCAAAGCAAAATAGCCTTTGATAAACATCTATGTACTGTCAGTTTTTTTTTCCAGATTATGCTTTATGGTATGAGATTTGTCATGGATAATGCACTCCGATCAGATTTAAGTTCAATTAAGTAATATTGATTGGAACTGTTGCTTTGCACTCACACATTGTTCTATTGAAAGCAGTGATGTGTCATTGTGACAAGTGGATATAAATATTCAATTCTTGTTTCTTGTTGCCTAGAAATGTTTTACCTGAGCAATACCAAGTAATAATATGGAATTTATTTAACTGGTTAAACCTTTTTATCCAGCTTGATCTTTTAGCATAACTTTAGTTTGAGTTTTTTTCTGTTAATTTTCATGAATTTGTTTTGTTCAGTCATCTTGTTTATCCCTTTCTTTTCTTTCTTTTTGTCACAAAGTGCAGCTTGTACTGTTTGCCAAAACTGTTAATGCATGATTTGGTAAATATGTCAACGTTTATTATGATAGCTAAGTGACCAAATTGTGTTTCATTTTACATTTTTTTCAGGTATTAAAAATGTATTTTTGATTATTAATCTTAACCAACATATTTCAGGAAGTTATGTTAATTTGTTGGGTGGATTAAAATCAGAGGTGATCACAGAATGCAACTGTAATAATAATAATTATTGGGAAATCTGCTGTATTTGTTTGTTTTGTGTGTTTTAATGTAACTCTTTCGCTTATACCACCTTAAAGTCACCCTACAAATCATAATTAACAACAAATAAAAATTAGTTTTACATGTTGCTTCTCAAAGCAAAAATTTTCAAAAGTTGTAACCACTATTCTTAGCATAGTAAAGGGTACATGTACGTATTAAGAGTGCCCAGTAGCTTTTATTTGAATGGTCATCTGTAAAGCATGAAGGTTTGTCTGGCCTTGTTTTTCAACAAACTGACACTGTCTCACTGATGTCATTTGATGAATGTGCTAACAATATTATTTTTACAATAGGTCTACCTATTCAATTTTTATGACATTTTATGTGTAGTTTTAAAACCCAATGACATTATTTTGGGCCATTCCATTTAATATCCACAACCCTAATGGATGAGATTTTTTAAGAGGGGCATTGAACGTTATTCCTGAATTATGAGGGAGGGGCTGTGTCAGCACCTTTGATCTTGAGAATATTTTTGAGGGGCATGACAAAAAATGGCTATTTCTAGGGGAGGGGGGACGTTTGATATATATATTTTTTTCTTAACCCTTTAAGTCCCAAAGGTGACCAACATTTATTTTCTCCCAATGATATCCATACCTTGTCAAGAGATAAGGTTATGAGAATTCATAAAATGATCACTAAAGAGAAAATGTTTTGATCTTTTATCAAATTCTCTCAACTAATTCTTCAAGGAAATGTATGGAGATCAGTTTGGAGAATTTGTAAGGGGATATTGGGGCTTAAAGGGTTAAGGGGCTTCTTACCTCATCCATAGGAGTTGGTGGGGGGGAAGTGTGGCTATTAAATGGAATGGCCCTTTCATGTACAATGTTTAGTGTCAAGTCATTTTATGCTGTAACAAATTTTTTAACATCTTCTAGGGAGGGTCATTATTCAGTGGCAAAGCTGATCCTTGATAGCAATGCTGAAGTGAATGTTCCTTCTGGAAGTGAAAATAATATTCCTCTAACCCTGGCTTGCTGGAAAGGTGTGGTGTATTTTTAATATAAACTATAAGCCAATAGAAAGTTTGGATGGCGAGTGCCATAATGAGCAGCAATCTCCTTAACAGCAATGTTGTCTCTTTCACAGCTCAAATTTGATTTCAGGTTAAATTTTTTAAGCCTTGCTGATTCTCAATTTTCTTTGTTTCCTATGGATAGGAGACAAAGGAAATTGAGAATTAACCTACTTGATTAAATCAAATGTGTCCTGCAGTGGTAACATCTCCGTGGAAATGAGCTGCAGCCCACCTCTGGGTACATGTCACAGGGACGGCAGAGCTGGGGAGGGGAGGGGGCTAGTTCACTCCCACTTTTTCTGAAGAGGAAAGTCTCCTCAACCCACTTAGAATGAAACATGTTTTACCATTCCTGCTGAGAGCCCAGCGTATGGAATAAAAACTTATGCAAGGATGTAGGTGGAGGGGTAGCGAAACTAAGCAAGCCAAAAAGAAGAACAACCACTGGCAAAATGATGAGTTGTGCCCTTGCCAAGCTCTGGGAAGAAGCTCCCCTCCTTCCCCCGCATAGTAGGGATATTTAGATTTGACATGAGTACTAAAAGCTAACTGTATCTCCTGAACTACAACTCTATCTTGTTGCTTATTATCGTGATTGTAAGTAAGCATTAGGGATTAGATTGGTGTGATACATGTTGGTAATAACTACTGTACCGGCACACAAAATTAATTTAGGATAAAAACTTGAACTCATGCTCAATCTCGCACAAACTCTGAAGGTCCCTAGTATTGTTGAAGTAATGCATTGACTTGATTTAACTTTGCTTTCATTTTTAAAATGGGTAGTTTTCTCACCAGGCTGCTCAATAAGTACTCTCAGCAAAAAATGTTAGTTTGCCTTTGCTTGTTGCTGTAAGTATGTCCTTATTTTCTGTGTCCACAGGTCACACTGATGTAGTAGAGCTTCTTCTGGAACACAAGTCAAATATTGAACATCGCAACAAAGCTGGCTGTACACCTCTAATGTTAGCTTCAAGGTATGTTTTGAACAGTGATGAGGCCGATGGCTACATGTTCGTGGGTCATTCAAGTCTTAATGCCCTTTCTTGCCCACCTACTGTTTCCAGTAAGTGCTGTTACAACTTAGTATTAAGTTCTGGAATCTTTGCAAGGTAGATAATGTTTGTTTTCTTTTGTCAATTTCAGGGAAGGTCATGTTGAAACTACTCGACTTTTGCTGAACAAAGGAGCTGAAATAAACACTCCATCTGGAAGCAACGATGACACCCCACTTACTCTGGCGTGCTGGAAAGGTACTTGTAGATCAGATAATCTCTGCATCCTCTCCCTTACTCCTTGCATAAAATTTGCTCAAGGAAGGAAGAACAGTGTAAAGTAGTCAGGTTAGCCTGAGAAAACAGCTGACATTTGGCAATGCTACCATTGGTTTCCCTGCCGAATGACGTCTGAGAAACTGGCGCAGAAATTCCATACTGATGACTCGTCACTACACAGATCTGGGTAGAGCTTCTGATTGGTTGAATCAAATTTCTCATGTAGCACGACCAATCAGAAGCACTGCCCGGATCTAAGTAGTGATGCATCATCAGTATGGAATTTCTGCACTCATTTCTCAGATGTCATTTGGTGGGGAAACCAGTCGGTCAGCTGTTTTCTCAGGCTACAGTCAGGCATTATTTTGTCTAAAGTGCACATGTTAACAACCCTTCAAACATTAAAATATATATTTCCTGCAAAACAGGCCACGTTGAGGTCGTGGATCTGCTTCTCAAACATAACTCAAAAGGTGACCATCAGACCAAGACTGGCTGTACTCCTTTGATGGAGGCGACAAGGTATATGGACTAATTTTCTTGTGCTAGTATAATAACTAGGCCACTTTTTAAACCTACATGACAGCTTTCTCAGCAGCCATTGAAACGTTCCATCACACATAAGCTTATAAAATCAAGCATACTTTATCACATAATGAAGAAACCTTTCAAAGTGTCTGGTTGTGTAAAGATAAGTGTTAAGCTGCTCTAATACTTGGTTAAGGTAACTCAGAAGAATTGCTCTGAATTTTCTGCTGTAGTACAGCTCAGTTGGTAAAGCACATAATTGTAGAGTGGAAGGTTGTGGGTTTGATCAATACTCACGGTCTTAAAATGACTGAACGTTGAAGGTACTACCTTTGCTTTGCAAACAGCCAGTCCTTTGCATGGCTCAGATGACCAGGTAAAATGGCGGGCCTTTGTCCAGTAGGAGATGTAAAAAAAGGGTCCTTAGAATATTATTAATTTCAGGCTTAATACATTGACACTCAAATAAAGTGCATTGTTTAAAGTTCATTCTAAAATTTGATGATGGTATTTGCAAACCAAAAGGTTCAGTATTGGTGGGTCCCACAAACTCATCAATGTGCGACAAATGCAGACTTCAGACTTGCCAACTGGCAGGTAAACGATGTAAACATTGTTCTAAAATGCTACAGTCTACTAAATGGTTTGGTTTACGGAAAGTGAATCTGGTAGAACATTTCACAACAATGTTTACCTTGTTAACGTGCAAGTCTGCAGTCTGCATTTGTCGCAAAGTCATTCTAAGGCAGAATTGCTTAACTAGTCAAGGCGAACAAAGGGCAAATTTCCTAACTTTTTCACTAAATTTCAGGGAGGGACATGTTGCTGTCGCTGAAAAATTGATCCTTCATGGTGCAGATGTAGAGCTTCCTGATAACTATGGTCAAAGTCCTCTGTTCATGGCTTGTTGGAAAGGTAGGATTTGATCAACAGGGCCATGTGATGTGGATAGTGGATGTTGTTGTTATATACGCTAAACAATGGTTAAGGGAAACAATTTTTATCTAGGCCTTGAAAAAGTAAGAGGAATTTGCTCTAACAAGTTCCTGTTTTAAATACATGTCTTGTGGAAATAGGAATTTTCTGAATTCCAAAAACTCTCATTTTCAAAAGGAGGCTAAGAGCAAAACCTTTCTTGTTAAAATGTGTTTTATTTGAATGAGAATGAAAATTTATTGTCATGTCCATGGCTTCACACTTAGCCTCACTTTGAAACAGAGGCATGGGATAACTCAGAAAGGCCTATTGTCTTGCAAAGGTGCAAAAGTCTTGCAAAAATATTACTTTTGCAGCCTTAGTGTCTGGGCTGCATAGATATCCTGTCATGATGTACATGAAAATACAATGGCATAACTTAAAAGAAAATTGTTACGTTGTATAATTTATCAGATACGATGTTTCAGCCAACCTGGCTTTTCATTATCAAACAGTAACATGGATATTCTTTATACATGCTTGATGTGAAAAATGCATCTTATTTCATTTGTCTTATAAATATTAATTGTGATGTTAGCTGTGGATTGTAACAGTTGTTGTCCAGAATTGAAAATTTTTAACATGTGTCTTTGATTGAATGGTTTTTGAAGGTCATAGAGATGTTGCTGAACTTCTCCTTGAAAATGTTGCAAACAGAGACTGCAGAACAAAGACAGGCATCACTCCACTCTTTCAGGTAACTTGCAAACATCATTCTACAATGTATGGCTAAAATATAGAAACTTTACTAAACTACATGTACATATTATGTTCAATTAGTTTCAATGTCAAACCATTTGACAGACGGTTATCTTCCACCCTCAGGGCTTGGAAAAAACTTGAATTCCAGGTTGTCCTTTGGGCAGGCAGCTCCACATTTTGCCTTCCCAGCGACACTTCTTACTTGTCGTAAATAATTGGTTTGGTTAGAAGATGACTCGCTTAGACCCTTGCCCTTTGGGCAAGTGAATTTGAAAGTTACTTGCCTTGGAAGAAAATCTGCTTGTCCCAGACAACAGGATTGGACTTTTGCAGAGGCTTTTTCTTGATCAGGGAGAAGACAAAGAGGCCCTGCCTGAATTGTGTCAAGCTTTTGAAGTCGCCACAGCCTAAACTTCTGTTCTAGTTAGTCTCGTTTTCTCTCGTCAAACTGGTTTTTGAGTGCGAACATCTGTTTTTTCATAATCCTGTGGTCATATCTGAGTCCACTGTACTGAGCACATGGCAAAACAAGACAGGTGTTATATTCTGACTTGTGGGTGGAAAATAGACATTTTCTGGAACCACCCAATTGAAGGAAGGGGGCTGATGGACTTGACTGTGCATGTTGTCCTGATGACCCATCATGTACCAAGTGTATTTTTTAGAAGTGTTGCAACGTGTTTTTATCATACAACTGGAGTTGAGTTGAAGCTGAGACACCTTGCTTGTTTGTGGTTTCCTGTAGGCTTGCCGTGAAAACCATGTGGATGTGGTTGAACTACTTTTGGATTATGGAGCAAGTGTGAATGCGCCTTTTCCAAACAGCAGGTAAGAAGTTCATTGATATTTTAAACGACTGCCCTATAACTAGTGTAGATGACTGACCTGGTAGTGTAAAATTTTGACATGGCACACTTCAAAGGAAACATAGTACACAGCAATATGTTGTAAGTTAAGAATTGTTGAACTGAAGAAATCCAAATTGGATGTTTTGGGCTTTGCACTTCATATTTTTTAATAGAAATTATTGGATAAGGCTGAGTATGATATGAGGAATCATGCTGATCAAGGACCCTCTGAGACCCTCTCAAATTCTTCCCTCCTTTTAGTCACCCATTCCCTTTTTACGCTGATAACACAGTGCAAGTTGTGGATACCTGCCTTGCCTGGGTTCACAACTTGCCAAGATTATCAGCCATAGAAGTGGTTTGTTGTCTTGTAGCCAGCTGTTTGTCTAAAATCTGTTTTTTAAAAATAAACGGTTCATACACGTCAAGCGCTTGTTATTCAAATTGACTCCTTTTGCTTCTGATTTCAGGGAAAACCCCTTGACATTAGCTGGGGAAAAAGGTCATGTTGAACTTGTGTCTCTGTTACTGAGCAGGTCAGTATACATTTTTCCTTTTCCAGTATTGCAATATGGAATTTTCCCTGGCAAACTCATTTCCTTTTAATTAGAGAACCTGATTGGCTCAACATGGAGCCCTTCAATGATCAGTGCTTTGTCAGATCTCCCAGGGAATTAAAAAAACACCAATACATGTATGACTATGTTCTTTCACCAGAATGGCTAATGTTGAGTGTCATACAAAAAAGGGTTGCACTCCTTTTCACCTGGCATGTAAAGAGGGTCATCTACAGATATCTCAACAGCTGTATGAAAAAGGAGCAGATACCGAGGTGAAACATAGATTTAGTCTAGTGTAAATCTTGAACTACTTGTGGAAAAAAACTGAGAAACAAATATAGGGGTGTGTGGAAAAAAATCCTTCAAAACTGCCTTGTTCTTGATTTCAAAGTGAATAGAGATTTAACTTTTCATCAAGTAGTGATGGCCTGTCATAGAAATAATCATTGGTTGAAAATCTTAACCAACGCAGTAGTTTATCATTTGCCCAGTATACTGAACCAGAGGCCCAAGATACAAATACTGTACCTTATGAAGGCTGAGTCTCCACAAGTCCTGGTTATGCTAAACCCTGACATCAGTGGACTTAAGAAAATAATGGATTGTTTGTTGACTCTTTTCATTGATTTTATTTTTAGGCCTGTGACTCACGAAACAACACACCTCTTGTGGCAGCCATGAAGAATGGACATGTTGAGGTTTGACAACAATTTATGCATTTATTTCCAGTAAAAGAAATTGGTGGTGGGGGGGTGGTGGAGGCTAGTTGAAATAATAGACCTTTTTACCATTATGGCGGCCATATTGAATTAATTCGATTTAATGAGTATTATAGGATGCCCAGGGGGAATGAACACATTTCGTTTGTATTTTCGAGCGCTTTTTGGGACTTTTTTTCTTTAAGTTTTCTTAGAATAAGATTGTAACGGGAAAAAAGATCCTTGTACCATGTTTGGATGTAATAATGATCACCTTTTTCTAGTTTAGTATTAGAAATATGGTCTTTCATTGTATATTTCGTGGGAAAAAGGCGATCATTATTACATCCAAACACGGCACAAGGATCTTTTTTCCCATTACAATCTTATTCTAAGAAAACTTTAAGAAAAAATGTCCCGAAAAGTGCTCAAAAATACAACAATGCCCCCTGGGCAAAAATACAACAATGCCCCCTGGGCATCCTATAATACTCCTTAAATCCAATTAATTCAATATGGCCACTGTAACGGTAAAAGGGTCTATTCTCTTGTAGGTGGGCTAGCAGGTGGGTAAGCTGACAGTAAAACTGACTTTCTTTGTACCCTGAGTTAGATGCTAGTCAATTATTGTGGGAATTGATCAGTTAACCCTTTAAACCCCAATATCCACATACAAATTCTCCAAACTGATCTCTATACATTTCCTTTAAGAATTAGTTAAGAGAATTTGATAAAAGATCAAAGCATTTTCTCTTGGGTGATCATTTTATTAATTCTCATAACCTTTAAAATAATAATATTTCACTAAACCAGAGTGTGTTTTTCCTCTTTTATCGCAACAGGTAGTGGAATGGCTGCTTGGTGTTGTCAACCATCTTCCTTCTGAAGACCTGTGTCAGAAATGCCTGGTTGCACCTGTGGATGACAAAGAGAAACATGATGACATGATGTTAGGACGAACAAAGTGCTATGACCTTGTCACCAAGGTTTGTTATATATGTTGTGGCTCAATTTTGTCCTTGGTTTAAATTTTATTTCCCCTTTTTTTTTCCCTTTGTAATGTATGATAATGTGTTTAAAACAAAGGAAAATGTAATTTAAACCAAGAATAAAATTGAACTGCAACATTTACAATCTATTTTTAATTACCAGCAAGAAAGGTTTTTTAAATAGTGCATTTATTGTAAATTGCTATGTAAATATCTTGTTTCTTCTTGTAAGATGGGGGCTACCATGGGCTAGAAATACCTCTAAGGAGGTAGTTGTTGCATTAGCTCTCTCCTTTTCATGGTTCAACAGTTTTACCTTAAGAATGGCTGGTAAAAATAATCATCCCTGTCCCAGGGTGTTTATTAAGCATCAGAGATCATAGAATTCTCCGGCCAACATTGAGGAGCCTATGACAATTTTTCATTCAGACGTGGAACCTCTTTCAGAATATTTTTCTGTAACGTTACACCTTTCTCCTGCTACTAGAGTTCTTAATGAAAACGTTGCTGTCCAGAATAGTCACTGGAACCAGAGTGGAGTGATTGGACTAGATTTCCATCAGTTAGCAGAGTATTAATCATGTGTTTAAGTGCCGCTCTTCTCTCCTTTTTGGCCTTGTGTTGTTCATGTATTTTTTATAGTTACCTTAATTTTGTAGATTGCTTCTTTTGCAAACCAAGTTTGTTCCAAATTGAATATCAAGGAAAAACTTATAATTCAGCATAGACCATAAGGCAACTTGTTTCTCCGCCCCCACACCACCTCCCCCAAAAATTGCTTAACCATTGTCTTCTATTTCTCTTCTGTTATACCCAGGAGATATTGGAAATCATAGTTACGCAAAATTTGGGGGAATAAACAAGGTGCATTATGGTCCATGTGAAAATGGTTAATACATTATTGCCAAAAAAAATAGTACCATGCAAATTAATTACTAGTGAGGTTTATTTGAGTAGTTGCTTGGTAGGTTTTTGTCGTATGACCTAAAAGTTAGAACAACTTAGCAAGGTAATAATTTGTACTGAATCTGTAAATGAAATGGAAAGTGTTTAAGTATTAGTTAATTTCATGTATTTAGTTAATCACTCTGACTTACAGTGGTGGTTTGTTGTATTTAGGCAAAGAAGGCAAAGGAACAGAAAGTCCAGCGCAATACAGAAATCTTCTTAAAGGTGAATGCTTCATAGATCTTATACCACATTAATGGTATGGAATTAAATGTTTCTTGCTAAGACGGTTTCAGTGCTTTTGTTGGTAATTTACTATTGTTTTTGACCGAAAAGAAAAAAAAGAAAAAGAATCCAGTGAGTGATGGAAAATTCTGGGATCACGAGAGTTTGCTCTATGAGCATGATACACTAGATAGTATCTGACACTGGATTGTAATTCCTTGTTACTATGACAACATCAATATCAATACTAACAGGGAGAAAAAGTAATGAGAATTGATAAGATGATCACCTGAGGGAAAATTCTTTGATCTTTTAAAAACTTCTCTCAACTTGTTCCTTAGGGAGATGAAAGGAGGTTAGTGTAGAGAATTTGCATTCAGATCTTGGGCCATTTATACGAGGAAAAATAAGACGCGTCTTACATAAGTCGTGTCTTAAATATGACGCAAACTGTACCATTCATACGAGCATGTCTTATCTAAGACGAGAACAGCTCGTATAAATGCTTCGCGTCTTATTTCTGTTCTTGACTCGTTTTTATGTGAATGTTGCCCGTAGCAACGGCAATCCAACGTGGCGTGCCAAAAATTAACGCATGTGTACTATGCGTTCGCGTCTTATTTAAGACGCGAAGGTCATTTATACGAAGTTTTTCTCGTCTTAGCTAAGACGCGTCTTATCTAAGAACAGGTGTTAAGGGCTGTTCTATAATAAGACGCGTCTTAGCTAAGCCGCGTCTTATTTTAGACGAAATGTGCCGTTTATACGGAAAGTTCGCGTCTTATTTAAGACGCATCCTATGTAAGACGCGTCTTATTTTGCCTCGTATAAATGGCCCTAATTTCATTGTTGTATTTTGTTTTAGGAACTGGAGCATGAAAAAGAGAGGGAAGACATAAGAAAAAAGAAAGCTGCAGCTAAACGCCGAGACAAGCGCAAGAGAAGGAAGGCAGCAAGGGAATGTGATTCACAGTGTATTGGTCAAATTGTTGAAGATCTGCCGCTCGAGAACAGGCCACAAGAAGCGTTTGTAGATGAATATGATCATGAGCAAGAGGACGGAGTGGGTGACGTGGTCGATACAACAAGAAAGAACACTGAGGAGGTGTTAACAACGGACAGTCATAAGGAGTCTACAACAGTTAAGGGGGATAATCCAGTGATAGAAAATGCGCTTAACAATAGACAGGTTACAGATGATTGCAAAAATAAGCTTTCGTCTTCGAACAGTAACAAAAGACCCCCACAGGATGTGAGTCAAACCAAGCCAAGGAGGCCACTGAGCAGCACAAGTGATGTGCTCACGTCAGAGAATTCACTTTCCTCAAAAGATAAAGGTCGTCAGCGCAGTCAGAGTGCAGGAAAGGAATTTGATTCGCAAAACCACAAGGTACAGGACAGAAATTCAAGGCAGAGATATGATGAGCTGCCAAAGATTTCAAAAAAGAAAAACAATCAGGAAGATCCCGCAAGGTCGCAGAAAGTTGAAGTAAAAACTAAGACTACAAGTGAGGTTACTCAATCTCAAGAAGTTAACTGTGTCAAGACAGAAACCAAATATCACAGTAAAGGTGAAAAACCAGCGTCAAAGAAGGAAAGTAATGAAAGGGCAAATAACTCTGTTGGTAGCCCGAAGAAAAGTACCTCTCATGGTAAACAGCAGTCAGCTGGAGGCACAGGCCACAGTGGAGGTAAGGCAAGTAGTCCCAAAGATGCAACAAGCCACACAGGATCACCAGCTAAGCCTTCTTCAGATACAAATCAAGGATCAGCAAAGAGAAGTAAAGATGGTACACATGCTGTGGATGGTACGCATGTTTTGTCAGGGAATGACAGCAGCAGGGGGTCAACGAAAACTACATCAAGCAGTGGTCATACGCCAAGTGGTGCTAAAAACTCATCAAGTGATGGTGAAAGGGAACATAAACCAGGTAATTGTCATGTAATTGTCAAACGTAATTAACAAACAAACACTGCTATGTGACTGCTAGAAGTGTCAACTAGTTTATTAGCTACACGTGTTTGTGGTTATCATAAACACAAATTTTCAAAAAATTAAAAATTTTCCTTTATTAATAATGATAAAATAATAATGATATTTGTTATTTATATTGCACAATTCATTACAATCATATATAATAACGTGCGAAAAAAAAGCTAAAGAAATCCTGTTTTTGTTTTTGAATATCAGTAATTCATTCACCGAGGTCAAAACAGCAACATTCCCAAATTGGAGAGGGTGAGGATAGTTGGAAAGAAGTTACAAGAAGCACAAACTCCAAGTAAGTTTGCCTAATGATAAAGTAAACACTGTCACTGTCTGACTGAGTGATGGGTTGCGTGGCTGACTAACTTAGTTAACTGTCTGTCTGACTGACTGACTGGCTGGTTAACTGAATTACTGACTAATTGATTAACTTGCTGGATGATTGACTGACTGACTGATCGCCTGATGTATTGACTGACTGTCTGAAAGATAGCGTGCACCACAGTCGAAAATAAACCTCTGGTTAACTCAGTCTGTGATCCAGTGCAGAAAACTTGTTCTGGGTCCCCAGCTGTGTACCAAGATTTGAGTATGCGCCATGGTTGGCCTGTTAAAAAACTATTGCTCTATTGGCCAATCAGATGGAAGGAAATTCAGAACATACTTCAGGTAATTCATTTAGATCGTTAGATTACTTCTGCTACCCAGACTATGTAATTAAAGGATTGACTGACGGACTGATTGAAGGACTGACTCAATAACTAGCAGACTGGCTATCTTACTGGCTGATCAATAACCCGGGGGGGGACTCCCATTTGAAACAGACGGGGGTGCTCGTCGTCTCCCTTAGGGGTGTAAATTTTGGATTTTGGTCTCGCTTAGGGTGTTCCATGCAAAGCGCCAATATTTTAAGCCGCCAAGGTCTCGTTTAGGGTTCCGCGAAGAACTTGAGATTTATGACAATGCTTTTAAAAACTACTTTTAGATAAAAGCATTCGATGATTATGTCTTTATATCACTAAAACTCATTGCATGTCGTATTTGTGTGTTTTTAAGCGGTCTCTTTTAGGGGTCAAAATGTGCTTAAGCCACGCCCAGATTGGTCTCCTTTAGGGGTCACAAAAAGCTTGAGCCACGCCCAGATGGTCTCCTTTAGGGGTTAAATTCAAAATTTCCGACGAGCATCCCCGTCTGTTTCATATGGGAGTCCCCCCCCCGGGATCAATAAGCGACCCTTTTGTGATATAGCTAAATAAATGAATGAGTGACTGGTTAATTAAAATATGAAAGGTGAGTTGGGTCACTGAACCACAGACCCATTGTCCAGACGAATAATTGACTGGTTCACTCACTAACAATTACTTTTTGTTTATAAATTCAGGACAGTCATGTTTCAGTTAACAGCGCCCAATGCAATTTGTGGTCGTGTGATCGGCAGAGGTGGAAGCAAGATCAATTCAATAACAGTACGTGATAGATAATTGGTTAACTGCCTATGCCATGAAGTTAATAAATAACAGAAAATATTCAAAGAGGGAATGTTTATTTCAGAAATATTTTTGATGCTCTACCTCTTGGATGGGAGAATGTGTGTGTGTGTGTGGGGGGGGGGGTGGTTGGGTTGTAACGATTTTAACGTGAAATGAGGTGACTGCCAAACGAGTTATTATGCACAGAGCTGCACAGCTTTCTTGTGAGAATTTTTTAGGGGTGCCTGATTGGTTTGTATTTTTTAAGGTCTGTGTGTGATTTACGTTAGGAATTTATAGATTTTTGTTGAAGACGAAATTGTTTCTTTCAGGAAGAATCTGGGGCACAGATAACAATCGGCAAACCAGAACCAAGGAATCCAACTGACAGAATTATTACCATCAAGGTATGTTAGTATTTAAAGATCATGTCCTAACATATGATATTTTTATGTCCCATTAGCCTGAGAAAACATCCAACATACCACTGGTTTCCCTGCAAAACGATGTCTAAGGAACGGGCACAATTACAGTATGGAATTTCCGCGCCCCTTCCGGAGACGTCATTTCGCGGGAAACCAGTGTTGGCGTGGCCAAATGTCAGATGTTTTCTCGCGCTAATTTTCTCTTTGTTTGATTATAATATTGGCTAAACATGATAGTTATGTCAAGCTTAGAACGACATGCTTTGCTGACTGCAAGTTAGGCATTTATCATATTTTCTCTGCTTTACCCCCTCATAGTTAATTTCAAACTTGATGTGGTAGTCAGGGCATTTGTTTGAATCTGCAGCTCGTTCCAGCCCCGTGTTTCATAAGAAAGAGTTTTGAATCGCTGTTCTTCACAGCATCGCATCATGACCGTATAGTCAAGGATAATTTACGTAGCCTGTTCTAGACTCCAAAATAGTAATCTGCAGAGATCGTGAAAAGGGATGCGAAAAATGGGCGGGGGCTGGGAAGAGAAAGGCTCCTCCTGTTTTCCCTTGACCATATTTTCCCGACGTCCCAGTTATCAGCGAGCCTGGCACCGGCTAAAGATTATTGGACGACAAGTTAAAGCTTCAGGTTGTTATTTACAACTTTCCTGTTTTGAATCGCGTTTGATAAAAAAGGGCAATTTGCTTATTCGCTGATGTTTTGTAGGGATCCAGCAAAGCAGTACAAAGAGCAAAGTATCTTGTGACGCAGGCGTTAAACACGCCCAGCACAATGGGGCAGGCAACTCCTACATCTTCAACGGCTACAACATCAAATGCTATGTCATCCTCTGACAGGATGGAAACCAACACCTCACCAGCCCCCGTCCGGGGAAACTACGCTGCAATTCCTTCATCGTCGTCTGAGTGGCCCACCATTGAGCAGGCTAACAACATGGCGGTACAAGCACCGCCCACCAAACCTGTCACACCAAACAAGACAGAGAAACCCAGGGATGCTGGAAAGAATTCATCGGATTTTAGCGATAGTAGTCAGGAAGTGTTTGAAGAAAACGGTGCGTCTGTGGTTAATGATAGAGCCCCTGACAGTGTTGAAGTAGCCAAGACTTTTGCTTCTTCAACTCCAGTTTCATCAGGTTCAACACAAACAGCTTTATCAGCGTGGAAGCCATACAGACAGTCCCCACAGAGCATGGGTGCTTGTACAAGTGCTGTGACCACGACTGCCAGTAGTGGGGTGACTGTGTCGAGTGCGAGGGATGCTGGGAGTAGGGTGACGTCAGCAAGGCAAAGCAGTAGTGATAATCCGGGATCATGTAAGCCACAGCATCCACTGGGCAACCAGGGTACACAGGAACACCAAGGTGCACGGCAATATGGTCAGAGCATAAGTACAGTGAGTGAAGCCACAACTGTCTCTTCACAGAATAATTGGGGAACAAAGGTACCGATTGATGACAATTTTAAGCGGTTTCATGTACTGTATTTCTCAAGGGCCTGATTTTGCGAACTTTTGATAGTGCTATCCACCTTTTGAACAACTGGGGCCTGATTTTTTTTTTTTTTAAACTTATTGACCTTCAATCAGTGACAGGTAGGCGTTCTTAATCCACGTATATTTTAAGGAAAATAACCAAAGATACTCCCCCAAATGCATGTCCAACTACTTAAGGGGAGAGTGGCAGGAAGAATTTGATGAATTATTTTTTTTGTGAAAAGTGACACACACTATTTTGTGCCAACTATTTTGTGCCAATTATTGACCGATCTTACGTAGATACCGCTAGATAAAAGTACAACAGTCGGATGTTAGCTGATGGAATATATCCAATATTTGTTTTGCTATATTTCATAATCCAGCATTTTTTGAGCAAATTTTCGTCAATATTGAGACTAACCCGAAAGTAATTTATTGTTCTGTCGCCTCAGAAGCAGTCATCTTCGCCAACATCGGTAGCTACAGTATCCATAAGTACCAGTGCCGTGACAACGACCACAGACATGGACCGGCATGTTACACCGGAAAACCCTTTCGGAGTCATTGGAGAAGTGGCCTCTGCTGTTACAGCTTTGCAAAGTAAGAAAGTAACAAAGCAACGAATCTATGGTTTTTTCATTTTCAAGGAATATGATTGCTGACACTGAGTTCCACAGCGAGTGAAGTAAACTAAACAAAATAAGACTCCTTTAATATATTGTATAGAGTAATAACTTCACGCAAGAATTTGTTTTTTTGTTCCAAGTCTGTCTGATTTACTTTGTCTGGGATTAACTCATCCCCTCCCCTTCAAAACTCGCCCCCCTGCAAGGGGAATGGGACAGACAATGCCCTCTGGAAGATCAGTCCACCATTTTGTCTTTTTTCGACATAAACGCGACTCAATATTTGATTGGGCAATAATAAACTTGACTGTCATACGAACATAGCATGAACCTCGTCCCCAGGCTAATTTGCAACGTAAGAGATCAGTAGGCTTGGAGATTTGGGAGTCCCAGGCGAATTGACCGTTGACCGGTTAAGTCAGGTAGATCCGCCTGAGTAGCTAGGCTAGGCATTTCTTGTTAAGGCCTGGGGCCGGTTATTTTCCCCGGCTAGTATGAACATAACCCTCGCCTACTTTTGAAGGAAAATAGAAGAAAAATAGAACCAAACAATATCCCTAGCTGTTTGATTCCCCGTTTACTTGTATTGTTTACCCGTTAACTTGAAACTTTAATGACAGCCCTGCTCTTTCTCCTTCATTCCCCTTCATATGCAATAACAAATCCATTTTATTTTAGCTGAGGCAACTCCTGTTCCAGAGTTCACTGCTCTTCAACAAGATCAGCTCTTACAGAAGAGAGCACCTTCTTCAACTACCACCACAGAGGCAGGGTCTGGCTTGTTAACTTCACCGAGGGAAAAGAACAAGTCCAAGTTCCCTTATTTCAGCCCCTGGGCATCGCAACGCACAGGTGCTGTACCGTATTTCCGGTTGTCGCTCAGTAACTTTGGGGGGAGGGGAGAAAAGCAACAGCCAGAAATACGTGTGGGTTGCTAGGCTACTCAAGTGCTGGACAAACTACCTGGGTACCAGAGTTTTTTTTTCTCGTTTGCTGAGATCGAGTTCGGCGGAGATGTTTCAGGGTCGGCCGTACCGACTCGTCTTCGGCCGAAGGCCGAAGCCGTGAGCGGCGAATCGCGCGGGTAACTGTGAAGACTTGGCAGAAACCGGAAACCGCATATGAAAAGTCTTTGTCACCCAGGCAACGTACAAACGGATTTAAGTTATGAAACCTCTCGATTCTTGGGCGTCCATTTACAGAATCAAATGCAACGTGCAATGTTTATAGCAATGAACAACAACAATGGTCACATTTCAGGATTTCCGGTCCTCAGACTCAAAAATCAGAAAAACCTTGTACAACGTAATAAACGAAAGCACAAGAAAGTATAACTCAAAAGTTCATCGATCTAAAGAAAAGTTTAAGTCAGGGATGCATCATGATTATTCTATTTTAAAGCATTTTTTTATGTGAATAAACAAGTAATATTGTTTCTACCGTTTCTTAGGAATCTCAGACATTGGCACAGACAGTTATTCATCCGGAGGAAAATTAGAGGTAACTTGTGGATTTACAAAAACAGATAAAAGAGCTTAAACTTTAAAACAACCTACGGCAGCTCAACACGAATCCCTCTTCGAGGGTCAGTGGTGTAGCGCCGATCGTGGTGTTTGGGAAGTCAAATGTTGAAACCCCTGTGGGGACTCGCGTGACACGACGTCCTCTCTTGCAGCTTAATGGTAAAGTTTTATACGCTGTTGACCAAGCGTGAAGTTGAGATGGCTGGATATCGGCCAAGTTAAGTAGTTGTGGCGAAAATACAGTTTTATTGATATATAGATTTAGCCAAGTCTAAAAGCGAAGCTTCCATCTATACCTCTCGCAATAATCAAATTTGTGTTGCATTTTCCTTTCAGGGATCTCTCCCAGGAATGGAACTCTTCACTAGCAGTCTCTTCAGTAGTGGGTAGGTTGTCCTGTCTCATTTTCCTTCAGACAGTCACAGCTTGTGTCTTGATCTAGATAGTACACTACAGGTTAGGACACAGACGGGTGATAGAGCGAACTTTAAAGCGAAGCACACAAGCGCCAAAAAAAACCCTGCGAGGAGAAAGCCCTTAAAAAATAATTGTTTCTGAGCAGCTTAAGTTTCGGAGAAAAGTTTGTTGTGGGGTGCGTATATTAGGGATTCTTAGCGAATTTTACTTGTTCACCTACATTAAATCTTTATCACCAACAATTAAACCTTCGAGAAGGGAAGTGCGAATATCTTAGTCTCAACGGTGTCCCGGTATCGGAACGAAATGTTCGTGGCCGTCGACGTCAGCAGCCTTTGCTTTATATTTCCCGCCTTTTTATACTTTTTTGACGGGAATCCCACAAGGCCACCGGGGCTTGGTATGGATGCTTAAAAGTTTCCTACTCTTCAGTGGAGGCCCCTGATTCTGTAAAATGATGTTGATGTTGTTTTTGATTTCAGTTCTCTCTCGTCATATCCATGGTCAACTGGTGAAGACAGAAATGAACTGAGTGAAGAGAGATCGCGTAGCATAAGCTGGTCCGGACAGGTATCAAGCTATACTATGCTAAATATGAGCTAAATTTTTGCAGTTCGCATTCTAATATCAGATGTGAACCTGTGTCCATGAAGGTCAATGATCAGATATGACGATAAGGAATACTAAGAAGTGTTCGTATACCCGTCGTACCTTATGGGCATGCTTCAGTAGCCGATATTAGTTTACGTCACCTGAGCTTTGGTTCGTAATTTGGCAAGACAAAATACTCATGGCGAGTGTTTTATCTTTGGTTGTTATCAAGTTAAATTTCCCTTTGTTTTAAACTCCTTTTCTCACATTATTTTACCTAAAAACAAATTGAACCAGAACCATCATATGAGAGACCCCTCGTTATTTGCGTCCGAGATTTCATTTCCATTTGATCAATGACGTTTTTACCGCTGTCGTAGTCTGCGTAGCTGGCGGTTTGTTTGGCGGGAAAATGAGCGGCGAGGCTGCGAAAGCGCGCGCGAACGATCGGCGTAACATATTTCTCTCTATTTGCGGGTTCGACAACTTAAAACCTCCAGCTATGTAGAGTACAGCTGTGGTTGTCGTTACTAAATCACCCTTCTACTTCAATTACACGCGCAAACCACGAAATACGATTTTTTGCAGCATGATTATCAGGGAGAACAGCAATTCATATCACCCGTGAAAGAAAAATTTTCTTCGTCAGCTCAGAAGTCTGCGGCTGATTCCTCGGCAGTTACGATGCGGGCATCGGATCTCCGAGGAGACTCCGGTACTTTCAAGCCCCTGTCATCAGGCATTTGGGGTCCGGTTACATCACAGCCCCCGCCGCCTGCTTCTCACGTTACGTCACTATCTGTTGTGTGTGATGATGGCTCACCTGATAAACAGGCCTGGAACAATTCCGACAGCACTAGTAGCAGTAGAAGCAGTAGCAGGCAAGAGTTGTCTTCCATCATGGACAGTGATGTGCAAGGAAATAGCGGAGTGTGGAATTCATCGGCCTTTGTTGAAGACATGACGCCTACACCTCAGCAAGCTTCCGGAGGGATGAGCACTGCGCTTTCAGATCAAGGAGTGCCGACCGGTGCACAGTGGGTGCCGGGAAGAGGTGCATATAGCGCGCCATCCTCACCCTCCCTACCCCGGACGCAAAATCTTCCCGAGTCGGCACCCCCCTCAGTGGGAGGGCGACCATCGGTTGATGACTTTGCAGTGCGGTCGTGGACATCAAAGCAAAGGAGCCCGCGTTCATTAAGTAGCAGTGAAGCTTCGACAGGCTGGAGTGAAAACCTACCGACACAACCCCGGCGTTCAAGCGTGGACTTGTCGCAACCCGGAGTGGGCGAAAGCACCATCCCTGCACACCCCTGGCAACAGTATTCGCGCATGCCACAGGGACCCTACCCTCCTGGACTAACAATGAGAGAAAACTGGATTGATCAGCAATCTTCGTCGACAGGAATTTCTGAGATCAATCAACTGTTACAACGACTGGCTTTAGAAAAGTACATACCTGTTTTCGAGGTATGTCTCTATCTTTGCCGACTGTAGACCTGTTGCATAAAGCCTTCTGATTTTTTTATTATTATTATTGTTTGTAACTTCAGATCACGTGAATCATAAGATGAGTTTAGTAGCTCTTTTGGTGGATTTTGAAATACCGTATTTATTCAAATAAGCGCCCAACCTCGAATTAGCGCCCACCTCGAATAAGCGCCCATCCTAAAGGCAGAAAAAGTTTATAAGCGCCCACCCCCTCCTCCTTCCAATCAAACTCGAATAAGGGCTCACCCCCACCCCACCCACTTGAGTGAATAAATTGTAATAAGAAACTTCCCTGAGGACGGAGTTTTCGTCAGAGCATTTTACAGAAACCTTGCTTTGTTACTTCTTCGCGTTTTGTTATTAGCATTTATTGTTTTGTTGTAAAATAAACATACTTCACTTGCTGAAAATGGTGAAAATTCAATAAGCGCCCAGCCTCGAATAAGCGCCCACTCTCAAGGTCCAAAAATTTAATGAGCGCCAAGGTCGGTTAATCGAATAAATACGGTAAGCATTTTTCCTTTTCTATCCTAGGAACACGGCATTGATGCCACACGATTGGCTCAAATGATCGAAGAGGACCTGGAGAATCTGGGCATTCCAAAGGTTTTGAGCAGAACTTGTTTTTGATCGTTTCTTGAATGAAAGGCTTGCTTTTAGTCTTGCATATATCCTTACGATTGCTGCTTTTCTTCTTTTAGGGACCACGTTTAAAGTTGATGTTTGCTGTTCATGGTTAGTAATAGAAATAAACTTGAGAGATTTTTGCAATACCTGCGACGATTTCTAAATCTCTAACTTGCCACAAATCAGCCTGAACTAACAACTTAAATTTAACTCATGAAATCTCACGTTTGCCAGGCTTGTCTCAACGTTTCGATATGTAATGGTGTAGTTTTGTATGCAAGGGTTACGAAATATAAGTCCCTTAACGAAAAAACGGAGGGGGTTTTATAAGGAGGCCTTTTTTGCATTATGAATTTTTGGGGCCTTGCAAACGGACGGACTTTTTTTCGGAATTTAACGATGCCCTCTTAGGGGGTCTCTTTCAAATTGGAACATTTTTAAGGTGCTAACTTTTTTGTACGTCTCATTATTAAGGAAGAAGGTTACTGTAACTAAAATGCTTGCTTTTCCAGTAGGAGTTGACGCTATAGTTTTGTAGTGGTTAGTTCCAACTCGCGCATTTAAATTAGCTAGATAGGACCCCTGATTTTCTCACAACCATTTTAGACATAGACATTTTTCCTTCTCTGTCTAGTCCCCGCACGGCTTCTTCCCAGGCTTCCTCTGTCAATGCGTTTCGGTAACGTTGCCGAGACGAACGTGATCCGAAACGCATAGGCTGCGCGGAAAAATAAGGCCTGGAGACTAGACAATGTTCTCCCGATCACTCATTCTGAGGCTCTAACAAATGTTTTGTAATACAGGTGCAAGAGGGTCCAGTGGAAGTACATTCCAAACCCCAGGTAATGGGTTTGTAAAGATGGAGCAAGCCCCCACGATCCTACCACAACACAAGAAACCCAACAAAATGGACCAACCACCGCTCTATAACAATCACAATCACGTTCTTTCGCAGCACAGCGACTCTCATCTGTCTCCGCTAGGTCACAAGTCAAAGCAATCACTTAAACAACCACTCCACGCGTCACTTCTACAACAATCGCCTGGTAACCACGGCAACCAACATCTGCTGTCTCTAATGACTGCTCAAGGGGGTGGGGGTCGATCAGTGAACCCTGGTCAACACGTTGGAATGGGCGGCCAGAACCATGCGGGTCACCTCCCTCCCCGACCTCACTCCGCGGCAGGCAACATGATCACCAATCAGGCTTACGTTCCGGTTGGTTCCCATGGTGATCAAGGGATGTCGTATGTTCCGCAACAGCAGGGGCAGTACATGAATCACTTGCCCTACACCCAAGGCCCCGCCCCGCCTCAAGTGTTTTACCCCGGGGGCTTTTACTACTTCTACCAGCAGCAGTAGAAGGACTCTTCTATTTCTCTTCAAGCTGATCCTTTACTCATTAACTTATTGATTCGATCATTAGCTACACCTGGACACTTGTAATTTATAATGTCTACATGTCTTCAGGGTTTTCAAATCATGTAAAAGAGACAAAAGTTACATGTAGATTCAAGTTTTAGTGAATTGATGCAAGAGGTTAGGTTGAAGTTGAGAAGGTGTTTGCATTAAAGATCACTCACCAAAGGTACTCCTTCGCTGTATTGGACCTTGTTTCTCTGTTATTTATTTACGTAGGCCTAGGCCTTGCCTAGTCCCTGTATGGCGTTTTCCCAGGCCTTCTCGGCGTTTTCCCAGGCGAGTTCAGTCTAATACGCGCGTCGATTTCAAACTTACATACAGAGAGAATTAGTATAGGTAATAGCATGATATGTAGTGATAGTGAAATGTCACTCGTGGTATTTATGCCAAATATCACGTACAAATCAGGCTTATTATTTGCTTATTATTTTATTATAGGGTAATAGCCACTGAGAACCTCATCAAAGTCTATTTACTGCAGCGTATTCAGTAAATATTCGGAACAAATGGCTACACGTAGGCTATATTCCTACTCACATCTCATTGCGCTGTTTCCACAATCTGAACGCGTGGAACAGACTGAATCGAAACATTTCTTTGGCATTCCAAGGAAAAGTTCGAGTCTTCCCTTCGAGGCATCGCGTGGCGAGTTGATATTCATTCTACCAAGGTTTTTAATAAGAATTCTAGTAGCAGGAGAAAGGTGTAACGTTACAAAAGAATATTTTGAAAAAGGTTCCACGTCTGAATAAAAAGTAGTCATAGGCTACCGAACGTTAGCCGGAGAATTCAGTGCTGTAAACGGAGAATTCTCCAATCTCCGATGCTTAAGAATGAACACCCTGTTCTACCATAACAAGTAGCCTGCGAACAGGCAGTCCTTCTTCCCTTTTGTTGAAAAAAAAAAAAAAAACGCCTCATCGCAGGTTTCCATAACAATTTGTTTCATTTGCATGTCTAAGGGTAAAACTAAGGGCCTGTTTACATGAAGGTGGGGGACCCCATGTAGGTGAGGTAACCAGCTTCGGTGGGGTAACCCGCCTGTCCATCTAATCTCTCACATGGACACCCTGCCTATCATGTAAACGTGCTCAAACTAAAACGAGAGATTATATGGACAGGAGGGTCATCGGGTTACCTCGCCACCCGGGGTCCCCACCTCCATGTAAACAGGCCCTAAAAAAAGTGAATCTATAGTGATGAGGATAGACTTCGCGATCGCTGCCTTTTTAATACTACCATTTTCGAAGCATTTTAACATTAATTTTCTTTTCTTTTTTTTTTTTCACAAAATCATACCGAAAAAGACCATCTCCGACGATACTTGCAGCTCAGAACTACGTTGAATGAGCATCTAACGGTATAACACTGAAAAACTACATCTTCACCGTTTTTATAAGTTACATAAACCAGCATTAGTGTTTGTAAGGTCTCATCTTCCTCCTTGTCACGCTTATTTTACGCTTGAATATGATGGAGAATACACTGAATTACTTTCTATACAAGATGGAGGAAAGATCCTTGTGGTCTTATGAAAGACCTACAAATACTTACAGTCTGTCTCAGCCTGTCTTAACGTTAAATACAGTTTAAATTTAGGTACTAAAATCATATGACTTTGGCATATGATCAATGAATATAGATATCTTCTTAATACTTCTTGATTGAAAGGGTTAGACTGAGTGAAAACTGAGCAGATTGTACATCGCTCATAAAGTTTTTCTTTTTGTAAAGAACGGCTGGGTTATTCCCAAGAAGTTGCGTTGCCTCTCCAGAACATCGAAAACTAACATTCTCTTGTGTCGTCCTTTCTAATTCGCCAGTCACCCGCTCCGTCTTTTAATCGCTTCGTGCTTCCCAGTCACTCTTATGAATTCGGCGAAAGAATCAAGAGGACAAGTAGTTTATTGCAAAGCATTCGGCTGATATTTAAAAATACTGGACTTTTAACTGCATCGTTCACTCTGCATGGTTATTTCCAGAACAAAATGCGGTGCACTCTTTACGACTTTACAATGAAACGCCACTGAACTGCAGGACTTGGTTTCGTGCATGTAGTATGTGTGGTTTATTTACACTGACGGCTAGACGTTATAGCGTTCTGAAGCTACTGTCGATCTTTGTACATTCCTCGGCGAAGAACATGGACAAAACCACAGAAGATAAGCACCTGCAACGACAACATTGAATTACGAGAAAAACGGTTAACCCTTGGGCCCTAAAATTGCAGCAAACAACTCAACACCCCAGAAAAATGGGCCTCAATTTATTAAACCTTTACATTAACAACACGCGCACATACCTCTGCCAAACACTTCAGCAAGGAGAGCCGTTCTTGGTTTGCGATTGGCTCTGATTTGTCTCTGTACATGTTCAACTGCTGTCATGTCGTCCATAATAGCTGAAAACTGTGAAGGAAATATTAAACAATTGAGTGTAATTATAGTCAACTTCACTGCAGTCAAAGTGCTCTGTACCCCCCTGTGAAACTTGGACCTCTTCCCATTACACAAGTAACACGGTGATACTTATCACAAGAGTTTTTGAATAAAGGCAGTTTAAAGAAATTATCAAGAACAATGCACAGTTTTATTTATCAAATTAACAATAAAATCAGCTGATGAGCTAAACAGCTGCAACACCAAATCAGAAGACAGCACTTGGCCTCGTGTGATAATATTCACAAGTGCATTTGAAGCAATACGAGACTACGAGTAGTCCCCATTTTTCCTCAGGGATAGTAGAGCGAGCGAAACGTTTTCTCGCGAGGTGATTTTCACGCGTGCTTGCGTTTCGCTCGCTCTACTATCCCTGAGGAAAAATGGGGACTACTCGTAGTCTAAAGCAATACAAGTGAGCCAATAATAACTATGAAATATAGTAAAAGCATCATTTATTTGTCCGGGGTGAAAATAAGGTGTATATGATGGAATAAGAGGTGGAGTGTGAGAAGACAAGTAACCTTCCTTTTATTCCTCTTCAATACCCCAATTCTAACGAAGAAATCTTCATTGCACAGAATACCCAAGGTTTTGCATACTCACCTGGTCACACAACATGGCTAATACAAATAAACCAAACAAACAGCCTTCAATCATCAAAATTACTGTGTGGACTCTAAAATACAAACAGTGTTCTTTTAGTTGGAAAGTTTCAGAGCTTAATACCCACTAACTAACAAGCAGCAGTTTGAGTGAACTTACAATGGATCTTTGTTACAATAATTGTTACATGTACCATAACAAAGTACTGAAGGATGGAAGTGGTTATAACATGAAAGGTTCATCGCCCATTTCTAATCACAGATCATAGATATTCTTCTTTTAAGAAGAATGTATTCCAGGCCAAATAAAGATATGGTTGTGTTTCTACTCATGTGTCCCAAATATTTATTTTGAGCAATTACGGTATTGAATTAATTTGAGCACAAGATTCACTTCTTGTTCACGAATATAAGACACTTTTGATCCACTTGAATAGTTTTGACAGTTGTAATGTCAGTATGGCTAAAAGTATAAAATGGTCCCCTCAAAAAATAAACTGCCAGTGTACAAATCACAGTAACATCCACAATAACTTGCAGTTTCATAAACAGGTAACATAACTGGTGATGTGCTCAACTATCTATTGAAATTTTCACAACTTCTTGTAGCTTTTTTTTTCAGTGCCATAATATGAAAACAGCTGACTGACTAGGAATAAACTTACAATCTTGTTTTCTTTTCATAATACTTTGAACATCCATGACATTCCATGGTCCATGACACAGCTGTGAGAATTATACAATACAGGGATGCAAGACCTGTAGGGATAGAAGGTAATACTGTTTTGTTTGTTTTTTTGTGTTTTGGAGCGGCTAAGTTCCCCTGGACTTAATGCCAAGTGCAAGTTTGTCTCTTCCCCAGGAAACAACTAGGGGAAGTCTGCAGAGTGTGGTTCTTCAATTGAGATTCATAAACAAAGATATTAGGTGTTTATTGATGATGATGATGATGATGATGATGATGACGATAATGATCACAGAAAGGGTTAACCACGGTGTCCTTCTGTTGTTAGGGGGATGTTTTGTAACATAAACAATAGTCTTATATTGAAGCTTGTCCCTTGGACCAGCTCTCACATTTCCTTACCCAAGGTCATTGCCTGCTTGTCTTAGTTAACGACTTGGTTACAAGATGACTTGCCTCTACCCAGGCCCCTTCACCTACTAAGCTAAGATTTACTTGGCTAAATGGGCATCAAACAGATGAATTAGGTTCAGCCTATTTCCAGCCCTGCCCAACTATGGCCTCAAACTGGTTAAGGAGAGTATTAGCACTCTCTAACCTCTCCTCTCCTCCTAAAAAAAAACTTACTATATTTTGTGGCACTCATATTATCAGCGTAGACAGCATGGTAATGTCATGTTTAACATCCCAAAAAACCAAAAAACTATTGATTAAAAGTTTCCTGACTTGAGATCACATATTTTTTCCAAACTAAACAGCAGTTTAAAACCATTTACCTGTATAGAAAAGAAACAAAACAAAATACTTCTGGTTGGCTTCCCCTACACAATTGTTGATCCTGGAACCACAGTAAAACAGTCAGTAAATTCACAAATCAACTTATCAGTTAATGAACAGTAACAAATTTGTCAAAAAAAAATGTTTTTAAACATTGCTTAAAGGCACTGAAATAAGGGGAATTGAAAAACTGATGAACATCATGTGGGATTTTGCCTTTCTAGTTACAGATTATTACTCCTACATTCATCCAGAAATATAAAGTGAGTGAAGGTTTTCACTCTGCATAACTCTGTGAAGTGTCCACCATGGTGTCCTGCTTTATTTGTCATTGAAAGATAATGTCTGAGCTTACCCTGAACTGAGTGATATTCAAAAAGATCTTTAAGATCAATAGTGTAACAGATTACTACAGACCCAGCTTGGAAAGAAAGGTAATTATCATCATATTTGCCAATTGAAAATATTAGCCGACTGCATTGGACAGGCCAATGTACATCTAATTCTAGACATCTAGTATGTAAGACCTAGTTCAGACGTCGTACTTTTCATGAGCCAAACCTAACTGGATAAGTTGGACTCTGGAGCGACACTGGCGCGACATCTGATTCAGACGACCCACTGTGTGTTGAGCCCAAGTTAAGTTCGACAATACTTTGACAGACGCTGTTGAACTTAATGCTCTTGCCGCACCAGACTAAAACTGCCATACCAAATTAATTCAGATGCCGCTCTTTTGCTGTACTTAATTCATCAGTTAGGTTCGGCACATGCGTGGAGCAGCATCTGAACCGGGCCAAATTTGCCCAGTGTTTTCTTCAAAATTATCTTCAGGTCAGTTGATTTCTTTTTGGGCCCTACATGATGCATGCTGCTGATTATTTTGAATCTTTAGGGATTTCGCTATGTGCCAGGGATGGAGGAAAAACAAAATCACTGATGTACACACAGTGCAGTACAGACCATGGACAGTGGTGATCCATTTTTCTAATACATCTTCCACACGTCCTAAAAAGCAAAATGATGCAATAAATAAATTATTGTTTTCTGTTACCTAAAAACACGAAAAATTTTTTGTTTAATTTAAAAAATCAGACTATTATTAATATACTTTAAAAATAAGCAATGCAATGAAAACACTGCTGAAGGGGTTTAAGTTGAGTTGATGTATTTTGTCAAAAAAGTAGAACAATTTTATAGTTTGACCTACCGACAGTGATGAGCCCTTGGAGGGCGATATGCTTCACATTTAATACAGATAGTCCATTCATTTTCATCCTAAAAAATATTTAAAACTCAAATCACTAACAGCAAAATATTCTAATATGAAATCAACATTAAATCCATCAGAATTATTAATCACTAAAAATATTGAGGAGTGTTTCTTTGTCACAGATGATGCCCCAGTGTTATAATGATCAGTCAATCAATAATTATATGTTCAAAGCACTTTCAGCATAATGACACACTACACAGATTTTCTCACAGAACTACGAGGGACAGGGTAGGTGTGATAAGGTGAAACTAAATGACAAGAGGGATTCTTGAGTAATGAGCTCAAGACAGTGCTCAAAGAACAGGTTGTTGCAAAGGAAGGTTTTTCTGTATTTTTAAACATGATAGCAGGAAAGGAAGACATCACAATTTTGTTAATGATAATGATAATGATAATGATAATAATAGAACAGGAGATAATATTAGTTTTTCCTGATCGTATTAACTATACCATACCTGGCTCTGTTTATTTTTTGCTTTATTTATTTCTGAGAAATCCAGACTTGTTGAAGGACGAGCTACAACACCTAAGTAAGATCCAAAAGTGTCAAGTTAGTAAAGTGTCTAAAAGGGAAGGGTGATGGGGTGAACGTCAAAGTGAGGCACAAAATAGATATCAGTTCCCGACTCAGAGAAGGCCCCTGAAAAGAACTGTGCAAGAAAGCTTAAGACCCCCCAGGTGCCACTGAAAACATAGAAACCTCAATAACAGATGCAATTAGGACAGTGCTTTATCATGGTTATAGTCTTGTAAGCAATAGATAATCTAAGGAAGAAGTCTAGGTGGTCTGCCTCCCTTTTGTTTCCCCACTAGGAGAGGTTACTTTCTGGCAATGGTTTTCAGCATTAAATACCATTCCTACAAAGCAGTTTCATTATTTATTATTTCCTAGGTATTATACATACTGAGAATCCTCTAATTAATACATTAAGTACCCAGCAAACAGGAAGCAAAAGTTTCTGCCAGAAGATTTATGTAAAACATTGTGGTATTTCTGAATATGACAATTGTTCTTTGAGCAGATGCATAAGCTCTATATAACCAGGGAGAGTTAGACTAAGGGTCTTAGTATAAAAATAATAGATAAATACTGACAAATAAATAAAACTCTTCAAGTAGCAGTATATTAATTTCTAAGGATTTACGTAGATTAACTAGAGCTTACCTGGATCAGAAAATGATGCTCTGGCATGTGAAATTGCAAGAAGAAGTACAATGATATTAAATATGCACACATGTAGGCTACCCCAGATACTGCAAGTTAGAAAAGAGGACAAAAAATGTATTAACATCTAACAAGGAAAACCAGATCTTTCATATACACCTGTAATTATTGGGGTTGATCTAGGGGTAGGGGCAGAGTGAGTGTGGTGTGGGACCAGTCCCCTTCTATTTTTGACAAAAACTAAGGGGAGAGGGGGTCCAAACGTCCTGCCTTCTGCACCTTGCATTCTTGGCTCCCGTCTCTTTTGGCTGTTAACCCTTTTTTTTGAAACACAGTGATTTTGTTATCTCTGCATCCCGCATCCTGCGTCCCTGATACATAAACATCCCCTCCCGTGGGACGCAAAGAATGATCGATCGATTTGAAGATTTTTTGGTGGAATTTTTATGTCGTGAGATTTCTGTGGCCGTTGTTTACTCTAATTTAGTCTTTTCAGTAAACTGTAATTAAGAGTTTTGGCCTCGGTCTCCAGATTAACTGTCTGGTTACATAAAGACCTAAGCATTTTCAGTTTAGGACTTCTTGTTTTTTTAACTGGGACTTATTGGTTATGGACAGGGACTCACAATTTTTCACAAGATGAGTCCCAGGACTCACAATAACTATTTGCAACAAAATCGCTGAAAATATAAAGAATTGTTCATAATTTTCATCCTATTTCTCCCACTTCCCACCCTTTTAGAACTCCAGCTTTCTGTAACCCTTCTACCTACTATTCTCCTCCGCTTCCCCTCCTCCCCCGTCCTCGCCTACCTAAACTTTCTGTGGCCAGCGTCAGTTACAGACACTTTTTTGGCTTCCTGGCAGAGGCTATCTGATCATGGGAATTCAACTATAAAACTTTGTTTTGGCCAGTGTGTGAGCAGTGCTCATACTTCACAGTTTGAGATAAGAGAGGAGTCCACTTTGAGTTCTGACGTTGAGAAAATAGACGTAGCTAATTTGCATCTGTATAGACCACTAAAAACATTATTGACCACTATAGAAAATACCATAACATATCATAATGCTCTTTGTTTCTCACTCCAAAATTTTGCATAATTGTCTTCAGTTTCTCTTGGGAGTTAAAATGGCCCCAAGAGAAACTGAAAACAATGCTTATGCAAAATGTTGGGGTGACAAACAAAGAGCATTATGGTATTTTCTGGAGTGGTTCAAATTCAGTCATAAGCAGATAAAAATCAAGAGTACCTGACCACTTGTCGGAACGCTTTACAGAACGAGGCATGTTTGTTATTAAACTTGTTTTAAATAAAGCTAAATAAGTGGCCTGGTATTCTGAAGTTCAGCCGAAAATCATGTGGGCCGGTCAGCTGTTTTTACAATTTAAAAATTGTTGTTAATAATTTGTGAAAAAAGTACGATGTCCATAATTATAGAGCAGAGTAATTAAAATGGTTAAATATATTTACGTATCTCTGCAAAATATTTTGCTTAAAGATCGAAGATCAAACAGCTTGAGCAAGTGTTTTCGATTTCTAAATCATGTCTAACTAGATGAACGCATTCTAGTAGACAACAAAACTTATAAAATTATTTCCCTAGAGACACGGATATTTCTCAAAAACTCACCTGTCTGTGAGTGTGGGGATAATAACGTGTTCAACCAGGCAATAATCGGCGTATAACACCGCAGAGTAAGTCATCAAAACGCAAATAACTCCACAAGGATCTTTATGAAACACCGCCATGTTTGATGTTTGACACTTCACGCAAAACACGCAAACACTTCACGCTAATTCGTAATTCGTTCCCAGTCTCTCAGAGAAGAATATTACCTCCGTTTTCGCTGCGGTCACGTAAAATTTGAAAGACGTACGTTCTTTATATTATTCATGTTCCCAGTCATTGTAATAGTCCCCAGCAGTAATACGATTAACCTGTTTTTGTATGTTCTGTTGTCTCTTCTAATATTGTTCATGCCCGCAAAAACCACCCCACCCTACTCGAAGAACTCCCCAACAACAACATTTGCACTACTGACTTCAAATATTGAATGTTTATGGCTCAATCTATTATATTGAATTTAAATGTGCCCAACTTCCTGAGTATTTTCCGGGCATTTGTCAGATTATGAACCTATTTTGGTTTGCCTGAGGTGGTCACTGGTGGGTTGTGTGACATTGTGTGACGCTTGACAGTGATACAGTTCAGAGGACTGGTACCAGCATAGTAACAAGATGGCGCAGTGAACGGTACATTCCTTCTAAGGCACAGCGTCCTATTCTGGTTGTTGCTTGGAAGCTTAATTTTGTCTGTAAAATCGACAAGTATAGTAAACCATGTTTGTTATGAACTTAACAAGGTAAGGGTATGAATTATTGTAACCCATTTGATCTATTGATCTCGTAAAATGCTTTCCAATCGAGAAATACGATCTCGATCTTTGAGGATGAAAGCGGATGTAATTGACCTGAAATGTTTTACATGGCTCAGTTTCAGCTACCGTGGAGTGTTGAACAGATTTTCGTTTTTGCCCCCTTTTTTGTCTGAAAAAGGAAATTTGTTCCAACTTATACCATTTTTAAAGTCAAAAAGGCATTCCATCAGCGTTGTTTACATTGGATTGCCCTTGAAAGACTTGATACACAATACTTGATAGGAAATTAACCGTAATGATCGTATTTTCAAAATGTTTGTTTGCAAGTCTCTCAGAGCTATTATGTTTGGATTGCCTCTTGCAAATTCAAAGTATACAGCTTCATCGATATAATTTAAATGTATGCAATCAGTCATAATCAAGTCTAAGGAGAAAATGAGAGTAGTTTAGCGTCACCAGCGATAAGAGGATTTAGTAAAATCCAGATAGTGGTCTATTATCAATGCTGCGTTCTGATTGGTTGAGCTATTACTAGGCTATATGTTATAGCCCACTAGTAGAGAAAAGCGCCTGCTTTTTGGCGGCAAAAAAAGATTAAAGTCTAGCTTTAACTAGCTAAAATTTTTTTTCTCGATATTTTTGACCAACTAGTTGGATTTTACTAAAACAATAATTGGCCTCTGAGTCAATAGCCCATTCGGCCTTCGGCCTCATGTGCTATTGACTCAGGGCCAATTCAGGCTTGAGGAATAATTGTTAAATATCCTCGTAAAGGAGGTTCATAATAATGTTAGTGGTCTGAATTTTGAACCCCCCTGTTTCGTGCATTTCACACATTAAGTTGCTCTGTGCCAGGCTTAAAACTAGCTGCTGTTTGGAAACAGGTTGGCAAAGGGGTTTTTTGTGATGTGTAATGGGACCCAAATTATCAGCATGAGGTGGAATTGGGCATAGCACCGTGATGCGTGATTTGCTATTTTCACAACATGTGATGCGTGATTTTCCTTTGAAATTTCCGTGATGGTTAATATTATTTTAAACTAGACACAGAGACATCAAAAACAGAGAGTTATTAGACTAACTTCTTGACCTTTTTCCTCGTTCTTCAACCTCTGATTTCCTCAGATCAAATGATAATATGATACTTGTTAATGTAGTCAATATTTTATATTATTTTTCCGTGATGCGTGATAACTTAAAAAATCGGTGTGATGCATGATAGGTCATCCCCTCTTTGCCACCCTGTGGAAAATGAGCCCACACTCATTTGGCGAGGATCAAAAACCAGACTCAGGAGTGTGGCAGAAATCGAACCTAGGTCAGATCTCACCTACCCATGTACCCGTCACTACCCTCTGAAATAATCAAAGTTGAAAGCATTTGAACTTAGCCTATTGGAAAGAAGGCAAGGGCAAGAAATGCCTCAGAAAAAGTCATCCTATGCAGATGTTGCAGTTCAAAGTCATATATTCATAAGACGACTGACAATATGTTATTTCTTTCCTTAGGTTACTTCTTCTTCCAAGGAATTTAATTTAAAAAGCAGTACACACAAGATCTTTGATTGTGCCAGACAGTATGCAACACTCTGCGGCATTTGTACTTATTCTTGGGACTATTCTATTAAATGCAGGTGAGATGGTAAATAATACATATTGACCTTCTCTAACAAAAAACAGGAAAGTGTGGAAGTGCCCCTCTTGCCCAGCATGCAATAGCCTTCTACATAGTTAAATAAATCTGTTTTGAAACAAAATGTAAAAACACTCTCCCTTTTCTTGTAAGAATTTTATTTAGAAGTGAATTGTACCGCTGTAAGCCATACATAAGAAGACCTACGCTGACTCCGGGCTTAATACTAGCAAACATTTTTTTAACGAGATAAAATTAATAACCCACCACAGGTCTCATTCTTACAATAATATGTACTTGTTAGTAAAAGTTAATCAGAATTAATCATTATTTCTAAATGAGACTTCTTGCTATCTTTTAGCTGCTGCACCAAATTTCTTAAAGGAACCAGCTGTTTCTCAGACCGCTCTCAAGGACGGACAAGTCATCTTTGAATGTCAAATAGGTGCTTCACAACCCAGCTATCACTGGCTTAAAGATGGAAGAAACATCAGCAAAGGAAGCATCTCACTCGTGGGATCTTTGTCAACATTGTCGGTTGGTAATCTGGAGTTTTCTGGTTCTGGGAACTACTCGTGTATTGCTACTGACAGGCAGTCTGGACAGAGTGGGGAAAAAACTGGAATACTAACTGTCAAAGGTACATTTTCATTTCTTAGGGGAACTATTTATTTAGTATGTGGAACACTGCTGGGCGATAAAATTGCTAGACTTTCATTTTGGGCCAGATGAAAGAGGTCATGTAGCTGTTTTAGCAAGTTTTATTATATGGCTGGTTCTTCACTGCTGGAAAGTTGAGTTCTTTCTTTCTTTGGCTCTTTTAGCAGTACATATCCATTCATAACTCTTTGAGGTACCAGTGTTTTGTTTTCTTTAACTCCCAAGAGTTGGAACACAGGATTTTCCTGGTACACTAATATAGACGCTGTTTCATTGTTGTGTAGACAAAGCCATGACATCATGTGAAAACAGACTATAGGCCCAGGAAATATTCATCCTGTACCATGGAGAATTTACTGGTTTGACCCCCCACGTTGATCCATCCCTCCAAAATTTCCAATTTTCTATTCATACTTTACTTTAAAAATTTTGGCCTGTTTAAGAACTGCCCACCCCACTTGAAATTTCTAATAACTTTCCATTGGGTGGGGTGGTTGTGGATATTTTCTTCAACAACACATTATTTTTGGCTTCTTAGGCAAGCCTACTATCAGTCAAGCTCCATCACTGTTATCCACCTATGTTGGCCTGTCTGGAATATTTCACTGTGTTGTTGTTGGCAACCCTAAACCTACTGTTCGTTGGAAAAACAGTAGCAATGCCATCATAACCTCAGGAGGAAGGTTTGAAGTGTTCAGCAATAAATCTTTGAAGATCAGTAATTTGTTAAAGAGTGATGATGGTAGTTTCTTCACATGTGAAGCTGAAAACTCATATGGGACCACAACAGCCAGTACAACCCTGCATGTTACAGGTCAGTTTTAGCTGCTGCATATACTCAGTTATGTAAAGACATCACCTCTGAAAAGTTATCATTCATGATGTCTCCGATCCCTTTTCTTCTCTTCAAGAAACGTAGTGCACTAATGCTATTCTTATTTTCTGTTACAAGAAATGTACCATATTTACTCGAATAAACACGCCATTTGAGACCAAAAAAGGTCAAAGGCACCACCCTTAAAAAGTGCTGTGATCCTGATGTAATCATTATTAACAGACAAATGTTTGTCACGTTCAACTTTCAAATAAAAGCTGCCTTCAAATTAGCACTGCCCCCAAATAAGTACCATATTTGAGGCATGGAGCTTATTCAATTACCGGTAAATATCATGGTATTTTAATAGAGGAGCTCCTTATGAAAGAGTTTGTATAGGTAATAGCATGATTTGTAGTGTCATTTGGCATAAATACCACAAGTGATATTTCGGAATTGTTATGCATGTACATGATTCCACGAGCCATTAGGTGAGTGAAATTTGAGACAACTTTGAAATATTACAAGGTATTCATGGCAAATATCACGTACAAATCAAGCTATTATTTGTTTATACTACTACCCACAAAAGGTTTGTAATCCTCACGTGTAGGTATTTCAAATTAAGCTGAAACACCAATTCTCTGAGCCAGTCAAAATTGCAGAAATTTCTCATGTAGTAGTATAAATTGCATAATACAGTATACCCCCCTTACAAACACTTTATGCCAGTCCCTCAGAACTTTGAAACCCACTTCCTTCCAAAACCAGTCATTTAATAGTTGTTTGTGTTCTTTCAAGATCCTCCAGCTATTCCCTCATTTACAAGGAGACCAATTAACCAAACTGCTAATGAAGGAGGACGAGTAACATTCTACTGTTCAGCAACAGGAAGCCCTTCTCCAACTGTCACATGGAGCAAGTTAGGAGGGATAATCCCAGCTGATAGACAACAGGAGCCTTCACCAGGATCACTTAGAATTATTAATCTTCAGCCCAGTGATGATGGCACTTATGTCTGTACAGCACAAAATTTCCTGGGCAAAATAACAGCACATGCATTTTTGCGCATTCAAGGTGATTTTCTAGTTTGGTATTTTGCCAATTAATACGGCTGTACGTTCAACCTTCTCACCAAAAAAAGTTCCAATTGCAGCCAGCTTAACTGTTGTCTGTCTGTGTCTGAAAGTTTATCTCCATCTGTCCTTGAAACAAACTCTTAGCAATAGAAAAAATATCTTTGGAAGAGGTTGAGCAAAATACCATGATTTGTTAATGGTGACGAGAGAGTTCAATAATTGTTTTATCATTCGATTAGTGAGTTTGTTTTTTAATGAATATATTCTGGAAGCGAAGGTGATCTGTCCTTTTCACGTAAGAGTGATTGCAATTAGGAGAAAAGTGTGGTTTCATTTATGCATGAGCAGAAAATTTTTTGCAGCCAAACACAGATGGACCAACATTGGGCATGAGCAGACCATTATTTGAAGGTAGATATTTGCAGGTCATGTGGTGGGCTTTTGGCGAACGAACAGAAAGAAAAATTTGCATTGAATGATAATGTTTGTTATTTGTTCTTTCTTGATCTTCTAGGTTATCCCCGCTTTATAACAGGACCATCAAACAAAGTAGTCGCAGAGAACTCATCTGTTCAGTTCACCTGTATCATTGAGGGAGATCCTACTCCTCACGTGGAATGGACCACACCCAGTGGGACCATACTGACTCTGCTGTCTCAGCCCTCTGGTAATATAAGGGTCCTAACAAACAACTCCCTTAGCATCACTATGGTAACTGGAATGAATGCTGGTGCATACACATGTACAGCGGTGAACGGTATTGGTCGGCAATCCATTTCAGCTACCCTGACTGTATTAGGTAGGTACAGTACCTCTCAAAAATAAGTTAACGTCCTCTCGTCAGGCAAGAGTCTTGCCTTAAGGGATAAAATCCTTGTCTTGCAGGTGGATTAACCCTTTAAGCTCCAGCATCAACATGCATCTTCTCCACACTATTCTTCATACATTCCTTATGGTACTCGTGGAAAGAATTTGTTCTAACATCACAACATTTCATCTTTGGTGATCATTTCCTTAATTCTCATGACCTGTCTATCTGATCAGGCAGTGTATTATTCGGAGAAATTGGATGTCAGTCACTATTGGGGCTTAAAGGGTTAACAACACTGCAAGTGTCTAGTATGGCCAGAGAATACAGATGACATTTTGTGACACCACCACTGGTTTCGCTGAGAAACCATTGGAGGAACGAGCGCCCAGACCTGGTTAGTGATAGGTCATCACAGAATTTTTGCGCTCGTTCCTTAGGTGTCATTTTGAGGAGGAACCAGTCAGTGGCGGATCTAGACCTTCAGATAAGGGGAGGGGCCCCGTCATCCAGACCCTGATATAAGGGGGCCCCGGTCTTAAAAAAATACTTTTCCGGCCCTTCGGGCCTCAATTTGGTCTAAAAATAAGGGGGGCCCTCCTGGATCCACCACTGCCAGTGGTGGCATTGCAAAATGTGATCTGTTTTCTCATACAAGTGTTGAAGTGTCAAGGATTCCCTTTCCTAAAAGCACTTCCAAAAACTCGTACTTTTAATACTTTGAGTATAATAGAGTACTAAAGTGTGAAAAAAAATTTTTTGGGGTCGACCCAAAAAAAATTCAAAAGGGTTTGTATGGAGTTTTGTAAGCTTTGAGAGACAATTTGTGCTCATTTTTGGCATTTGTTCTTTCATATCCTGATCCCATAATTTCAGAAATTTCATTTTTATGACGTCACACTTTAGTACTCTATTTGTATTATGTAAGTGTAGTACAGATTTGTAAGAGATTGTTATTAGAGAGATTAAGAGTCACGTTTACACCAAACGGAAAACGTGAATTGGTACCACGTGACCAAGTTTCCCCCTTATTGTTATTTACTGTTTATTACTTCTACTCAAAGTTAAGTACTTTCACGCTAGTTTTATCCAAAATAATTGTTCTGGACAGTTTTTATCTGCTTATTTTCTATTCTGAGAAACTCTCAACTTGAATCTGACATTTGCCGTTTACCCTAAACGTCACTCTTAATCTCTTTGGAAATTTTCAAAATTAAAGGTATTTCAGGTAGCTTGAACCATGGATAATATTATCCATTTGCTCAAATTGAAACGCGAATTTTTTTACCACGAACCAAGTTTCTTTTAGAGGTCGTTTATTGTTCATTATGTTTGCACAAAATTAGTAAACTCACAATTTTTAACCATAAGAATTGTTTTGAACTGTTTTTCCATTTTCTATTTTCGAATTTATCAACTGTTCAACGTTTCTACCATATAAATTAAACTAGTCTCAGGCAGGTTTTCCCCTTTATAAGGCAAAATGCGAGAAGTTTCCTTGAGGGTAAAGTGTCTTAACTAATTTTGTCACCGATTGGTTCGTTTCAGCTCCTCCAAGATTCTCAACACGCTTGACAAACAGGACACAAAACATCAACAGTCAGCTTGTTGTAGGATGTACAGCTGATGCAGCTCCTGTCCCAGATTATCAGTGGTCATTTAATGGGTCCATTATTTCAAGACAGCGCAGCCTTAACATAAGTTCTCTAAGCCGCGATAATCAAGGATTTTACTTGTGCACTGCAAACAACTCACTGGGATCAGTTCAGGGCGGTTTCTATTTGATAGTTCAAGGTAAAGTTGCAGTGTTGTAACATATTTCCTTTGTTTAACTAAGTAATAAAATAAAGTCAGGATGCATATTCTCAAAACGGTCAGTCTCCATACTTTTTCTGAAGTACTGGCCAGAAAACTTGAATGTCATTTTGGTTTTTTCTTTTTTAAAACCTCGACTTTGTCCTGGTTGGCATCCATCCATTTAGTTCTCACGCTTCACCAATAATGCTTTTTTCCCCTCTTTAAAACATGAATGTATGTATTATCGTGTCTTGACATTTTTTTTGACCACTTTTTTTTAGTTCAACCAACGTTAGTTGAATCTCCGATGAATCAAACCATTCCTAAGGGACATACAGCCTCTTTTTCCATGCACTGCATTAGGAGACCCACGGCCATCAATCACGTGGTACAAGTCACATGACCTCATCACCAGTAATGCGCGCTATCATATTTTAGCCAATCAGACACTAGTAATATACAGCGTCACTGCACAGGACAGTGGATCGTTAACGTGTCGTGCAATGAACGAAGCGGGGACACGTGAAGCGAAGGCATATCTGCTGGTGGCAGGTTTGGCATTTATTTTCTTGTACATTATCGTTTTCATTCCCGATTTCTAAAAAATTTAATGCACTGTGGTTTCACTCTTACTGCAACAATCGTAAGAAATGGCCTCATTACATTATGTCCGCTGTGCTGCATCCCCCACCATTATCTCAGCGACAAAAAAAATTACTGAAATGTCAACCGCTATTTTCTTACAGATTTTCCAGTTTTCACAACGTTGCCAAGTAATGCATCAGTGGAAGAGGGACACACTGTTACTCTTACGTGCCGTGCTAAAGGACCAGACACCCCTAAAATCACGTGGTTGAGAGAAGATGGCAGTGGAATTCCAATCAACATTGTTGCCAGTGTAGACACACAGCTGGACCCTAGCGGCGATCTGAAATACACCGATGCAAAGTCAAAGCACAGAGGAATGCATATATGCAAAGCTTGCAATACTGCTGGGTGTAAAATGGCAAAGGCTTTTTTAGATATCTTATGTAAGTGAATAATCTCGCTTTTGTCTTTCTCTGGTTTTGGTAATGATGGACGGAGACGAAAGTGTCGCGAAAAAGTATCGGGCAAGGAAATTTTTTTTCAGTTTTTTGGGCGCGCTTTTCCCACTCGTCTCGACCAATTAAGAGCCTGGAGTAGGCTAGCACTTTTTATACTGGTGTCCTACTGAGTGGTTTGCCCGCTAGCTAATTCCTTTTCTCTCCCCCAACCCCACTCCCCCCCTTTTACAGCTTAACCCGCAAGTTTGACCGAGTTCGCACACCCATTTCTATGTTGAGTTGTTAGTTTGGATAGTTCATGCACCCACTTTAAGGTCCAAAGTCAAAACTGCATAACGAAATGAAAAGCCATAGAGAGATAGCAAATTCCTGGGGCAAACTGGCACTGGGGGCGAGCTGCCACGGGGCGCCGAGCTGGCTACGGTGCAAAATCCGCTCGTCTCCAAAACATTTGAAGAGGCTGATCTCGAAAGAACACTATATAATAATACATGTATATAATAATAGTGATGTTTTCTTTCGCTTTCTAGTTGCTCCACGCTTCCCAGTCTCTCCAGCCCCTGTTTTTGTTCTCAAGGGACATACTGCTTTTCTAGAGTGTAAACCAGAGTCCAATCCCCCTCCCGTCATAACATGGCTGAGAGATGGACAGAGCCTTGCTGGATCTGGACACCAGTATATTGTCGATAACGTGCAACCAGCCGATGAGGGGTCGTATACTTGCAATGTTAAGAACAGTAGAGGATCAACACAAGGAACGGTTCAGCTGTCAATTGGAAGTAAGTCTTAAGGCTGTTTGTTTCATATGCTTGGAGCTAGACTACGAGCAGTCTCTCTTTTTTCTTGGTCCGTCGAGCAAAACGCCCGAGACACGCAAATGACCATGCGCGTGACTTAAGGGGCGAGCCCTCGTTTCTCGCGTCTCGCGGCTTCGCCGCTCAACACTCGCGCGCGCGTGCACTCCCCTTACTAAAAGAGAGACTGCTCGCAGAGACTGCTCGCAGTCTAGCTTGGAGCAAACTTCACTAAATGTTTCGTAGCCTCCAGCTACCTGCAACTTCGACTATGCCATCTACACTACCGGTACCGGTATCCGATGCAATATCATCAACAACGGCACAGAGCTGGAACAAATCGCTCGCACATATCGAACAGTTGTACCGGAGCGGTTGTCCAGGTCCTTACCTCTGAACATTTACTGCCGTGTCAGTGACTCAAGAGGCCATTACCGAGTTCAAAAAGCTCTCACTTTCAAAACGAGACTAAGTTCAAATTAGTCCTATTAGAGAGCTTTAGATTCTGAGACGAGGACGAGATTTTCCCAGTACTAAGTACTGCTGGCGCGTGAACCAACGTTATTTTGGTGGGAGAAAATGATAGCCGTCGTGATTCTACCACGAGTTTTGACGAGAATGTCGTAGTGGCGGAAACAAGTTATCAAATTATAGAAGTTTCTTCATCATTTTGCGACCGGGAAAGGGCTAAACCTTCTCCAATAAAAATAACCGCACTGATTTTTCCGGTGAGAAATAGTAAAATGAAGCTTTCTAGATTGAATATTTTTCGCGAATACGCGAAAAAACTTTAGGTTAAATCTCGTAGTCGTAGTCGTTTCGTCTTCAAATCTAAGGCTCTCTAATTTCGTGAAAATGAAAATCATTTTGACGTCAATGGCTTCGTACTTAGCCTCGCTCTGAAACAGAGGCTTGTGGCAACTCCGAAATGGCCTATTAGAATGAAGATAGGGTTTGTTACTAAGGAAGCATGTAAAGCTCTGCACTAATAATTCACTCGAACTTGTTTAACAGCGAAGGCGGAAATAACAGACTTCAAACAGACACCAAGGCCAAACAGTAAAGTTCTGTTGCAATGCATTGTGGATGGAATACCTTCTCCCGAAGTGACCTGGTACCTACAGAATTCCAAGCTTCCCGACAAGCAAAACTTGCCTGACTATGACGTCACAGCAAGCAGAGAACTGCTCTTACCAGCTGCAGCTTGGAGCAGCAATTCGTTTCTGTGCAATTGCACCAATCCACTTAATTCAGTGGCGAACTTTGCAAGAGGTAAATTCTTTGAGATGTTAAGTCCTTATTCGTACGATTTTTTTTTAATGCTGACTTGAATTGTTCATGTGGCATTATTTTGCATAAAGTAACTATGACGACTAAGAGGTGAAGTGATTTATGAATTGAGAGATCATAATAGTAGTGGAGAGGGTTTGAAAGAGTAGGACACAGGCAATTTTGAAAATGTGGTGATTGGTTTGGTTGAATGTGTAAAACGAAGCTTTGTAACTGGCTGAAAAACATCGTGCCACCTTATCAGCCAATCTGAAGTAGCGACCGCCAATTGGCGCGAAGCGCGTTTTGCCGCCCGTGGCGCCCGCTACATGCAGAGCCTCAGGTTCTGATTGGTTCCTTGGATTGTCTGTGCATTTTGTGATTGGCCAAAGAAATAACGTTTGTGTCTGATTCACGTAACTTAACTGATGTATCTTGGTTTTAGTTCCCGTGGCACCTTCCGATGTAACTATAACAACGATCATGGAGACGTCATTGCACGTGACCTGGAACCAATCAAGTGCCTTGGACCTTGTTCTGCAATACATGGTGGAAATTATGTCTGCAACTGGAGACTGGGAACTAGTTAATCAAACCATATTAGGAACGTCAGTACTCGTCAGTGAATTGAACTCATTCACTGGCTACTCGTTCAGAGTGAGGGCCAAAAATGGTCTGGGAACTAGTCCGTACAGCCAACCATCTCAGAATGTGACTACATTGGAGGGAGGTATGAAAGATATCTTTGTACAAGCCATGTATGAGACTGCCGCCAAAATGAAGATATGCGAACTTAGTAAAAGTATGGAGTTGACAAAATAGGGGAGAAATTGGAAACAGAAAGCTAAGAACGCTTTCTAGTTACAAGAAATTGTCCATCGTGACGAAAATTTTTTTGTTTGCTCTGAAGTGGATAACAAACGAGAAGGAAACTGGGGCCGAGTTAACTTTCGAAAAGACGTCTGGGAATGTCACTGAGGACAGGGAAAAAATTAACAATAGCTGACGAGCACGTCCTTAGTAACGATCCCAAAAGTCTTAGCGAAAGTTAAATCGGTCCAAGGTTTTTCTCGTTTTGTGGTGAATTCGTACTCCGTGGATATCTTCTGCCGATGAAAAAAAAAAACAAACAAACAAAGTTAAGAGCAAAGACAAATAAAAACAGACCTCTTAGGACTCGTGTGTCAGTTTTATGGGATTGAGCTTGTAAGTTGAATTTGCTGTTTTCTCCTAACAGCACCGTCAACCCCGAGGGAGCTAAAATTAACGGCCAAAAATGATAGCGTCATCGTGATGTCTTGGATCAAACCTTCTATGTTAAATGGCTACCTCAGCAACATCCTCTACCGAGTCAATTATATACCACAGGGTGGCAATGTCTCGGACGATTTGTTTATTCGACATTCTTCATCTGGAAGCCCGCAAAATTTCACGTTGGTAGGCCTGTTACCTGACACTGTTTACACTATTATGGTGTTTGCTGGAAGAAAAAGGAATGATGGGGTAGAAAGATGGAGTAGAGATGTTTCAGAAACTGTAAAAACATGGCAGATAGGTGAGTGAAACTTGGAACGTTTCATACAAGTGTTTCTCCACTCTGTGGGAAGAATGGCCCATCGATTTTTCAGATCATTTGAATGGAAAACAAGTAATTACTGGTTTATGGTTAGATACCATCCGATCAAGAAAAACTAACTCTTGTCCACGCATATGTTCCCAGAAACCTTTGCGGTTAACAGTTGTGCCCATTCTTCTGTTGTGTGTGGAGTATCCAATAGAGCCTTTGCCCGCGACGTCACGTCCGCCATCTTGGTCTCTCAAACCAGTCCTGTGGGAATTGAACTCTCTTCTTATGTAAACTCTTTCTTTTGTTGCAATAAATTTGCATGGCTGCCAGCCACGTGAGTGAAAACGCCCTATAGCAGACAGGCAGTCAGAAAAATCAGCAAACGTGAACGCTAAGCAAACTCGTTGCCAGGTTTCTCTCCTACTCGTCCCACGTCCGTTCGTCCCTCTTGCTCCGTAGGGACGAGTAGGAGAGAAACCTGGGAACGAGGTTGTAACGTGAAGCATTACAAACATGCATTTAACCTGTGCTAGGCGAGGAAAGCAAATTTGTTTTGCATTATGTAGCAATCGAGAAAAAATCTCTTACTGACACGTTGTTATTCATTTTCTAGTTCCCCTGACGCCGCCTGTGGATTTAACAGTGCTGTCTAATGGAGCTTATCAGATCATGGTTAAATGGAAGGTGCAGTATCATTCAAAGCAGAGCCTTAAGTCAGCACGCCTTTTTGATTTGTCTCGTTTGTATTTATCTTAAGAGACTTGTCAGAAATTAGCAGGGGAAGGGGGATGGAAATAGAGGGAGAGTCACAACTTTTTGAGACTGAGAAAAGGGAGGGGTCATGAAAAATGGGCCGTTAAAAGGGGGAGGGTCATGCAAACATAAGCCCATGATCATGTAGAGGTTCACCCACAGAAGAAAAAGAAAGTTCTTTATTTGATAAAAAAAAAACTTGGGAGAAATAGGAGTGTCAAGTGATCAGCTGTCAGAATCTGTGTTGGACTCTTAATGCTGTCATCTAAAATGTATGTATATCGCATTACAAAGAACAGATTAGAAATATATTTTGAGTGTTCATAATACTGACTCACCCTAGTGTATTGCAAGAACTAGATTTTATCATTTATACAAGAGGGGGAGGGTCATGATATTTGAGGCCACGCTCAAGGGGAGGGCTAGCAAATTTCACTCCCATTGTAGGGATGGGTCATCCTCATTTCCAAACATAAATTTCAAATTCCCAACCCCCCTCCACCCTGCTAATTTCTCACAAGTCTCCTATGAGAACCCAATGAGCAAAATTTCATAAATATCTTGTAGATGCTATCCAGGAAAAGAGAGCGTGGAAGATAATAAGCGCGTCTTTCTCTAGACTACGAGCAATCTTTCTTTTTTTCTCAGTAGTCCGTCTAGCGATAACCATGCGCGTGACTTGCACCCTCGTTTCCCGCGTCTTGCGGCGGTGCCGGTGCGCGCGTGCACTTCCCTAAAAAAATCTGAAGAAAAAAGAAGAGAAACTGCTCACAGTGTAGCCTTTCTTCGGCGCTATAATTTTTTTAAAATTCCTTTTTGTAGATTCCTCCTTTTTCAATTGCGGGTTACGATGTGTGGCACAAAGAATACCAGAGTGCGGTTGCTTATAAGCAGGTGCGGTTACCTAGCATGATGCACACGGTGCACCTCATCCTTGATCTTAAACCCGACACCAAATACGAAATAAAAGCCCGGATGTATAGCAATGCAGGGATTGGTCCTTTCTCAGAACCACAAGTCGTCAAGACCGGTACAGGTAAGTTTTCTTAATGAAATTTAGGCGAGCGCCCAAAAGATATGATGTATGATTTCAAAGGAAGAAATGCGGCGCTTTATCGCTGGGAAACTTTGGCTTAATCATATATTTTGGTGAGGTAATTTAAACAAGTATCAATTGACTATAGAGAGTTACTGTTGGACGGCCCAGTTTTAGTGAGACAAGCCAGAAATGCGTGAGCCTGCATGAAATTGACTTTAAATTCCGGCTTTAAGTTCTTTGGCATATCTTTAGCTTTGAAATGGTAGTCTCTGGTATTTGATCTACAATAACCAAATAGAAAAAGTGAAAAACCTCACTTTTAATTAAGACATAATCTCAAGATATAAGGGGTCATGTTTGAGTAACTTGGGAAAGTCCCTCTGGCGTGCTGAGTTGCATTGATCGCAAGGGCAGTCAAGGGACGATGGTGATTAATGGTGATAGTTATGGTAATGGTGATGATAATTATGATTATCATGATTAGTGGTGGTGCTGACGGTGGTGGTAATGGTGGTGGTGATGATGATGATGATGGTGATGATAGTGGTGGTGGTGGTGGTGGTGATGATGATGATGATGATGATGATAGTGGTGGTGGTGGTGATGGTGGTGATGATGATGATGATGATGATGATAGTGGTGGTGGTGATGGTGATGGTGATGATGATGATGATGATGGTGATGATAGTGGTGGTGGTGATGATGATGATGGTGATGATGGTTGTGGTGGTGGTGGTGGTGGTGATAATAATGATGATGATGATGACAACGATGATGATGATGATATGAGCACCTCTCTCTGCTGTTACTTACAACTCTCTAGTTTTCAAAGTACAGCACATGCCTCTAAAATACAGCCACCTTCACTATCTGCCCGTATTGAAGTACCAGTTTGGTGTGGGAGGGCGGGACGTTCGCCTAAACATCACCTCGTAGCAAACGTTTTTGACGCCGTTTTTTGTAGATGCTCTGGTCGTATCTTCAAAATCAAGTGGTGAAGAGGAATCGTCTGGATTACAAGTGGCAATCATTTGTTTCTTAATTGGTTTTCTTCTCTTACTTATTATCATTGCTTTTGTTTGCTTCAAACGGAGACAGACCAAACGAGCACGTAAGTCATAATCTTGTACCCAGATCTATCCCTGCTCAGGATTAACCGCCGCAGGATTAGCTCAGTCGGAAGAGCGCTTGACTGCAGAGGGGGAGTTCGCAGGTTCTATTCCCGGGGCCGGACCAACATTCAGGGTCTTAGAATGACTGAGAAATGAAAGGTACCTGCCTTTGCCCTGCAAATGGCTAGACCTTCGCGTGGCTCGGATGACCACTTAAAATGGCGGTCCCGTCTTCAGTGGGAGACGTAAAAATAATGTCCCCAATTAGTACTTTCGTGCTAAATACGTTGACACTCAAATAACGTGCATTGTCTTTTTTGTTTTTCATATTTGAAAGCCACGTGCAGATACCTTTAGAACGTGGTATATCGTAAACTTCCGTTTATATGCCGCCCCCACCCAGTTATAGACCCATCTATGTGTAAAAAAATACATCCCATTATAAGTGTATAAATGGGTACTCGTATCATAAGATCTGGATTCGGTGTCATAATGGGCAACGGCACCTTGAGAAAATGATTCATTGTATTTTTTAGGTCAAAGTTTCCGTATTGAAAACGCGCAGGGAGATCCATCTCTAAAGTACACCGTCAGAAACCGAGGTCGACGAGCTGAAAGTAACACCTCGCGCGGTTCTACGAGTAACGATAGCGATGGAAGCGTGGAGGGCACATACAACTTCGCGGTTGAAGATGATGATATCGACGAGCAAATGTTCGCAGGCGACAGGAACTCAGCTAGTCTCGCGCGCGCGCATGATCCACGACTGCGGTACTTGGATCCATCGGCGCTAAGCCACGAGGTCTCTTTATCCTCGGGGGATGACGGAAATTCTATTCGCCTGCAAAACTACCAACCCACGCGCAGTCCTGTAGCCCCGCGGAGGAACGGGAATACTGTCTGTGCTAGTGTAGATGTTAGCCATAATGCGCAAATGGGAACCAACGCAGCGGAACGAGATATAGAAAACCTGAAGGGACAAAATCAATATTTAACGAATGTACCCAAGGATTCTACCGAGGTATCTTCCAGTGATGAAGACGATATTCCTCCCAACTGGATTCCTCCACCCCCTCCGGTAACAAAATACGATCCTTTAGAGAATTTCCAGGAAGATAAAGACCATAAAGACCGGATAGCTGTTCCGGACAGTTTAGTTAAGGGAACTGCCGATAAATCCACCAGTGGTAGCGCAGCAAACGGACTTACAACAAATGAATCGAGTTCATCCGACGACGACGACGATTCCAAAAGTCGTCTAGCGGTACATGGAAATGAACGTCCATTATACTCGCAAGTTGATCCATCGAAGAAGAAGAAGAAGAAGAAGAAAACCAGAGAAGGTGCTAGTGAGTCATGTGATAGAACTGAAAATGGAATATCAACCAACGGCTCCAGTTCTGACGCAGAAACATCAGAAGATGACAGTGTGAACTGGCCCCCACCACCCCCTCCCCCACAGAGATTATCAAACCTACCTGATGATTCTGACTGGGAACGACCCCTCCCCCCTGATATCATGGCTTTACCGGGCAAGAGGAACCGTTTTGCGGCATGGGCGGACGACGAGTCTTGACATCGTACATGGATATGAAAGTCTTGCCAAAATTTAATGGGTGGCCTCAAAACAACGCAAGGCATTTTTGTCAGTAATTGTAATTTTTATTCGGAAGCATTTAGTGTGTACAAAGCCTTTTTTAAATTAAGAAATGTCTAAGTTTCAAATCTGACATCGCGCCTTTAACGGTCTTCTGAGAGTGGTTATATTTCTACGTCATATTAAATCTTAAGTGAACTAAAGTTATTACTAGTACATGTAAGATATTATGAAATTGACTAAGTATTTTTTATATTGTGAAATTTTTAGACACAACTAGCGTATGTAATCACAATTTTTAACCGCCGTTGCACCTAGTCTCGATCCCAGAGCTCTTCTGCGTGCCGCCGCCAGGGAAAGCGCCGAGTCACAAGCGTGAGCTCTGGAGTCGATTATGTAGTCTGCATGAATAGAGCAAAAACAAGAGAAAGAAGGTCGCGCGCAAGTAGTCCTTCTTCTCGCGCATACTTGATCTTAGAACCTACATTTCGCATGCTCGGGCTCGCCCGATAGCCCTTAAAGTGACCAAAATTTAATTTTCTGTGAAACTGCCCACCTACCCCTCCCCTAACCCAACATTTTGCCCTAAGTGAGAAGTAAGTGTTAATGTTGACTTAGGGAAGGGATACGTGGGCAGTTTCCCAGAAACCTTAATTTCCCCCATAGAGCGTTTTTATACGTGACTAGCAGCTATGCAAATTTATGGAACAAAATAAAACGTTTTAAATAACTAAAAAGAGTTCAACTTTCACGGGAATGATTTTGGACATCAACATGGCATCCGTTTAATTGTTTTGGGACAACAACATGGCGGTCGTGACGTCATGTAATCGACAGTAGAACATTTTAATCTCATTACACAGAAATTCGGGTAACTTTTCAAGTTGCTTTAAATTTAAATTTTTAAATTACTGAAATATTAGCGTTACAGTTGACCGGTTTGTAAATAATAAATGAATCCCTGCCAGAGTGATAGGTGTGATCTGTGTTTATGGTACTTAAGTTTGACATGTAAATTCCGTGGGGCGGGGGGTGGGGGGGGGAGGGGATGTGCATCTCCTCATTCACGGATGTAATTTGCATATTTAAGGAATCACTTAGGCCATTCAGAACTGCCAACATTTTGGCCCGTACGTGTACCAGTTAGAGCTGTGGGTGAAGGAAAAAAAAGAATGAAAAGTATTCAACGATAACGTGTTTATCGGAATTAAAAATCTTCATACTTTTATTTGTTGGCTGTTTATTAAAGAATGGTGTCTTCTTGGAGTCAAGAAAAAGTTTAGATATGCCTAAGTTAGTGACGTCAGTCTCATCTAGGGATTTAATTTCCATGTTTGGACGAAAATCCCTGCCTCTTTCAAATTTAAGTCACCCTCGGGTCATAAGGATTGTTTATACAAGCCGGGCGGAAAGGGAATTAAAAACGGAGGGAAAGCAACACCAACGCAAACATTGACGGGAGCTAAATAGATGTGGACATGAAAGAGATGGAGCATTTCCTTTTTCGATCAGATCCGTTTCTCTTCCGATAAAATACCTCGAGGGCCTGCAATTAGGATAGAAAACTGCTGTTCTTGGAACTCTGGTATAGCAGAACTCAAATTTCATACGTTGCCATTATCTCATCTCGATTTTTAGGTAGCTACGATATATAGCTAACATCGTCGAGGAAAAAAACTTAAGATCACTATGGTACATGTTCACTGCACGTATTTAGTATACGTTTTCCGCCGAATCACGTGAACTCGATAGTGCTGTGCGTAGTCTTGCACGCGTTAAGTACGGTTTCGTCACGTGCAAAAAGGCGCCGTGTGCACGTGAATACAAGAGAAAGTCAACTTGTGGCAGTCTCTAGGTAACCTTATCGCTATGAATGGTAACTGATAATCTGTACCTCTTTAGCTTTCGTGCCCTGTGTCTTTTTATAATTACTAAGAAATCTGTTCAAGAGAGCAAGGTCTCTTCGCACCATGTATGACGTGTGGAGACAGCTATCGGCAGAGTTCAAAACCTGTTTGATCAATGCTCTTGAGCGAAGTTGATGTTTCCTAGCTCAACATTCTCTTGTATTTGTGTGTTCGTGGGTCTCTTTGTTGATGCGTAGCTGTTGAAATCTCTAGCACCCCTTGATGACTGGGGACATAGCACCCTTCTCGCTCCCGAGCGAAACCGCTGGTCTCTGATGCCGTAGATCACCGGATTCACGCAGCCATTCAAAGTAGTGATCGTGAGCACTGCGTTCAGACCACTTATGGAGATATCCCATGTTCCTTTGGTCGTCATGGTAACAATAGAAGACACGGTGTAAGGGAGCCATGCCACAACAAACGCCCCCAATACTAGCAGCAGTGTCTTCATGGCTTTTGTTTCCATAGCTCTTTGGTAAGACGCATTAGAGCCCGAGCTCTGCACCGAATTCTTTTTAATGCTCTTGATATGTTGTCTGGCAACACAGAATATTCTACAGTAGCAATACACCATGCAAACCACTGGAACAGCAAAGGGAAACAGAGCAAGGCCAAGGGCATACAACCTATTACCCAGTCCTCGCGCACCCCAGTTTGGACGACAAGTGGAGGTCTTGGAATCATACACCACCTCGCCCCAGCCCAACTGCGGTGAAACGGCCCAGAGGATAGAGTGGATCCAGCCCCCCAGCAGTAACAGCGCTGAACGACGAGTGGTAAGTGTGGTCTGGTATCTAGGAGAATAAGAAATACTTTGTTAATAATAAATTAACTTGTGTGGAATATGTCCGTTTATTTGCTTAATTTCCATTAATTTTCAGTTTATCACTCTGCAACTCCTCTGCCTGGGAATCAAAATCAATTCTAATTCGTCTGTTGCTTGTTTTTGAAATACGATTGCAATTAAAAACTGAAAATTTATTTATTTTTTGTTCTGTTGATATTATACCGTAAACTTCCGCTTATACCCCCCAACACCAGTTATTGTTTACCTGCAAACAAAGAAAAAAAACATCCGGTTATAAGCCTCTCGGGTATAAGCCCCCCTCCCCCTCTAGCATGTTTTGAAATGAATTCGATTTTTATACTGTTTTGAAGCTTAAAAAAGCGAGTAAATTCAAAAATATTTGGATCAGCGCTGCTATGTAGCTTGTTTTGAAACCGCGCTTTTTTTTAGTCTCGTGCCCTCTCAGTTAAGCCAAGTGCTTATAACTGGAAGTTTACGTTTCGCTGCGAATTTTTTTTTATAGTCATTTCCTCATAGTCAGCCGCAAAATAAATCCACAACTCTCGACAGACTTTGCTTTAAACATCATTCTTTTCCTATCTTAGTTTTCATTTTGTTTTTCTTTAAACCTTTAAACCGCATTTTCTAACTTAATCGAGCCTCAGACTTCGTAGGAAGTCATAGTAAAATATCCTCCTTTGTAAAAAGTCATGAAAAAATAGGACATCTTGCAAAATATTGAGCGGCCAACAGTTAATACCACTAGGAAGTATTGCTGAAGCTAGAAGCTAGCGGAAGCTAGGGACAATATTAATTTTCTGAGGTGTTTAAATACTGCTTGTATCCTTAAGCCCCTCTTTCCGTTTTCATTAATACCTTTATCTGCTTTGATCAAAAAGCCAAGAGTTACTGAAATTACAGACGAATTTAATTTGCACCAGGCTATCTGCTAACACTTAAAAGCTCCCTTCCAAAGACCGTATCTATGGGCGAACGTGTAATATATTTCTAAAATAATGACACCTATTCGAAGGTTAATTTACATCTGAATTGGTAATTAAGTTGCAAAGACGATAGCAAAACCCTCGTTTTATCATTGCCTTTGAAATGTTTCAAAGTAGGTGATAACAAAACTTGAGTAAATAAGCCCGGTAATTTCTTCAGGATGAGGGAAATACCGGTGACAACAAATATAAACATGAGCTTGTCTTTTTTTTGCACGGATATGATTAAGGCTAGTAACAACTTCCCTTTTTCTGGCTTGGGCGGACGTAGTAATGACCTTTCTTTTTTCTTTCTGGGAGTGTTTTCTTAGTCCTGGCTTACTGAAATAAGTCGGAAGGGTCATAAAAACTCGACAACACGTTTAACATGAGATCCTTTGTCTCTGTGAGTATTTCTTGCTCTTACGCGCGCTACAATCGTATGTGTAAACCAATCATTGGTATTTGATCGGAAGAATGGCTATGGTTGGTCTCGCTGTCTAGCTAGAGCACATCGAACCTGGAAGAAAGTTGATTTTTCGAAAATTGAAATCAACCTTAAGGGTCGGTCGGTGACTTTTAGAAAGTGTTCAAAAGTTAATGATGTAAGATAAATTTCAGTCTTGTTCAGTTCTCTTTTTTGCTGTACTTTTGTCATCTGAATCAAACTTATGCTTGTCGTTTCCACAACAAAATATAACAAAGTATTTTAACGACAATATGTCATAGAAACATTTTGTTCGATCCCACACAACTGCAGCTAATAAGCAGGCTAAAGAAATATTGCTTGCGCTTTGCACCTTTATATGGTTAAAAATATATGTAGTGTGTTTAATTGATTTTGAGTAGACGTGGTTTACAGTCATATAGCTTTAACTGTGCGTTTATTATATTTTTGCTTGGTTTGAATGAATTCGTTCGTTCGATGCTGCAACAACGATGGCGACGGCCACGAAAACGTCATTTGGGTGAATTCGCGCTGTCTCAAACTTTATCGCGCCTATTCCATCTCGTTCAATACGTCAAATGCGGGCCAATTTTTAGTTGAATTCTAAAGAACTGTATAATAATAATAATAATTTCATATTTATATTGCGCAAAATACATGTAAATATGATCAAATAGAAAAAGAAAAAGAAAGTTGTTGTCTTGTGTTCCCGCCCTCGACAAAACGAGAGAACGGGAAATTTCACTGACGTTGTTGTAGTGCAACGAGGGCTAAGAAATGCACAAAAAAGCGTGATACACGTGCAAAGTTGTTTTGCTAATACAAACCTATTGCTTTTTTGCTGTTCTCGCTGCCGTCGCCCTTGTCGTTACTTAAGCTCCCAAATTAATTGGGTTTGGACAAGCTTACCTCAAAGGATCTGTTATCGCGAGAAACCGATCCACGCTTACCAAACACAGAGTCATGAGCGAGGCGTTCACACTCAGTGAAATAAAGGCTGCGTGCCACTTACACCAAGCGAAAGACAGCTGCCAGTGACGAGCGACTGAAGATGCGATGTAAAAAGGAATGTAAAGGGCCCCAACGAGAAAATCGGCAACGGCTAGGCTGCTTATGAAGTAGTAGGTCGGCTTGTGTAGTTTGTAGTTGGAGATGATAATTCCTACGACGAAAGCGTTTCCAAAAACGCTGCCGACGCAAATAATAACAAGCACTGTAACTTGTGTAAAGATTTCGGCGTCACTTCTTGGCGAAAAGATAGTTGGCGGCGACGTTGCGTTTAGCGTACATTCTTGTGTCGAGCTCATGTTGGTAGATATGCACTCAAAATTTTTGCGTCTTGATTCGCGCCAGGTCAACGCCACAGAAGAGCTCAATTAACTCACTGCTTACCATCTGCCCGACACCACGAAGCTGAAAAGAAATTTTTGGTCAATATTTGCTCAGAATTAGCATTTCAGTTCGCCAGCCAACAAGCAAATTAAACAGCAATAGGCACGGTAAGTTTACTCACGAACAAATGTCCTGTCCTCTTATAATATTACCCATCTATGAGTGAGTACGTTTGTAAAGACAAGTTTTTTCCCTTTAAACAAACCTTGGGCCAACGCGGAGTATTTGAACACAAGAAGCCCACTTGAAATGGAAAATACACCTGTGTTGTTTGCTTCAAAAGGTGACTGACTTACTAAAGCGGTGACTGTATGTATAGTAAAAGATCCACGGTTTCAGTACGACAGACAAGAGATGTCTTTTTCTATATAATTAAAGGTTCTTTCGACTAAATAGCTTGTCTCTAGCGGGTCTTTTATATCCCTGAATATCACTGATATGCCCTTGGTAAGATATCAGGTTTTGAATTTTACAATTAACACCGTCTTTGGATCATCGTTAATATGAATGGATTTTATGTTAAGACGTTTACTTTGACGATCATATCATTTGTTTTACTAATGTATCCGGCAATGAAAATGACCCCGAAAGGGCAAAATACGTTTTCGATGTTAATTACTTTCAAGTGGAAGAACATTTTAAAAGCAAAAGGCTTCATGTTTTCTTCAAGTGCCTCCATTTGTTGGGAAGTCGTGTAATTTGGGCTCCATCGAGTGTGCTAAAACGCAATGACAAACGTTAAGAATTTTCGCACGCAAGTTTTTCGAGAAAACGTTGATCCCCTCCGATAAATGGATTTCAAGTGGCAGTATCTTAAAATCTCTTATAAAATTATCAGCCTTGGGAGCTTTGGATTGTAGAGTTCGCATATTCCTATCCAAAATAGAGAGCTGATGGATTTCGCGCTTGCACTCAGTCCCATCCATCACCCGTCAGGGTTGCAAAAGGATTTCCGTGTAGGGAAATCCGTCCTCAGTCGAGATCTCGCGTTCGATTAGAAGTGTGAAATTGGATTTTGAAACTGAAACCCTTTCCAAGTTCCCAACTAAAGGCAGCCTTATTATTTTTTTTTTTTGAAATTTATGAAAGAAGCACGGAACGCACCCGTCCTAATAAAAGTTAGCAACTAAAAAAATATTCGCTAAATTTTGTCATACCGTTTAACATGTTTAATGCCGGAATTTTTGGCGTCAGACTTCGCAATGACTCGCTCTAAGTTAGATTACGGTTAGGCAAAACACCTAACCCCCTTAGCGTCAAAAAAACCTCTTAGCCAATCAGAGTAGCAAAAAAATCGATTAAAGTATCAGCGTTGGAACAATGATTCTAACCCAAATTATATCTGTTCACCAAACCCCTCTGCGTTGCGGTTGAAAAGGGAAATAGTTGCCCCCCCCCCCCTTCCCTTCCCCCCAAGAAAACAGCGAATTTCGCCTATGATGTAAAATTATCATTATCATGTGACACTTGATACTAACAGCGAAAGCTTCGGGAGTGTATAATCGTATATATAGGGGTATAACGTCTGAAAAATAATTAACAATTATTCCTCTAGTGCGCGTTGGATATGAGATGATAGAAGGCCAACGAGGCGCGTAGCGCCGAGTTGGCTATAATCATCTCATATCAAACAAGAGCGAGTGGAATAATTGTTTTATTAAAAGCTTCCACAAAATATCGAGAAGTTTTCCCGACTTTATTTTAGATAACAATCGATTTTCAGCTTGTTTTTAGTTTTGAGCAGACGCGTACATTTACCATATTTGGAGAGCATGTTATAATGGCTCATTTACCATGATGGCTAATCCAATCAGAGCTCTAAAATTTCGTTATCCAATGATTCAGTTTTTAATAATACGGAATATTACAAAATAATACGGTGTAGAGAAAAGCCGCGTTAAAATACACTACACCACAAATATAAGGCTTTAACGACTGGGTATGTTGTGTGTATGGAGTGTCAGGCGACCTGGGGACCGGGTACGAGACTGCTTTTCATCGTTTCAACAACTTATTTTAATTGTTGTTTTGTGACTCGAATGCTCCCGGTCTTCAAAGACCTTTAAATATCTTTAACACGATAGTAAAATGCACTAATAAGTTAGTTAAGAAAGTGAACGAGCTCCAGAAAAGACAGTTGTTTCATCCCGAAAAGGCACTTGTTTCAACAAATGTCAAACGAATATCGAAACGAATTATTTTTTCCAAATGAGTTTTGGAGACCCTTGAATGAAGCAATCTCACTAACGCTTTCCTGTGTATAATGCAAGACTTTTTTTATAATATAGCGATGTTGTACCTGTGTTCGTTGATCGTTCTTGGTTTTGATGTCCTTAGGTCTATCACCGTTTAATCCAAAGGCAGTTGGTTATTGGTGTGGCTATTCATACTAGAAAGAAATTATTTCACGGAGGCGGTTGCGTGTCGGCCTGTCAACAATTTAACCATATGTTATTTGCTGAAAAGATGAAATATAAATAACAAAAGAAAACAGTGTCAAAATGGAAAGAGGCAAGAGTACTTTGGATAAAAATCATGGGAAATATATTAAGTGAAACCAGGGCTCCTGGCACAATACACTTGAAATAAAAATAAACAATTTTTTTTTCAACAATTAAAAGCAGTTTTCAGGCCTGCACCGAAACGGGCCAGAAGGCTGTATAACTAATAACGATCCATTGAATTCATTTCATGTGATGACCTCTCGCGGTGACTGTTGTGTTGTTTTTAAGCACAAGAATGACATATTCGAAATTGCCTCGCCTCTGGGGAGGCGACAGGCACAGAATCTGAACTATCAGGAAGTTTGTACAGTGTGTATGTTTTAAAGCGACTATACTTATCTCGTATCCCATGGTCTTTGTTGAAGAAGATTGGTTTTCTTGATAAAACCAAAACAACATTCTAGCTAGACTTAGAAAGTTGATTCTACTTTTGTTTTGCAGAACATCATTGCCCTCCTTAAAAATTATAGTCTGTGAATTGAAACACTGAATACTGTAATTAAAAATTCACGGCTATTTATAAGGTTGCCTCCTGCATGTTATTCAATAAAGTTTTCACACTTAATAATTTTAGCGTTATTAAAACTACAGCAATAGGAGAAAACACATTTTTGGGTTTCTGTAGTTAACAACACCTTACGGATTTGCCCGCATTTGTAAGAAATTTTAGTCAGCTCAATAAAAAGATATTCGAAGCGTTGTAGAATTAAAAAATTACTGCAGCCTTTAAAATTGCCTGTTTCTGGCGGTTCATATTAGTTAATTATCATCGCACCAATTTTTATTGGGGATGTCAAAAAAAGTGCCTTTTAAATTCAAGGGATGATTGTTAATTTGATTCATAAAATTCTCTTTAATTATCTGCAAATTTTAAACCTATCTCCTTTTTTCGTTGCGGTTCTGTTCTAGTTTCGTCTATACTAAACTCGGTGGCTTTTTAGAATTAGACTCAGCAAAAAGAAAAGTATTGGTTTCGTTTGGTCGAGGATATCGATCATACTCTTCTCAAATAGGTCAAATTTAAAAAGATGTTGCTTAATCACATGTTTCTTAGCGTACTTTCATCTGTCTTAGCATCTTGACAAACTCTTACCAATGTAAGTTCAAGATTAAATGCCTTTCCTGGCGTTTTGCATACCCTAGTTAAGATTTTGTAGCGCCACTTTGGGAAGATACAGACTTACATCTAATTTGGTCGATTTGTTATCTCATGACTTTCGAGTGTTGGTCACTTTCACCTGTTACATATTACACAACTAATTTTTCCGCTTGGCATATATGAGCATAGCCCATGCAAAGACTAATATTCCCGACTTCTAACCGCACCTTTGTCGGCAATATACTAGCACAGAAATGTGCAAACATAAGAAATTATTCAGATCCTATTCGAAGGTTAAAGTCAATGGAAATTCTCGCGGTCATTGACGCATTGTAGCCGATGCAAATATATACTGAAACTAATTGTTGGGTGATGGCGTGAGAGAGCTTCAAGAAATTTTTCACTGAAGAGTCTTCAGTGTTACTTTTTATTGAAAATATCCGAAATTAAACAAGCGAAGCTAAAATAATTTCCCTTAATTCTGGAGGATTAAGCAAGACATTTAGTACCCCTCTACTCCTCGAGCGACTATTCTGCTTTTTTCGTGCCCAGAAACCTACCGTGTGCATCCAATGATGATCTCGTGGCAACTACGACTCGGATAGACCCAATGAATGGATCGCGATGTTTTTAGTTCATGATTTTTTTCTCTTCCGTCACAATTGTACGACGGTGGCGAGAGGGTATTTCCTTATAAAAGGCTAATGGAGATGTGCCGCTGGATGGGGTCAAACTTTCACGACTGGATGACTATAATGGGGTCCCGGAAGGCGCTCGAAAATACAAACGAAATGTGCTCATGTCCCCTGGGCATCCTATACTACTCCTTAAATGAGGCCTTCCAAGGGGGGTAGCTGTGTCGCAATGTCGCTTGCTTTAGGAGACCGTTGTCGCCTAATCTACAGCTGCAAATGTCGCTGTCGTTTTTTGAAGTGTACGTAACTGTACCAGTAATTTTTGTTTTGCGAGAAACTGTTTCGCAACAGGGCTATAACAGGATTTTCATGGTGGTCAGTTGGCAAAACTTTGTGAGCGGCGAAGGATGAACGCTTCTTCTTCTTCTTTAAGGGTAGGCTCCTGCGGGAAAATTTGGAAAATCTGAACCCTCAGAAATGCAATTTCCTGTATTCTGAGTCACTTTTATTGATAAAATGCACAACTTTCCAATGTCACCGTCGTTTTTCACTGTTTAGTATGTCGCTGTCGCATTTTAGCAGCGTAGGCATGTCACTTCTCGCTTTTTAAAAATTCCCATGTCGCCAGTTTTCAGGGCCGTGTCGCATGTCGCTTTTACCCCTTGGAAGGCCTCTTAAATTGAATTAATTCAATATGGCCGCCGTATCGGTAAAAAGGTCTATTCACACACAAGTTCGGTTGTGCCGGCGCGATTTCTGTGACGGAGCGAAGCTGCGCTGCGCCTGGCCTGCTCCAGACTCCGAGACAGTGGGGTCCGCGAAATTGAGAAAGCACGAACACGAAAAGAAAACGGAAGGAATTTTTTTCACACATCACGCACTCATATTTTCGCGTACTTTTCAGTAACGCGTCATCCCCACTATCTGAGAACCTGGAATAGGCTACGCTGTGCCGATCTCTAAAGTGGAGAGTCACAAAATATAGCCTTGCGTGGCACCACGAAAGGCTATTCAGTACAGTGTGAAAATAGCCTAAACTAAAACGTAAAAGAATGGCCGGAAAAGATACAGGTGTATGTGGAAAAGTCGAACAATAACCTGCTCCCGGCTCCACCCTCCCCATACCGGATACTAAAGTTAAATTTTCAGTCATTAGATCTTTGAATCTCGCAGATCCCGCCAGCAACAAAGTGGAAAATAGTGTCAAGTCTTTCATTAAACTGAAGAAGAAAATCGGGCTCGTTGACAGAAAAGAGACCTTATGTCATAATAGAAATCATTATGTTCACCCAAGCCGAAACGTCATCAGAGGGGAAGGCTCGATTACCAGCCGCTGTTCGGGAGATGAGCCCACGATCCTCTCCCGAGAGAACCGAGAGAGCAGCGGAGATCGGGTCTACATACACATAAGGGGCCCATTTCTCGAAAGTCCCGGTAGTTTTAAAACATACTGAAGAACTGTTGTTGTTTATGAGTTCAAGATCGGGGTTTTCACAGTTTTTCAGATAATATAGATAATGACTAGCCTGCGTGGCAGGGGAGGGCCCTCCTTCCTCGCGCTTCTTGCCTTTGCCCGTAATCCCCTTCTCCTGTCCTTTCAATCGCCTGTCACGTAGGCTATCAACAAACCAAACTGGACTGTTTTGTTGCCTAGTTCCCACGGAACTTTCGAGAAACGAGCCTCAGGGCAGAACACTTCCTAAAAGCTGGGAGGTTATGACGTTTCCGTGATCTGGTCAGGACAATTTTGCAAAAAGATCCGCTATTCAGTGACGTGAGATTCACTCATGTCTTGCTACATTGTCCATTACATATTTGTATAAAAATAATGATTAACTAAAGCGAAGCAAAACAAAGAACAAAGAGAAACAAATGAGTTAAGGTGATTGGGCAAACATGTATTGTATCAGGTACAGTAGTTTTAAATAATGGCCGGCACCTGTTTTTGTCCCTTCAGTTCCAAGGTCCGTTCCATCAAGCATCTGGAGGCTAAATGATCTGGGATAACGGCAAGACGTGCTTTTAAAGCAAACTGGCATTTCTACTCAATCAATCTTATTGAAACCTGTCCTATATCAAAGTTCCACAGTATTAAAGGATCATTGTTAAATGAAAATCAGGCAATGGACCGAGGGGGGTAGATCAATATAATAGTATTTCTCGGACGGCTATAGGCCAATGTGTATGGGCAAATTGCATAGTTTTGGTTATATTAAAGTATGAAATAAAATAAACGTAAGTTTAAGGCAAGCATACAATCTCCATGCCCAGATCAGATAGCTTTGATCCCCGGCTTTGATCAGACTAAGAAAAACGTGTCAGTTTCTGTCAACTGGTATTACGTTAACAAAGGTCATCAAAGTTGAAAACCATGACATAAGGCGGTTGAAAGGCGGTGAATTATTCACAATTTATTGCTGAATTTATTTGGTTTGACGGTTCAAAATAGTGTTATGACTTGAAATCAATTCATTTGCACTCCACCATTCGTTTGTAGGCCTTATGGAGCAGAAGCAGAGAAGGATAACTGAACTTTGTGAGTACATCGTAGTATGCAGAGGCCGCGGCCAAAAATGATTTTCTTCAGGTAACAATATACTCAAGCGGTGGGTTTTTTCTTTCGTATTGTAGAAGTTGCAGGCTCAGTTTGATTTCATGTTAATTTTGATTTAACCTAGGTTAATTCTCAGTTTCCTTTGTCTATTAGGGCTGGGAGACAAACGAAATTGAACAGAATGGAATAGAAAAATTCTTTACTAAACACGGTAAAATTCATCAGGAGCATAAAAAATTTAAAATAAACCTAGCTACCCTAAAAAATATGCAAAACTGTCTACAACTAACCTAACTAAGACCTTTTCTTTGTTGTCGCCATCGTAACTGGCAACTTGAGTCACGCTGGGAATCAGATGTAGTCCGCTAGCAGGAGCGTTGCCTGACGACCCTGTCGTTCGTAGCCGGCGACTTTTTCGGTATGACTTTCGTTTGTGTTTCGTAAAGTAGGAGGTCAAAAGAACGATAACGCGAGAACGATGGGGGGGTAAGAAGAAAGAAGGCAGGGGTTATTCTCTCTATCATTTTCCTCCGCCCCTCCCACATCGTTGTTTCCTTTGACGTCCTTTTAGATCTATTTAGCTTTTGCGCGGCTGTAGCCTGCGTAGCACGCGTTTCCGTGCGGTTTCCGAGCAAAGAACGAGGAACAATAGTCAAAGACCGCGCAAAAAATCAGAAATGGTGCTTAAAAAAAGTGCAGCCAAAACCAAAAATCCCATTCCTCGGTCATATTTTGCTCCGAAACCACACGGAAACGTTTGTTACGCAGGCTAGCGCAGCTTCGTCTCTTACTTTACGCCCGGGCTTTAATTACGAACCACAATCGAAATCGAAAAGCACACCAAAAAACCACGTACCTGCCTTGCGTCAATAAACCCAGGGGCGGATCCCCAAAATACAGAAAAAAAGCAGAGGCGGATCCAGGATTTTTTTTAGAAGGGGATGCACTCGTCTCTTGCTCTACTTCAACACCAATAAACCACATAGTCTTTTTTTTTTGGCAGAATACCAGTTGTATTAGAAAACCGCAGGTCATCTAAGGGGGGGGGGGGTGCGCACCCCCTGCACCCTTCCCCTAGATCCGTCCCTGAAACCCACTAATCAACTAATGCTAAACAATAGACCTTTTTACCGATACGGCGGCCATATTGAATTGATTCGATTTAAGGAGTATTATAGGATGCCCAGGGGGCATGAGCACATTTCGTTTGTATTTTCGAGCGCTTTTCGGGACATTGTTTCTTAAAGTTTTCTTAGAATAAGATTGTAATGGGAAAAAAGATCATTGTGCCGTGTTTGGATGTAATAATGATCGCCTTTTTCTAGTTTAGTATTAGAAATATGGTCTTTCACTGCATATTTCTCGGGGAAAAGGCGATCATTATTACATCGAAACACGGCACAAGGAACTTTTTCCCCATTACAATCTTATTCTATAAAGAAAACTCTAAGAAAAAATGTCCCGAAAAGCGCTCGAAAATACAAACGAAATGTGCTCATGCCCCCTGGGCATCCTATAATACTCCTCAAATCGAATTAATTCAATATGGCCGCCGTATCGGTAAAAAGGTCTATTACTGGAAGAGGGGTTTGTGATTTCCGGAAAAATCAAACACACCGTCGTACAGAACCGATTTGATTTGATATTTCTCTTGAAAATCATGCTTTGAGAAGACAGTGCGAGGTGGTTGAAACATCATAGGAAAAACTGTCTGAATGCAGAGGTCCACGAAACGCGTAAATATAACTGACCGGTTCCTGGAACATCATATTTTTTTTCTTTTTGGTGCATATCCTTTCTTTGCACGAACACTGCTACAAGGCAAGAGCCAGTGCAAGGCTTTAAGTGGTATCAACGAAAAAAACCAAACAAGCAACAACAACAGCAACCAAACGATGGCAGGGCGCGCAAGTTCACTAGAACCCATTCTCCTACGGGAGCGGATAGCAACGCCTGTTCTTTATTGCATCTTTGGTTGTTCTCTGTCACACTTGCGTTCTTTATTGTGGAATTTCTTTTAAAAATATCCCACAGATTGGACAGATTTACTTAGCACTGGATGCTGAGCTATATCATCTCTTATTGCAGTGGCTGTAAATGTCCCGATATGTCTCTTGGACAAATTATATTCCAAATTCTTCTAACCGATTTCTTGTATCCAAGTAGCAAGGTATCGCCTTCGAAAACCTTGCTGATGTCGCAGCAGAAAACTACTTGTACGGTATGGAGAAGTACATTCTCTTTTTCATTTCTTCTTTACTATTACTCGTTTCCGTGGGAAGTAAAGCTAAACAAACATTACCGATTGTCGTACTTGATTTTCCACTGGATTTTAATCAACGCAACAAAGTCTACGACGATTTTATCAAGGTGATACAATCTCCGTTTTATGCTGGAGCGGAGTTTGACGTAGAACTCTCATTCCGAACCAAAAGTAAACGACGATTGTCTCTTGAAGTCACTTCAACTGGAACACAAAGTAAAAAGTTTAGAGAATTCAAGTACGATGCTATCGTCGCTCATCGCACCGAAGTAACACAGAAAATAAAAGTTAAAATTCACCTGCGAGACTCGCTGGCGTATCTCGAGAACAGAATTATTGATGTGCAGCCAGACCTTTACACAGATGAAATTCAAGTTACTGTTTTGCTGCTTGATGATCTTCCTGGTGGATTAGATTCAAAGCCTGTATTAGCTGGAGACTTTCTACGACTGCCGTTAGTTCCGCCTTGGAGCAGGCCAAAAAAACCCGGATTCAGTTTTTTGTGGCCTTGGGAACAGTTATTGAAAATCAATCAGCCAAAGATTGAGAAGTGTCAGAATCTCAGAGGCGAGTTTGAAGCAATATATAGTCGACTCTTTTAAAATTGTTGCAGGGTTGGCCAAATAAAAATACCCCTACAACCATCCTTCTCTCTATGTGAGCCTGTGACATTGATGCATAGACTGACAACATGCAGATCTCAGATTTATCTAATTTATCTGACCCGGAAGTAAATATATTTTGGTTCCTTTCCAGACATTGTTGACTTGATAACATTTCCTGTGGCTTTGACTGGTAAAGAAACTGGAGTGAAAAGGTAACTTTGACTTTTTTGGGAGCCCTGTTAGATTCATGACATTTTTGAAAAGAAAAAAACAACATCAAGGACTGAAAGTTTCAAATACCGGGTTTCGGCAAGTATAAAATGTAATGTTTGTCATACCTGGACAGTAATACATATAATTGTGTTTATGGCATAGTTTTCTATTATGCCATACCAACCAAAAAAATAGAACAACATTGTCCGGACAATAAAATTGATCACATTTCTCCAGAAAAACTTCCCCCAACCAAGTGACCTATACCCAAATATGGAGCAGGACTGAAAATGGAATCCCTGAAAAATTGCTGTGCCCATGCCCCAGCAGGGGGGGGGTCCATTACTGCCATATAAGGGCTATATAGGTATGTGCTGCTGTGAAGGGTATTGTTTTAAAGCGCTTAACTCTGGGATAGGGTATACAATCAGAGAGTTAGGGTCTAGAATGGGGTATCATTTTTCAGGAAACTGATCAATTGGTTGATGATTTTAGTCTAGACTAGGGAAACCGGGGATTGCCACTCAAAAATATACAAAAATCAAATCGGCTTTTTTGGGCTGGACTGTGCTAGTGACCTCAGTCATTTCTGGAAAACAGCTACTCTAAGATGGGGGTTGGGGAGGGGGATTGGGGAGTATAATCTAGTATAGGGTAGCAAAATTCACTTGAACTAGCTCTGGTATAGGCTAAGGGTTCCAGGGTCCCAGTAGCACATCCCCACCCCAAAATTCCTAAATTACCCTCCCCCCTTTCCCCTGGGCCCATACATCAAAAGAGGACTATCAAGTTTTAGGTGGCAAGTCATCTCCAATCAAAAAATACAAAATGGCGGATAACCTGGTAGTGTTTACAAGTGTCTATTTTTTAATGTCACATTCCAATAAAAGCTTAGATCCCTCTTGTGGGAATTGAAGTACCGGTAGCTATACATTTACGCCAGAAAAATTGTAAATATCATCACACACAAAAACCACTGTATCGTGTAGCTGACAGCCCAATGTACTCCCATTATGAGAGTCTTGTTGGGAAAAATTTGGTATGATGGACTCAAGAATCCACTTTCAAATTGAGTATTGACTGTAAACTTCATTAAATAATTTTTATTTTTATTTTTTTAAATTTTTGTTCAAATTTTAATTCACCTGATTTTCTTAGGACATTGCCTTCCCTAGTGTGGCCAACAATGGAGTTAGCAGAGGAACACAGCAGGTCAAAACCACGGTAATGGTTTCTTCCTTGTTGCTGTCTGAAAGCATGAGATTGCAGTTGCTAGTCAGTTGTCACTTCTTCTATTAAACTAACTTTGAATAAATATTAGGACAGTACATGAATCAAATCTGCAGTTGGACCCTTATTCTGCTTGACAAAAATTATTCTTTCTATGCTGCCTAAGGTTCTTAATACCGTAGCTGGAAACTTGACTCATCCCCAGTCAATTGACATCTCGTATTATTTGTAAGGTTTTCCTTGGGCGATGCCTGTTCCACCACTGGAGTTTTCCCCAAACTAGCACAAGTGAGCTTCCACACCGGCTGGTATTATTTTTGCTTAACAACCTCCACACAGTCATGGTCTGCACTGGTAAAAGTGTTGTTAAAAACTCAGTTAGGCTTATCATACAAGTTGTAAGGAATATCATTTTTTGAAGATTAGTGCAAGTACTGTAGTGTAAATAATTTTTTTTCTCTCTCCCCTATTCTTCTTTGCAGTATTGTATTTTGATCTTGTTATCACAGTTAATAATAATAATAATGAAATTTTTAAATAGGTCATGAAACGGTTAGAGGAGACTATAACCACATCTAGCTCCGGTTGTTCAAATGTTGGATAGCACTATCCACCAGGCCCCGGTTGTTCAAACGCTGGATAGCGCTATCCACCGGATAAATCACTATCCAGCGGATAAGTATTACAGAAATCAATTATGCTATCCGCTGGATAGTGATTTATCCGGTGGATAGCGTTATCCGACGTTTGAACAACCTGGGCCAGATGAATCGCTATCCAGAGGATAAGTATACCAAAAACTAATTGCAGTATCCATTGGATAGTGATTTATTCAGTGGATAGCACTATTCACCTTTCCAACAACTGGGGCCTGGTGCATAGAGGACAAAGGAAGGGTTAAAGTGGAAAGGAAAAGGTTGCTCTTCTGAGGGACTGGGGATGAGTATGGCTGGAAACCATACATTGCACAGGATAACTTATCTGTTGAAGAAAACAACACTGAGTTAAACTTAGGAGTGGTAAAATATACAGCAGAACTGAAAGGAAATGTTGAAATTAAAAATAAAGAATACAATTCAGTAAATTTCAGAATGTTTGGTTTGTCTCTTCAGGTTCACAATTTCTACTTGGATTTTTATGGTGGAGCCTTGCTTTGATGGTCTTTGTGGAATTCTAAATCACAGAAGCACAGAGCTTTTAACACCATTGCTGAGCATCACATCAACTGGTGAGTTAACATACATTGTACAATTCTGTTTATTTGTTTGAAAGGGCTGTGTAATGGTGAGTTTTAAATTTTTGGGATAAAGCTACATGTAGCTAAAATTTATTTCTGACTGCCATCATTTTTCGGGGGGCTTATATATGGAGGGGCTTAGTTATATTGGGGGGACCCATAACCAGACTTAAAAAGTGTTTCAAATCAAACTGAAGAACAGTGCTGATCAGTTTGTAAATTTACTGGCTTTTTTAAGCTTCAAAATGTCATAGAAAATCGAATTCATTTCAGTGCAAGCTAGAGGGGGGCTCTCTGGGTGGGTGGGTTTATAACGGGATGCATGTTTTGTTTACAGGTACAGTAGATGGGCCTATAACTGGGGGGATTATAAGCTAAAGTTTACAGCACTTGCAGTCATCTTTTCTCTTGGCCTAGAGCTATAAAGGGAAGATATCAAATGGTTCTATTAAAGGGTAGCAGGGGAACAAACTCTCCAGGGTGCTTTGGTGGCGGGGTGGGAAAAGGAAGGAGAGTTGTATTTGTATTGTATTGTAGTTTGAAACTTCTTCTCTGGAATTTGAATATCTGCATTGAAAAAGTCGATGCAAAATGCTGAAGGGTAGAGATGACATAAGTAATGATGTCATTACCCTTGACACATGTTTTTCAATGTTTGTTTACATTCGTGCTCGTTTCTGCTTCACATTGATTGGCTAAAATCTGACAGCTCAGTTGACAGGGAGCCCCATGGGAATTTTGCATTAAATTTTTGGTATGTAGATATTCAAATTCCAGAGGTGTAGTAGCAAGCCCTCCTTCCTTTTCCCGCCCCGCCACCAGAGTGCTCTCACAGCTTGCTTGCAGGCTAATTAAAGGGAAAACAAAAGTATGACTTATTTTTGGCCATTTTTTGAAAACACAGTAGTTTAACTTGAGAAAGCTGGCCCAATATAATTTGCAATTGGTTTTCATCCTAGCCATGAAAAGCCAAGATATACACTTATAGTTGACGTATATCTATACAGACTCCAGTGAAGTAGAATAAAGATTTCATTTTGTCGTTTTAGGTATCTGTATAGTTTTTTATGTAGATGTTATTTTCCCATAATACCTAGGACCTGGCGCCTCCATTTCATTCGAGGTCAGCCTTGACTTAATACAGTGTAGGTGGCTTCACATAAGCAATGATTTTGTTACAAATAGTTAGGTTCTATCTAGGGTATTTAAGGGGTAGAAGCTCCCCCCCCAAAAAAATTGTTATCATTACAGTATATAAGTAACTATATCGGAAAAATCATCCAGACGCGACGAGGTCAGTGCGCACACTGTAATATTTCTCAAAATTGGGTCTCAAAATACACCAGATTGCATCTCAACGCATCATGACTCATTTCAAAAAATTTCCGAGGGAACATGCCCCCGGACCTCCCTAGGAAGCTCGTTGCCTTCGGCCATTCGGGACTTCTCCTCCCAAACGATAAATCCGAGATAGAACCCTGCCAATGAGTCCTAGTTCAAAAAACAACGAGGTCTAAATTGAAAATGCTTGGGCCTTTATGTAACCAGACAGGGAATCTGAAGTCAGACTCCAAAACTCTTTAGCACAGTTTACTGAAATTAAAATACAGTCATTCTATTTCAAGCACAAAAACGTCTTGAATAAATATGCATCGTTAAACAACAGCTACGATAACAGCCACAGAAATCACATGAACAGGATATTCTACGAAAACATCTTCAGATCGATCGATCTTTGCCTTCTACGGGACGAATGCCATGAATTATATTGCGTCTTTGGGGATTTTTATGCGTCAGGGACGCAGGACGTAGATATAACAAAATCACTGCATGATACCCTTCAGAACTCTAGTTGAATCAAATGCGGTTCAAGTGTGCATTAGTGTTCAGTGGTCTCCGCCCTATAATTCTAGGCGCGCTAGATGAAGATAAACTCTACTTATCTTACGAGCAAACATTTTACGGTATATTTTTCGATTACTGAGGTTCAACAGCATTCTGATTATGTGAAGAAAATTTTAAGTGAAGTAATTTTAAAATGGTTCCAACTACGCTAAAAAAACAGACAGACACTGTTACTAGTAAAGAATACCAGCTGTCGAATCGTTGAAATATGAAACAGTACAGCAAGATCATAGTGATGTTTTCAAACACCATAAGAATAGTAGAAAGTAGTTCTAATATTTTAGGAGGTTTCGTGGTGTTTCCTGTTCCACTCATTTCGTCGTTAAACTTCCAACTAAAAGTTTTGTAACCCAGCCAGTCCAAGACGAACTGCCAAAGCCATTCGAACGCTATTATAGTAAACTCGTCACTTTGTGAATTGTCTCTTCCGCATCGCCAGACAAGGTGTAAAATTTTCACCACAAAAAAATGAGCGACCAAAACAACTATAGTCCACCACTTAAATGCTACCACAAAGTAAGTAATTGCAAACATTCGCGAACTCAGTAAAAATAAGCTTGCTATGAAGATTGCAATCTCAGTTTTGGTAGATGCATTATTCCTGTCGTCTTCCTCCATAACGTGGAAAGTCCAAAGTACAAAGAGAAACGAAATCACTAAGGAAATAATTTGAATGTTGCTCATTGACTTGTTTTGAACGCTCATGACGTAAAGCTGGATTATAAATTGAGGAGCCGACCCACAGTTAGCAGCAAAGAAAGCACATATGTTAGCAAATGTCACAATGTTGTGTTCGTGAGTCCCTTCTGTAATTTCTTCGTCGTGCCATATTTTCTTCCATACACAGACGAATACAGCCTCTAAGGTTAAGAATGCGGCGGCGAATGGATGACAGCCGAAGAGACATAGCGCACTGTATATGCATGTTATATCTCTCCATCTAGTTCCATGAAAGATAATGTAGGCAACCGTGAACAGAAAACAAGGAAAGATTAAGAATGTCAAACTCATGTAAAACCAGTTCTTTGTTCCATGGTCGTAATATTGAAGCAGTGTAAGAAGGTTTGTAACGGACTCAGCGAAACTCAAACAGCTGAGTAGAAACAAGATCAAAATGTCTTTTGTGGTTATTTCTTCCCTCATGTTGAGCCCTGACTTTTGTCTTTGTTAAGCCGGTAGCACGCGCTAGTTTGGTCGGAAATATGTGCGGTGATTTTGTGACTGTAAAACAGGAAGCCTAGCCTTTCTGTCGATAGCGATTTTTTTAGGTCACCGAGTCAACTGATAATCCTGATCCTCTTTTCGTGCAGAATTAAAAACTTTGGGGCTTGTTGACAAATTGCTATGGTGTAAGGATTCACCGACATAAGACATCTTCAGCAGTGCTTTCAAGTGTTTCTACTTGTTTGGTCGTGTTTTAAAAAATAAAATGTGGTTGTTTTAATTGTTTTCATTTTAGTAATCTGTTAGAAAGGGGACGGAGTACGAACTTGACATGACAAGGGTTAAGTAGCACTGATCTTATCTTCAACAAATTCTGTTTGCAAAAGAAGATCACATGCAGATTAACTAGTGAAACTTTAGATGGGAGAAATGTAAAATCTTTGTTACGTATCAAAAACTAAGATTGTTTGGTAAGCCGTCTTAGGCCATTTTCGTTTCTTGTTCACTCTTTGATCGTTGTTAAGTCCGTGATTTTGTCATTTCGAGAAGAGGCCATTGTCAGTCGCGTATATCTTTTCGTGCATGAATTCGGCCATGTTTTCAGTCCATGAGGACGTTCTTTCTTGCTGTTGTTATTTTTCCTCTGCATAATCATTTGTGCCATTTAACAAAATGACGGCTGCATTTGGAAAAAATAATATGAGATTTTTACAGTGCGGACACTGAAACCGGGACAGTTGGAAGAAGATTGTCCAATCACGACGGTTTCGGGAATAAAATAAGGATTCTCATGTTTTTTTTTTGCAAATGGACCAATATCTTTTTTTATAATTGTTTCCAGAGAGGTCTGGTAAGTTTAAACGGTTTTTTAAAATAGTTTTCGACGGTTGCATAGTTAAATCTTGAATTTTATTGGCCCGTTTGAAAGAATCTTTTGTTTTCAGAAATCGTTATGATTGGACAATTGGACAATCTTCTTTCAAGTGTCCCGGTTTGGGTGTTCGCATTGTGAAATATCTTTAAAGTAAGGCTTAACCTTATATGAGGTAAAATTCTCATCTGTGAACTTGTATGAGCCTCGGTGCGCCCAGTTGTGTTTTCTGGTCTTTTCTACGGTTTCAAAACGTTCTCTCGCCTGCGTTTTCACGCTTCTTACGAGGCACCCGCTTACATGCACAATGTTTGATATACAATAAAAACCCGCGTGTAAGAACCTTGGGGCTTTTAAGAACCTGTTAACAGAAATTTGCCATTTTAACGACCAAAAAAATAAGAACCCGTTTAGCCAAGCAAAACGAATCAAGCAGGCTCTTCTATGCGGGATATAGTTAAACTGTGATAAACATTTTAACCACAGAGTTTGACTTCGAGATGGCAAATTAACATTACAAGAAAATCACTGATAGATAACATTGCATATATACATTCTGTTATCAGTATTCTTAGATTTATCATGATACACTTGTTTATAAATACTGCATATTTAAGGACCAAGTTTTCCGCTGGTGATCAACAACTACATCTCCTTCATAAAAAGAACCTACTTAGCCTAAATTGCAAATGACTACCCAAAAATATAGAAACCTATTTTTCCAGACTTAAAAGCATGCATGTTCCTACTCATTGGTTTTGAAATGTATTACAGGCGTTCTTCATATACAAGTACAGTACACCGCAGAAGTTGGACACGCCTTTGTTATTAACAGTCGACTGCCTCTCAAGAAATGGGTACAGGTTGTGATGTCAGTGGATGATACCACTGTGTACGTGACAACAAGGCAGTTTAATGGTCACGTGCTAGAAAGGGAGGCAAATGCTGTCCACACAGAGTAAGTCTGAACTTTATTAGTTCTACTAGTGATTGGTCATTGTTGGGGAGTAAGGATGGCGAAGTTGTCAGAGCAGTCGCCTTCCACAAATGTGGCGCGGTTTCAAATCTCGGTGTCGACTCCATTTGTCGGTTTGTTGTTGTTTCTCTTCCTTGCTCCCAGTGGTTTTTCACCGGCATTCCGGTTTTCTCCTCTCCTCAAAAACATTCCATTCCGATTCGACCCTGAACGCACGTAGGAGGTAGGGGTACTCGCCTATGTAGGCTATATAACTATGTAAACAATACCAATGTCAGCACTAAAGCACACGTACCAGCTCCGTGGTAAGATCAGTACCTTACGCATACGTACAAACATAACACTCGGGCAGTGGCAGCCTTGGGCAGCTGTTTCGACCTCATTAGGACTCGTCAGCATGGCCTTACCCCAGGCGAGAGCTCTCACTTGCGATCATCGACCCCGCCCTTTACTATGTGCCGCCCCATAGGGTATCGTTTCTTTGTGCCGTTTTGGTGAGAAAGCGGGACCAGAGGGGTGTAGAAATTGGCGTGTTTTGGTCGGAAACAGGGTCAGGATTTGGAATCCCTAAGATTTTTTATCTCTAACAGTGCCACCCGGGTACTTAAGGCAGGCAACATTTTCGTTTCTTCCTTTTAAAATGAGTGTTTTATGGTGCCCCAAATATTTTAATTCATTCTTGACAATCTCTGCAGTTTCCCAAAAGGATCATTTACGTACCATGACACTGAAGGATTCTGGGTGCTTGGTGGTACCGAGGGTTCACAGACATTCAAAGGAATCATTGGGCATACTCGTATCTACAGACGACACTTGTTATTTGCAGACCAGGTAAAAGAAAGTGCTGTGCATCTGAATTTGTTAACATTATTTTTTTTTTTATCATTTTTCATTTGCAAGTTGCTTAAATTTCCTGCATAACTGCCTTACCTATGGGAGACTTACAAAAAATGAGTTAAAAATACATTCTTTTCTTTGATGGGAACATGTGAACCCATACTCAAACTTTCCGTGGCGTCAGCGAGTCAAAAAGCACAAAGAAATAATGGGCACAAGAAAAAACGGGCGCAGGCGAGCGAAAAACGCGAGTGTCCCCCTCGCGAACACCTGTTCTCTCTTGCTCTCCTTATTTCCTAACCCTTTCTAAGCAGGCAACGTTAACAGAGCATCGCATCGATAATGCGGAAGTCACAGGTTAGAATCGTTGGAGCCCTGGGCTGAGTTTTCTTGGATTGTCATGGCACCCTGTTAAAAAGTTGCGTTGGTCGGCCTTTGAACAACTGCTCTCTTTACTTGTTGCAGTTGTGACTGTATTTTGAGCTGTCTTTTCGCAGTTCCTAACTTGTTCCGGTGATCATTTCGTCATTGTAAAATCGATTTCCTTTGTTTTTAGGTCTTCTCGCCTCCTAAAGATCACTTGATGTTCAGCATGGGTAAATAAATTATCTTTTGTCATTTTTTTACTTTGCATGCGGTATTGAGTCGATTTTTGTTGTTGTTGGCGTAGTGTGGCAATTTTTCTAAGGAAACGCTTTCTGTTTTATCTAGAGACGATTGCAAGAAATCAGAAGAGAATTATGAATTATGGTGATTCGATTTATTCCGTCGTATTTTTCCTTGTTTAAACGCAGAACGCGGGGCCTTTTCATGTATTTAACTTGTGAACTTGTAAAAAGGTTGAAATAAGCTTCAACCTGATTACTGCAATACATGAATTCATAGGGCACTTTGTTTACTCATTTAATTGACAGCTCTGGATGATCACTCAATAAGTTGCAGTGAAAAGATTGTTAAGCTGCACGAGGCTACACTGGAGCAAATAGAGAAAGAGTTGGAGGAAAGAGGTATGGCTGTGTGGAATAACAGAGCTAATAACGTGTACAGTGTCTGCGATGACTGATAACGTTGAAGAGAAATTCTACCCATACCCTTCCTCCCCCTCCCCCCCACCTCTCCCACAACTGGGATCTATTTGTTCCTTCGTTAACTTATTTCCTTAATTTTTATGGGTTATCCTGTCAGACTCCTCTGTTTTATGTTTTTGTGGACCAGACGGTGCACAAAGGTCAATAGCATTCCTAGCATTTTGATATTTTTTACCAATAAACACGTCCCATTAATTTATTCCGTCACAATTTTCAAACAGAAAACAAAGGATTGTGCACCTTCAGGGAGCTTCCAACATAAACAGCAGCACTGTTGTTTTTATATTTGATGTTAGTTGTCTTTCATAACCAGTCTCCTCTAATAACTATGATTTTTTTAGATCATTGCGTTAACAAGCGCAAATCCCTGAAGGATCTCATCCCTACCCCTGGGGGTATTGACCTTCAGTCTGATGTACCATTATCAGGGGAGTCCCCTGAGGTTGATGTTATTGCACGAGACGCCATAATCTCTGACCCTAATCATTTGATGTCTGTGGCGGCTTCTTTGTATCAAGAGGCCAGTGAAAAACTGGTAGGTTAATTTTATTCAGTTGGTTAAGTGCTATTTTAGGCCATTGTAAAAGAAGGAAAAAAAACTTTGACAACGTAAAGGTTGTGTAATAGAGGTGAATTGTAACTTTTCTTTTCTCCTCCTGTGATCTTCACATTCGTCTCTTTCCCTTTTTTTTTCTTTCGTTGAGCGCGCGACCAAGCTAAACTCATCCCCAGGTTTACTAGACAACGAAAAAGGGAGAGATGCTTCACCTCCGACACCATACCAAACGTAAAAGGCTCGCACGCTTTTCCAAGCACGAATCCCACTTTCGGCGCTACATTCCTCGCGAAAAGCGATTTAGATGGAAGAAGGTCAAATTAACTCTTCGGAATCCAATTCTCATTGGCAGTTAATTCATTCGTATCGTAGGATGGCCTTAATTGTAGTAAGCTAATAGCTTTTTGGTGGCTCTTGAACATATATAACCTTACTTATGCGCCGTTATCACATCATTCAACTGCTCTTCTCCTCTTCCGCTTGAAATAAGAAAAGTTTGGTCATTATCATGATGTGACAGCAGCCCTTAGTTCTCCATATTTTCTGTATTTAAGTCCAACAGCTTAAGAGAGGCGAGTGTAGCAATGGGAATCGTCCGAGTTTCCAGCTGTATGGGACACCTCAAGTCACATTACATGGCAGGGATTATGAATATGATCGGTTTAGGGGTTCCACAAGACTTGATCCAGGTATGTTAGTCTGTTAAATTGTTCACCCTCGTGTTTTTCCGGAAAGAAGACTACTTTTTGTAAAAGAGAAAGGTAAAGACTACTGGGGAGTATCAGTCGTTCGCAGGATTCTATCCGCATAACCGAAAGCTAAAGCATTACCACAGGAAAGTACTGCTCAGTAGCTTTCATTTGAATAGTCACACTTTTGGATTTCATCCACAGACTCAGAAGTTAAAGTCAACTTGTACAGAATAGTAAACAGCACCACAGGAAAGTATTCAGTAGCTTTCATTTGAATGGTCACACTTTAGGATTTCATTCACAGACTCAGAAGTTAGAGTCAACTTTGTACAGAATAGTAAACAGCACCACAGGAAAGTACTGCTCAGTAGCTTTCATTTGAATGGTCACACTTGAGGATTTCATTCACAGACTCAGAAGTTAGAGTCAACTTTGTACAGAATAGTAAACAGCACCACAGGAAAGTACTGCTCAGTAGCTTTCATGTGAATGGTCACACCGAAGCATTTCATTTATACAAACTAAAGCTAGACTGTTTATTAGAAGCTCATCGCTTCTTGTAAGTCTTAATGCTTGGTCTTTATAAAATCGTGTTTCGCGGCTTTTTCGCTATATTGTTAACAGGGGCGCTCGTAATGTTTTTGCAGGGCTGGAAATATTTATTGTTAGGAGCAGCCAATGACAGTCCTTTATGTCAGATGGCGTTAGCGTACCGACATCTCATTGGATCCGATGGGCTTCACCAGGATTGTGATGTGGCAATTGGTAGGACGCTACTATTTTTAGCTTTCAGATGTTCGTTGACATCTTTTCTGACACCCTTTTTCCAATGAAAACTGTTTAATAGATAGTTGAAATGACGAAATGCCTCTAGTTTGCAAAAAAGGTCGTATTTTTGCGTCGGTCTAAAATGCAAAAGTTCCGCACGAAAGGTCTGGATCGAGGGTAAAAAAGGAGTTAGGTTGAGGAGAGACCGGCGCCGTGTGAGGTTAGTGCGAGAGTTTCGTGCCAGGCTTTGTGCCTTGTAAAGAGCTATTTCGAGAAAAAGACCGACTGCTTTCATTCGAATATTCCTCAAGTAATTCCCTCTGTTCTGCAATCCTGGACGAAAAGTCCTTGAGACAGTACAAGCATAACAGCAGTTCGATGTGAACCACAAGTGAATGTGATGTTCGGAAAAGCAATGCTGTCCTTTGAAAAATCGTTCACCCTCCCCCCTTCCCTGCCCAATACAATGATGAGAGATCAGAGAAACTGTGGCTTGACGGTTTCAACACTGTCCGTGGGGTGGAAGGAGGGAGTGGGGAAGTGGACTGCTAGTCGCGCGCAAATGTTAATTTAGCACATGTTAAAAAGCTTTGAAACTGTACAACTGAACCAAGTTTTTTGTCCATGATTGTAGTTTCTAAGTTAGACTCAAGGACGGGAGAAAATAAAAGCTTGTGCTTATTTCCTTTCCCACGAAAAAATAAAAAGGATAATAAATAACAACGGGCGCGATTTGATAACTGAGACCCTGGAACAAGTAAAATTATGAATCCTAACAAGGCAATTTCATTTATAATAGGGTATTATAAAGCAGCCGCCTTAACAACAGACAAGATGCTGCAAGAACATCAAGAAGTAAATGTAAGTTCTAAGCTAAGAGACATTTCCCTTGCACGTATTATTTTACAGTCCAAAGAGTTCCACGATAAGGATAGTTGCTCTCTATAGCCAAGCGATAATACCCCACGCCGTATTGGATATTTCGTGGTTCTATACAATTACGAAGCGCCGTGAAGTGATACATCAAACACGTTAACGAGTGTTTGATCTGTTTTCCAAACACTGAGAAGTGTTATATCAAACACGTTTATCTGCTTTCCAAACTCTGAGAAGTGTTATATCAAACACGTTAACTGAGTGTTTCATCTGTTTTCCAAACACTGAGAAGTGTTATATCAAACACGTTAACGAGTGTTTCATTTGTTTTCAAACACCGAAAAGTGAATCACGTTAAGGAGTGTTTCATCTGATAGCCAAACATCAGGGGATAGATTAAAAAAGATACCCCGCCGAGTTTTTCTAGAACAAATTTGAGGGTTTTTTTGGATTGTCAGATAAAACACAATGTGAAGTGTTTGATGAAGCTTCTCAAAAGGTCAATAATTCGCATTGATATTTAGTGGTAAAGTCTCTCATTGAGTATCACTCAATCCGCAAGCAAATCGAGTCGAGTTTGTCACGAGTAAGAGTCCACAAAAGACAGAGAGCTTCCATTGTATACACACACAGTGGGCCATTTATATAATTTTCTCTTCTCTTTTTTCCACCATCTTGCAATAAATTGTAATGTGTACAACCAGGAGCCGAGTAATCGGCTCCTAGTATACCCTAGTAATGTGTATACCCCAGTAACATTCGGTAATAGTGCAAAAAATAAATCTGAATCTAAGGCAGACAGAGTTTTGCTTCATCATCTTTACACATTGCGTTGAGTCATCACAAAAAATATTGAAGAATAACTTAATAGTTTAGGAAGCCGCCTGTATTATTTTCAGACTCACTCGGAAGCAGTTCGTTTGGACGATTATGACGAACTGGCCAAACACAAAGGAAATGAGTCAGATGTGTTCCAGTGGCTTACACATCAAGCATGGCATGGATTGTCTGATGCTCAAGTAATTGATCGGCAGATTACAGTCAAGCCAGGTCAAGCGCACTCCCATTGATGCCATTAATGAATCGATCGTTTGAAAAAATGAATCCGTTAGTCGTTGCTGCAAACATATCAAATTCACATCTGCATTCCTGCACGCGTAATGAGTAGTGAATATTGTACGATACCTTCTCTATATTCGTCATGTTGACAAATCTTTGATGGGAACAAACTGCTTTGAAGACATTTACATCAATTTCAAGAAAGCTGAGCTGGTAGAGATTCCATAACTACCTCGCGTGTGAATTCACTTCTCAATGCGCATACAGGAGTGCAGAGCTGAATAAAATAAATAATAAATAGAGGATATTACACGGTGGCGAGAAGATATGAATTTTATGTTCGAGTGGCAAGAACAATATCTCACGAGTGAGCGAAGCGAACGAGTGAGATATTGTTCTTGCCACGAGAACATAAAATTCATATCTTCGAGCTAACGTGTAATGTTCTTTTTATTATATGGAGAAACCAATTCAACAAAAGCAAAAGGCGGGAATCGTGACGTCATTGAACGATACGACACTCACAAAGGTGACATACGGAAAATACGCCACTCGGGTCCCGGATGAAGTGGCGTATGGAATCTACGAGTGGTTTAGTTCCCAGTAAAACACTCTCCTCCGTATAATAAATTCATTAATGGGATCTTGGGTGGTGCGCTTGACCTGGCTTGACTGAAAGCACCTAGGGCCTGTTTATGCGGAGGTGGGGAACCACAGATAGGTGAGGCAACCCGCTTAAGTGGTGTAACCCGCCTGTCCATATAATCTCCTATTTAAATTTCATCATGTTTAGATGATAGGTGGGGTGTAATCTCTCATATTTTCACCCCACCTATTATGTAAACGTGATTAAATTTAAATAAGAGATTATATGGACTGGAGGGTTACCCCACTTAAGCGGGTTACCTCACCTACCTGGGGTCCCCCACTTCCATTTAAACAGGCCCTTAAGCAGCGACTCATAACTTCTTTTTTCACGATCGGTACGATCACTGCATGAAAAATGTCTCGTGATTGAAAAGATCCCCGGCTGCGATATGCTGAGTATCGGGCAGTTCTAGGAAAAGACGAAGAGAGAAAGGAGGAAGGAGAGAGCGAGCAGAGAAACCCCTCCTCTCCCTCCCCCTTCGTTTTGTAGCATCTCCTAACGAAGCCCTGATATTCAGGCTGAGCCCGCGAATACAGCCCCCTCTCAATGATTCCAGCCAAACGGCCGAGCGGCAAGGAGCGGTGAAAGGCGGCTGTCTTTGCAGGCTAAAACGATCGTTACCTTATAACAACCAGAAACCAGCCTTATAACAGAACGGGGCTCCGTGTTAGAGATTGTTATCACAGGGATTCCTGCGATCATGTAAGGGGTGTTTCAGCTCGCCTTCTAAGAAGAACTCATTGACTTTTTACAAGGAAATATGGTCCGGGTAAGAGCAAGGACACCGAAACAGCCGTAACCAGTGGATTCTTAAAAGAGGTCCAGTTGACTTGATAGCCCAGTTGCTAAGAGTACTGCGGTCGTGTAGCAGCGTCACAGAAAAGAATCCCGTTTTTTTTCTGTCTTCCTTTTTCCTTTTTCCCAGGCCACAACTGCTCAAGTTGTGTACACAATTACGACAATGCGTCTTTCCTCTGTTAAAATCACACGGTAATGGAAGGGGGCAGGCACAGAATCTGGGACAAACGTTTTTAAAACACAATAAGTGCTTTTTAGAGCGTTTGCACAGCATCTAATACTGATTACGTTACTCTCGTGTTATGTTTTCTTCTTTAGAGTCTACTTGCAGAGATGTACTATTACGGTAAGCGCGGCTTGCAGCGAGATTTGAACAGGGCGGTGAAATACTATCAGATGGGAGCAGACAAGGGAGACCCAGAGGGACTTTATAATCTCGGTATTTCTATGTTAAAGGTAAGATACAAGGGTGACATGCGCATGGCAAATATGGCAGGATGCAGTCGCGCGCATGATGTTACTTTGGAGGAATTTTTCCAGCTTACGAAGTTTGTTAATGAAGTGTGCATGGCAAACTCGTGAGTTTGTATGGCAGAATATAGTCGCTCACTTACCAAAACTACCATACCAGACCAGTGATTTGTAATACTACTTCGACTATTAGTCAGAACTGTCCAGTCAAATCATTCTATACCTAAAAAGCGTGAACGAAACGTAGTGGTTTTTTATTTTGAGAAGGACTCTTACGGTTGGGCAGTTCGGACTCTTAGTAAGCATCCTTAAAGGAGGTGTGTCACGAAATTCAGCCAAATTATGAAATTACAAAATGCCCGTTAAATTAAGAGAAACGTAAAAATAACCGCTTAAAATTTTAAAGGAAGGTTAAAATACGGATGGCCAAAACTGAAGAAGATTGAAACGGATTGAAATTAGGGTTTTTGAAAACTGTTTAGCCTAACAGTTTTTTAAAGTTGATCCCTGCTGCTTGCAACTTCAAAAATAATGGTCAAGAGACATATTTGTTTGTCTCGGATCTCTGATTTTGTCATTTACCTTTAATTTCTTTGCTTACTTTAAGTTCCATAGCGATTGAGGGCGAGTAATTGGCAAAATTAAACAAAATGATAAAGTGAAGGCCTTGTACACCTAACCCGATTTTAAATTGTATATTTGATCTCGTCAGTAATAATAAAAATCCTGGAACAACAAAAAGCATGCGCAATCTATAGTGGTTTAAAACAAAAACATGTTCTTTGCTTAGGAAATTTAAAGTTCTAATTATGTCTCTGCCACGAATTTTGACCCGATGCTACTGAAAAGCCCAATATCAACTTTAAAGGGAGGAAACATTCCTAACAAAATTTTATTTTTCTTAAACAGGGTCATGGAGTTCAGCAGAACGAAACGGAAGCTATCAATCTATTCAAACTCTCTGCAGAACAGGTACGCTTCTGTGTAATTCGCTTGGTAAATTAATTCCATAAGAAAGTCCGTAGCGTAAGAGAATGTATGAGAGATGGGTTAAACTTAAAAAAAATTCTGGATACAAGCGTTCAATGTTGTTTGTGGGGTAGGGGCGGGGTTGCGCATGTGTGACTTAAAAAATACCACACAAATTAATGCAACTTTACGCCAAGACGTTTGTCCATGATTGTAGATCTGAAGAAACCTGACGTTTCTGCCCTTTACTACCGGGGGGAGTTTTGATTTAGTGGCATTGGATTGTTCATATAACATAAAAATCTGTCTGATTTTATAAGTAGCAAAAATTTCCACTCTTGTATTCGCAGGATCATTTCGTCCTTTTTTTTCGCTTGTAGGATTTTCCACCCGCCCTTAACGCTTTGGGTTTTTATGAAGTCAACATGCGCCATAACTTTAGTGGAGGCGCCATTTACTTCAAAAGAGCAGCTGACAAGGGCGACCGAGACGGCCTTAGTAACCTGGCCGTATCCTACGATAACGGTTGGGTGGCTGGACACCCCCCTGACAAGGTATTCATATTGACTCGCATTGTACTAAGGGGGACCGGGGAGCATGAGTACTAAAGTGGTAAAAAGACTCTCCACCGATCAATAATATACACTTAATGTCAGATCCCGAGGGAAACAGTTAGTTTTGTTTTTCTTCGTCTCGGGAAACATCAGGACTCGAGGGAAAACAAAACTAACTGGTTTCCCGAGGGAATATAATCGATTCAATCGTCCAGTAAAATTTTCGCATAGATTTTTCGTTTTGGGGACAGAAACCCCGCTGGACTTTGGTGTTGTGAAACAGTAATGCTGTTTTTCATTTCGTTTCTTCTTTTATTTACAGAAAGAAGCGTTTAAATACTGGTTTGAGGCTGCAACCAAGGGCCATCCTGGCTCATGTCTTACTGTGGGGGAAGGGGTCAGTAGTGGTCAGTACGTGGAAAAGAACTGCCCCTTAGGGGTGGTGTAAGTATCAATGATGCACTGATTTCTTCCTTACCTTATTTAAAGCCTCTTTGTAACCTTTTTCCTGTTCTTGTATACAGATACCTTCGTTTTGTCGCAGAACAGAATCCCGAAGTAGGATGGTTGATGCGTAAGGGCTTAGAAGCTTACTACACCGGAAATATGTAAGAGAAGAAGACGCTGATTTGTCTTTAATTTTTTTGTTTTCCTTAAAAAAAACAAAGATCAAAAGTTAGAAAAAAACGTTTTCTCGTGTAGCCGTAAGTTTGAAAAGCTGGGCCGAATTTACGGAGGCATCCTAAGTTAAGATACCCATAAGTACTGTTTCTTTACAATGTGTCACTTTATTTTTTTTTTTGTATTTTAATGAATTTAATGTGTCACTTTATGTGAAGACGAACCCATGGTTAATAGGGTTTCCCTTTTTTATTTGAGAATAAAACATCGTTTTCATATAGAAGACCTCCTACGTACCCTCGTTTGTTAAAAAAAGCTTGGTATAGACTGATGTAGTCTCCTATTTCCCGGTAAGACCGTAGGGATCGAGCCCTGAACGCTACAGGCAAATGTAACGATCCTGGCCTGGGGACCATTTTACGAAAAATAGAAGACCTTGAACAGTCTAGGCTTATCTGCCCTATTTATAATCGTTGTTATCGTTTCATTTTAGGTATAAATCGTTTGTTGATTTTCTATTCGCTGCTGAGGTCGGAATGGAAGTTCCCCTGTACAATACAGCCATGTTGTGCGAAGAAAATCAGGTTAGATTAGACTAAATTATTCAGTGTTGATTAAAATCTAAAGTCAAAGGAGACACTTGCAGATACTTTTGGTTAAGTTGTTATTATCTGCAAAGTTGGGCATCAAATACGATCAATATAAGAAATGTAACGTGACACTGTGGAATTTTTTTCCTTGGTATCCCAACAGTAATAGAGAGCTTTAGATTTAAGGACGAGAACGATGGATCGCTAAATCAATGAATCAGTAGATCCATAGATCGATGGATCAGTAGATGGATGGATCGCTAGATCGTTGGATAGCTAGATCGATGGATCGCTATATCGATGGATCGCTAGATCGATGGATCGCTAGATCGATGGATCGCTAGAACAATGGATCGCTAGATCGGTGGATCCCTAGATCGATTCATCAGTAGATCGCAGGATCGCTAGACCAATGGATCGCTAGATCGATGGATCGCTTGAACGATGGATCGCTAGAACGGTGGCTCGATAGATCGATTGATCAGTAGATCAATGGATCACTAGATCGATGGATCAGTAGATCGCTGGATCGGTGGATAGCTAGATCGATGGATCGCTAGATCGATGGATCGCTAAATCGATGGATCAGTAGATCGATGGATCGCTAGATCGAAGGGTCAGTAGAGCGATGGATCGCTAGATCGATGTATCAGTACAGCGCTGCATCGCTAGATGGATGGATCAGTAGAGCGCTGGATTGCTAGATCGGTGGATTACTAGAACTATGGATCGCTAGAACGATGGATCTCTAGATCAATGGATCAGTAGATCGATGGATTGCTAGATCGATGGATCTCTAGATTGATGGATCAGTAGATCACTGGATCGCTAGATCGGTGGATCGGTAGAACGATGGATCTCTACGTACGAGTACGAGATTTAACTTAAAGTTTTTGTGCGTGTTCTAAAAAGAAAACCCGGAAAGCTCCAGGTTCAATTTACTTTTTTTCACCAAAAAAGTTAGTACTGTTTTTTATTCTGAAGGAAGTTAAGCCCTCTCCCGATAGCAGAATGGTAAAACGTTTTACATTTGATTACTTGTTCACGCCACTACGATAATTCTCGTAATGGAATGACGACGGCTATCACCAGTATCACGTTTTCACGGCAACATGACGCTGTTTCACGGGTGATCAATACTCAGTATTGAGAAAATGTCGTACTCGTAGTCGTTCTCGTCTCAGAATCTAAAACTCTCTCATATCTTATAAGCCAAAGTTAACCGCATAGTACAACTAAATAAATACTGGTACCTTGATTTTCCATTGTAAGATCTATTTTCACTTTTGTATATTTAGATTAAAAACAAGTCGAAAACACAAATGACGAGACATAAAATTTTCCCTCGGTAAGCCTTTTTGCCGACTTTCTGGTCGCCATTTTGAATAAGTGAATAAGTTTATTTTTCTTCCAGGAGGATTTAAGCAGTGTGACTGCAGTAGACTGTATCTGGAATTACTACAATCGTTCCGCTGCCATGGGCTGGGTATTTGGTAAGTTAAGAAATGATTGAAAACGGTTTCCGTCACCAAGATCATAAGATGAATAGCCCCAAGGCAGTAGAGGTAAAAAGTATATCCCCGCACAAATTAACAACTTCCTTATAAAATATACTGTAAAAGACAATTTTAACTGATTTAGTATAGCTTTTTAAACTTTATGGATATTGTCACATCGATGGACCTTTCCGCAAAATAACTGTCAAGTTTTGTTACCAAACATTATGTTACAACTGTTTACTTTGTTGTGTTACTGTGGAAATCGACTGAAAAAATATTCTCTTTAAAATCGGCCATTGTTTTCAAGTTATGAGATGCCGCATTGACATAATGAAGAGACTGTTTTTAAAATATATTTCACCATGTTAAAAGTATTTTGTAAAGTCCAGGGCCAAGTTGTTCAAAGCTGGGTTAAGATAACCCAGGGTTAGTGCGAGATTTGAATTCAGATTTGAAAGCTTAAAAAGCATTTCAGTTTTAATTCTTTTTGTCTACAAGTTGATGATTGGAAGTTCTAAAAATAACAGAGAAAATTATCCGAGAAAGTACTTTTGAATGAAGGAAAAAGAAATCAGGGTTAAATTTAACCCCGGGTTAAGCGCTAATCGGCCTTCGAACAACTGGGCCCAGGAAGATTTGATTCAGAGAAGTTTAAACTAGAAAAGTTCTTTCCGCTATCCTTGCCCTTTATTTATTCATTTATTCGTTTATTTATTTTTCAGCTATGTTGAAGGTTGGGGATAATCATTGGTATGGAAAAACAGTCCCTCAGAACATTACATTCGCTGGTGAAATGTATGCAGAGGCCGCGGCCAAAAATGATTTACCTCAGGTAACAATATACTGAAGCGGTGGGTTTTTTCTTTCTTATCGTAGAAGTTAAATAACGATTTGCAGGTAGCACACCCACATGGTGGTTCTTCGTCTACCTGATTCCTGGTCGAATTGGAGTTTGGAAATGTTGGTTTTTGAGGAGAGGGGGAAACGGGAGAACCTCTCGGAGCAAGGGAAAGAACCAACAACAAACTCAGCCCACATATGGTGTCGACGCCGGGAGAAGTTGCAGGCTCAGTTTGATTTCATGTTAATTTTGATTTAACCTAGGTTCATTCTCAGTTTCCTTTGTCTATTAGGGCTTGGAGACAAGGAAATTGAGTAGAAGAGAACAGAATAATTCTTTATTTAAACATGGTGAAATTCATCAGGAGCAAAAACAATTTTGACAAGGAAATTGAGTAGAAGAGAACAGAATAATTCTTTATTTAAACATGGTGAAATTCATCAGGAGCAAAAGCAATTTTGAATAGAGGATATTACACGGTGGCGCGAAGATATGAATTTTATTTTCAAGTGGCAAAACAATATTTTACGAACGAGCGCACCGAGTGAGTAAAATATTGTTTTTGTCACGAGAAAATGTAATTCATATCTTCAAGCCGCCGTGTAATGTTCTTTTTATTATATAGGCAAAATGACATCGATAAAATAATGGAGGGAAATTACCAAAATTACGTCATCGATAAACTCACGTGTAAGATTATGGAAAATAAACCACTCCGGTCTCGAATGTAGTTTTTATGAATTTTACGAGTGGCATATTTTCCAGTAAAACACTGGTGTCTATATAATAAATAAACCTAACTACCCTAAACAATATGCAAGACTATCTACAACTAACCTAACTAAGACCTGGTTTTCATGAATGCCGTGTACACAGTACTTTAAAAATCAGAAATTCAGATGAGCCAATCGTTTAAATTTAGTTAAAGATTTAGCATCTCTCATATCACAGGCCAGGCTGTTCCAGAGAACTGCTCCGCTATAACTGAAGCTGTTCTTCGGAATCAACTAAGGTTTTAAAATTTACCTGAAATCTAATTGGTCCTGTCACATACTTCAAGGAGCACAGCAGATATAACTAGCCAATGCACAGACGTTTCTTTATACAAGGAAAGCGATAACGAGAGACATCTAATTCGTAGTTAAATGTCAACTGTGCTATTGACACGGTCACAAATGTGACCATCGTATTTGAGCAACTTAGGGCAAATATCAATGGAACTTAAACGAGATCAATTATTGAATCTTACTTTGACTTACAGGCGATATATAACTTAGCTTACATGGTCGAATACAACTACTCTCTAAATGGAATCCACTGGAGGAATGTGGCCAAAAACGACATCGTGCGGGGAAACCTTACGTTTGCCGCTTTGCTCTACGAGAAGTAAGTGCTTGTTTAAACCTTACGTAATTTTTCGTAGTTTGCGCGTTAATCAATAAAAATGATTTAAAAAAAAAAAAAGAAAAAAGATTATGTAACAAGTCTAACGCTGAATGCAAGGTAATCTCCTGCATAATGCATTAAAAGGATCTGAAAAAACTGTAATGTAAAGATGGCTTTCTGTATTCACTGCCAATTATTAAATATTTTGCGGATATTACATACCAGCGCGTGGATACGAATTTTATCCACAAGCGGGCATTCTGTTTATTATACACACACCGATGGCGAGATGCTGTGATGCTCTTTTCCTATTGGCTGAGACTGAAGTAGCCATGAAAACCGTGATAACTTCACAAGTGAAAAAAAAACATTGTGTTTTCACTGGATACCAAATTTTCGTCAGTGTAAAAATCCTGGTATTTCATCGGTGTCTATATAATATATATACATTTCTTGAAGTTTGCCTTAAACGGGTGAGGGGGGCGGGTGTAATGGGGATGAGGGGCATGAAGAAAAGAGAACATTAGGCCCCTTCCGTACTCTTCCAAGTATTTTTGAATCCTTGTGGACAGGGTCTTCGTACACTATTAAAAGCGGTTTAAAACAAGATGTGGTTTTGCTGAGCGGACTCACTGGTTCCGTGTGGACGTAAGGGCGATTCGTTTAAAAAATATGCGGTTTCAGAAATTTTCGGATTCGTGTGGACAGTCTTAGGGCGCTTTCCATTTGCCAGACCTGACCCGCCAAACCATTTCCAACGCAATGATAATTTTCATTTTAATCAAATCTCTCCAGCCAGATCAGTCAAATCCTACGTAGTATGCACCAAGGAGATGGTTTTTCAGTAACAAGCCTATTTCATTATTCGAACCGACTGGTCCAGCGGTCAGCGGTAACTCGCGTGACGGCGCGTGTTTTAAATTAGACAAACAAACTCAATGGTACACAGAAAACGATTTCTCAAAATCTACTCATTAAAATTTTGTGATATTTGGCAGAATATCTTAAATAATAAGAACTTTAAAATGGAAGTTGAACAGCCGAATTTTGTGACACATTTAATAATTACAGTTCCATTATATTATTGATTATCTAAAATCCCGCCTGTTAAAATTTGGTCAAATAAGTTTCAAATGGTAATGATTAATTATAATAAACTGTGTATGATTTATTTCAAATATCATTAACAAGCTGTGTGCAAGTTTATAGGAAACTCTAATGAGCGAATTTTATGTGAAATGAGCAAAAGTGAAATTTTAAGGTTGTATTCAATCGTTCATGTTGTCATGAAAACTACGAAAACGTCAAATTTTACCTGCCAATGAAAATTTTTCGTTAGTATATTTTTCACTTGCCAAGTTTCAGCTTGTGACCTGCAACCTTTCTCTTGCCATGATTTGGAAAACGACATATACTCACAAACTGCCAAAACTGTGTTCAGACACCTTAATTGATATAAATGTTTTCTAACACAGAATTTCAGCCCTCTGTTTTGTGATAAATATTTGTCATATTTATTATGATCTCTTTTCTATGGTAGATGCCGAGATGCTCAGGAAAATAACAATGAATCATTTCTGCCGTGTTCTTTCGGTGTCGTGAAAGTAAAGTTAAAACGTTTGTGGCAGAACGACCCACGTTTTGCTCAGGTAAAATTTTGATGTGCTTTTGTCTTAGCTTTTTCCAGTGATAGAATAAATAAACTAACGTTAAATTGTTTGAAATACAGTGAAACATGAACTATTTACAAGGCTGAAAATATATATTTAAAAAATCTTAACGGTTTAAACACCAGGTCATCATCAGAATATTGACCAAGTGTTGAAAACGTTTTGATTTTACTTTTTCAATATATTATATTTTAAGTCTTGTAAATAGCTCACTTTTTTAAGGCTAAGCGTATTTTATGGACCTCACATTGAAATGTGTTTTCATAGATTTTATTGTACTTTGAGAGTTTGACCTGCGACAATGATCTGTAATATTAAGACAGAAAAAGAACGATTTTAATCGTCATTTTGATTCCTTTTTATTTTGTTCATTTTTAATTTCAGGCTGGGGCACTAACGTTGACAATAGCGCTTGGCATCTTCTCGTGCTGGCTCTTTTTCTCCTAGGACAGAAAACTAAGCCAACAGACACCTTCACGACTTTTTCAACTTTCGAACAAGTTAGGGGAAATCTGTCAACACCACTGGAAAGAGCCCCCTAAAATTAATAATATTACCACGTTTAAGGTAATACGTCTTAAGCGAACATAGATATAGCCCCGAAAAGTTGCGAGAATTTGCAGACTTTTTTTACGGTGGAGGCATCCCACCCCCCCCCCCCATATAAACAAGTCTGTAAATGTTCGCGAATTTCAGGAGCTATATCTTGGATAGTTGTCATTAACTGACTTTTCAAAGCAACCTTTCCAGCGATGTGGAAATTACCTTAACTTGTCCATAACAGAAGTTGAAAAAAAAAACCGTGAAAAGGTCTATTGAAATCAGTTGTTTTTATTTGCCGAGATGTATTCCTTGATAATGTTCTAGATAGAAAACAAAGCTTTCAAGACTACAAAATTCCTTGATTTTATACTCTAGAGAGGCTTCTTTCAGCAACATCGTCCAACACATTTTCTTGGACCTACTTTGACGAAAATAAAATAATAAAACAAATTAAAAGTTTTTGACCACAAGCATAGACTAACCCCTTTGGCAAAATCCCATTTTTTCGACTTCTTTGACTTCTTGTTTTTTAAGTCGAGAGAGCCTTTTTTTCTTTTCACAATGTGGCCAAACACATTATCCTGGCCTATTCTGTCTGAAAGAAAAAAAGGAAAAATTGCCAATTTTGACTAAAACCAAGGACTAAACCTTTTGGAAAAATCCCAATTCTTCGACTTTTTTAATTTGTTGTTTTTATAGTATAGAAAAGACTTTTCTCTTTCTAGAAAAGCCTATTTTGCCAAAATAAAAACCTGAAAAAAATTGCAAATTCTAGAACCAAACTATGTAATAACCTCTTTGAAAAAAACCCAATTTTTTGACTGTTTCAACTTGATGTTTTTATAGTCTAGAAAGACATTTTTTCTTTCTACAATATCACGAAACACATTTTAATAATAAATTCTGCCTAAAAAAAAAAAGATGGAAAAACTGCCAATTAGAGAAAAAAAATGACTTAACCACTTTGGAAAAATCTCAATTTTTCGACTTTTTGAACTTCTTGTTTTTATAGCATAGAAAAGCGTTTTATCCTTCTAGAATATCGTAAAAGACATTTTCCTGGCTAAAATTGCCTTAAAAAAATTGAAAAAATGGCCATTTTTGGACCAAAACCATGAGTTAACCACTTTTGAAAAATGTCAATTTTATGACTTTTTAAACTTCTTGTTTCTATAGCCTAGAAAGGTGTTTTTTCGTTCTAGAATATTGTAAAAGACATTTTCCTGGCCTATATTGCAGAAAAAAAAAGTTGGAAAAATGGCCATTTTTGGACCAAAACCATGGGTTACACCTTTGGAAAAATGTCAATTTTTCGACTTTTTGAACTTCTTGTTTTTTCGTTCTAAAATATCGTAAAAGAAATTTTCCTGGCCTATATTGCCTAAAAAAAAAGGTGGAAAAATGGCCACTTTTGGACCAAAAGCATGGTTTAACCCCGTTGGAAAAATGCCGATTTTATGACTTTTTAAACTTCTTGATTTTATGGCCTAGAAAGGCGTCTTTTTCTTCTAGAATATCGTAAAAGACATTTTCCTGGCCTATATTCCCGAAAAAAAAAAAGTTGGAAAAATGGCCATTTTTGGCCCAAAAGGATGGGTTAACCCCTTTGGAAAAAAGTCAATTTTCTGACTTTTTGAACTTTTTTTTATAGCCTAGGGAGGCGTTCTTTCGTTCTAGAATATCGTAAAAGACATTTTCCTGGCCTATATTGCCTAAAAAAAAAAGTTGGAACAATGGCCATTTTTGAAAAAAAACATTTTCCTAGCGTATGGGTTAAAAATCTTTGGAAAAATGTCAATTTTGGACGACTTTTTTTTTGGAAAATCTTGTTTTTCTAGCCTAGAAAGGCGTTTTTTTTTCGTTCTAGAATATCGTAAAAGACATTTTCCTGTTCTATATTGCCTAAAAAAAAAAGTTCGAAAAATGGCCATTTTTGGACAAAAACCATGGGTTAACCCCTTTGGAAAAATGTCAATTTTTTTGACTTTTTAAAACTTTTTTTTTATAGCCTAGAAAGGCGTTTTTTCGTTCTAGAATATCGTAAAAAGACATTTTCTTGGCCTATATTGCCTAAAAAAAAGTTGGAAAAATGGCCATTTTGGACCAAAACCATGGGTTAACCCCTTTGGAAAAATGTCAATTTTTGAACTTTTAAACTTCTTGTTTTTATAGCCTAGATAAGGCGTTTTTTCGTTCTAGAATATCGTAAAAGACATTTTCCTGTTCTATATTGCCTAAAAAAAAAAGTTGGAAAAATGGCCATTTTTGACCAAAACCATGGGTTAACCTTTGGAAAAATGTCAATTTTCGACTTTTTTTTAACTTCTTGTTTTTATAGCCTAGAAAGGCGTTTTTTCCTTTAAGAATATCGTAAAAGACATTTTCTTGGCCTATATTGCCCAAAAAAAAAAGTTCGAAAAATGGCCATTTTTGGACCAAAAACCATGGGTTAACCCCTTTGGAAAAATGTCAATTTTTCGACTTTTTGAACTTCTTGTTTTTATAGCCTAGAAAGGCGTTTTTTCCTTTAAGAATATCGGAAAAGACATTTTCCTGTTCTATATTGCCTAAAAAAAAAGTTGGAAAAATGGCCATTTTTGGACCAAAACCATGGGTTAACCCCTTTGGAAAAATGTCAATTTTTCGACTTTTTGAACTTCTTGTTTTTATAGCCTAGAAAGGCGTTTTTTCGTTCTAGAATATCGTAAAAGACATTTTCCAGTTCTATATTGCCTAAAAAAAAAGTTGGAAAAATGGCCATTTTTGGACAAAAACCATGGGTTAACCCCTTTGGAAAAATGTCCATTTTTTGACTTTTTGAACTTCTTGTTTTTATAGCCTAGAAAGGCGTTTTTTTTTTCATTAGAATATCGTAAAAGACATTTTCCTGTTCTATATTGCCTAAAAAAAAAGTTGGAAAAATGGCTATTTTTGGATTAAAACCATGGGTTAACCCCTTTGGAAAAATGTCAATTTTTCGACTTTTTGAACTTCTTGTTTTTATAGCCTAGAAAGGCGTTTTTTCGTTCTAGAATATCGTAAAAGACATTTTCCTGGCCTATATTGCCTAAAAAAAAAAGTTCGAAAAATGGCCATTTTTGGACAAAAACCATGGGTTAACCCCTTTGGAAAAATGTCAATTTTTCGACTTTTTGAACTTCTTGTTTTTATAGCCTAGAAAGGCGTTTTTTCGTTCTAGAATATCGTAAAAGACATTTTCCTGGCCTATATTGCCTAAAAAAAAAAAGTTGGAAAAATCGCCATTTTTGGACAAAAACCATGGGTTCACCCCTTTGGAAAAAAGTCAATTTTTCGACTTTTGAAGTTCTTGTTTTTATAGCCTAGAAAGGCTTTTTTTTTGTTGTAGAAAATCGTAAAAAACACTTTCGTTGCCTATATTGTCTAAACAAAGAAAGTTGGAAAAATGGCCATTTTTGAACTAAAACCATGGATTCACCCCTTTGGAAAAATGTCAATTTTTTGACTTTTTGAACTTCTTGTTTTTATAGCCTAGAAAGGCGTTTTTTCGTTCTAGAATATCGTAAAAGAGATTTTTTTGTTCTATATTGCCTAAAAAAAAAATTGGAAAAATGGCCATTTTTGGACAAAAACCATGGGTTAACCCCTTTGGAAATATGTCAATTTTCCGACTTGTTGAACTTCTTGTTTTTATAGCCTAGAAAAGCGTTTTTTCGTTCTAGAATATCGTAAAAGACATTTTCCTTTTCTATAAAGCCTAAGAAAAAAAGTTGAAAACAATGGCCATTTTTGGACCAAAACCATGGGTTAACCCCTTTGGAAAAATGTCAATTTTTCGACTTTTTGAACTTCTTGTTTTTATAGCCTAGAAAAAAGTTTTTTCGTTCTAGAATATCGTAAAAGACATTTTCCTGTTCTATATTGCCTAAAAAAAAAAGTTGGAAAAATGGCCATTTTTGGACAAAAACCATGGGTTAACCCCTTTGGAAAAATGTCAATTTTTCGACTTTTTGAACTTCTTGTTTTTATAGCCTAGAAAGGCGTTTTTTCGTTCTAGAGTATCGTAAAACACATTTTCCAGTTCTATATTGCCTAAAAAGAAAGTTGGAAAAATGGCCATTTTTGGACCAAAACCATGGGTTAACCCCTTTGGAAAAATGTCAATTTTTCGACTTTTTGAACTTCTTGTTTTTATAGCCTAGAAAGGCGTTTTTTCGTTCTAGAATATCGTAAAAGACATTTTCCAGTTCTATATTGCCTAAAAAAAAAGTTGGAAAAATGGCCATTTTTGGACAAAAACCATGGGTTAACCCCTTTGGAAAAATGTCAATTTTTTGACTTTTTGAACTTCTTGTTTTTATAGCCTAGAAAGGCGTTTTTTCGTTCTAGAATATCGTAAAAGACATTTTGTTGGTTCTATATTGCCTGAAAAATAAAGTTGGAAAAATGGCCATTTTGGACCAAAACCATGGGTTAACCCCTTTGGAAAAATGTCAATTTTTCGACTTTTTGAACTTCTTCTTTTTATAGCCTAGAAGAGGCGTTTTTTTTTGTTCTAGAATATCGTAAAAAACATTTTCTTGGTCTAAATTGGCTAAAAAAAAAGTTGGAAAAATGGCCATTTTTGGACAAAAACCATGGGTTAACCCCTTTGGAAAAATGTCAATTTTTCGACTTTTCGAACTTTTTGTTTTTATAGCCTAGAAAGGCGTTTTTTCGTTCTAGAATATCGTAAAAGATATTTTCCTGGCCATTTTTGGACAAAAACCATGGGTTAACCACTTTTGAAAAATGTCAATTTTTCGACTTTTTGAACTTCTTGTTTTTATAGCCTAGAAAGGCGTTTTTTCGTTCTAGAATATCGTAAAAGACATTTTCCTGTTCTATATTGCCTAAAAAAAAAAGTTGGAAAAATGGCCATTTTTGGACAAAAACCATGGGTTAACCCCTTTGGAAAAATGTCAATTTTTCGACTTTTTGAACTTCTTGTTTTTATAGCCTAGAAAGGCGTTTTTTCGTTCTAGAATATCGTAAAAGACATTTTCCTGTTCTATATTGCCTAAAAAAAAAATTGGAAAAATGGCCATTTTTGGACAAAACCAT